GGAATGCGACTTGCTCAGACGGGAAGGACAGTGGCGCAACTGGCGGGGTGGCATTGGCAGCCCGGTTCTACTCCAGCAGATGTACCCGGAGCTGAGGAAGGGCCCGCTGAGGCGATCCCCGACTGTCCATTGGATGGCGGTGTAGCTTGAGCATTGGGGACGTCTTCGGGACCAGCCATGTTCTCAGAAAGGGGAGTGGGGTGGCGCGGAAGGAAACGACCGTCGGGGCCGCGTTGAGGCTGTTCGCGTCGGCGTGGTGCCGTAATTCTGCAAAAAAACAGGAAGCACTCGAAGTCGACGGGACTTTCGAGCACACGGGTGAGAGAGGAGATGGACGGGGATACAGTAGGTAGCTACCTTTCGAGCACACGGGTGAGAGAGGAGATGAAGAGAGAACAGTGAGGGTGAGGTCTATATATCATAGTGAACCGAGACAAAGAAAACAGAGAAAAACGCGTTCATGCGCGTCCGCGCGCGGTGCGCGCACGAGCATTGTCGACGACGAGGAGAAAGAGCTTTATGGACGCCGAGCTAGCGCTCGGCTGGAGGCGCTGAAACTCGAGCGCTACGCATAGACCCACGACAACAAGTTGTCGTATTCAGTTAGCAGTACTGTAGAGATCAGAGCATAGCGGCGCCGGGTGTGACCTGTGACCGCCGGGATACGTAGCGGCGGAGCGGCGAGGCGCCCAAAATTACTATATATGGCGCGTTAGCGCCCGCTCCGGAGGTCCAAAATGGGCGCTTAGGGGCCTCAAAGCCGTTGTGACCAGTGACACAGACCAAATAGCGGCGCGGCGGGGGCCGCTGTGACCTGTGACCCGCCGCTATGCTCTGATCTCTACAGTAGTAGCAGTACTCACGCAGAACTCTGTTTCTGACCCAGATCGAAGAACTCATAATAGACGTCGACACTTCTACCTAGGGCCTCACAGCACATCGTCGGCCTGCAGTACTAGTTAGTCATGCCTCAGCACAGAACACTATATGGCTATGCTTGCCGCGACAGCAGGCTCAGACGTGTCGCCGGGTATAGGCCACGGCGCGGTCTCCTCTGCGGTCCACTCCGAGTCACGGTGCAGCCCGAGATGCCACTGTAGAGTCAACACGATCAGGTCGAAACATAGAGACGTCGCTGCACCGCCATATCAGCTTACCCGGTCGTTGTCCGATAGGAAGAGACCCTCCTCCTCGATAATTCGCTCTGAGGCTTCTTCCTCGAGCGGCTCGACGCCGCCCCGCGGTGATGCTGCGACAAGCCAGGCAGAGGTCGAGCGCCAACAGCCACGCGAGACCCTGTTTTGCCAAACCTGCGGTGGGAGTAGACATACCCTGTGTTCGCCGCATGTCATCAGTTGAATGTACTGCAGGGACGGCATCGCCGCGGCCATCCCCACAACAGTTTCCTCGTGGTCAAGGTGGAGGAGGTCTTCAACGAAACCCTCGGAGAAGGGGACATAGTATGAATCCCTGTCCATGATGTCCGTCGGACAGACTGAGTATTTAATGATTAAGCGGAGGTGGGTTAGTTGCACCCCCTGCAAGGAATTCTTGATCTGAGCCTGCACGAGTAGAGAGATATCGAATGAGCGCAGCAAGCGATAAAAAGGCCGGGCACGTACGGAGAGATGCTTCCAACGGATGGTCCGCAGCGCGTGGTGAGGAGAGTATGGATCACTTGTCTTGAAATTGTCGTAAATGATCACGAGTGCTAGATGCGTCAGTCTTTGGACTTGTTCTGTAGGGAAAAAGCCCTGGAGGGTGTATCCGTATCGGCCGAGCCAGATAGATAGCTTCAGGTGGCTAGGGGGCGTGGTCAGCAAAATCTCCGCCATTTCTTCTCTTGAATCCTCTCTCGGTATGTGGGCTTCTACCATAAGATGGCGTACAGGACAAGTCAAGCCCAACACGAAGATGGCGGACGGCTGGCCGATGAGCCGTTCCAGACGATCCCAGGAGCGTTCGCGTTCCTGCCATTCCTGATTAGCAGATCGTGACGCCTCATGTCGCCAATATCCGCCCGTCGGCGGGGACGAAATCCAAACGTCGAGATCCTTCAAGGCCGGGAATTTTTCCACAAGGATGTCCGTACGCAGAACTTCCGGGTCGAACAGAGCACTGAGCGACCGCAACGCTGGAAACTGCATTCCCCTGTCGTTGAGCGGGAGTGTTGCATCTGTGATCGTCAGAGCTTCGAGCGTTGGCGCGAAGGGTGCTAGGTACTGGTCAACTGCGGCCGTACTGGTATCCCCGCCCGGCGTGCCGAGGGAGCAGAGTGAGAGGCGAAGGGTTGTGAGGGTCGGTAGGGAATGTGTGGCCTTGATGATGATGTCTTCATCTCTGCACGATCCCAGCAACACTAGCTCGCGCAAGGTAGATAGCTGCGCAATTGCCTGAGGTATCCTCGGGTCTGTGAGATGTTGGAGTGTATATTTTGCGTCCGGTAAGTTCAACGAGTCGAGAGAGGTGGCGCGTCCCAGGATGCTCAAGATACACTGCACAACTTCCTTGCGGACGTCTTCATCCATCTTGGGGATTTTGAGTTCAAGAGCGCGGCAGAACGGGAGGCGAGACTGCGGATCGGCGAAGACGAATTTGTGGAAGGCGAGCACCGACCGTGCGTCCCGTAGTAGTATCGGCTTCCTGATCAGCAGACGCTTCGCGGCCATAGAGCGGAAGCAGCGGGAGACGACGGAGAACGACAGAATCGTCGGCACATGGTCGAGTAAGCCACATACCACTTCAAGAACGTCGAAGTTATACTCACGCATCGCGCGAGGGCCTGTGTGAAATTCGCACATTTTTAGTACACTACAACTCCCATATCAGTCCATATTTGTCGTACTCACGGCGATGTATCTTGATGAGACAGTGGAGGAAGTGAGCGTAGGAGAATAGAGCGCGCGGGACGTGGTGCGAAAGCGGGCGCGGGAGTTCGCGTTTGACCGAGCTCGAGCGGGCGGTTTATATACGTACAGGCGTTGCCGTGGCCCGTAGCTGTGGACCTACAGTACTACGAGAAAAAGGCGAGCACGTCTCACTCGGGCCTGAACACAATAAAGACAAAACACAGTGAGCAGTGGCGATGGTCCAGGTCAAGTTGTGCTGGCGCCAAGAGCCCAGCAACGCACAGACCATGGGCGCCTCTTGTCGATCTTCCAAGTTCTGAAGCAACTCTAGATCTGCGCTTGATGCATCGAGGAGCTATGAACGGCCGGCCTCATCTCCCACAAAAATGAGGCTAAACTTGGGTTTGGTGCTCAAGCAAAGTAGGCTCCAACATCGTTTAGTTTGAACCGCGCCGGAGATATGTTGTTATCATCACCAACGTGTGTTACTTCCCTTCGCAGGCTTCTGCTAAGTTTGAAAGTGCTGGAGTACCGGGATCATTCACAGATCAAAGTCGGCGCGATATTCCCAGAATTCATGTACCGTGCACGTGCATCCAAGGGAGACTAAAGTCCGCGCTGGTCCACTCATACTATGCGACGAGTAGTAACAGTGCGGTGCCTGCCTAAGCTGCGGTAATAGGGCGGTCGACATCTCCGCTGCACCCTCAAGGTCCACGCGCGATGCGATCCAGAGCAGCCAGCGCCTCGTCGCGCGACATGCTCGCGAGGATCTGCTCAGGCGACGGCGTAGACCCTGAGCCCATTGTCGCGTGTACGATCAGCCGTGCGATGACTTCGCCCTGTGAGGATGGTCAGTGAGTGCTTTCGTTGTTTGACGTGCGGAAGGACGAGACGTACCGCTTCCACCAGGCACGCGACCACGATAAGCCTATGGGATAGTGAGCACAGTAGTACAGCGAGTCGGGATATCAGACATACCAGATGATGATCCATGTTATGCGATCCATCGCGTTCGTGTTCAGGTGATCGTGTATCGCGCTCAGCTATAGACGATCTCACGTAAGCCATATCGTAGCACCGTTGCGCGTACGCCGACACGCACCAGATCCTCCGCGACCGCGATCTTCTCGTTCATGACCTGCACGCGCGGCCCGATCTCCATATACTCGCGCACAGCGTCGTATAACGCCTTCAGACTCGCTTCGTCCCAGAACAGCTCGGGCACGTCGAGCACGTTGCTGACGAGATTCACGTCCCGACGCAGCGTGAACAGGCGTCCAGTGAGTTTCAACGCGTCCTTGCGTGGCAGAGCGAGCACGCCTGTGAGCGCTAGCTGAGTCGGGATCGAGCGTGTAGACGGGGCGGAGAGGATGCGATGCGCGAGTGTCTCGTAGTGGGCGAGTAATGTCGACTGCGCGAGAGCGTGTGCGACGGAGAGCTGGAGGAGGTGTGAATGGGTCTTGAAGGCTGTGATACCGGGTTAGAATCAGACAACACAATATCGTACTATACTTACTGAAGAAGTCGTTGAATATACGCGGAAACGCGATGTTAGGGTCGTGCTAGCGGAGCACGATCAGCATATATGCAGACATAGAGACGCCAGTGAAACGGCTTACCGCATAATGACATGCCTCCACCTCCCAATCGTCATGCGGGATCTTCCTAAGCATGACACCGGCCTCCTCGACGTCCTCGAGGATACCGAGCTCCTGGTCTTCCCGGAAACCGTAGAAGACGACCACGCCGTAGTCAAAGAAAATGGCTTCGGCGAAGTTCTCCGCCTCAGACTTGGTTTTCCGTTTGCTGATTCTCCTGGGTCGTAGGTTCTCGCTCCTGGATGGTTCGTGCTCGCGTTCCTCCGTAGTGACCACAATGGGTATCTGCCCAGATGCGCGCGCTTGCTCCAGCGCAGCGCTCTGGAGCTGCTCCGGGCTACCGACAGCCATGCCGTGTGTCGCCATGACGGGGGACGCGGAGGGCATATAGCCTTCTATCTGCGTAGCGGACTCCTGATGTTCCTCGGAATTGAAGTACGTGCCTTGATATCCATCTTCCTCCGCTTCAGAAAGCCCGGAACTGGGGTCCTCATTGCCTGGAGTTACAGCAGGTGCAGAGGATCGAATGTTGGACCCTGGGCCGTACCCGGGCAGTAGAGGGAGGTGGTACATCTGTCAAGCCGCGTGAGTGACTCTCATGAATAGGCTTGCTGGCACCATTACTTACGACGTACATCGCCTCGTCATATACGCGAGGCTTCACGTTGTGCTCGCGCTTCAGGAAGCTAGCGAGGAGCTTCATCTTGAAGCCCTCCGCGATGCAGTACGCAGTTATCCGCCCAAACCCCGCCTTCTCCCTCTCCTCCTTGCTCATCCGCTCCCCTGCGCTCTTGTGTTCGCGAACCCCTTGGTCCGTCTCATACCCGAGTAGCTGCTCTGCATCCTCATCCGCCTCGAGTGGGATGGGTTTTGTCTGGGGCGCAGAGGGCAGTACGACGAGTTTCTGGGTGGTTTTGGACGTCCTCTGAGCTTTCGCTCCGCCAGTAACAGGGTTTGTGAGTGCCACCCCTGTGACAGATGGTCGGCGAGTGAGAGCTGATCTAGGCGGTCGAGCACGAAATGCAGGAGGATTGGAAGCCGGCGGTCGCGGGGCTTGCTGCTGTGAATTTGACATTTCCCGTTGAAAGGGTTCCCTGGTTCGCTACCGGGCGTTCAGATCAAATATCTTCCTGGCTGAAACTGTGGTTGTCCAGGGGTCCAGAGAAGAAGAGAAGAGGAAAAGAGGAGAAGAGAGAGCTGCAGGAACGAGCAGCGCGCCCGGCGCGTACTCGCATTCTTGACGTAGGAGCCCCGGCCCGAAACGGTCCGGTACCATGCTCGATCAATTATTGAGCGCCTATGGGGCGCCTGCAAGAAATTGTTCGCTCTGCTGTGAAGTTCAGCCTTCGGCTTCAACGTCCATCTACTCCCTTACGCACATCACCATGACCTCCTCTGAGAAACTGGGGGTAAAGCGGAAGACAAAGCCGTCGGCATCGTCGATTGCAAAACGCGCCAAGACGAAGCATGTCACTGCAAATGACTTACAGTGGAAGCAAACGCAGAAACCGCGCGAAGCAGATATGGGGACCGGGATGGACGGGTTCTTGGATCTGGAAGAGGTCGACGACGTCGAAGTGGTCTACGAAGAGACGGAGGGTGGCAAAGTCATTCGATTCAAGGTACGTGCTAGTCCACAGTCGCGTGAAATGCCGCTGAAACCCGTACCTTAGGTGAAAGGGCCCACCGAAGACCAAGAGGATGCCATGGACGTTCAGGACACACCCGGAGAACCATCTGGGGCCCCGGTGGAGAAGCTAGACGTTGATATGCTTCCAGATCCCATCACCTTCGACTGTATGTTCCCTCCCAAAGGTTATGCATGCACAAGCTGACTAGGGAGCAGCCGAAACGCTCCTTCCGGCTTGGAATACATTTCAGCTCCACCCTCAGCTCGCGCGCTCTCTGTATGCCAGAAAGTTCACCGAGCCTACGCCGATCCAGGCACAAACGCTTCCACTTGCGCTGAAGAACAGGGATGTCGTGGGTGTGGCTGAGACGGTATTTGTGCTTACAGCCTGAGTACGCTGCGTGATGCTTACCGTTGTCCAGGGTTCGGGAAAAACGCTGGCATATGGACTGCCGATCCTGCACCATCTCCTCACTGAGGCCTACTCGCGTCCGATTCCCAGCTCAAAAACTCGCCGGCCAGTTCGCGCACTCATCGTGACACCTACGCGTGAGCTTGCTCTGCAGGTCTCTTCACATCTCAACGCTTGCCTCACACATGCGGATGTTGAGGTCGATGATGCGGGGCCTGCTGAAGGTGCTTCGGACGAGTCGTCAAAAGACAAGTCCAAGCCCAAAGCTAAGGGTAAGGGCAAAGCCAAGGCAGAAGTACAGGGCGACAAGCCTAAGAGTCCGCCCTTGGTCTGTGTTGCCGCTATCGTGGGGGGCATGTCTGCGCAGAAACAACGACGCGTTCTCTCCCGCGGCGTAGACGTATTGGTCGCGACGCCGGGTCGGCTCTGGGACATCATACAAGAGGTACTGTATCCCGAGCTAATTTCCGCGCACCCATATATATTTAACTTTTGCATATGTAGGACGACGAGCTGGCGACGCAAATCGAGAATCTGCGGTTCCTGGTGCTTGACGAAGCTGACCGGATGATCGAATCTGGACATTTCGCAGAGATGGACAACATTTTGCGCTTGACGCTGCGAAAGCAAGAGTATGTGTTCACGTGTTAAAGATTTTGTGATCTACTGACCGCATATAGTGATGAAATCATCGAGCCTGAGAACCAGGAGGGCGAGGCAGAGGACAGCAAAGAAGACGTTCGCGCAGGCGAGCTGCAAACGTTCGTGTTCTCCGCCACGCTCAGCAAGGACCTGCAAAAGAACCTCAAAAAGCGGACACACGGAAGGCGTCGCAAGAACGACAAGCCCGCCTCTACGCTAGACGATCTCCTGCTACGGTTGGACTTCCGCGACCCCGAGCCAGCCGTCGTCGACATCAGCCCCGTCGGCAGCGTTGTTGCGACGCTCACGGAGAGCAAGATCGAGTGCCTCGTCACGGACAAGGACGCATACCTGTACTACTTCCTCCTGCGCTACCCCGGACGCACGCTTGTCTTCCTGTCCGCAATCGACGGTATCCGGCGGCTGCTCCCCCTCATGGACCTGCTCGGCGTGCATGCCTTCCCGCTGCACTCGCAGCTCGAGCAACGCCAACGTCTTAAGAACTTGGACCGGTTCAAGTCTACCCCCGGCGCGGTGCTGCTCGCGACGGACATCGCCGCGCGTGGGCTCGACGTTCCCGCAGTCGACCATGTCGTGCATTACCAAGTGCCGCGCACCGCGGACGCATACGTGCACCGAAACGGTCGGACGGCCCGCGCAATGCGCCGCGGGTTCAGTCTGTTGATGTGTGTGCCGGACGAGCGCAAGGTCGTTCGTGCCCTCATGCACAATCTCAACAGACGTGCGTCATCTATATTATTGTTGACATGCATAGCTCTAATACTTATACATGACATAGAGGAAGATGAGGTCCCGGAGATGCCGGTAGAACTACACATGTTGGACAAGCTCAAGGCACGCATCCAGCTTGCACGCTCGATAGACAACGCACAACACAAGATCAAGAAGGAGAACCACGAGCGCAACTGGCTCAAGGAGACGGCTGAGGCGATGGAGCTCGTGCTCGATTCAGATCTCGAGAGGTGAGCACCCTTTCTTACATTTTCATCGACTGAAATCTCAAAATGCTGTACCTGTAGCGACGACGGTGGGGCGGAGGCAGCACCGTCAAAGCAGAAGCGCAAGGCGCGAGCAGCGAAAACGGCGGGGTTGAAGGCGCAGCTAAAGGAGATGCTCGCGCAACCGCTCGTCGCGCGGGGCGTGTCGACGCGGTATATCACCTCTGGGGTGCACTCGATCGCGGACGACCTGCTTGCCGGGGAATGTGAGTCCCGGGCCCCTTCTCCTATTGACATGAACCACAGCTGACGGACGTGCATCCTCGCAGATCACGAGAACATGGTCGGCCTCAAAAAGGTGGAGGCGGGCACGGACCTCGTTCCTGCAAAAGCTCGGAAGCCGAAGGCGACACCGAAAGTTACTGCGCGGGTCAGTGCGAAGGAAGAAGAGGAGGAGTGGGGAGGAATTACTGGCCAGTAGGCTTGCGTGTCACCGGTGCGATCATCTACTATCATGTATCTATCTTATTTCATGGCATAAGTTGGCAGTAGGGACTCGCGTACCCTTGATTATCGAATGGTAAAATATCAGGAGGCTGATTGTGACGCGCTGATTCTTACACCTGGTAACTCTAAACGCTCTGTATGGCGGAAATAAGTTCAGTATTCGCGTTTCTCATGCACTTAGCTGCCGGCGTTAAAGAAGCGCAAAGGAACCGGGTCGGAATGTCATTCAACATGCTTCGTTCACGAGTGTCCACCACGGTACGCGAAGACCGCATTCTTGCGCAGCTACTCCATCGCACTGGTACTAATCCTCGCGTCCACATGTACAGATCACCCGCCGCCAAGTTCTCGAGCGGCGTCCGACGCATGCACTTGTCCGGTGTTAACTTAATTATCGGCGTCTCGCTTCGATAGCCCGGCAGTACACTGTACAGCATTCAGCATGTCGTTGCATACACGGTTTGTTCACGCCTTCCGGGTTGACTATGACGCCAAGCCGTACTACGCCGCGTTGAGGACGCGGCCTGTACTTCGAACGGCAAGGCGCATCGGACACATCACCGCCGAAATCGCTTACGTCTATGGCCGACATGCTACGCGGGAGTCAGCACTTCGAAGAGCCTCTGTACATCCGATCGAACACGGACATTGCATGCAAACGTAGCGCTCGCCTGCGACTCAGAGGTGCATCCCTGAGCCTAGAGGGGGCGTCCTCCGGAGCATGCCATCTGGAAGGCCGAGTGGTGAGTTCGTCATCCATGCATTGCGGCCAGTTTGATGACCATGAGGGAGTGAGGTCGAAACGCCCAAACTAGGTATAAAACTGGATCCAAGGGTCGCATTTTCCCCAGGCCTCAGCATCAGCATACTCGGTGCGCATTCAGCACCCCTTCATTGTGGGCCGCTCCTCATCCTGACACGCATTAGTTGCAGTCGAGCCCTGACAAACCGACCCCCCCGAATTCAAACATCAAACCTCGAACACCAACCGTACGCCGTTCTGCTCACCGTCCTAACGTCGCTCACTCCACGCGTTTCCCCTAGATGGGAGTCGGCAGCATCATCGTCGTTAACAACACGAACGAGCCGTGCCACGTCTTCGTGTCCAAGTACTCGCGCTCGTCCGCGTCCGACGACTGGTTCACGCTGCAGCCCCACACGCGCGATTCCTGGGAGCGCGCGGGCTGGGAGCTCGTCGCGTTCAAGAACGGGAACGATACCGACCGCGCGGGCCTCTACGTCCCCACGAACACCACCGTCACGTATAACGGGCTTCACAGCCTCGGCAGGTCCTGAAAGCGCAACCGCGATGCCGAGGGTGACAAGGTAGTACTACTAGTACTGCTCGAAATGTACACGCGGCCGAAGTGCAATGTCCAAGTATCTTAAGTTGTTGTAGAACGTCTGTAACTTGAACGCAGACTACGCCGGACTGCAGCGTGGTTTACTGGCCTCGGGAACAATCCCGCGTGCCTTCAGACGCTTAACTCATCCTAAAGCCTGAGGATGTGAGCCTCTCTGCTGTGCCCGCCCTGTACAAATCGCTCCGGAAAAGCTATGGTGCGGTGAACTCGACTGTCTCCTACGACGCGCTCCTCAATATCGGCATCTCGAGCTAGACTTTTCGTATTGCCCAGCAAGTGTAGTAACACCAGTGTTGCAGTGGGGGCTCCTGTATCCGATTTTGAAAACAGTATCGAAGGCGGGTCGATCAAACGAGGCTTCCTCCCGGCGCCGATTCGATAGTAATGCCCGTAAGTAAATAAATGCATACCGGCTCAAATTTTTCGTTGTACTATACGTCATCGAAGGCGTTGCCATCCACCTGCCACACGATGCCCCGAGTCAGAGCATCGGGGAAAGCGAGATACCTAGAAGTACCCGTTAGCTCGAGCGGGTCGGTCTCGCGCGAACACATACCGACAGCTATGAACAGCGTAATCGTTTCGGTGATGCCCTACACAGACATATCACTCCGGCATTAGCCATGATGGAATCCTATCTGCGCCATTAGGCCCAAGGGCGTCCTAGCGCATAGCTGCGTCAAATCTTAATGGACAAAAATGAGGTTCTTACTCACGTTGTCATTGTCGGACAGCATAAGGTCTTCCTCTAGTAGCATGCGCTCCATCGCACTGCCCTTGAGCTCCTCGTGGTTGCCAAAAGGCGTTTGTCTCTTCCACGCGGAATGTGCGTACCAGCGGCTCTTCGCGCCCCAAGCGCGGAAGCTAGAGTGGCGTGGCGGCCGTAACGAGATCATGCACTGGCCACCGTTGCTCACAAATACATACCGCAGAGAAGGGACGGCGTCCAACAACTCTTTGGCAAGCTGTTCGCTATCAAGATCGACAATGGCTTGGACGAAGTCCGTTGAGTATGGCCCTTGGTCGGCGTAGGCTTGGTGAGTGCTTTGGCTGATCCTGTAGTTGACGAATATGCGTAAGTGAGTAAGGTGTAGGCCGCGCACGGAGTTGATGATCTCCGCCTGAGAGTAGGGGAATTTCAGTTAGTTAACAACGACTATGCATTGTAGAGAATTGCAAACTTACAAGGAGGGGACTCCACTGCATCGTGGCGGCGCTGGGGTCTCTGCCGGTCCACTGCGAGGGGAATCTATTTCTCCACTGCGCGTTGGCATAGCTTAAGAAGAGTACCAGGTGGGTGAGCCTCGAAATGGATTCCGGGGGGAGCAAACCCTGAAGGACATCCCCGCCAAGATACAGTATGATCGAGAGCTTGAGGTGGGTCGGCGACGCGGAGCGTAGAAGTTCTGCCATATGGTTCCTCGTGCGGCTGCTGAGGTTTTCCACCATGAGATGACGCACGGGACATACGAGGCCAAGCACGTAAAGACCGAGCACGTCTCCGATGACCCGATCTAGATGCCTCCACGACCGTTGCGCCTGGTACACCTCGTTCAAGGCGCGGATGCGCTGTAGATTGGGCACGTCCGGGCTTTCTGGCACCCACGTAGGGACAGACAGCGTATCTTCAAGCGCCGGAAATTTGGATACGAGAAGATCCATGCGTATGTCCTTCCAGCAGTCGCCTACAATCGGCGCCTTGGACATCAACGAGCGCAAGCCAGGATATCCCGTTCCCTTGACATCCAGTTGAATCGGCGTCTTCCCTATGATATCGAGGACTTTAATTGTGGGCGCGAGATGACACAGGAGTGCGTCAAGTTGAGTGATCTTGATGCCGCGGTCGTCTTCATGAGAGGCTAGGGTGGGCAGTGTGTCCAACGAGATACGGAGAACACGGAGTGATGCGACAGAGTGCGTGAGCTTGACGATGGTTTTCATCTTATCGAAGGTGTCCAGCATCCCGAGATCGTGCAGGGTAGATATGCGGGTGATGGCGTCACATATTCTTGGATCCGCAAGGTACCTCAATGTTCTTTCCGGAGAAGGGAGGGTGAGAGACCTGAGGTGCGTTACGCGTTCCAAGAGGTCGAGTATAGCCTGTGCTGCCTCTTTCTGGCCTTGTTCCCACTGAGACAGGGTAACGGATCGAAATATGCTGATGTTCAGAGATCGGACGAAGGGGATGCGGGACTCCGGGTCGACCGACACAAACTCATGCATCAGCAAAACCGCCAGACGCTAATAAGCACACCGGAGTACTCACGAGCGCAACCGATTCGCCCGATCGCACCCAAACTTTGCCTTAACTCGCCATCGTTACGTCCCACTCGGGGCGTACCCGGGATTCGCTCGGAGTGATGGGAAACCTCGCGGGTAAGGATCACTATTGGGTACGATCCGCATAATTGTTAGCGAATGTATGCACACGGATGCAAGCCTGCCAATTGATACCAATTGGCAATATATACTATTATACAATTTCTAGTTCTGTCCAGACACTAGTAGCTGAACCGACCGCTGGTCTTTGAGGGCGATAGGTTTCATGCTTAGCAGCCTTTTGACAGCTATTTGGCGCAGGGCGTGAGAGGTATGAGAGACGGCATTGATGGCTGAAACGTTGTCGATAAAGTCACAGACAATTCCGAGGATATCCAGGTCAAGATCTGGGAGCGTGTCGTGGCACATCTTCAACCTTTTCAACTTCAAGTCAGCGGCTCGAAATTTCTTGACTGCGACGGCACGTTCGTATTTGAGTAAAGTGTGAGCCTGATGAAGATGAGGATGACAAGACTGAGATGCTGACCGTTCGCGTTACTCCTAGGTAGTGTTTCGTGCAGGAATGGGATCGCGATGAACGAGTGAGATAAAATGCGAAGCGTGTGAGCTCCACTAGCGCTGGCCACAAACACGTGGGATCTCCCATGAGGGGCAAGTAAGAAGGGTCCAGACGAATTGAACCACCTTGCGCTGAAGGCCACCGCTTTTGATATTTGGGATCGTGCCGATGCTGTGGACAAGGCGGAATGGAAGCTATCTACAGCGCGATTTGTGTGGCGCACGGGAGCCCGGCGAGGCTTCCTACTACCTACTTCGACAAAAGGGAAGGGGCGTCTGGAGACGCCGTGTTCTATTACGAGTATCAGTACGCAATTGGAACAGATGGGGATGGACTGACCAGATGTACACGGCAAAGGCTCGTCAATACGCCTGTGAGAATGAAATCCGGCCCTCGAACTACTTCACTCCAAGTCCCAAGCCGACGGTTCCCAGTCTGCAGTCTCTTCGATACTCCATTCGTGGTGCATTTCCATCATCCACTACGAGCAAAGCAGTCAGTAAATTGAGTTCGCCGCTACTCGCTCGACACCAGCTCACTTCGTCTTCTCGTGACACGAGTAGCCCTTCGTCCTCTACCGCCTTTTCGGCGACCTCGTCCCCCAGTTTTTTGAAGGGCCGGGAACCCGTCCGCGCCTTGCTTCCAAGCTCGGCACCTTCGCCTTCGACACTCGCCCAGCCAGACGACGCCATCCAGTGGCCCCTCAACCCGATCACAGTGCGATCCTCCTTGACCTCCTCGTCGTACTGCTGCACGCTGACTTCGTACTGGCCACCGAAGGTCAGGAAGACGTAGCGCAGGGTCGGGACGGCCTCCATCAGTGCTGCGGCGACGGAAGACGGGTTGTGCTCGCGTAAGCTGCGGACGAACCCCTTCGAATACGCGGGCGCGTTCTCGTCTACGAGGTCGATGTTGTAGTAGATGACAAGCCGTAGATGGGTGATGTTGAGATTCTGGATGGCACCGATCACCAAGTCCTGTGTGCAATGTCAGCAGAGCGACGGTGAAGGGCAAGAGAGCATTAGACGTACGAGAAAGGCCGCCCACTGGATGGCTGACAGCGTGAACGGGTCGATGCGGTCGTCTTCGTCCAAGTTTTCGTACATCACGAATAGCACGAGGTGCGTGAGCCGTGGAACAACCTCGACCGGGAAGGTCTCCTCGAACGCGCCCACTCCGTGGCTGAGAATAAGCGTCAGCTTCAGATGTGTCGGCAGAGAGTCGCGCAAGACCGCCACCAGCCGGTCCTTCAGGTGCGCGCAGGAGGAGTTGACCATAAGCGTGTCGATTGGGCATGTCAGTCCGAGCATGAACAGGGTGAGTGTGTCCCCGATGACGGTGCCCATCCTCTCCCAACGTACACCGCGCGCCTGTTCCCCCTTGTTGACGAGACGGACGCGCTGCTGCTCGGGGTCGTCGTCCACCAGAAGATGGTCGCCATCGCCTAGATCGAGCGTCAGGCGGAGGTTCGGAAACATGTGCACCAGGACGTCTATCCATGGCGGGCCCCTCGTCCCGAAAAACTCGACACTTTTCACCGCGAGATACTGCGGTCCCTTCGAGTCCGGGTCGAATTTGATCGCCCGCTCTGTCACACCAAGCGACTCGAGTGTTTGTGAAAAGGCCCCGATGACTTCATGTAGACGAGTAGGGGTGATCCATGTCATGCGCTCCGACGTCCAGATCTGTTTAAGGGATACGCGGAGGATTTTCAGTGGCGACCGGATGGTCAGGAGGATTTGCTCCGTGTAGCCAGACCATAGTGGGATAGAGAGCTCCTGGAGACGGGTCAGTTTCCCGATTGTCTTGTGTACATCCGGATTCCCAAGACACGCGAAGGTCTCTTCTCCGAAAGGTATATAGAGCCTCTCGAGGTATAGCGCGTGCTTGAAAATATCGACCACCAGCCGCGCCACAGCCACATAGCTCTCGTCGTCGACGTCTTCAATCGAAAGGTTGATGATACGGACGTATGGAGCCCGTGCGGATGTGTCGGCGAAGAGAAAGGCGTGGAAAGCGCGGATGGAGCGTTCATCGCGGAGGTCGACGGCCCGCACAGCAAGGACTTTCTTGGCAGAAATCTCGCGAAAGGCGTGGCAAGTCAATGAACATGAAAGAAGCGTCTGTAAGTCATCCACGAAGGTGAAGACGATGTCCAGAGAGTCCAGATCTAGGCGCATGGCCGAGCGCACTGGGACTGGGATGCAACGATAGATTCCTTCCGGCTGTTGGAAATGATTCGAAAAATTAGTCAAGGTAAATTCAATATATTTAGAGTGAGTGCTGGTGGTTCTCCTACCGAAAATCCTTGAACAACAGAACGTTCACGGCGGGAGCGCGCTGTGGGCGTTCAATGCAAGATGAGGTCCCGCCAAAGCTGGCGCCCATTCAACATGCTTCGGGCCGGTGTGAGTCCCAAAATGGTAATGTGGTTCGACTTGACGCGTGCACACGGGGACAAACTATGACTGTCAAATTACTCTTACTCTTTGTGTGGGACAAAGGAATTGTGAAATTTACCGTTTCATTGACGGTCTTGCACTCCTTCAAATGCCACAATTTGTTGTGTTGTTTTTATGCGAAGGAAGGCCGAGCCGGACTTTCCCGAATTGAGCACGCTGCCGCATTGGAACCGCCACGTGGGAGAAACGGTGACTACTTGAGTGCTGCTACTATAGTGACTGCCAGGCTACGGGTTGTTCCTTCTCCAATTCCACTCCTCCCTTGGCATCTCAATCTAGCTTAATGGTACACCGGCATCTGAGCCTCCAGGCTTGCTCCCATGACATGTCTTTGCTAGTGAGCACACTCAGGAGCGCAACTGGGATGCAGCGGTTTCCCTTTCGCTCATCTTCCTGCGTCTCTCGCGCACTCCGTGTCGTATCTCTGAAACGGCACCTTAGCACGGCCCAATAATTTTTTGCTCTGAAAGGCGAGAAAGCGGTCCGTGAGGTTCACGACTTTGTGTTCGCCCAACCGGAGTCGCGCCTCCCCGCTCTTCGAGGTCTGCACATCGACATCCCCAAGATCGAGGAACATGCTCGCAAAGAAACAGCACAGCGTATTCTGGACCTCCTCAAACGTGCGCCGAACCTCGAGTCTCTCACTCTGCCTGAGCCCAAGTGGACGTTCAAGCCCTTGCGGATCCCAGGATACCTAAGGCTATATCTCCCGGGTCGCCACCCTGCGCGAGCTCAGTCTGCTGGAGGATTGCGATGAAATGGCGTCAATTGTCACGTCAACACGTTCTGCCGCGTCCCTGCGCGTCCTTCGTGTCTCGCTGGCCACTCTACCCACCTCTGGCGGCGACTACGCTCTCAACTTAGCCGAGGTCGACGAGTTTCTACGTCACCTCATTCCCACTCTCGAAGTTCTCGAAATCACAGCACCTACGCTCAAGCTCGACGCCAAGGGGGTGCAGTATCCCTCTCTGCGCTTGTTTGTGGTTCCCTAAATCGACGAGGGCATCATACGCACAGATGTCCTCGTGTCCAAGTTCCCTGCGCTAACGTGAAATCGGCTCGGTGTATGGCGACCTGCAAGACGACGAGCCAAAGCAGCGGCGCATTCACACGTCGAACCAAGAGCGGCAGCAGAGGCGGTGTTGGAAGGGTCTCGATGGCGTCATGGGGGACGTCCCCGCGCTCTTTGTGCTGGGCCTCACATGCCCCGTGCGCTATCTCGTGGTGAATGGCCCCTACAGTGCCCACGATACAAGCAAACTGGCGGACATCCTGCGCGACACGACACCGACCCACCTCAATATGTCGAGCAACCTGCATCATGGCGACGACTTCCTTACGCATTTGTTCCCTCCCGAAGTCGCCCCGCAGTTGACACACCTGGTGCTCCTGCTCAAGTATCGCAATGATCAATGGAGAAACGAACAGAGCATAGACATCGTTAAAAATATGCAGTGGAACGCGGTCCTCGTGCGTTTCGAGTTCTGAATTTGCTCCTGGCTCTCGTGCTGACATTATAATCCTCGTATGTGTATCAGGGCAAGATAATAGACTCCATTCGCGCTCTTCGCCTCACCCACTTCCGTCTCTTCGTCCACTACGACATCGACCTGGAAGAGAACGTGTACTACGGGCCTTACTCTAAGGATCTCGTGCTTAGCATCGCAGAACTGGACCACGCCCACGTCGCCGCGCAGCTCATGGACGCCGTACCCTCGCTGGAGCACGTCGTCGTGAGTTCGGGCGGCCAGTTTGAAGCGTTTCCCGATGAGAGGCACTCGAAGCGCGGCCGCTGGTTTGCACACTCCGCATGGAAGCGCGTGTCCGGCGGACCTCCCGAGAAGCTCGACGAGGACGTGATGGAGCGCATGCTGCGCGAGCAGGACCTAGGGCTTTCCCACCGGGATGAGGTGAGTAGTGTGCGGTGTTTTCGAATAGTCTTGCCATCTCACATACGTCCTGTGTACAGTTCCAGTTGGGAATCCAGGACACCTGGGCCGCCGAGGAGACAACGCCATGGCCCCTCCCGGACTAGTACCTTGATCTCTCCTTCTGCGCAGAGAACAGAGACGACACGGTTCTGTCGATTCTCAAGAACACCACCACTCACTCACTCGCTCTCCCCGATCATGCACTATGTATGGGGCCCCTGCTTGAGATCCGCCGCAGTGTCCCTATGCCGGGTTGCTATCGAGCGTGGTCTGACCCGTCTCGGGTGGAATCATCTCTGCCGGCAACTTTCGTGGTAGCCACCTATGGTACATAGAGTGAAGCCAGCAAGATGCACAGTTATCCATGACAAATTGTCGGAGCAGGTTCGACCAGTAATTGACAGCTTTTCTCGTTTTATATAAGCACATTCGCGACCAGGTACGGTAATAGGATGCCCGAGACTGAGCCGAAACCCAAGAATGCGAAGGCCTGCTCGCGAACCGATGAAGATAAATCATTCATAGAGCACGACGCATGAATATCCGTCGCCGGAACAAGTTCGAATAGCCTTTCTAAGGACGCTGCCACAGCACCGCCACTCGACCTTGACGCAGCCGCTGGCGGCGGGTGCCACTGGCAGTGTCCTTCTCCCCACCACCAACCTCCGCCACTCGACCTTGTGAGGGGACAGGGTCTGCAGGTACACTAAGGTTCTGTACTATACACTTTTCTCACTGATCATATGAACACTGACATAATCACGTCCAGAATGCGACAAGCACTTAACTTAGACGTGTTGTGCCTCATTTGCGATTCACTCCACGACACGCCGACAGTCCTCTCTTTCTCGCTCGTCTCCCACAGCTTGCGCTCGATTGCGGTAAAGAGGCTGCTTAGAATGGAACCTGTCGGCCTTAGGAACGAACGGACCGTTCGCGGCTTTCACAGGTTCATCTTCGCCGACGCGCATTCCCGCCTCCCCTTGCTCCGAGCTCTCAACATCAGCTTAAAACGGGTTGTTGGAGAACAAACTCGCCAAGAAGTAGTCAAATGCGTACTGGACCTCTTGGAGCACGCCACACACCTCGAATCTCTCGTTCTTCCTTGCCCTAGACAGACCTTTCAAAGCCTTGCAGATCCAAGGATACCAGGAGCTATCTCCCGGATATCCACCCTGCGCGAGCTCTGTCTGCGAGGCGGATATCGCCATCGGGAGGGATCCACCGAGATGGCGGGTATCGTCAAGTACACGCGCTCCGCGTCGTGCTTGCGTATCTTGCGTTTCCCGCTGTCCGCTCTGCCCTCTACTTGCGGATACGGCTATGGTGTGAAGATTGCTGTTCTCGACGAGTGTTTGCATCGTCTCGCGCCCACACTGGAGAAACTTGTCCTTGAAATCTCGACGCCCGGGTCGATCCTGTTCGACACGAAGGGCACGGAATATCTCGCCTTGCGCTCCCTCACGATGGGCATCGAGGATGGCCTCGTGCGCATGGACATCCTCGTGCACAAGTTTCCTGCGCTGGACGGCACACTCGATGTCAGATCGTCTTGCATGCAAGACGATGAGCCAAAACAACAGCAGATCCGCGCGTCGAACCAGGAGCACCAGAAACGGCAGTCATGGAGACACCTGGATTGCGTTATGGGTAACGTGCTCGCCCTCTTCACGCTCGGGCTGACGTGCCCCGTGCGCCGTCTCGTGTTGGACGGCTTCCGCACCCACAAAAAGAGCCACCTAGTGGAGATTTTGCGCTCGGCGCCCCCGACGCACTTCAACCTATCGGTTTTGCTGGATCGCTGGAATGCCGACGATGGTCACAATGATGTCTTCCTGGGCCTGTTCCCTCCAGAGGTTCTCCCGAGGCTGACACACCTGGTGCTTGTCCTCGACTACGGTATCTTCCCGGAGAACGTGCGTGAGACTGATGCGGAAAGCATGCACTGGCACGCGCTGCTTGTGCGTTCCCATTCTCCTTCCTTCCTCTCATCGACGCGAACTAACCGCATCTCTCTGGGGCACTAGGCGGATATCATCAGCTCTATCAGCGGGCTGCATCTTACCCACTTGCGTCTGGTCGTCCACTACTGCATCGACCTGACCACCGATGAGGACGAGGACGAGGACGATCCAGTAGATTATTCCAAGGATTTCGTGCGCAGCATCGTCGACATCGATCACGAGCACCTTGCAACCGAGCTCATGGCCGCCATCCCCTCGCTGCAGCACATCTTTATAGGCACAGGAGGCTCGTTCGTAGTGGACATGAGGCCGAGCGAGCCTATTGTGAACGAGGACTGGCCTCATGGTTTTGACCCGCGGGGAGCGGGGACACGTGGCCGCTGGTTTGCGCATTCCGCGTGGAGGCCGTCATACGTCGGAATCCCCAGACGGCTACACACAGTCGAGATGGACCGAAAACTACTAGAGGAAGATCTAGTGCTGTCCAAAAACGACAACGTGAGTGGCACGCTCTGTGCGTACGAGCCCTGTGTGGGCCGCAGGTTGGCGTTGAAAGCTCACACAGTTGTAATCTAGTTCTCACTGGGGTTCCAGAAGACATGGAGCGCGGAAGAAACCGCACCATGGCCCCTCCCGGAGTGATACCTCTTTCCTTGAACCTGAGACATTATGGCCCTGTCTCTCATATATCTTATGTTCCTGCCTGATATCGGCTACACGTTTGTCGACGCCGCCGAGGTCGGGCGACGCCGTGTAGTCACTAGAGGACGTGAAAATGCATACACCCCCATACAGTTGCATAGCCTACAGTACTTGCGTGTTTCATCTCATTTTGGAGTCAGCACAAGTGCAGGGTAAACGAGCAAGAGTGGAAGAAAGACTCGTGCAAAATGGCCGAACCAATTCGAATTGCCTATCTGAGCCTCACTCGGCACCGCCACCGCAGTTGTCATGGTGGTATCGCTATCGTTCGTGTCCCCTCCTGTCCTCCCGCTCCCGCTGGCCTCCCACTCTCCCCTGTGCAGAGGTATTGGTTACTCCACTGTGATCTGCAGGTATTCTGTAATCGAGCGCTCTAGACGTTTTCACTGATCATATGAACAGAACCGCGATCAGAATGCGACAAGCACTTGATCTGGACGTGTTGGGCCTGGTTAGCGATTCACTCCTTGACACAGCAACAGTCCTCTCGTTCTCGCTCGTCTCTCGCGCTCTGCACCCGGTCGCCGTAAAGCGGCTTCTCAGCATGAAGCCCATCATCCTGAAAGACGAGCACTCGGTTCGCACCTTCCATGCGTTCATCTTCGCCGATCCGGAGCCCCGCCTCCCCTTCGTCCGAGCTCTAAATATCGATATTCCCAAACTTGCGGGGATAGCTCCGAGTCGTGAGGAAGCCGCGTCCTGTGTACTGGAAATCCTGGAACGCGTCACGCACCTCGAGTCCCTTGTTCTGCCCTTTCCCAGATGGACGTGCCTAAACGACAGCAGAATACTCCAGGCTATCGTGCGGCTCTCTACCCTGCGCGAGCTCGGGCTGCTCGAGGGATGCCCAGAAATATCAGAAATCGTCAAGTCTACGTGCTCCGCCTCGTCCCTTCGCGTCCTACGTGTCTCTCTGGACAGACTGCCTACCTCTGGGGATGATTTTGGCCTCAAGATGGCCGAAATCGACGCCTTTCTGCACCACCTCATACCCACGCTGGAAGTCCTCGATATCAGAGAGACGACGTTGGTGCTCGATGCGAAGGGCGCGGAATACCCTGCCCTACGCTCGCTCGTGGCGTGCATCGAGGAGGGCATCATTCGCACGGACATACTCGTATCCAAATTCCCTGCGCTGGACGGTACACTTGGCGTCGGCTCAGTGTATGGCGCCCTGCAATCCGACGAGCTAGAGCAGCGGCGCATCCGCGCGTCGAACCAAGACTCGCAGAAGAAGCGGCGCTGGAAGCACCTGGATTGCGTCATGGGCGATGTGCTCGCGCTTTTCGTGCTCGGCCTCACATGTCCCGTGCGCTACCTCATGGTCCACGGCTTTTGCGGCCACCAAAGGAGCGAGATGGTGGACATTCTGCGCGCAACGCCCCCCACTCACCTCAAGCTGTCGACCATACTGTACCACGGTGGCGACGTCTTCCAGGACTTGTTCCCGTCGGAGGTCATTCCGCGGCTCACGCACTTGACGTGGGTGCTCGAATATGCCAATCCGCCGGCGGACGACGAACTGAGCGACGGAGATTTTGTTCAAAATATGCAATGGAGCACCTTTCTCGTAGGTTTCCTCATTCATTGGGATATGAATCTACGCTGACTGACCTATAACTTGGGATATACAAGACGAAAGTCGTCGCCTCTATCTGCGCGCTGCGTCTCACCCACTTCCGACTTTTCGTACATTACGACATCTGTCTCAACGACGCAGAGTATGTGCCACACTCCAGGGACTTCGTTCGTAGCATGGCCAATCTCGACCACGCACGCCTCGCGACTGAACTCATGCACGCCGTCCCCTCACTGCGACATGTCTTTCTGAGCATGGGGGGGCAGTTTGATGTAACGCCCGACGACCCCGACGTGCGGCGGCAGACCCGTGGCCGCTGGTTTGCGCATTCTGCGTGGAAGAATGCGCCTTCCGGACCTCCCATGCGGCTCGACGCGGACGTCATGGAGCGCATGTTGGTGGACGAGGACCTGGTGCTGTCGGACGACGACAACGTGAGTGTTGGCGTACTTTTCCCATGTGGCCCGAGCGGGTCGCGCGATGACATTTTAAGCTGATACGCCCGTGCTCTAGTTCTCGCTGGGGTTCCAAAGAACCTGGAAGGAGGAAGAGACGGCGCCTTGGCCCCTCCCGGAGTGATGCATCCTCTCCCAGGCTCGGACGGGCATGGTGCGATCGATTGTGGGCCCTATATGTTTCTACATGTTATCTACCACAACCGCCCCATAAAAGATAGCTATCGAATGTGGTGGGGCACCTTTCTTCTTAGGCTCTTGTATCTCTGGTACAATATGTGGCTGATAGCATGCCTAGTGTGCCCAATCAGGAGGGCAGCACAGTTAGTACTTGGTATGAAGACGGTTAGGATAGGGCGCATGCGTGGAACGGTGACATGTTCATGAGATGGATGGGGGCGGAAGGACATAATTTCTTCGTAGAGCGAATCCTTGAACTGTTCGCGGCTGATATCATCCTTGCGCCCTAGTACTGGAACTTGAAGCTATTCAGCATTTCCCTGCCTTACGAGTTAACATCCTGCCTGTCGCCCAGTCCGAGGTGGAATACCAGCGCACTTGGGCCGAACCTGACGAGACGGCAAGAAAGTGATCAATAGAACGAAACAGATCGCATGTATTGCTGCTGTGTATCTTGTTCCCCGGGCTGAGATCTACCAGCTCAGCGGCCTCCGACATTGTACGCCGATCCAGTGGAGCCTCTTGCCGCGCGGGGCGCCCGTCCAGAAAGCACTCGAATCCAGACATCTGATCCAGAGGAGAATGCGTGTCGTCGGTGTATTGCTTTGATTTGCTTTGCGTGCGTGTGGATACCGTACAGAGGACAGGAGAGGACAGGGGACAGAGGGAACCGATCTATCAGACACCAGACAACCCGAGCTCCACGCTCAAACCCCTCAGACGATATGACGTGAAGAAAGGACGGCGCGCAGCGGCGTCGACGGGGCGAAGGGCAGACGTGGCTGTGGTGGGGGTACTACATTTTCGGACTGGGGGAGGTATCAGCCGGCTGCTTGCGAACAGGAAACGCGTCAGCGAAGCGCTCAAGAGGGGAGAGGAAAGGCGGAGCTCACGTATATAAAACAAGACAGCACAGTCAATGGGGGACGACGGGTAGTGTGGGCATGCGCGCGTGGTGCGGCGTGTTCATGAGATAGGCGGGGGGCGGAACGACATGATCTCCTCGTAGAGCAGCTCCTTCAGCTGCTCACGGCTGATGTCGTCCTTGTGCACTGGAAGCCCGTCAGTGCTGCCGATCAGACAGGCGCGGGGAAGGCGGACTCACGATCGAACTCGAAGAACTCGGGATCAAGAGGCGGCGCGCACGGCTCGTCATCAGGATCGTGCTGTGACAGATGAGATGGGTCAGACCGGCGCGACGCGCACACGATAGATAGACGCACGTATGCCTCCAGGTATGGGTGCGCGAGCGCGTCTTCGACCGTGATTCGCTTCTTCGGGTCGAACGTCTAAAAGTACCCAGGGCGATTAGGTTCCGCAGACGATGGCAAAGATAGCGGCGCAAAGATAGCAGCACGCACCAGTGTCCGCGTCAGGAAGTCGACTGCGAGCGGGTTCGCGTTCGGGAATAGCTGCGCGAACGGCTTGCGTTTCCGGAAGGGGAGCGCGCGGATGTAGTCGCGCGACCGACGCGTGGTGATCGCGTAGAACTCATCCAGCGTGGGCGTGCCAAGCACGTCCAGGATGAGCGTGAGCTGATGGTGGTAGTCGCGGCCGGGGAATAGTGGCTTTCCAGAGAGCATCTCCGCAAGGATGCAGCCCACTGACCAGATGTCGATTGCCTGGTTGGCAGATACTCCACATGAGATGAATGTATGGCAATGCGATAGATGGAATGCGCACCTTCGTGTACTGCTTGAAGGTCAACATGATCTCGGGCGCGCGATACCACCGCGTCGCGACGTATTCCGTCATGAACCCGGTTTCCGTTCCGGACGGCTCGGCTGTCTTTACTGACCGCGCGAGACCGAAGTCGCAGACCTTCAGATCACAGTTGGCGTTCAACAACAGGTTCGACGGCTTGAGATCGCGGTGGATGACATCCGCGGAGTGCAATGCCTTGAGGGCACGGAGAGTCTGATAGATGAAGTATTGTGCGTGGTCGTCCGAGAGGTCCTGCGTGCGAATGACGCGGTGCATGTCGGTCTCCATCAGTTCTTGGATCACTGCGACGCGCGGTGAGCTCATGCTCGGTGCGGGCATATCTAGGCATCGAATCATACGTACAGTAGACTTCCTTGAACTGCTCTATGGATGGCGGCTTGATGATATCCAAGATGGAGATGATCTGGGAGGGGTCAATACAGGCGCGCGACATATTCCAGTGACTTGCAAGCCCAGCCTGTGGACTTTACGGCTTCTCCTAGCACAAATCCGCTACAGCTGAGACACGAAGCATCGCCGCTCATATGTAGTAGTACTTCTGGAAGGGGCTGCCCTCGCCTACGCTCATCGCTTGAGAGCGCAGGCTGGGCTTTGGGAGTGCTTGGAGCTCGGCCCGACACCTTGATGGCCCGAGGCCGGGATTGCAAGTCACTGACATGAAGAGGGAAGGACGTACGTTCTCGCTGACACCGGCCTCACTGAGGAACTTGAGCAGCTTGAGTTCGCGGAGGGTACGGAGACAGAACATGGAGTGGTCGAAGGGGGCGATCTTCTTGATGGCTACCTTGCGCCCGCTTGGTCTGTGGATCGCGGAACAGACGATGCCGTATGCGCCCTCGCCGACGACGTCGAGGACCTGGTACTGGGTACCTGTTCTCGAGCTTCCATCGCTGCCTCCTTCGCTGCCAGTTCAAGGACTACGCACCGACATTGAAGCGCACTTTGCGCGGCGCGGGTTGTGCCTGCGATGCAGCGTGGCTATGTTTCGACTTCGCTGCCGCCGCCGCTGGCTGGGCTGCTGCTTGTGCGTGTTCAGGCATGATGGGTCGTAATGGGAGGTGGTGGGAGAGACGAGACGGGCGTCGCTGTCGTCGTCGTCGCGGAGCGGATGGGAGTAACAAAAGAAAGGGGAGGGTGGGGGAAGGACTATATAGAGCCGGTCTTGTTGTCTGCGCGGCGTGAGCCGGCCGCGCGGTTACCGCTGACTTGGGCCTTGTTACTGGGGCAACGCCCTTCCGTTGCCTGGAGCTGCCTTTCGCACCGTGATCTGCACCGCGGAACTCCTCTTCCCCACCATTTCCAATCGAATCAGATTCGTCGTGCGTGCGCCGTCGCGGAGAGTCGGACGGTGAGCATTTGCGTCCAACGCCGACGCCGACAGCGACGGCGCCTATCTCGTCTTCATTGACACTGATCAGCGCGGGGCAGACGCCTGCGAACGCCCGTTAAATGTGGCCCAAAATGATTGCGTGCTGTAAGTCCGTGTCTTTGCATGCTTGGGTGAAGATGGCACGCTAATGTAGGCAGGGCTGGACAGTGCGGGACGTGTAAGGCCATGGCAGGACGTCCACATACGCCTGCGCCAGCCCGTAGTAACAGGAGTACATCTTTCCTTGGGTGAGCTCATGAACTTCGAAGGCCCGACTTCCGTTGCTTGTCTTCCAAAACCTGCTATCGCATATATTGCACCCGATCGCGTATAGCCAAATGGAGTCTAAGGAGACCTTCGCAAGAAGACTCGGCGTCTCCTCATGGATCAAGTCAGACACCGGCAGCAGCTCAAGCATCAGCCCCGCGCGACTCATCTGTCGCCGCAAGTGACACTGTCCATGCTTGGACAGTTTGATACGGATGGTGGAGGTGAGTATTGGATTGTCCGAATGCCCGATTGCCTCGCTGTCCTGCACACAGGTTCGTGCTCAGACAGACGGGGTTTTCAAAGACCGACTCGAACGCGAAAGCGAGCACACTGCTACGTCCCACACACCCTCGTCTCTACTCACGCTTTTCTGATTTACGCTGACTACTCCACAGATCGCTGGTCCGGCGGCACACACTCCTCGAGGCGTCAGCCTGCTCGTCCTAGACATAGACATATGGGCGCTAGTCGCGTTCTCGAGCAAGGCCGCCAGTACTGTCGTCCTCCCACCAGCTGTTCAAGTAACCGTACGTTCACTCTATAGCCAGACGTGCATGTCGGTACGCAGACCCGCATTTCCCACTCCTATCTCGCCGGCCTCGGGCGGACGTCATCGTATATGAGAGCTTACCTTCCTCTCTAGGGCGATCATCGCTGTCACCTCCGCCTGTGCCAGACGTGCTGTAACGTACCCTCCAGGCGGCGCAGATGCTGTCGCGGCCGCTCGACACACCCCTAGCCATGGGCATGCACACTGCGACCTCACGGCACCGCGTGAGAGAGCCCATCGCCTCCCGACGTTCGTCGCCTGGCGACGCGGACTCTCGTGATACGGCCTGTCTGCGCGTGCGCCGGTGCGTCTTCTATCATCGCGCTGCAGCACCCCTATCCACGCGTTGCGTCACGGTGCTGCATCCCTGCGGGCTGCGGTGCTGCGCTGTCCGCGCTGTCGCGTCTATGTACATAGGTACCCGTCTTGGGAAGACGGATACATTCAATAATCGGAGACGCTGTATTCCCCGATGTCGGTGACGATCACGGACCAGGCGCAGCACCCCGGGAACGTTTATATATGCCGACGGGGACATGATATCACTGTGCGCCGGTCGCAGGGACTGGTCGGGACTACTAACATCATGCGGGAATTATGCCGTCGGCAGCGAAGACTTCGCTCATACTGCGAACAGGTAGCGCCTCCAACCACAATGCGCTGTGGCCGCCATGCGTGTGCAGGCCCGGAGTAATATCGAAATCGGAACTCCGATGTGGCCGTCGAGATGTTAGCGAACCACCCTCGCGTATCAAGTACAGGGACGGGTGAGTCGCTGTGCATCACCGCGCGCACATTGATCGTCATTGCTAGTGCTACAGCATCGCGCGCATGCCGACCCTGTTGTGTGCGGGCGCGGGGCAGGGGAGTGCACTGGGGCGCGGTCGATAGCTATTTGACCTAGGATCATTACGGTCAGTCGGCTGCCATCGAGCACCAGGATCACGTACCAAACGCCGATGAGGGACGTCATTCAAGTTGCGGGGATTCCGGAAGGGGTAGCGGCACCGTCGCGTCCTTGGCCCAAGGATTTTCAATCTGGAACCCAAGGGCGTACTACAGTACGTCCGCGTTGAGTTGCGAGACCTCGTGAAAGCATAGTGCGTCGCTCACTTCGTCGCTTTTGGACAGTAGCAAGTCTTCATCTGGCAGCATCTGCTCCGCGCTGTCCGCATCGAGCGTCTCGGGGATTCCGGAGGGCGTGCGCTTCCACGCAGAGTGCGCGAGCCAGCGGTCCCATTTCTTGTACGGGCCGGACGAGTACTCGCCACCTTTGCTCAGGAAGACGCACTGCAGCGAGGGCATGGCCGTCATGAGCTCCGCGGCGAGGTGTGCGTGGTCGAGGTCGACGATGCCGCGGACGAAGTCCTTGGTTTCCGATTTGAAGAAAGGGTCGGTCACGTCGACATTGTAGTGCACCAGGAGACGGAGACAGGTAAGGTGTAGGATGCGGATGGAGCCGATGACCTTTTGCTGATATGCCCCGGGAGTATGTACTCAGCTCACGGTCACGAAACAATGAGAAATGGGGAACGTACGAGCAGCTCTGTCCATTGTACGGGTTGAAACGCACTCTCCTGCAGGTATCTTCCCCCAAAGGTGCACTTCAATACAAACACCAGGTTCGTCAGCGTCGGGACCACTTCCGGTGGGAACAGGTCCTCGAGGAAGAGGTCATCGCCGGTGCCATACACTGTGGTCGTCAGCTTGAGGCAGGCCAAGGGCGTTGCGCGTAGAACCTCCGCCATCTGGTCCTTCGTATCGTGGCAGACGTCATCCAGCATGAGGTGCCGCACGGGGCAGATGAGACCGAGCCCAAAGACGGTGACCACGTCTCCGATCACGCGATCCAGGTGTGTCCACGACCGCCTCCTTTGCTGCTCCTGGTTGAAAGCGCGCATCCGCCGCTGCGCCTGCCGGTCTTCCCGCCCGACTTGGTATATTCTACCGACGCCCAGCGTCCCATCCAGCGCAGGGAACTTGTGTATGAGGATATCCGCCCGGAGGAGCAAGTTATGCTGTTCGCCAGCCATCAGCGTGCGCACGGCGGGATATCGCGTGCCCGGAGTGTTCTCGTAGTCTATGAACCCTGTTGTGATATCGAGGACCTCCAGTGTGGGCGCAAGATAGCGCAGCAGCTCGTCAAGGTGGGAGGACGCGACGCGGCGTTCGTTCTCCTGGGTGAAAACCAGGTCGTTCACCGAGATACGGAGGACGCGAAGGGTCGCGACGGAGCGCGTAGACGTGACGATCTCCTGCATTTCATTGCAGGCCCTCAGCAGCCCGAGCTCGCGTAGGGTGGTCAGCCGGGCGATAGCGGCGGGGATTCTTGGATCTAAGTATGAGGCATCGGAACGTCCAAAAGGGATAGGGAAGGCTGAGAGAGTCGGGGTGGGTGGCGCGTTCCAAGAGCTCAAGTAAGCACTGCACTACTTCTTGACGCACTTCTTGCTCCACCTCGAAGATGCTGATGTTTAGAGCTCGGACGAGGGGAAGTCGGGACTGCGGATCGGCGAAGATGCATGCATGATAGGTACGAATTGCGCGCTCGTTCTTCAGACCGACGGGCTTCACTGCGCTGAGTAGTCTTTTGATCGCCATCGGGTGAAGAGCGCTACAGACGAGCGAGAACGAAAGGACAGTGTTTGCATCGTGGATCGACTCGCAGATGAGGCCCAAAACGTCCAAGTCAAGCAGTGGTTTTTGCATTTCGGTCGCGGGTTTGTCCAAGATCGCTATCGTATGTTAGGTATGAGCGAAGAGGGTTCAGACAGTCGTACAGGGGAACGTACCTGGAGGTGCAATGCGATGGACCGCCAGACGCCTGCCGAAACCCACAGGAAACGAAGGGTGTGGGTGCGAAGGTAGCTACACAGTCACAAGCGAAGTCAGTTCACCGCCGGCGGACCGCATCCAGTCCACCGTGATCTCTATCAAATGACTAACACGTAACGACCCACGTAACGGCTCCTCACTTTCTCCTGCAGTATGCGTATGCAGTATTGTACCCGCCGTAGGACCCCCCGAGGGCTTTAACAGTAGTACGTCAGTAGGATGACCGGCGAGTCCAAACTTTGATGTGTATACCGCGTCTGCGGCGTAGCCAGTTTCATTGTCAACCTTGAAATTGACACATCAGCAACTCTTCCTAAATCTCCTGACTTCGCCCTTTTGTGCTTGCGTTCGATCACAATCAATAGCTTTTCAATCAATTATCTAATCAAGACATGAATTCAGAACATACGAACGACAAAACCCCAGGATACGCGCATGGAGAAATGCATCACTCCGGAAGGGGCCATGGCGCCGTTTCCTCCGCGCCCCAGGTTTGCTGGAACCCTAGCAAAAGCTGGTGCACAACCGCGTCAGATTGCATCGAAACAGGGTGCACGCCACCGTTACCCCGCTGCGTGCAGAAAGGGTATGGGACTCACGTCGTCGAGATCAGATAGCATCAGGTCCTCGTCCTGCAGCATCTGCTCCATGACGTCCGCATCCAGTGGCATCAGGGTCTCTGTGCGCGGAGACGCGCCGCCCGTGTTGCGCCACGCAGAGTGAGAGAACCAGCGCCCACGTCTCTGGCTCTCCATCGGAGGCTCACCTACCTCGAACTCGCCGCCCGTGCTCACGAAGACGTATTGCAGTGAGGGGACAGCGTCCAGGAGATGCGTGGCGATCTGGGTGTGGTCGAGGCCGACGATGCTGCGGACAAAGTCCATGGAGTACGGCACACGGTCCTCCTCCTCATCCGTTAGGTCGATACGGTAGTGGACAAACAAACGCAGGTGGGTGAGGCGCAGTGCGCCGATAGCGTCGATGATCTTCGTCTAGTGAGTCCCAGGATGTTGCGGGGTTAATGTGCGATCTTGAGAAAATGGGAATGCGGGCGTACCAGAAGCGTGCTCCACTGTGCCTTTCCAACGACGTCTACGTCCTGATCTTCATCGTCCACCTGGAGGTTGGTATACACGAGCAGAAGCACCAGGTGAGTCAACCTTGGAGCAACTTCCGGCGGGAATAGCTCCTCGAAGATGTCGGTCCCGTAATATAGTACAGTCGACAGCTTAAGACAGGCGGGGGGTGTCGTGCGCAGAACATCCGCCATCTGGCCCTTCTTGTGGACGCCGAAGCCGTCCACCATGAGATGGCGCACGGGGCAGGTGAGCCCGAGCACGAAGAGCCCGAGTACGTCTCCAGTGGCACGATCCAGGCATGGCCAACCCCGGTGCTTGTTCTGCCACTCCTGGTTCCACGCGCGGAGGAGCCGCTGATCTTGTACATCTGCTTGCAGCTCGCCCTCGACCACTAAGCCGACACCCAGCCTGAGCAGCGCAGGGAACTTGGATACGAGGGTGTCCGTGCGTACCATGCCTTGCTCGATGTTTGCTGCAAACGAACGCAGGGTTGGATATTGAGCCCCAACCGCATCTAGAACCACCGTCGCCTCTCTGATGTCGAGGATTTCGAGTGTGGGCGTGAGGCCATGCAGCAGCGCGTCAAGATCGGTGATTTTGATGCCATGGGCGCCACGCCGACCGGAGATGCGTAGATTGGACAGCGAGACACGGAGAATACGAAGAGACGCGGCGGAAGACGTAGATTTCACGATTGAGTCTACTTCGCGGCAGTCTTCCAGCAGATCGAGTTCGCGCAGGGTGGACAGCTGGGCGACAGCCTCTGGTACCCTTGAATCTTCGAGGCATCGAAAAGTCCGCCTAGGATAGGGAAGAGTAAGAGTCTCGAGGTGGGTGGCGCGTTCCAAAACATCCAGTATGAACTGTGAGATGTCCTGTACATACTGGGTCTCAACTTCGGTGACGCTGATGTTCAGAGCCCGGAGGAACGGGAGACGGGACTCTGGGTTGGCCAAGATGAATGCGTGGAAGGTTCGAATCGTCCGTTCGTCCTTCAGGGAGACGGGCTCCATGTTGAGCAAGCGTTTCACCGCAATATCGTGCAGAGCATGGGAGACTAGTGAGAATGAGAGAACAGTTTGTGTGTGACGGATCGAATGGCAGATGAGTTCCAGCACGTCCAGGTCAAGCAAGGGTGGTTGCGGCATCCCGATTGTGATTCAGTCCCCTAGTACCATCTATTAGTGAAGAGAGTCTGCAGAGCTCTGAATGAGAATACCTACAGACCAAGCCTACAGATGAGCGCAAGGTGTTGTAGAGTGGCGGGATGACGGTAGCGACAGTGGCACCATGACTGCGGCGCCCAACTGGGGTGGCGGTGCCGAGTGAGGCTCAGATAGGCATTTCGAATTGGTTTGACCATCTTGTATAAACTTTCCTTCCCCACTCTTGCTCGTTTACCCTACACTTATGCTGACTCAGAATGGGATGATACACGCAAGTAATATAGGCTATGCGACTGAGTGGGGGTGTATGCATTTTCACGTCTAGTAGCGACCACACATCGCCCGACCTCGGCGACGTCGACAAATTTGTAGCAGATATCAGGCAGAAACATACAGTATATGAGAGACAGAGCCATGATGTCCCCGGTGCATCACTCCGGGAGAGGCCATGGAGCGGTTTCCTCCGGGGCCCAGGTACAGTGGAGTTCCAAAAAAAACTGTACATGGATTGCATGTGAGATGGAAAGACTAGACGCAGGCAGCGCAAGCTACTCACTTCATCATTGTCAGACAGCCCCAGGTCTTGCTCGCGCAGCATGCGCTCCATCACGTCCTCGTCGAGCTTCTCCGGAGTCTCACCGGCCACGCGCTTCCATCCGGAATGTGCAAACCAACGGCCGCGTGTTGATAGCATCTCGTCGGGGAATGCATCAAACTGGCCGCCCGCGCTTACGAAGACATGCTCCAGCGAGGGTACGGCGTCCATGAGCTGCGCGGAGAGGTGCGCATGGTCGAGCTCCGAGACGCTGCGCACGAAGTCCTTGGAGTAAGGCCCATACATCTCGTCCAGGTCGATGTCGTAATAGACGAAGAGACGGAAGTGGGTGAGGCGAAGAGGGCGAATGGAGTCGATTATTTTTGCCTAATATATATACCAGGATCATGATGTCGTCAGTACCACATTCAGGGGTAAATATAAAGAGCTGAAAACGCACGAGGAGCGGGCCCCACTGCATGTTTTTGACAGCGTCCCCGTCGCTCTCTTCGTCGTCCACCGCCGGATTGGAATACCGGAGCAGGAGCGCCAGGTGTGTCAGCCGCGGGACCGTTACGGGCGGAAACAGGTTCGCGAAGAAGTCGTCGCCGTGATACAGGATGGCCGAAAGTTTGAGGTGGGTCGGGGGTGTCGCCTGCAGGATGTCCGCCATTCTGCTCTTCTCGTGGCCACATAAGCTGTCTACCATGAGATGGCGCACGGGACATGACTCTGTGAGGCCGAGCATGAAGAGCGCGGGGACGTCCCCAAGAACGCGATCGAGACCCTTCCAACACTGCCTCTTCTGCCGATCTTGGTTCGACGCGCGGATGCGCCGCTGCTTTGGCTCATCGTATGGCAGCGCACCAGACACCGAGCCGATATTGAGGGTGCCGTCTAGCGCAGGAAACTTGGACACGAGGATATCCGTGCGTATGGTTCCCCCCTCAATTTCCGGGACCATGAGCGAGCGCAGCGCGGGATATTGCACTCCCTTCGCATCGAGCTTCAGCGTGGGCGCTCTGATGTCGAGGACCTCGAGAGTGGGGATCAGGTGGCCCAGAAACGCGTCGACCTCGGCCACCGTGAGAGCGTAGTCGCCGCCAGAGGTGGGTAGAGTGGCCAGCGAGACACGGAGGATGCGCAGGGACCCGGCGGAGCGCGTCGACGTGACGATTGACGCCATCTCGTCGCACTCCTCCAGCAGCCCGAGCTCGCGCAGGGTGGATATCTGGGAGATAGCCTCGGGTATCCTCTTGTCCGCAAGGGACTCGAACGTCCACTTGGGCTCGGGAAGAGTGAGAGACTCTAGCTTCGGCGCACGTTCGAGGAGGTCCAGAATGCGCTGCGCTGTTTCCACGCGAGCATGTTCTTCGATCTTGGGGATGTCGATGTGGAGACCTCGCAGGGCGGGGAGGCGGGAATCTGGTTGGGCGAGCACATATTCGTGGAGCTCACGGACCGACTGCTCGTCCTTAAGAATAAAAGGCTCGCGGGCTGTGCTGAGATGCCGTTTTTGAGGTACAACGTGACGAAGGACGTAAGAGACGCGTGGAAATGAGCGAACGGGAGACCACTGCATCCCGGTTGCGCCCCTCAGCGTGCTCGCTAGAAAAGACATTCTATCAGAGCATGTGTGGAGACTCGAATGCCCAGGTGTCCTAGATTGAGATGTGGCGGGAAGAGAGGAGGAGGAGAAACCACTGCCAGTAGCTAGCGCCCAACATCACCCACCACGTGGCGGTCCTGTATGAGGATTTTGCAAAACCCCCAGAATCCCTCCACACGTCGCCTCCGGTCGCAAAAATTCAAAGCGGAGAACATTAATGTGATTATACTGATTTTATGCTGGTTGATTCTTGTGGCTCGCATTTGTTGTTCCGAGGATTGTGCAAATTTGAACCACATTACCATTTTGGGATTCATGTTGAATGGGCGCCAGCTTGGGCGGCGTTCCCTCATCTCCCAAACGTCCACCTCTCGCCGTGAACTTCGAGTGTAAACGTTGACTTGATAATTGTGGTAGGACTCAAAGATGTTATATTTGAAACTGGCTGACCTTCCGAATCAACAGCCAGAAGAAATCAGTCATTGCATCCTAGCTCAGATCGAGCCACGTTCCCAGCGCGCTTGGCCATGCGTCTAGATCTCGACACTCTGGAAATTGTCTGCACCTTCGTAGAGGACCCACAGACGCTTGTTTCATGCTCATTAACTTGCCACGCATTCCGCGAGATTGCCACCAAAAGACTTCTCGCTGTGCGAGCCGTCGACCTCTGCGATGAACGCTCCATCCGCGCCTTCCACACCTTTCTCTTCGCCTCCACAGCCGCGCGCTCTCCCTACGTCCGTATAATCAACCTCCTGGTCGAGAATGTCGACGCACGGAGCCGTATGGCGGTTGCGCAGTTGGTGGTCGACATCCTGAAGCACGCGCCCTTTCTCGAGCGACTGTCTATCCCTTTCGGAGAGCAGACCTTCATGTGTCTTCGGCATTTGGATATCCACAAGGCGATCGGGAAACTGACTCGTCTCCAAGACCTCTCCATCCCCCTCTGGTCTGGCTACACGGAGCAGATCCTCCTTACCATCCGTTCGCCTTTGAAGATCATCCGCGTATCCCTCGAGGCCATTTGGACCTCAGACCGCACCGAGTGGATCACGCCCGACCGCCTCCACGAAGTCGTCGGCGCCTTTTCACAGACTCTCGAATCGCTCAGTATAACACAGCGGCCGATCAAACTTGACCCGGACTCGAAAGGCCTGCCATATCCCGCGGTGGACAGCGTGGAGTTCTCCGGTACTGCGGGCCCGCCATGGGTGGACGTCCTCGTGCACATGTTCCCGAGCCTCGGTCTGACTCTCAATCTCGGCGAGGGCGACTACATGCTAGTGGATGAAGATGCCGAGCAGCAGCGCATCCGCCTCGCTAACAAGGAGCACCAGGCGCGCGGCGCGCGATGGGAGCGCCTGGGAACCGTCGTCGGGGACACGCTCACGCTGTACATGCTCGGCCTGACGTGCCCGATCGGCAGGCTTATGGTCGACTCCTCCAGCGCGCACCTAAAGGACCGGCTGGTGGAAGTCCTGCGCGACTCCCCGCCGACGCATTTGAAGCTGACGATCATGCTCAGCCACGGGGTGGGCGCGTTCGAGGACACCTTCCCGGTCGAGGTCGTCCCGCGGCTCACGCACCTCGTTCTGTTCGTGATATACGACAACCTGGACGAGGACGAGCGCACCGACCGGTTCACGGTGTCGGCCATGCAGTGGGCGGCGTTCCTCGTATGTCCTTCGCTTTTCCCTCCTACGTCAACGCTCTGCTGAGACTTCCCCCGCAGGAACTGGTGATCTGCGCCATCCGGCACCTCCGTCTCACCCACCTCCGGCTCGTCATCTACTACAACGTCGATCTCACAGGCGAGAACACAGTCGGGTACTCCAAGGGATTCGTCCGCAGCCTGCGCGAGCACAAATCATCCTCGATCGCCGCCGCGCTGATGGAGGCCGTCCCCACGCTGCGCTATGTCTTCCTGACTTTCGGCGGCCATTACGAAGTCCGTGCATCGCAGAAAGACAACTGGGTTGACGAGGATCGTGCGGCGATTGAGATGAGGGGGCAATGGATGAAGTCGTCTGGCTGGGCGAGTGTCGGAGGTGAAGGTGCCGAGGATGGAAGCAGGGCACTGGCGGGTGCTCAGCCCTTGAGGGTACTAGAGGATGAGGTCGCCGAAAAGATGATAGAAGACGAAGGACTACTCGTTTCACGACAAGACGAAGTGAGGTGGCACCGGACGAGCAGTGGCGAACTCAATTTACTGACCGCTTTGCTTGCAGTCGATGATGGAAATGCCCTACGAATGGATTCCCGAAGAGACCGCGGACTGGGAACCGTCAGTGTGAGATGTGGAGTGACACTCGAGAGCCGGTTCTACTTTCTAAATGCACTTTTACGAGCTATTGCAGTGCGATAAGGGTCAGCAAGCCCCCATGTGTACCGATCACGTACTGACCACATTATAGGATATGCGACCCAATTTTGAGGACAGGTGGGCTTCCGACGCGGCCTTCTACGAACCATACAACTCAAATCATGGGATATTCACACTTCCACTCCATCTGTCCGATGCCTTGTCCAAGGGATGGACACGATCCAAGAAGCGCCGTCGTGGGTGCCGATGTATGTCGCCTGAGGGCTCGGAACATCGATGCGTATACTGGCAGATGTAGCGGTCAGACTCCGTGACAATTCCCCTGCATAGCTGATGGTACTCCGGACTGTTCTTTCCTCTGCAGGTCGTCTTGAATCCAGCGTACCCGCTCAACTACGCCGGTCCGACATACTACCATGGGGCCATGTTAGGGTAAGACCTGCCGTTCCTTCTGCACTGGAACTGCGCCGCTGCTCGGTGCATCATTTTTTACACCCTTATTCTGTACGGATTGACATCTTCTGGGACAACTCCGTTGCAGCCAAGCTCTTCACTGGTGTTCGACCTCCTCCCGGCGCCAATTCGTACCACCGGCGGCATCCTGACGCGTCTCGCAAACACCGATCACCTTCCTCCGCCTAGAACAAGGCGAATTCTTGACAGCGGAAACGGCACACTTCGGAATAACGACTCGAATCGTCGAGCCTGCGCAATTATCACGCAGAAGCACGGCAAGGGCTCCATGACGGGGAGTTTGACCCTAGCTGCTGCTCGCTTCACCGTTCACGGCCAGGGCTGTCTGGTGACGGTAAAGGGCAAGCTCTATGCAAGTGTGCAAGAACTAGCGCCCAAAGCCGTATAAAAGGGCTTGAAAGCGACGAGAGATCCCCAGGCATCCATCTCTGCGCACTCGGTACGAGCTCGGCATCGTCTACTCAACCTATCCTTGACTAATCTCACAATTCCCCTCGCAGCATCCGAACGTGAACCAGCACCGCACCTACCCTTTTTCTCAAAGCCCATCACCACCAATCGTACGTCGCTGCCCCGTTCCTTCGGCTGTTGCTCAGTCAAGAGCTCACTGTATGTCTCCAGATGACCGGCAGCATCATCGTCTACAACGCAACCTCCGAGCCGTGCCACGTCTTCGTATCCAAGTACTCGCGCCAGTCCGCCCACGACGACTGGTATGTCCTCCAGCCTGGCCAGCGCGACTCGTGGGAGCGCGATGGCTGGGAGTTCGTCGGGTTCAAGAATGCAGACGACACCGACCGCTCGGGGGTGTATGTCCGTGTCAACACCACCGTTACCTTCAACGGGCTGCACAACCTCTCCACGTAGTTCTTCCTTTCCCCAGAGTAAGGTTGCGCTAGCTCCACTCAGGCCTCATGAATCTTGTACGAGTGTCATACGTCAGTAGTCGAAGTTCCCCGAGTTGTGTAGTAGTGTCTGTAACGCGACGTGTTACGTGTTTAGTATCCATAGTTGTCGCTAAAATGTGGGAAATGGTAGTCTTCGTATCGCTCTCATCAGCATGATGCAAGGGTGTGAACGTGAGCGATGATTCCGTGCGCGTTGACTACGACTTGCCAATGCGGCTTTGCGTTAAGACGTACTTGAACTCGACGATACTTACAGTGACGCGAACGTGGACACACTATGACGCATCCGGCAATGATACGCCTGCAGCGGGCATCACTAGACTTCTCATTTTTCCAACACTCGAGTTGGGTAGCTTCATAAACAACTCAACCCAACTTTGATATTGTAGACAAACCCGAATAAAGGAGCACCCGCTGCAACGCAGGTTTCACTACATTAGTCCGGCCGCCGGCGCTACAAAACGTTAAGCTCGAGACCCCGATGTTGTGGAGCACGTCGTAGGAGATGGGCGAGTTCACGCGGACGTACCCGCCCGCGCCGCGGTGGGTGTCGTTCCCGTTCTTGAACGCGACGGGCTCCCAGCCCGCGCGCTCCCAGGACTCGCGCGAGTGGGGCTGGCGTAAACCAGTCGTCGGACGCGGACGGGCGCGAGTATTGAGGCAAGGTGGTGTACAGTTGAAATTTGAAGTTGGACGTCTGGATTGGAGCTGTCGGGATGTGGGAATTCGGTTGCAGATGTTGTATATCCATGAGTTACATCCAACACTGAGGAAGTGCTGTCGTTCAATCGTGCGTCAGACGACGCTCTTGTTTATATGACAGCCAAACCGACACATTCGCAGCTCCCCTGGTTATACGTGCTACGCATGATTTTGTGCCAGGCGTATCAGGGAAAGGCGTGTCCCACCGTATTGGATAGATATTCGCCCTGGGGCCACAGCGGCGGAAACAATGTAGAAACACATCATGATATAGAGCGAGCGAGCGACAGACCTACATCACTCCGCAACCGAGAGAGGACGTATCACTCCGGGAGGCGCCAAGGCGCCGTCTCTTCCTCCGTCCAGGTTCTCTGGAACCCCAGCGAGCACTAGAGCACAAGCGTGTCAGCCTGGAACGCCACCCTCGCTGCCCACCAAGGGCATGTGTGAACAAAGTATGCTAGCACTCACGGTGTCGCCATCGGACAGCACTAAGTCTTCGTCCACCAGCATCTGCTGCATCACGTCCGCATCGAGCCGCCTGGGAGGTCCGGAAGGCACGTTCTTCCACGCAGAATGTGTGAACCAGCGGCCGCGAGTGTGCTGCGGCCCGTTCGGATGACGGTCGGACTCCAATATGTTGAACTGACCGCCCACGCTCACGAAGACGTAACGCAGCGAGGGAACAGCGTGCGCAAGTTCGGTGGCGAGATGCGCGTGGTCCAGATGAGCCAGGCTACGGACCAAGTCCTTGGAGTGCGGCACGTATCTTGAATTGTTCAGTCTGATGTCGTAGCTGATGAACAGCCGGAAGTAGGTAAGGCGCAGAGCGCAGATGGAAGTGATGATTTTCGTCTAGTGTGTTCCACGATTATGCTGTCAGTTTGGGGCCACAGAAAAATGGAATTTGGAACGCACAAGCAGCACTCTCCACTTCATGTTTGTAACAGCATCTCTGTCACTGTAATTGTCGAACGTCAGAGGGTTGGTGTATTCGAGCACGAGCACTAAGTGCGATAGCCGCGGGATGACCTCGGCGGGGAACAAGTCCTCGAGAATGTCGTCGCCGTGGTACAGCATAGACGATAGTTTGAGGTGGGTTGGGGGCGTCGTGCGCAGAATCTCCACTAGTTGGCTCCTTTCGTGGCCGCAAATGTCGTCCACCATGAGATGACGCACGGGGCAAGTGAGACCGAGTACGAAAAGTGCGATTACGTCGCCCATGACGCGATCCAGGTGCTTCCAGCATCGCTGCTTCAGCCGGTCTTGGTTCGACGCGCGGATGCGCCGCTGCTCTGGCTCGTCGACTCGCAGTGCGCCAGATATCTCACCAACTCCAAGTGTGCCGTCCAGCGCAGGGAACTTGGACACGAGTAGGTCCACACGAGTCATACCCTCCTCGAAGAGTCCCACGAACGAGCGTAGGGCGGGATATTCCGCGCCCTTCGTATCAAGCACCAACGGTTTCTCCCCAGTATCGAGAACTTCCAGTGTGGGTATGAGGTGGCGCAGAAAGGCGTCGACTTCGACCATCTGGACGCCGTAAGGGGTCCAGGTGGTAGGAAGAAAGTCCAATGAGACACGAAGAACGCGGAGCGATGTGGCGGAGCGCGTGGACTTGACGATCATCGCCGATTCGTCATCACCATATCCCAGTAGCGAAAGTTCACGAAGGGTGGATATCCGCATGATGGCGTCGGGCAGCCTCGGATCCGGGAGCCAGTCAAACAGTGTCCACCCAGGATAGGGAATCGTCAAGCGCTCCAGATGCGTGGCGTGTTCCAGGAGGTCGAGAATACGCCTTTCTACTTCTTCAAGAGCCTCTTCCTCGACTTTCCTTATGCTGATGTCGAGAGCTCTTAGCAACGGAAGGCGCGACTTTGAGTCGGTGAATATAAACTTGTGGAAGGCGCGGATTGTCCGTTCGTCCTTCAACGCCACAGGTTTCATGCTGAGCAGTCGCTTGACCGCCATAGAATGTAGGGAGTGGGATACAAGAGAGAATGAAAGGACGGTTTTTGTGTCACAGATAGACTCGCAGACGTGCATCAAAACGTCGAAGTTGAGGACTAGCTGCCACATTCCGGCAGCGGTTCTGTTGGTGTGATCAGTAAGGGAGTAGCGAGCGTCCTATGGCAGAAACGGCGACGAAAACTCTACAAAAATGATTACCTATTCTTCGGTGTTGCCTTTCCCTCTCAGAGAGCCATTGGAGGGGCTCGAAGACGTAGCTGCTTGGTGCGCCGCCCTTTCTATAAGCAAGCGATTCAGAAGACGTATTGATCTCTGTCGCACTGGCAGCCAGTCTGCTGTCAATTTGAACAGGAAAAGTACCAAAGTACTTCGACAACATTATTTGAATGCCTACCGAGAAAGGATGAACCTGGTCGGGGGGAGAAGGAGGAGGAAGAGGAAGAGATCACGGTTAACCGCACTAGCAGGAGCATGCCAACGGCGGCGCCAAGCTGGAGTGGCGGTGCTGTGGCAACGTGCTCGAAAAGGCGATTCGAACTTACTTCCGGCGACAGCCGCACATAGTTTATCTCTGGCTCTTCCTCAGGCCTCGAGCTATCCTATCCTGACGTAAATTCCTTGTGTTACTGTCTCAACCTGCACGTACCTCTACTGAGTCCAAATTTAGTCTTTGATGTATTCATTTCGAGCGGGCGTCGTGAACTCGCTATGTTCTCGTTTAAGCTGCTTTATACTCTCAGCTGTTGTACATACATCGCGACGCGCCACCCGTTTACATACTTAACCTCTGGGGCGGCTGAAGAAGAATGTCTTCACACAATTGCACTCCGTTGAACGCTCTGGGTCGTCCTCCGCTCGCACGCTCAATCTCCCCACGCATCGGGGGTCTACTTCAAGTAACATTTTATTATCAATACTCACCACAGATGGCTCACAGGCTTGACCCTTAGATGCACTATCTCAACCTGGACGTCCTCGCGCTTATTTGCGACTCCACCTACGATGTCTCGACCGTCTTTCACTTTTCACTCGCATCGCACTCCTTTCGCGCTATCGCTGTAAAACGGTTGCTCAGCATGAGGCCCGTCGCCCTCAACAGCGAACGCTCTGTTCGTGCTTTCCACAAATTTGTCTTCGTGGATCCACGTTCTCGTCTTCCCTCTCTCCGAGCTCTCAACATTGGTGTCCCTGGTCCACCGCCCAGGGGGCCGGTCGGCTTTGACGCACTTGAGCCCGACAAGGCTCCCGAAGAAGTCGTGCAGTTCATACTGGACATAATAGGCCGCGTAACGCACCTCACGTCTCTCGCTCTGCCTCAGCCGCGGTGGACGCTCGCACATCTTTCGGATCCAAGGATACCCGAAGCCATCGCCCGGATTTCCACCCTACGAGAGCTCGCATTGATAGATTCTTGCTTGCGGGAACAGTGTCCTATGGTCAAGAAAATCATCAAGACTACGCGTTCCGTCTCTACGCTGCGCGTCCTCCGCATTTCGCTGGACTTAACGATGCTCATCCCCGGCCACCTCGTCCGGGGAGGTCATGCGATCAAAACCACAGCCCTCGACGCACTCCTCGGCCATCTCGCGCCTACGCTTCAGGTTCTGCATATTATCAGCTCACGGTGCTTGCAACTGGATGCTAAAGGTGTGGAATACCCTGCCTTACGGTCACTCATATGCACGGCGCACGTTGTCGGAGAACACGGGCGGGACGTAGACACAGATATACTGGTGTCTAAGTTTCCCGCGCTAGACGGGACATTGCTTGTGCGCTTGTGGAAGCCTTACGACGAGACCGAGGAGGACGTGACAGAACTACGGCGCATCCGGGCGTCGAACGAGGAGCGGCAGAAGAAGCGATCTTGGAAGCACCTGGATCGGGTTTTCGCTTCCAACGTGTTATCTCTCTTCGCGATGGGCCTCGCGTGTCCCGTGCGTTACCTCATGGTGGAGAACCTCGCAAGCCATACGAGGGACTACATGGTGGAGATTCTACGTGCCACGCCCCCGACCCATCTCAAGCTCTCCGTCAAACTGTGCTATGGCGCTGCCGTTTTTCAGGGTCTGTTCCCGCCGGAGGTCATTCCCCGGCTCACACATCTGGTGCTCCTGCTCGAGTATGTCGATGAGCCTGAGACCCTGGAGGAAGCCACGGTGGAGTGGAAACCGCTGCTCGTACGTTTGCGACCTTCTCGACTGCACGGTCGCTTGATGCTGATTGCAACATACTCGTTTGTCAGGCGGAGATAATCGACTCCATACGCTCGCTGCGCCTCACACATCTCCGCCTGTCCGTCCGTTACAATATCGACGAGATCAGCAGGGGCGTAACACGCCGCAAGAGCTTCGTACAAGCTATCGACAACATCCACGGCGAACAGCTTGCCAGCGAGTTAATGGATGCTGCTCCTTCTCTGCAATACGTCTTTGTGAGCGGCGGCGGTCGATTCGAAGCCTGGCCGGACGACTACCCTGCAGGCGCTTCCACGGGGAAGCGTGTCCGCCCGGTCGTACACTCTGCATGGAGGAATATGCGAAGCACGCTTCGGCAGTCCGCAAGCCCTAGGAAGATCGACGAAGACGTGATGAGGCGAATCCTCCTGGACGAAGAACTCTCTCTATCCGAGACGGACACGGTGAGTGGTATGCACCTCGCATGGACGGACAGAGTCTGACTTTTAAGTTTTTGAACCCGGATGTGTGCTGTGTGCCAGGAAAATCTGGTCTTGCACAGAACGTCTTGACGAGGACGAAACCACATCGTGGCTCCTTCCCGAAGCATGCGAAGCCGCGCTGTGGTCCCTTCCGGAGTGTCGCGAACACAGTGAAGAGGACTGCGCCGTCTGTGCTTTAGGTATGGAATTCTTCTCCAGTGCGGATCACTGAGCTGTACAACTTGACGCGTACCTACAGAAGTCTCACACTCTCCCCACCCGGGCCGTCATGGGGTGCAAGTCGCCTATGTGCATATCACTAGTAGAGGTAGTCATTGGTTAACTTCGCTGCACCGTTCAGAATGATACTGGCTCATACCGCAAACATACCCTTGTATAATCATATAATCCACTATACCTTCACATCTTACTTTCCGATTGAACGCGCCCGCCCGCCCGCGATCACGAAGACTCCAATCTGAACTTCCGGAGGTTCTGGATTTGGTCACCCTCGAGACGCATGCCCATCCACTCGGACATGGCCGTCGCCCCCAGCGTCTTCTCGTAGAAGTCGATCGACGGCTGGTTCCACTGTGCATACGAGCAGATCAGCGACCGCGGCAAAACGCTCACAACTGATAAAACAGTATACCTTCAAGACCTGCCAATCGATGCGTGCGCAGTCCTACGCCTGTGGTAAGTGTCTACACGAACTTTGAGCTCTCACTAAATTTTACCTTCTCTTCGGCTACTTTGCCCAGCTCCGCGAAGAGAGCCTTTCCGACGCCCTTCCCGCGGTATGTGGGGTCAACGTATAGGTCCTCAAGCTGTATTTCTGTGTAAGCAGCGGGTCTCTCGCTAGCAAAGAACTGGTAGCCTCACGTATAATCCTGGCCGCCCAGTCCAGGTCGAATAGTTGAAGAAGTACATCGCGAGGCCTATCGCTTTTCCTGGGGCGTCTGGCGACCCGCCGATCGCGAGGAGCGTATGAGCATACGGCGTCTCAAAGAGGTTCTTGCGATACTGCATGCACGCTCAGTGGCCGCGCTACTTTTGATCAGAGAAATAACAGACAAGTTCAGGAGTTGCCTTCACCGAGTCGGCCGCTTTCTCGTACGTTGCCTGAGATCGCGCTCGCATCAAGATGACTCGTGCGTGCGAGCGAGACGACGAAAACATACGAGCCCGACGACAAGCTCCAAAATTGCGTCCTGTATACAAGTAATCAGACACAGCAGTTCTCCACAATTTTCCTATCATTCGTACCACATCCTCGACGGTCGCAGGGCGGACAAAGTACGGGCTGGCCATGGCGTGCGTTTCTGGACGGAATGTGCAAGAACGATAGGCGCTCGTCTCGCGTGGCTTTTTGGGAGGCGTTGTATGCACATGTTTTGGGCCGAACCTTATTCTTTTCACCGTCTACGCCCAGGACGCCCGCCGTACACGAAACACGCCCGCCCCGACGCCCGCCCCCCGATCCACGACAATCAGCACCATGGACCCCGCAAAATTGGCGAAGCTGCAGGCGCAGGCCGCGTCCAACAGGATCGGTGCGTTTTCCGCGTCCGCATCCGCCCCGTGCTCGCCGAGTTGCACCCCACTCACGCGCACACGCGTCCCCCAGGCGGCAAGGGGACCGTGCGCCGCAAGATTGTGCGGAAGACGAAGCCGTCGACCGCGCAGGACGACAAAAAGCTGCAGGGCGCGTTGAAGAAGCTCAACGTCCAGCCCATCCCCGGTGTCGAGGAGGTCAACATGTTCCGCGAGGACGGCAACGTCCTGCACTTCAGCACGCCTAAAGGTACGTCGCGCGTCCTTCCCACTCCTTCCCCATCCCCCGCTCGCGGGCATGCAGACCGTGCAAGAATACTCCGTCTGCCCAGTCGCACGCACGCGCGGGCCTTCTCGTTCATGCTCGGGCTTACGTGTGGGGGCGTCTAAACTAATTCTGCCTTTTCCCGTCTCCAGTGCACGCGGCCGTGACCGCCAACACGTTCGCGGTCTACGGTGCCGGCCACGTGAAGGAGCTCACCGAGCTCGTCCCCGGCATCCTCAACCAGCTCGGGCCCGACTCGCTCGCCTCGCTCCGCAAGCTCGCGGAGTCGTACCAGGCGATCCAGCAGAGCCAGCAGCGGCCACCAGCCGCTGCGGCCGATGACGACGACGACGACGACGTCCCCGACCTCGTCGACAACTTCGAGCAGGTCGCGGTGGAGGAGAAGCCCGCTGGGGAGGAGGAGGAGAAGAAGGAGGACAACCTGGAGGAGCTCAACTAGGGGGAGAGAGCTGCCGTGTTGCCCGCCAAAATCCCACACATTCGTGCTCGCATCCATGACCCAGCAGCGCCCGCCCCCGCGTCCCATACCTGCCCTACCTCGCTCGCTCTATAGCCCCCTGCCATCTTTAGGTCCACGCTGTCTCCTGCATACGACTCTCCAATGACTGCATTGTAAACTGATCGCAAATGCTGTATGTTTGCTCTGTCGTGTTCCCTGATTGCCGTTAGCGTTTGTAGCATCTGTGTGAGAGCGATCTGCATCGAGTCCTGAAATAGTCGAAGTGAATTGGGCGAGTACAGCAAGTTTAAGTCCATTGGTAAATTGTGTTACATCCTTTATGCCTTCTCAGTACCTACAGTCTCCCGCACAGCCCTTCTGCCAAGTTCCACAGTATGTCTCAAACGCCCCCTCACGCATGGAACGTGACGCCCCAGCGACGCACACACCCGTCCGCGCCCGCGCTCGCAAGCTCCTTCTCCCCGAGCCAGAACACGGTGCTCACCCCGCCCGGGTTCGCATTCTTGATCGCGATGTTCTTCATCGGCTTCTGCACGCTCCACACGTACACGTGCGTGTCGAGCGAGCCCGACGCGCAGTGTTGCCCGTCCGCGGTCCACGCGAGCGCGTTCACGCGCGCGTTGTGGAACGACCAGCGCGAGGTGAGCATCTTGCGCTCTTTCGCGTCGTACAGCACGATCTTCCCGGTCGACTGTATGCGCGTGGATCTTAGTTTATGAGGCAGGGAGGGGGAGACAGGGTGCTTACGTCGCCGGACGCGAGGTGCGAGCCGTCGGGGGAGAATGCGAGGGCCGTCACGGTGCCCTTGTTCCCGTCGAGTGTCGCGCTCTCCGCGAGCGCCTTCCCGTCCCATGTGTACAAGCGCACCTTCTGGTCCTGACAATCGACGATGGCATTCAGCACGGGCAGTCGATGCAGGACAGTAGTGACGCAGAACGCACCTCTCCGCCAACAGCGACCACGCTGCCCGCAGCGGCGATCGCGCTCGGGGTGTACTTGAGTGGGAGGTCGAAGACCTTCTGGTTCGAGCGCACTGCCTCGACGCTCGCCGTCTCGAGCACAAACACCGTCGCGTCGCCCCCAACCGCGACCGCCTTCGGCTGCGTAGCGGTAGAGAACCGCGCGGCGCTATCTCCGAGCATACTGTGAGCAGACATGCACAAGGGAGACAGGTTGGACGGGGAACGCACGTGTAGCTCGTCCCCTCGAGCTCGCGCAGCTGGTCGTCTAGGCCGACAGAGTACACCTTGCCGTCCTGCGCGGCGCCGAGCCCGGAAACGAGCGTGGTGTGCGCATCGCCGCCGACGTGCTCGAAGCCGTCGTCCGAGTGGTGGAGCACACGCCCGTCTGCAGTGCCTACGAAGAAGGTCGGAGGAGGCCCGGCGAGACCAGCAGTAACCGCCTTTTGCGGGCCCTGTGTACAGTATCGGGTAAGCTCCTGGGTAGCATATGCGAGGAGCTTATGCACGCACATTGAGCACGCGCGCGGGCTTGTCTCCGACACGCTTGTCGAAGATGTTGAGGTCGCCAGACATCGAGAGCGAGACGATGCTGTCTTCCTCGGTCCATGTGTTGCCGACCTGTTGGTGGGCGACACTCGAGCCGAGCGACCAGGTCACCTGCGCCTTCTTCGTCTCCACGTCCCCTGTCCACTACGTTAGTACCACACTGGTGCAATCGAAGAGATGGGCGTACAGAGCTTCACTGTGCGGTCGGCGGCGGAAGTTACAAGCGACTTGCTATCAGGACTCCAACTGCAGGCCATCTGAGAAAAGGTTTAGAGAACGCCAGGCTACCCTATGTCGTCTGTGCTCACGATACTACCGGTGTGTGGGCTGTCAGTGATTTCTCCCAAAGTATCGCCGGTCTTCCCATCGTACACGAAGATCTTGAAGTCTGAGCCCACACTTGCGAAATGGTCCCCGGAAGGTGAAAAGCGGACGTCCTGCACGAACTTCGTATGCGTCTTGATAGTCTATACCGGCGCAATGAGCATATACAGATGGATTGGCGTATAACTTAGTCAGGGACATACCTTGTCGTACTTAAACGGCACGCCTAAGACACGCTCAAGTTATGCACTCTGTCGGCGTCTCCGGAGATGTACGTACCTTGGTGGAAGACGATCGACCCATCGTCTGCTGCGGTTGCCGCACGGAATGGCCGCTGCGCCCTGATGCTCACGGCGTTGATAGCCTAGCAAACCTTGTCAGCAGACATTGTGCAAACGTCTCTATAGGCATTCGTACCTTCGAGTGTCCGATGATTTCTCCAGTGGAAGATCCAGTGTCCACCATGAACGCGTGTCCGAACCTGAAGTTACGTGTTGTCAGAAGGGACAATTAGCAAAGTATATTGATCACGTACTTGTCTCGTCCGTCGCCGACCGCGACTATGCGCTTGCTCTCGCCGTCCCACGCAAGGTCCTTTCTTCATCGAAACGCGTGAGGTTATGCCGTAATCGCAACTGAATGCATACGTACATGACGCCCCCAATCACTTTGTACTCCGCCTTCAAAGTCTGCTCATCCCCGAGCGTATCCCAGATCCTCACTGGCAGTATAGGTTACCCTGGGCTATCGAACGCTACATGGCACACGGAGAATCGCACCTGTTCCAGTAACGTCTGCAGAGGCGCAGTAGTACCCGGATGGGGCGATCCGAGCGACAGTTGCTGGCTGTACATGTCCTAGATACGCGGTACCGACTGCAGCATCCTGAGCTGCCCTCTCAGCCTCGCGCATCACAGTGCTTTGTGGCCAAGTGTGCAGACCTTCAAGTCGCGTATCTTATAAGAAATTAGCGATTGCTCTCGGCGTTCAACACCCATGAACTCACAATGACTGCCCGACCATTCGTGTAGACAACCTTGTCTTTACTGGAGCTGAGCTTGGTCGACTCTCCTCTCGTCGTCGCCGGGTTGCATGGGTAGAGTACCCCTTTCGTGAAAGACATGATGTTGATTCAAGTTTGAAGGTGACCAAGAGAGTCGATGGAAGAAGGGAGAAGGAAGAGCTGCGCAACTAGCAGAGCCTCTTGGACGGTGGCGACGAGATCGGCGGGAGCGCAGATGTCCCCGATTTGGCAAGAAGGCGCGGTCACATGATGCATGCAATATTGCTTCGCGCGCGTCGCGTCGCGTTGAGCAGCAACAGTCAAATGGATAACCTCCATTTATTCAGCAAAATACGTCTTGTCTAACGGATCTGAACGCTGTCAAATGACCACTGAGCCATGGCATACGTTTTCGTACGACAGCAGATATGAGATATGAGACTAAGCAATTAGATGTCGTCAGCATGATAATGTACAATACAATTCAAGACCCCTCAGAAAGCAACCATACAGCACAGAGTAGTCGTCGCGGTCGCTCATTCCTCCGTCGGCTTCTCCTCCACGCTGTAGTTCTTGAACGGATCCTTCCGAAGCGCCTCGGCTTCTGCACTCATTGTCACAGGTTTCACGGCCGGGGCGGGCTTTGGCTTCATGACAGAACCCGCGGCAGCGGAAGATGCAGGTGGCGGTGACTCGGGCTGTAGGCAAATTTAGCTGCGCCCCTTCGACGGTAATACAAATTGCTCACCTCCTCATCCTTGAAGGGCACAAACTTCGGAGTAGACGGAACGGCGGGCGAGGGCTTGCTCGCCTCCTCCTCTTCGTCGCGGAAAATCGCAATCGAGCTCTTCCCCGCCGCCTTTCCTTTCTCCTTCTTAGCAACTGGAACTGGGGGCGGCGGCATCTCCTCCGACACCTCCTCGTCTGGCGCGGGGTCGCGGAAGACCGCGATCTTCGATCCGGACGGTGCGCGCTTCGACCGGGCCTGGCGAAGCGTGGATCCAGCGGCCTTGCTCACCTCCATCGTGTTCTCCTTGATACGCGTCTTGCGCGTGCCAAGCTCCGGCCAGGGCGTGGGGTTCGTCGCCTGGTCTGGATCGTTCTCCGCGTCGCCAGACGGATCGACGAAGATGGGCATGCGGCCGTTCGGACGCGGAGCAGCGGGCGCGGAGAATACGTCTTCGTTGGCAGGTGCGGTTCGTGTAGAGCCAGCTCGTGTTGAACGCGTGCGAGAGGCTGAGGAGGAGGATGGGGCAGGTTCGCCGAGTGGCTTCCGGCGAGTGGCAGCAGTACCAGAAGCAGGTGCAGCGGCGGCAGCGGCAAGGGAAGTAGACGAAGAGGAGGAAGAGGAGGGGAGAGTCGGGGAGGCCATCATGCGCTTCTGGAACTCCCGGTGCTTGGCCTCGAGCCGCTCGAGCGGGGCTGCCTTGCGTGCGATGCCCAGCATGTACGTGTCGTCCGCCTCGACGCGTCTTTCGCGTGTTCAACACCTTGTAACACTTCCAACACAATCACGCCACTCACCTGTTTGCTCTTTCGAGCGCCATCGCGTACTCCTCGTAGAACAGCGCGTGCGCCGTCCCGATCTCGTTCACGAGCAGATACTTGTAGATCACCGTCGGCTTGTCCACATAGCTCGCATACAGCGTCCACAGCTTCAGGTAGCGCAGGTCCGCGCGCCACCGGCCCCCGCGGTCGTCCCGCAGGACGCGCGTGGCCTCCTCGAGCAGCTCGAGCAGGCCCGACTCCGCGCTGTGCCCCTGCGGGTAGTTCTCGACCGTCCAGTACACGAAGCGGCTGTACGCCTCGAGCGGGTCCGCGTCGTCGTCCTCGTCCTCCAGCGCGATCTCGACGTTGGCGCGGTGGCGGCGGCGCGCGTCGGCCTGCCGGCTCTCGCGCTGGGCGTGTGGCGTGGAGAAGATGGCGGAGAGCGCGGTGACGCGCCGGCCGGACGCGAGCGGCTGGATGTTCTCCTTCGCGGCCTCGAGGACGTCGCCGTCGACGATAAAGGGCGCGGTGGGTTCGTCGGTGAATACGTCGGCCATGGTAAGTATGGGAAGGGTGGTGGGAGGAGGGAAAGCGCAACTTCGCGTTAAGTTCAGTGAATAGACGCTGATGCCATACGTTGAGGGTAAGCAACTGTAAGTAATGCCTGGCGTCGTGCTTACATGTAGCTAATAGGCCAAGATCTAGTACTAGTATCAGTTACGGATCGTTTGCTTTGAAATAGCTACTAGCCTTACTACCACAGTAAGTAATGAGTACGTAATAGGCTCCGACTCAAACATTGGCAACTCCACTCAGTTCCTGTTGATCAACTTTCTGCCACCAACCCGTGCAAGAAAGGACTGCAAGAAAGGACTGGTCAGCACGGCCAATACTGACCCGTTGTCGAATGCTAACTATGTCTCCAGGGAGAGAGCACCTGTAAAATGCGTAAAGGAGTACTACTCAACCTGGACCTTCTCGGGCTCGTCTGCGACTCGACGAACGATGTCTCGACAGTCCTTTCTCTCTCTCTCGTCTCGCATGCTGTTCGCGTGCTTGCTGCCAAGCGGCTGCTCAGCATGAAACCCGTAACGCTGAAAGACGAACGGACGATCCGCGCCTTCCACCAATTTATGTTTGCCGGCGCGGAGTCCCGCCTTCCCTTCCTCCGAGCTATGAACATCAGTGTCGACAGCAGACCTATCGAGGAGCAGAATTGTCAAGACCTAGTCAAATACATACTGGACCTCTTGGAACACGCCACGCGCCTCGAGTGTCTGACGCTGCCCTACCTGAGGTGGACGCTCGACTACCTCGCGGACTCCAGGATAGTTGAGGCTATCACCCGGATATCCACCTTGCGCGAGCTCCGTCTACCGAATGAATGTGTCGCGATGGCGGAGATCGTTAAGTCCACGCGCTCCGCGTCGTGCTTGCGCATTTTGCACATATCGCTGTCTACTCTGCCCTCCACTCGCAGATTCGGCTATGGCGTCAAGGTCGGTGCTCTTGACGAATGTCTGCTTCGTCTCGCGCCCACGCTAGAAGTATTACTTCTCGACCTCTCGACGGGAACACTGGACCTCGACACGAAGGGCGCCCAATATCCCTCCCTGCGTTCCCTCACGACGAACGTCGGAAATGGCCTCATGCGCATGGACATTCTCGTGCATAAATTCCCTGCGCTGGACGGAACACTCAACATCAGATCGGTATGCGAGCTGCTAGACGACGAGCCAAGCCAGAAACGGTTCCGCGCGTCGAACCAGGAGCGACAAAAGCAGCGGTCATGGCGGCATCTGGATTGTGTCATGAGCGACACGCTCGCCCTGTTCGTGCTTGGGCTGACGTGCCCTGTGCGCCGTCTTATGGTCGACGACTTCCACGGCGACAACAAGAACCTGCTAGTGGAGATTTTGCGCTCGACGCCCCCAACGCACCTCAAGCTGTCCGTTGTGCTGGACCATGACGAAGATAATGACGATATCTTGCGGGACCTGTTCCCTCCAGAGGTTCTCCCCAGGCTGACACACCTGGTGCTTGTGCTCGATTACACTGTCTCGGTGCATGACCATGATGATGAGAACGACGAAGATGACGAAAAAAGCATACAGTGGAGCGCGATACTTGTGCGTTCCCAATCCCCTTCCTCTCATCAAGGCGAACTAACCAAATGTCCCTGAAACACCAGGCAGAGATCATCCGCTCTATCAGCGCCCTGCATCTCACCCACCTCCGTCTGGTCGTCCACTACGCCATCGACCTGAGCGATGAGTATGCAGACGTTTTCCCATATGCGAAGGATTTCGTGCGCAACATCGTCGACATGGACCACCAGCGCCTTGCAGCCGAGCTCATGCACTCCGTCCCTTCGCTACAGCACGTCTTCGTGAGCACGGGCGGCGAGTTCGAAGTGCTCGTAGTGCCACCGGGCGAGGAAATTATGCACTTGTTTGGTCATTCGTACCCGGAACCGCGGCGGCGTGGACGCTGGTTCGCGCATTCCGCGTGGAGGAATTCGAATGGGCGCGGCGGGTCTTTGAGCGTAGTGAACCCGGAGAAGCTTGATGAAAACGTGATGGAGCGGATGTTGCTAGACGAGGACCTGACGCTGTCCGACATCGACAACGTGAGTATCGCACTCTGTCTATCTGGCGGTGCAAAAACCGCGGAGGCCTTCTTCGTGAGCTGACACGGTTGTCATTCAGTACATCGTAGGGTTCCAGAAAACTTGGAGTGAAGACGAAACCGCGCCATGGACCCTTCCAGAGTAAAGCATCAGCCGTACTTGGCGCGCCCCTCAAAGGCTACGTGTCGGCCCAAGGTATAGTGAGCAGTAGTATATGTAGTAAGCTCGCTGAGTTCACAAGGGCAGTATTGCAGACATCTATGAGAGGTAACACTGCCTGTCATGGTTTCGCTACGCTGTGCATCCAATATGTGCTTAGCATGTATGAAACAAATTTGAACGCACTTCACTGCAGAAGGACAGGAACTTCGCTGTACCAGAGCGGACCCATGTCCACAAACAACGAGGAATTAAAGGACTGGAGAAGTGGAGAGGTGGCACCTGCAGCTACACCAGTGGTGCGTGCATGTGTACGAGGCACAGAAAAGCCTGTTCCACGATTTCGGTGACGCTGGTTTTCAGGGCTCGGGGAAACCGGATGCGGGTATCTGTGTGTGCGACAAGAAACTTATGCAACGCATAAGCTAAAGTTTCTTGAGCTCGGAAGGCCTCATATTCACATCTGAATGCAGGGTGCGAGAGACGACTCGGAGCCGCGAAGAATCCAGAGGCTCAGATTTACTAGCACTGACACGTAGACATGGGAATAACCCACAAGAAGTCTAGTTTCCCATAGATAGACCTATCAGGTTCTGCTGGAAGGCGGGGAGGGCGGAGGAAGTCCGAATTGGCCGTTGCTGGCCGCACGATGGTCGTAAGGATGCCAGCGGGCGCTCGTGCCCATCCATCCATCTTCCTTGTTGACCACCATGATCCAGGTCCCGCTCAAGGCCGCAGTCTTCACCACAAACTCGGAATTCATCTGCGGCCAGCGCGATACTGTTCCGTGCAAAAGGATGAGGTTTGTCATCTCTTCAGAGTGCATGGCATTTCATAGTGTTGTGTCCAATATTGGTGCTACCCCCGCAAGGTATCCTCGGACTCGCGTCCGGAGGGATGTCGAAAATTCTTGTCGTCGGCTATTTGTACTCCACCGACACCTCTTCCTGCGGGGGTATCGCACGATCATGCTCTGTTTGACATTTCTATCTTTCATGTAGTTGTTGTAGTTGTATGCTGAATAGCCTTGCTACCATCCGATGCCTACCCCGTCAATTCGTCGCGCGATTGTTGACTCTAGATATCACGTATCAACGCCACATGTGACAGATCATCTGTACCCCCCCACTCTGTTGTGCTGAGCGTTCAGGGTGTAGAGGGAATGCTTACCGCTTTCGTGTAGGAGTTGACTAGTACAACGCAAAGAGCAAGATCCGGGTCATGATCACTCATTGACACTTACCAGGCCATGAGAGGCCCGCGTGTGACCCAAACCCCTCCACGGACTTTCAAATCCCATATATGTCGCAGAAACAGACTACGCTACGGATGGTGAGCCGAGTACGCCTATGAGTACATCTTTGAACCTCTGATCATGCACACACGCTGGTAGTTCTGACGAACTCTATGTCAAGGAACCCGTTCGTAACCAAGGTTGACATGAGCTCTAGGTCGCAGGCAAGTAACGATCGATTTCTGTTGTAACGAGCGGCCGCATCTACCAGTACTTAAAGCTGGCTTCGTCCGTTTCAAAACATCACCTCTGCGAGGCCGCTTACTTTTTCATTCGTCTCGCGATCCTCTCTCAGCATGCTAGCCACTGCTCCACTCCTCCTTTCGTTTGCCTCCCTAGCCCTGGGCAGGCCCAGCGTACATTCGAAGCCCAAAGTAGAACAGACCCCAACTTCTTCAAACCAGCGACCTCACCAAAACTTTCATCTCTCCCCGCCCGGTGAAGGCCGTTCAGTATCGGGTTTCCCCGCCATCATCAGATTTTCGCTGGGACTTGTCTCGCAAAACGCTGACTCATTGCATGCCTCCCTACTGGACGCAAGCGATCCCGCGAGCACAAATTATGGGAAGTATCTTTCTAAGGCCGAGGTGCGCTAATCCACCTTCCTGCCGTGTCTGATCCATCCACTAATTTCCATGGTCGCCAGGTCGAACAGCTTGTCGCCCCTACACCCGAAGGCATGCAGGCGGTAACAAACTGGTTGAACGAGAACAACGTCACATCGACGGGCCAGTCGCCGTCAGGGGACATGCTCCAAATTCAAGTCCCCTTTGACAAAGCGAACGAGCTCCTCAACGCCAACTTCACCGCATACGTCCACGAGCCGACCAACACGACCGTCTGGCGGACGCTGTCATACTCTGTTCCCCCGGACGTGGCCCAACACCTCTCCTTCATTTATCCGACCACGCAGTACGTTATACAAGTATCCGGAACTTCTTCTGTGTGCTGAGGGTTGCTTAGGTTCATTCCTCCCGCCACGCACAAGGTGGCTGTCCAAGCGATAGGCCAATTCCCTGCTGCGGCGAAGTCCGGTTCCAAGAGGGCCGATGTGCCATCGGCGTGTGCCCAGGCCATTACCCCTGGCTGTCTCCAGGCTATTTACAATATTCCAGCCACCCCCGCTTCCGCCGCAGGCAACAGTCTCGGCGTCAGCGGTTTCGGCAACGAGGTCGCAAACCCAGCCGACTTGCAAGTATGCATCGTGTGTCGCCTTGATCGTCGTGCAATTGTGTTGACCTCACTCCTGCAGAGCTTCCTCTCGCAGGCGCGTCCCGACTTCCCGAACGGGACCTTTGCAGTTCAGACCGTCGACGGCGGCTCCGATGACGGGCAAGGCACTACTGAGGCTGTGAGTTCCTCCAACTACACCACTTCTGACAGATTCCTCATATAGCGCCCCTTGCAGAGCCTCGACATCCAGTATACCGTTGGCGTGGCGACGAACGTCCCGACGACATTCATCTCTGTTGGAAAAGATACGAAGGACGGCGACCTCGAAGGCTTCCTTGACATCATCAACACCCTCCTCGCTATGGACAACCCGCCCCTGGTTCTGACGACGAGTTTCGGGTTCGACGAGACGCCCTTCGCCCAGCAGGCGCCTGAGATGGCCGAGTGAGCTTGAGAGATTATAACACCACAAGCCTGTCTGACACTTTTATAGGAAGCTCTGTGATGCCTACGCACAACTCGGCATGCGCGGAACCTCTGTTCTGTTCGCCTCCGGTGATGGCGGTGTTTCCGGCTCTCAATCAAACACAGCTTGCGATGGTGCCGCGTTCATCCCGACCTTCCCCGCCAGTTGCCCCTAGTGAGTCCTGCCAACGACAAACTGCGCGCGCATCACTAACGAGTCGCACCCGCCAGCATCACCGCCGTAGGGAGCACGCAAGGCGTCAGCCCCGAGACCGCCGCCGACTTCTCCGCCGGCGGGTTCTCGAACATCTTCGCGCGCCCCAGCTACCAGAGCGACGCCGTCAACAGCTACCTCCAGGGCCTCGGCACCACGAACGCGGGTCTCTTCAACACCACCGGCCGCGGGTACCCCGACGTCTCTACCCAGGGTGTCCAGTTCGTCATTGAGGCCGCGGGTCAGTTCCAGGGTGTCGACGGCACGAGCGCGTCCAGCCCCACCTTCGCCTCCGTTGTTGCGCTCCTCAACGACCAGCGGCTCAACGCCGGCAAGAGTCCGCTCGGCTTCCTGAACCCGCTCCTGTACTCGAACGGGGTCGCAGCACTGAACGACATCACCTCCGGGAGCAACCCCGGCTGCGGAACCCAGGGCTTCCCGGCGGCGGCAGGGTGGGACGCGGTACGTTGCAGCGCCTCTCATCATATTGTCGACGTACACGTTGGTCTGACGAACCATGTTTGCGGCAGGTCACCGGCCTCGGCACCCCCGACTTCAACAAGCTGGCCGCAGTCGTGGTCGGGAGCGCCAGTCAAGCGCAGGCTGTCAAGACGGGCAAGAACGTCACTGCTCCTACGTCTCTGAAGGCCGGAAAGCCAACGGCCTCGTCGCACAAGCGGTTCCTGGACCTCGCGCCGGGCGCGACGGGCTTCGGAGACGTCTTCCGCTTTGCATCTGCCGACTCTAGCAGCGTGTCGGTTGTTGCGCTGCCGACTGTGGCCCCGTAGAGTGAACTTTTTTCCTTCGTTTGGACCTTCGAACTATCTTCCATGCTCTGTTTGCAAGTATAACCTGTGTATGTTTGCCCAAGGTGGCTAGGGGAGTATCTTGTAACGTGTATAGTAGTTTATGGAATATCGACGCCGCCGGCCGTACAATGCCGCCGTTCTATGAAATCGAAGATTGACTCTAATCGTCTCCGCAGGCCAATGGTACGTGCACCTCCAACGCGAACAACGGCTGGACAATCGCGCTCTCGGACTCGGACTCGCCACAGGGCCAGTTCTTGAACCGAAGCGTGATCGGGCCTGCCCCAGGGACATCCCACGTTCTAGCTGCGCCCTCCCAATCCACGACATGTTCCGCCGCGCAATCCGCCAGTACGGTAGTTTCGGCGGGTCCAGTTTCGGTCTCGTCCCAGTACGCGAGGGCGGCATGCAAGAAGCCCGCACCCAGGAAGTACGCCTTGTCCTGTGGCGCGGTGCACTGCGAGAGAGAGACTGAGAAGCGGAGAGTCGCCCGTGGGATGGCGAACGTGATTGTGCACGCGCTGGCCTTCGGCGGCCCAACGATGAATAGGTCTCCGTCGCTGACCGACGTCGGTATGCATCCTGCGTCGCCGAGCTGAGAGAGAATCCACTTGGGGATGAAGATCGTGCACGGTGTGCGGAACATGAAACTGCGGTCCCATCCTGCGCGAGTTACGCTCCCGATACTGAGCGGAGCACTGGTGATCCGAGGCTGGAACTTGAACGCGGTTGTCCGGTGGGTGACGCAGACGTCCGTGAACGTGATAGCAGCAGGCTGAGCAAGGATTTGTTTCAGCGAAGCGTGGAGAAGGACAGCTCGAGCAGAATAAGTAGAGTAGCCCGGCAGGATCATACCGATATCGTAGTTGTCAAGGCTGTTCTTGCGTAAGATGAGCGCTACGAGGTGTCCGTCGTTCTGACATGCGAGGATGGCAAGGTACATGTCGATGGTAATGGGGCCCTCCAGACCCTTCCAAGTAATGACGGGGAGCTTCGTCCGCACACCATAGCTCGTGATTGTGTATTGTGGCGAATGAAGCTGCAATCTAAGCATCCCGACGAGGGAGCTGATTGGAACCGGGGAGAAATTAGAGGAATTGGAGAAGAGACGGGGGGGTATCGGCCAACAGGTGCGATTCGATTGAGAAGGTGGCACCTCTCCCGACATATAGGCGACCATGTGGGGTAACGGAGCGAGCCGTCCCTCCCCCCAGCAGTCCGATGCGAGGTAGGTTATACCACTCACTCTCGTCGATGATCGAGTCCCGCGTGGAGCCCCAGACGAAAATAGTCTGGTCGGGTATCGTCCTGAGGATCTCCTCCTGCAGTCTCAGGAATGCGTTCCGGCCCTCTCCGTAGATGGTAGGCATGCAGATCCCAAAGATGCCCAGGAGGGCGTACGCCTCATCTTCGACCCGCGTAGTAACCCTTTTGGAGGCCCACGACATCCGACGTGCCACGCTCACCGAATCCAGAGTTTTCTCGAAGAGAAGCACAGCGCAGTCGACGCCCGTGATCTCCTCGATGACATCCGCGAGGTCCTCCTTCGTACCCAGCATATGCCAGTTCATGGACAGAAACAGCACGTCTTGGGGAGCGATGAGTTCCTGAAGCGTCCAGCCTCGCCTGAACCACCTGCTCCGCCTGAAGTCCGACTCCTTCGCAGCGGGATCCTGGTCGTCGCCGACATCCTCTAGGAAGGCAAAGCACACGGCCGCGCACGCGTACCATTCGTACATCGAGTTGATCGCTTCCGAGAGCTCAGCGCTGCTCGTCTTGTCGATACAGCAGGAGTCGATCCAGAGATACCGATACCCCATGGTCCGGGCGAATGCACAGCAGCTCCGAATTTTCGCTGAGATCCGTTCGTCGTTTTTGATGTCCGTCGGAGACTCTTGCCCTCCGCCAGGTGGCGATGATCGCTGTGAGCGGGAACGTTTTGTGGCTTCGACGATGGTCTTCAGCTCCTGCATTCGAGTAACGTAATCAGTGAACGTTTGAATCTGAAAGGCGCAGTAAACCTACCTGAAAGCTTTGCTCCCCTGTTGCACTCCATACGTGCGACAGGATGGCGTATGTACTGCCGTTGTTGCCAGTGGGAGAGTTCTGGAACAGCTTTAGCTCCAAGGTATGCGTGTCTAATAACCACATCTGCTGTGCGAAAGCGGATGTAAGATGCAGGCAGATTGGAATGGAGATATCTGTATGTGATGTGCTAGAACTCTTGAACGTTGAAGGGGCGAGTGAGACCGAACTCGAAGCCCCTGCACTAAGGAACACACCAAACGCTAATATTCCAAGAGATAGAAGTGCGCGCGGGCACGAGAGAATAGTTGAGAGCACCGTGGATGAAAGAGACAGTGGAGATAGCTCCAACTTCAAGCTCGGCGAGCGAGCGAGCGCCTGCTCGCCGGCATTTACCGAGGCGTTCAGTATCGCAGACGTTAATGCACAAAATATTCGTTTGCCTCTATACCACGACGTACCCCAACGCTAAAGCTTACGGAACCACTGAAGACCGCTTGTTGTTGCTCTTGAACAATTTTCCAACAACTCTCGCTGCCTAACAAGCGAGGTCCTGGATCCTACAGTGACCCGGGTACACGAGTGTACAGGTACATCCGAGTCATCCACGTCCTCGGAGCTATCAGCACCCAGTCAAAGTAACAGTACTTCCGACTACAAAGCTATGCACTTATACTCCGAATGTACTGGTATGTGGCTGTAGGAAATTGTCTGCGGCAGAGACAAATTCACCACGCGATTGACTTGTGCTTCCAGAGAATACAGAGGGAGGATCATCGCGCCTTCAACGGACGAGCTGCCACAGGGCCAATCCTTGAACCGCAGCGTGATCTCCCCTACGAAAGGAATGACCCACGTCTTCGCCCCGCCCTCCCAGTCCGCGACGTGCTCGGATGCACAGTCGTATAGGTTCGAGGGCGGCTCAGGTTGGTCCTCGCCTCTGTACGTCAAGGTGGCATGCAAGGAGCACCGAGGGCTTCCATTGCCCACCGGCACCCATTGTGTAATCCCAGATACGGTGATGCCGGAGCATACGCTGAGGCAGATTGACATACGGAGACGCGCCTGGGGAACGACAAACTCAAGCCTAAGGCGACCCCCCGTTGACCCCAGTGGAAACATGCCCGGTGGAAACATGCTGCTCCCCGCCCAGGTGGGCTCCCATCCCGCCTCAGCTAGGTGAGAGAGGTTGAAACATCGCCCTCTGACGTCCTCCGCGGCGAGTCTCGATTGGTCCAAACCGTCCACCGGCCGGACCTTGTAGCGTTGGTCGGTGAGCGATGCAGATTTCCGTGGTCGCGATGAGGGTCGGAGGGGAACGCGGCTGCTTCAACGGCTCGGGAAGGAGGACGGCCCGGTGGAGATAGCCATTGTTAAAATTGCGAGACCATGAGCCGTCGTGGTGGAGGTCGATGCTGTAGTAGTAGAAGCCGACATTGTGCAAGTGCTCCTCGATATGCTTCGACAGAGCGAGAGCCACAAGCCGTCCTTCTGCGTCCTCGCATGCGAGAACGGCGAGATACTTTCCCTTGGTCCAGCTTCCTACGGGGATGACGGGAAGCGACATCCGTACGCCATAGCTCGTAATGGTGTAGTGGGGGGTATCGAGCTGGGTGTCAAGCCTCCGTATCCAGCAGCCACATAGGCTACGTGGGCGAAGTGCGGACAGACGAGTGAACGGTGCTACGCTATCGTTGGATGTAGAGGGAACATATACTGGCTGTGGCAAATTGACCTTGCCCTCACTCGTGGGTATGTGCCATGGTGACGAGGCTGTGGTCGTCCACAACGATGTCGGTTCACGCCGGGGACACACTGCCTTCACGATAAAGCGACCGTCGCCTGCGGCGCAGGTTTGAAAAGGCGGCCACTATCAAGAGCGGTCAGTGCGTTCATTCAATCACGACTTTCCCCAAAGCATCGCGCGCTGCACACTCATTCATATCGCGCAAGTTTGGTCCCAAGGAAAGCGTGGTGGCCCTCGCTCTCACTGTATATTCACTTCGTCTCCCACTACAACTGACCATCCAAGAGAAAGAGTAAAATAAACCCTCTGAAGCAAGGTACGAAGGGCATGACATGCACCCTCGCCCGCGCTCAGTGGCTGGCGTTGGCCTGCACCTTGTTCTGGTGGCGGTGCTTGCGGCCGGTCGCGGCGGTGGTGGTGGCCGTCGCAGCAGCGGTTGACGTCGCAGCGGCGGTGGAGGCGGCGGCAGCAGTGGTCGCGTTGCCGGCGCCGGCCGTTGCGCTGCCAGTCACAAGCGTGAGGAGCTTGGCAAAGTCTGGCGTACCGAAGCCAGTGACCTGCATCGCGGTTTGGGTCAGCATACTGATGCTTAACACGACATTGCAGAAAGACATACCGGGTCCCAGCCAGTGAGCGCGGGGAAGCCGTCGGTGCCGCAGCCGGGGTTACTGCCGGAGGTGATGTCGTTGAACGCTGCCGCCGAGCCGCTGGAGTAGATTAGGGGGTTGAGGAACCCGAGCGGGCTCTTGCCAGCGTTCAGGAGCTCGTCGTTAAGGAGCGCGACGACGGACGCGAACGTCGGGCTCGACGCGCTCGTCCCAGACACACCCTGCGCCTGACCCCCGACTGCGATGACGAACTGCACACCCTGAGTGGACACGTCGGGGAACGCACGGCCCTTGGTCTGGAAGAGGCCCGCGTTCGTGTTCCCGAGCTGCGACAGGTACGCCGCGACCGCGTCGTCCTGGTACGCCGGGCGCGCGAAGATGTTCGAGAAGCCGCCGGAGGAGAAGTCCGCGGCGACCTCGGGCGAGATGCCTTGCGTGCTCCCCACGGAGGTGAGGAAGGGGCAGCCGGAGGGGAAGGTGGGCACGAAGGCGGCGCCGTCGCACGCGGTGCTTGACTGAGAGCCGGACACACCGCCGTCGCCGGAGGCGAAGAGGATGGTGGTGCCGCGAGCGCCGAGCTGGCCGTACGCGGTGCAGAGGTTCACGGCGAGGTCGGGCTGGGTGGCGAACGAGGCCTCGTTAAAGCCGAAGCTCGTGGTGAGGACGAGAGGGGGCGCGTCCTCAGCGAGCAGGGCGTTGATGATGTCGAGGAAGCCACCGAGATCGCCATCCTTGTTGTTCTCACCGACGGAAATGAACGTGGTGGGCACGTTCGTCGCGAGACCAACGGTGTACTGGATGTCAAGGGTCTGTACATTATGTGAGACTTCAGCTGCAGAAATAAGACGGCGGAACGAATACTGACAGCTTCAACGGTACCATCGCCAGAAGTGATGCCACCATCGACGGAGACCGCAGTGAAGGTGCCATCGGGAGCATCAGGGCGAGTAGCTGCCAAGAAAGTCTGAGATGAAGATCAGCAATCGCAGCTACAGCATCCATTTGAAATCACTCACAGCCAAATCGTCCTTGTTCGCGATCTCCTCGATGAAGCCGCTGACGCCAAGGCTGTTGCCCGTGGCGGACGCCGGCGTGGTGGGGATGTTGTACAGCGCCTGCAAGCAGTCAGGGGTGATCTGCGTGTCACAGATGGCCGGAACAGCAGCGCGCTTGGAGCGCGTCCGCTTGGACTTGCGAGGGAGGTTGACAATCTCGAACGCAGGAGTGTGACGCTCAACCGGGGGGATGAACCTGATCGAATATTGAGAGTGTGTTTAATGACCAAAATGTTCAGTACTCACTGCGTCGCCGGGTAGATGAACTGCAGGTGCTCCTGGAGCGTCTCCGGAATCGAGTACGCAAGCGTACGGATGACCGTCTTGTTCGTTTTGTCCCAGGTGTACTCCTCGAACTGAGCGTTCAGGAGAGTGTTCGCCTGGGCGACGGGCACGCTGATGCTCAACCAGTCACCCGCGGGGGAGATAGTCTGGGCAGTGATGTTGTTCTTGCCCAACCACGCCGCGACCTTGCTGACGGTTTCCGCACTGGGAGCAACCATAGCCTCGACCTGTAACAGCCAATACAATCAACACCCGGAAGCGACAGAAAGGTTTTTTAACACGCACCTCAGCCTTGGTCAAGTGGTGGCCGTAGTTCTCGCTCGTGGGGTCACTGACATCGTACAACGCCGACTCGAGTCCGGTGGCGTTGTTCTGAGTGAGCGCGATGCGGAGGTTCAGGGTCTGCTCCGCCGTGGCCTTGCGCTGATAAGAGAATCCGGTAGGAACGTCCACCTGGGATCGCACGACGAGGCGCTCCGACGAGAGCGTGAGCGGCTTGCCGAGGACGAGAGAGAAAAGAGAGAGAACGAGCAGGCCGGCTGCAACCATTGTGGAAGAGAGTGAACGAAAGTGAGAGTGAGAACGAAGGGACCACGGGGACCTCGGGGGAGAAAGGTGCACGACGTACCATCGCGGGGAGCGTTATATACCGCACCTCGCCCTGGCCGCCGAATGATGCGTGCGAGCCCCGACCGTCGCCAGGCAGAGGTAAACTCTTGCGATCGAACGCCTTGTCGCTGGTTACACAAACAATCCGCCGGCACGAGGGACTGCGCTTATGGCCTCGCACAAGGTACCGGGCTTGGCATTAGCCTCAGCATGGCCCCGGCCACCGCCTAAGCCTGTGGACGGCACCGGTCAGGCCTGCCCATCAGCGTAGACGTCTGAAAAGCATCCTTTCAGCGCATCTGTTGCCTGGCATGTCGTGTCAGAAGACACCATACTGCTCGTGGCTCATCGTCCGACCACTCACCGGTCCGTCCAAAAGCCACAGGCATGCGGAAATCGGCAAGCCTTCGGCGCTTGGCTGGAGTTGGCCGTGCCGGCACGGGCGCCTCCGACGGCTGGCACTTGGCGGAGGACCGCCATCCGATCATCGTGCACTCGTTCAATCTGTCGATCCCGGCGGTCGTCAAGGAATATACGTTCTGACATTTCCAGTCAGAAATGTCTCTCGAGGCTGGTGTGAACGCTATACAAGACCATCACGATGGTCAGCGCTGCATTTGCTTCCGAGAGGACTGCAGTTGCTTACTGCACAGCGTAAGACACCGGGCACGCCGTCGAGCACGCGGGAGGTTAGTAACCGCCATCCCCAAGTCGACGCGCAGGAACCAAACCTCAGTCATGCGCACACACGGATCCACACACTCGGGAGGTTGGGGGTGGGGCCGCCGTCGCCCTCCAGTTCCATACTCAACATGTATCCGATTAGGTACAAACTCGCGATTCTGCCAAAGTGGGCTCAAAAATATCGAAATGAAGCATCTCACCAGAGACGCTTCGACTTCTCAGCTGCGGCGGCCTTGGCCTTGCGGCCCTTGCCCTTGCCTTTTCCCTTCTTGCCCGCGGCGGCGGTGCTGGTAGCAGCGGCGGTTCCCGCGGCGTCGGTCGAGTTCGCTCCAGCAGCCGCGCCAGTGTCGGTGGAGTTGTCGCCACCAGTGGCTACGCCGGTGTCGGTCGAGTTGTCGGTGCCAGTGGCAGCAGCGCCGCCGGTGACGACACCAGAGAGCTTGGTGAAGTCAGGAGTACCGAGACCAGTGACCTGCCATGGCGCACATCAGTATCCAGTCCCAATTATAGCGTGCGTTGCGACTCACCGCGTCCCAGCCAGCGGCAGCGGGGAAGCCCTGGGTACCGCACCCGGGGTTGCTGCCCGACGTGATGTCGTTAAGCGCGGCGACACCCTTGGAGTACAGGAAGGGGTTCAAGAAGCCGAGCGGGCTCTGGCCAGCATTGAGCAGCTGGTCGTTGAGGAGCGCAACAACGGAGGCGAAGGTGGGGCTGGACGCGCTCGTGCCGTCGACACCCTGGAGCTGGCCAGCCGCCTCGATGACGAACTGGACACCCTGGGTGGAGACGTCTGGGTATCCGCGGCCAGTGGTGTTGAAGAGACCCGCGTTGGTGTTGCCGAGGGTCTTCAGGTAGCCGTCGACGGCGTCGGTCTGGTAGTCGGGGCGCGCGAAGATGTTCGAGAAACCGCCCGCAGAGAAGTCGGCGGCGGTCTCGGGGCTGATGCCCTGCGTGCTTCCGACAGCGGTGATGCTAGCAATGATGGTCAGCGGAACATGCAGGACAATCTGTTGGGGAAGGACCTACAAGGGGCAAGTGGCGGGGAAGGTGGGAATGAACGCAGCGCCATCGCAGGAGTCATCAGCCTGCGAGCCGGAGACACCACCATCGCCAGATGCGAACAAGACAGAGGTTCCACGGGCACCGAGCTTAGCGTACGCGTTGCAGAGCGTCTCCGCGAGCTCAGGGGCTTGCTCAGAGAAGGGCGTCTCGTCGAAGCCGAAGCTAGTCGTCAGCACGAGAGGGGGGTTCTCCTGGTTGGTGAGCGTGGTGATGATGTCAAGGAAGCCGTCGAGTGCGCCGTCCTGCGTCTTCGGGCCGACAGTGACGAAGGTGACCGGAACATTCGTCGCCACGCCGACGGTGTACTGGATATCGAGACTCTACAGGCTGCATCAGCAAATTCCGCACGTACACAGCGCGCAGCGCGCGGGGAATTTGAGCTCACCGCCTCGGTGGTGCCCTCACCGCTGTCGGAGCCACCATCGACGGACTGCACTGCAAAGGTGCCGTTCGTGATGTCAGGGCGCGCCTGGCTGAGGAAGTCCTGTCATTGAAGGGCAGGCATCAGCGATCACGGCGCAGCATCACGTCATGTGGGTGCGTACCGCAAGGTCGTCCTTGTTCGCAACCTCGTTGTCGAACGCGCTCACACCGAGGCTGTTACCTGCGGCGCTGGCGGGCGTCGTCGGGATGTTGTAAAGCTCGATCAGGCACGCCGGGGAGATCGTCGTCGCACACTGAGCGTCGACGGCAGCGCGCTTGGAGGTCGTGCGCTTTGTCGACTTCGGGATGCGGTTTACGACGCGGACGGCAGGAGCACGCGTCGGCGGCGGGATGAACCTACGCATACGCAGCAGCGTTAAACACAATTTAATGCGCAGGATGAGAACGAACGTACTGGGTCGTCGGGTACACGAAGGTGACGTGTTCGCTGACGTCCGCGGGCAGCGAGTACGCCATGGTGCGAGCCATGGTTGTGTTCGTCTTGTCGTGAACATACGAGGTGAAGTTCGCGTTGAACAGCGTGTTCGCCTGCGCGGGCGGGATCTGGATGGCGAGCAGGTCACCCGAAGACGAGTACGTCGAAGCAGTGATGTTGTTCTTGGTGAGCCAGTTCGTGACGGTTTGCACAGCTTCGGCGGAGGGCGCAGTGAGCGAGTCCACCTGCACCGACGGGCGTTTAGCGCTCAACCAAAAAGCAAAGAAGTCGATCATGCATACCTCGTCCTTGGAAAGGTGCTGTCCGTACTTGGAGCTGGTGGGATCACTGACATCGAGCAACGAGTTCACCAGAGCGGTCGAATCAGACTTCAAGCCCAAGACAAATCTGAACATCGCCGGGGGGAGGCTGTTCGAGTGGGAGAACCCCTCGGGAACGGCCTTCGCGCTGGCGCGAGTAACGAGCGAGGATGAGGAACTGGGCCTGCCCAGAGCCAGAGGCAGAACCGAGAGAAAGAGCAGACCGGCTGCGACCATGTTGAGCAGAAAACGAAGGAACTAGGGGAAGGGAGGGTGGATCGGCGACCTCGAGGGAGATGGCTGACCCCAACGCTCGCCCGCCGCCTTAAGTAGCTCCCCATCCGCAAAAGAGGCGTCGCGGAGAGATGCTGATTGCAGGGGCCGTCGTCAGGTTCTTGAAATAGAATGGGGGAGCTAGTACCGCATGTGCATCAGGAGGCGTGCTATTATTGGATCCACATACTGCAGCCACGGCGCTTTTATACCGCCTCTGGACCTTGGTGGCGCGATCGCTGCTCGAGGCGATTCGACTGGATCTTCGGGTATATAAACCAGCATCGTTGCATGCGCACCCCGAGGTGGCCGTACCTCTTGCGGGCGGGGATTGTCGCTCAAATGTTGCGCGCGTCTTCTGCGCGTGATCTTTAGGTTCGAGGAACACAACAACCGTTAGTTTGTGCGGCCATTGCAAGAATAGAGACAATGGGGCACTTACGGGGCAATGCCAGGAAACGCCAGCGCTGACTTATTCGATCAATGTCAGCCTTGAGCTGGGTGAGATGATATGTCAAGCACCGGAGACTGACCGAAGGGTATGATGTGTAGCATGCATTTCATGCCTCCGACAGAAGTCGCACGGGCGGTCGAGAGGGTTACCTGATGGTGCGATGCAATCCGCTTGAACACCGGTTTCCAGGACAAGCCGCGACGTCCCGCCAGTGCATCCACGCTGCGAAGCCCAGGATATTCCGTGACGTGGGGCTACGGAAGCGAAGTGTATGAGCCTCCATTGGTGGGAGAGCTGACCGTAGTCTAAGTTAATGATGGTCGGTCCCCTGCAACAATATGATTGAAGTGCAGAAGTGCGATGCGCCGCTGTACCTCACACAGGTAGCCGGGGGCACGGAACATCTAAGGTGACCTGGAGATGGTCAGCGCTATGCTGCTCACGGTTGAACGAACGCACCCACACGGACCAGGCCTTGCAGACGATCTTCGCCAGGTACAGACTTGATGCGCACACATCACGAAGTAAAGTCGCTGCCCTTCCTCACAAATATATCAACGTGATAACAAACCGGTCAATACCTTGCGCGCGTTGTATTACACCGCCACAGCATCCGTTGCGGGCGTGTCGCTCTGGCCAGTCGAACCTGTCCCTCTGAACTGACCGACCTTGATTGGCCGGTAGTTCCGAATCCTTGCCCAGTCAAAACGGCGCTATCCAAACCGCAAGGTCCGGACCTGAGGCACCAGCGGGCAAGCCCTGACCGTGCCAGGCGTTTCAATCACTTCCGGAACCCCATTGACCACTACGAGCAGCTTCTGGAAGTCGGGCATTCCCAGCCCGGTGACCTGCCATGCCGCGCCGGTCAGCACAAAGAACCCGTCTGCATGCGCTACGCAGCTCAGTCGACGTACCGCATCCCACCCCTGGACCGCCGGGAACCCGTCCGTATCGCAACCCGGGTTACTGCCCGCCTGGATATCGTTTAGCGCATTCGATCCCGTCCGAGTGAGGTACAGCGACGGGTTCGATAATGCGAGCGGCGCCTTGACCGCGTTGAGCAGCGCGTCGCCGAGCGGCGTGACTTGGGACGCGAGTGTCGGGCCCAGCGTGCTCATCCCGAGCACAGGCAGCGCCCGCCCGAGACGATCACGAAGTTCTAGCCTGGGTGGACACGCCCGGGTACGCGCGCTCACTCACATCGTACAGTCCATCGTTTATGTCACCAAACGCATGCACAGACTCTGCTGCAAGAAACATGGGTGAGCGGCGTACGCAGGGACGGCGCGGAGCCATCTGGGGACGCACTGCTTCATATGTCCCTGCGCCGCTGTCGGTGGCGCCGTTGACGGACAGCACCGAAAACGTCCTATTGGTGATGTCGGGCCACGCCTGCGAGAGGAAGCTCTGGCGCGCAATGAGAATGATGCCGGATGTAATTCGTGGGCGGAGAGTTACACTTGCAGGTCCGCCGGGTCGGTGGCCTCTCCGGAGAACGCGCCGACGCCGAAGCTGTTGCCTAAGACAGTAGCACTGGCAGGCATCGAGGGGATGTTATGATCGTCTGCAAACACCCGGATCTTGTGAATTGGGCACATTGCGTGGGGATGCCAACTCGATTCGACTGTGTCCCCTTCGATGTGTGGACGTGCTCAATGGTTTCACAGACATGCACCTTGTGAACCGCAGGGGCGATGATCCTGCGCTTTACTAGATGAACGGGTGTCACTATATGCGCTCCAAAGCACGTACTATAGGATTCAGGGTGCTTGCCTTATTCGCCGGTATCTGGATGTTGAGCCTCGGACTCTTTCATTGGTCTCCGACGGTATGCGTCTAGCTAGGCCCGCTCCTTCATGCTACTATACCATATTGCAGCACAGTACCGTTGACCCTCTTCTGAGCCTCCACGGCTGATTGGGATAGTTACGGACCATGCTGAAACCACCTGGAGATACGTGCAAGCGTAGACCAATCATTCAATGACGAAAATCATCATCCGTGGGCATCAGACACTCACCTGAATGTTGCGCCGCTGCTGCGAAGGCTCATCCACCAAATGAAGACAACCGAGACGCGATGCGGCACACCTGGACACCGGCTCGTCAAGCAGGTTGGCCTGATTGCGTTGTGCTGGACCGGTACCTATGACCACGCATAGAATCTCGAAAGATGTATATCACAAAAAGTCAACATCTGGGAGATGCGGGGCATCCGCGAGATGGTCGAGAGCAAGAGTTGCGCCCCACGCTGCGTCGTGCGCCCGGCGGTTCCGGAACTCTCACGAGCAAAAGATTCAGGCCCCACCGTGGTTCGAACACGGGACCCTACGATCTGCAATCGTATGCTCTACCACTGAGCTATAGAGCCCTGTGAAGCGACTTCTTCACAAAGCATTATATCGGCAATGCTGATGCTGGACCTTTGAAACGGCCGGGCTTGCTTTCCGTCTCGTGTCCTCCTCCACTCACACCCCCACCCCGGCTTCCCACTTGCGCTCAAGAGCATCATCCGTAAGTATATTCATTAAGCTGCATATCTTACGAGTGCGGAATTAAATGGTCTTTTTCTCTGCAGCGGGATGGAGGTGCCAAGACAGATTGATCCTGCCCCTGCGCCCACAAACACCAGCTGCCAGGTCATACTTACTCAGATCGACCAGTCCGATCCCGGTTGGCGGTCCTGTTGCGCAGAAATCCAGACGCAGCTAGGGGAGACTCTCACAGTCTCACTAGAAGATGTATCGGAATCGCAGAGGTCCATACTGTCAACGATACGGCATCTGGAAAGTCATATCCAGGAGCTGCGACACAAGTACAACACGACCTCCGCCATCCATCTACGTCTACCGCCGGAGATCCTCATGGGGATATTCGCCCAAGTGCAGCCTGCGAGCCGAAAGGATATCCGGCTCATGCACGTTTGCCAAACATGGCGATTGCTGCTGACCAGAACGCCCGAGTTCTGGGCGTGCATGTTTTCTGTCTTGACATCGAAGGGCCTACCATTCAATCCAAGGAGTACACCGGAATGGTTGAACATACTCTTTGACCACTCTTCCCCATGTTCCTTGCCTCTCACTGTCCACCAATTCTCTGTGGCAGCCAGCGACACTCTGGTACGTCACGCGTACCACGTATCCTCCCTCCATGTCAACATTGCAAGCAAATTTGTTGTCCCTTTCTACAACATGCTAAACCACGGGTTCCCCCGCCTCGAGAGTCTTCGCATGATACACGCGGCATCGACAACATCGATCTCTCCAACGATGTTCGCTGCCTTTCACGCCATTCACTACTCCGACCTGGTTTTACCCCTGTTACGTATCCTTCGTCTACCACCCATATTCTTAACCTCGGGGCTATCTCTTGACTCTCTGCGTCTCGTCGAGGTAGAGAGCTGCGGTTGCTCGGAATGCCTTCAACCGGCCCCCGTGCTGCACAGGATCACTACCGACATGATCTCCTCGTTTCTCCAACGGTGCCCATCTCTCCAAACCCTTCGTTTCGTCGGACTGGGGTATCCCTCTATCGCAGAGACTGCTCCTAGTCCTTCCGTTGAGCGAATTGTGTTTGGCAGCCTCGACACACTCGACATCACGAAGTACGACATTGCCGGTACTGCGAACGTGCTGGACTGCATCACGCTGTCACCCCGCACCCCAGTCACCCTGGACGTGCCGGACATGGGGGCGTTCGAGCCAATATTGCAGACGGCGTTGCGCAATTTGCCTGTCTTCTCGACAACGGTCCCGCACTTGCGGATTGTCGTGCACTTGTGTACAGCCACGAAACCCTTCAGATTGCAATATTTCCTCCCCGATGGTTCATCGCCATTGGCACTTTCCGAACGACGATCAGGTGCATCCCACAGACTATCTAATTGCGTTGCCCGCGCACGCGAGGTGCTCGCGATGCTCCCCTCAACCTCTGTCACCACCTTGGAGATGCGAAATATTCCTTCGCAAGTACTCGGAAAGGACCCTCAGGCCGCCGTCTTCCTGCAAGACATCCTCGTCACGTTACCCCGTCTCGCCGCATTGACCCTCGACCTCACCTCAGATGCGGTGCTCTCCTCCCTGACGCCGGTCCTCCAGTCCACGGCCGAGGGCGCCGGTGTGATCTGCCCCGTGTTGCAGGCCCTCACGCTCCGTTGGTGCGTTCCTTCTGAACATGACGCGGATGTGTTCATTGCGAACTGCAATCGGATCAAGGCGGCACTCGACACCCGTGCGAAGCTCGGTAGCCGACTATCAGCCTTTTCCTTCAAATGTGCGCGGATATCCCGTCTGGAAGGTCCTGCGAAGCAGGAAAAGGAGTTGCTACGCAAGCATCTGGAGGAGGTCTTCGCCACGACGGCGGACCAGGTTGCGGTGGAGGTGTACAAAAAGGGTATCGCGACGAACTAATGAGTACGGTCACAGTGTTGTATCTGTTCCGAGCTGTGTATACCTCCGCTACTACTTACAGGTGCTTTCCCGACCTAGACACAAGTTGAGTTCTGCAGGACGCACCGCCGTCCTTACAATGTTCATTGACTCAAAGCGCCGTATAGCAGATTCAGAGATCTCATATGTACGATTGATCGCAGCTTCTTACTAGAAGCAAGCCACGTTTTCGTGGGTAAGTAGATACGTTCACTGATCGTTTACTGATCGTTTACTGATCTTTTCACCTTGTCGTTACCCGTCCACTACAGTCACCCTGATCAGTGCTTTCCACTCCGCTATATCGACACGGTTTGTTGATATTGCTCCGTCAAGTCTTGTGCAATTATTGACACAGGTTGGCCTTCTGACTAGCAGGAATGAACACAGCATACTACCCCAACTGCGTTCCAAGTGCCATCGATGAGGCCCAGTCCAGCCCGTTTGCCTATTGTGCAGGACACCGTTTATGGCTGTAAGAAGTAAAATCCTCAGCCTCTTGTACGGCATCGAACGTGCAAGCATCCATCGCATCCACTATGCAACATCTCGAAGCGCACGTCTTGTCAGAACTGCGACACAGGTATAACGCGTTCGCCCCCATTCACCGGTACCAACGTCTACCGCCCGAGGTTCTCTTGGAGATTCTCTCTCAAGTTGAGCACACGGGGCGGCGCGATATCCGTCTCATGCACGTCTGCCAGACGTGGCGTTCGTTGTTGATGGGAACGCCGGAATTTTGGGCACGCATGCTCGCTGCCTGCCCGCTGAGGTATTCGCCACAGCTCGTCAACCAGGTCCCGGAGTGGTTTGACGTATTCCTCCATCGTTCCGCTCCTGCACCATTGGCCCTCACCCTCCCTTGTTTCCATCAGGCCATGCAAAATGCTCTGATGCCTCACGCCTACCACATACACTCCTTAGCTGTCTGCATCGCATTCAAAACGACCTTCGACAGCCTCTACACCATGCTCAGTCATGGGCTCGCGAGCCTCGCGAGCCTCTGTGTCACGCACGATTCCAACTATCCTGGGAAAAACGACGCCTCTTCTTATCGGGCCTTACATTGGTCAGACGAGACACTGCCCCGTCTGCGTACCCTCAGGCTACCCTCGATATTTCTGTCCCCAGGCTTCTCTGTCCTCTCTCTGCGCGATGTGGAGATAAGAAGCTGCGATTGCTATGTGTGTCGCAATCGCTCGGAGAAAATCGTGCTCGACCTGCCATCGTTCCTCAAGCGATGCCCATTTCTCGACACCCTTCGCTTGGTAGGCGGTGGCCCGCTGACCCTCCCGCATGGATCCGACTCCTCTGTCGTATTGACCGCCCTCCGCGTGCTTCATTTTGGCGACCACGATGTCACCGAAATTCGCGAGTTAATCAGCCGCATTACAGTGTCACCTCGCACCACCGTCACTATCGATGTCAAATACGGGTACCCCGGGGCGAGTGTGCAAGTCGCGTTGCAAAGCGTGCCGATCTTCTCGATGGCGGACAAGATCGTCGTACGTTTCTGCACCGGCGATTTTGCCGCGCCATTCAGCCTCGAAGCCTTCCAGGAGGAGGCCCTGCGGCTGGTCATCTACGCAGGACGTCGCAGACCGGTTACCACTCTTACGCCGTCCCGCGACGCCATAACCCATGGCGCGCTTGCAGGCCTTGCTTTGTCCTTACCCAGCCTCTCCGTCACCACCCTAGAGCTGTGGCACATCCCCTCGTGGGTGTCCCTGGACGAGTACTTCTCTCTCTTGAAGGACGCCATCGCCTCCTTGCAGCGCCTAGCCGTGCTGACGCTCCACCTCGAGGACGGGATCGCCTTCCGCCCCATGCGGCTCTTCCGACGCACCTGCCAGGGGAGCCCTATTGTCTGTCCCGTCCTGCACACGTTCGAGGTTTCCTGGAGCATCCCGGTCGACTACGCCCTCAACATGTTTATCGCCAGCTGCGCGCGGCTCAGAAATGCACTCAATGAGCGTTCGGTGGTCGAGAATCCACTGGAGGTCTTCTCGCTCACTTGCGCGCACACGCGGCACCTACAAGGGCCCGGCAGGACAGGGGAGGCGGCGGTGCGCAAGCGTTTGGAGAAGTTGTTCGCGGGCGTTGCGGGCGAGGTCCAAGTGACTACATATAGCCGCAGGGACCCTACGGGTCAATGTCCATAGGTATGACCATGATACTGTACCGCCCCAATACTGCATTGCCGAGCCGTCGATTATGGGCTATGTTTTGCACACTCGGGGTCCGCCGGCACATCCCTTCTCCCTACGAAACGGGCGACTTCGTTGACAATTTGCCCTATCCGAGCCGATTCCCGAAGTATGCATACCACTACTTCCCATTACGCGCAGATACTAAGTCAAGGATGTTTGCTTGATAGCAGTTACGTTAGATACAACCACGATAGTACACGCACCCCGAACCTGCCAAATGGTCGGCCAGTGCACGTTGCTACACCTGTACACCTCTGCTCAAAACGTCCGTGCATCCCCTCGATCGATACTCATCTCCCCCTCGACCATCGTTCATTGGTCGGGAATCTTGGTAGGCAGCTTGGGCGAGAAGCTGACGAGGGGAAGCGGGCCGGACGTCGCCTTGAAAGGCTCGAACTCGGACGCGGGCCGGAGCTTGCCGCTCCCGTACACCGGCTTCTCCGCGGGCGCGATGAAGGGATGTGCCTCCGTGTTGAACACGACTGCACAACTACTCAGAACAGTATTCCCTAAACGAGGTGAAGTGCTACTCACAGTTGTCCAAGCTGATGCGGTTCGGGTCGTCGAAGGTGAGGAAGCTGTGGCACGCAACGTCAGCGACCCAAACCCAAGAGGAGTGCACTAGAGGCGTGGGCGGCGACTCACAGATACTTCAGCACCTCAGCAAACCAGAAGCTCTCCATGTCGTCGATGAAGTCCGAGTCTGTCGAGTCGACGTCGTCAATCGGCGCGAACGCGACCGTCGGCGTCTTAAGGAACGTCGCGAAGCTGTTCGTCGCGGACACCGCGCGCTCGAAGAACTTTACGTCGCCCGTCGCGCGGTACGCGTAGAAGTTCGACTCGAGCACCTCCGGGCGCATGAAGTAGTCGCTGTTGCCGGGCAGGATGTAGAACCCATTGCGGTTGTAGAACGCGAGGTTGCCCGGGCTCGGGTCCCCGGAGCCCGTGAAGTCGCCGTCGCTGGAGATGTACCCGAACGCCTCGGGGCCGATGCCGGTGCTGGCGGGTTTGCGGGATCAGAAAGGTCGATGTGTAAGAGGGCGGCGATTGACTTACGCGGTGCTGGCATAGGTGTTCCAGCAGCCTTCGTTAAGAGCGAGGCCAATGTTAACGATAGTGTTGTTGTTGAGCAGCTTTCCGCCCATGATCCAGTTGCCGGCCATGAAACATGCCAAGTGGGAACCAACGTGGCGAATAGTAGCGCTGTCGTCGAGGTCGGCAAGGTAAGTGTGGTTGCCCACAGTAGATGTCTGTAGCGTGACCCGTTATGAAGAGATACTTTGTGGAATTTGTGGGGAGAACGTACTCGAAGGAGAGTGTGGATGGACGAGTCGACAGCGGTAGCCCATGTGTCCGCAAAGAGATTGTCGTTGGTGTTGGTGAGACGCGCGTACTTGATGAGGTACTCGAGGTAACTGTCCGAACCTCCACCCCACGTCTGCGCGTGGTTAGTGATGGCTTCTCTAGGCGCGCATGCTCGAAACTTACGACAAAGGCGCCAACCGACTGCCCAGTGGAAGGGTCGATTCCTTGGGCAGGGATTCCGGGGATGGGGGCAGGCTGCGTTGCATATCTTTAGAACGTGGCCTCTGGATGTGAAAAACAATCTTACCAAACTTGCAATTTGCCTAACCGAGTTCTCCGCCAGCGCGCGGAAGGTGTCGTTACCAGTGTACTTCCTATGGGGGACATTAGTCTTTGTATCACGAGGAGCAGATTCAAATGACACATACGCAAGTCTCGACCATTCAAGGGTGAGCTGTACGACATCGTGAGATCGTGCTGTAAAAGAAGTGCATGTAACTCACTGTGCCCGCTTCTGCGATGTTGGACTGTGCGATTCGTCAGAAATAATATCAGCCGCGTTACGTTTAGAACACGCACTGTCTGTATAACCGGGATGCTCGTGTTGAAATCGAGTTCGCCAAATGGTACTTTGTTACCCTAGAGACCCGCCGTGAGTAATGGCCGCTCCACCGCGCAAACGGAGAACTCACGTTGATGAACGCTCCGCTCAGCTTGGTTCCCAGGATGTTAGCCTGTTTGATCAGAGCCGGATACTTCTTCCCACTGAGCTCGTACGCGCTCAGCATGCCCGCGAGGTACCGAATGGTCGTCTCAAAAATGCTGCGCAAATATGCCGTCAAAAATCGCGTACACCGTCTTAGCGAGGACTTCGCTCACCTGACGGTGTCGGTTGTGTGGGAGATGGTGAAGTCAATGTGACTTGTGAAATTCACGATCTCCTCGAAGATTTCCTGACACGAGTTATTCAGAAACCGCACATGAGGTTAGGATAGTAGGAACATGTGCTCACTTCCTCGCCCATGATGAACTATCACACGTTTAGCACGCGAAACTGCACAGTAATCAGCGGTTTCACTTACGAGTGTGCTCAGCGCATCGACTGCCGATGCACCGAAGCCATTCCGGCCATCCGTGAATGACTCCGAAAGGGGTGTGAGGTCGTCATGCGGAAACGCGAACTCCCTGCGAAAAGTAACATAGACGCTCAGGCGCTTCTCTCCAAAAACACATTATGGGGCACGCACTTGTACGCATTCCAACTGGTCAAGAAGATATTCTTCACGTCTTGCCTGCGCGCCGCCGCGTCCGAAGGGAGACGGATGTTCGGAGTCTGGATGCGCGCGCCGAAGACGTTCACCACATCCGAGGAGACCGCGAGGGTAAGAGCGAGCGTGCGTAGCAACCAGGAGACCATCGCGACCCTCGAATGCTTGGGGGGTGAGTGCACCAGGTTAAAGGGCGGGCGTGAAGGAGCTCGCCAGACGTCCGCGGATTATATACGGCAGGGAACCTTGGCAGGACTTCTTTAGTACGCCGTATACGGCACCCTCCTCGCCGCTGGCGGACGTTGACTGCCGCCGATACCATCGCTTCGTTCTCCGGCCACCGTGGCGGGCGCGCAGAGTGCCTGGCTAGTGACCGCACGAGCACGCAGATAGGACCCCACGGGGCGGGAAGTAGACAGTTATTTTGGCGCGTCTTCAGTCATGGAGCAGTCAGAAAACACTGCCGGAACGTCGACACAGGTGCGCCCGCCGATCCACATGACGCCTACGCGAGCAGATGACTCCATTCTGATGCAGAAAGTACGCATCACCAACCTGCGATGCTCCTGCACAAGGGCGGTGGCTTTGTGGCGAACTTGGGCAGGACGCTCTGCGGCGCCCCGCGCTACGGCCGACTCACACATATTTATGCTCTGCGCGCTCTGGTGACCTCGGTGAAAGCCCGGGGCAGACAGGAAAAGGACACACTCAACTTAGACTGCACGAAACCCCCAATGGTCGAGCACAAGGATGGCCCGCAGAGAAGATTGATGTGGGAACGTCGGGGTTAGTCTCGTGATGGGTACAGCGCATGATCGAAGCTAGAGAAGCAACCCGACGGACTTGGATGGCTTCGGGTGTGTGCTCCTCGCCGTTCTCGAAGGGGCGCTATCTGAAAGCAGCATAATAGCATTGCAACCGTGAGAGGTTCGGCCCTGTTATGCACCCCTCAGGGGAGCGCGTTACGTCGACGGAAAGCACAAGACGTATGATACAAGTAGAGATAAAGGGGAGATACCAGCAGTGGCTTGAAATGGAACCCAGATATGAAGCAGTGGCGTTACGTGCGGTCGCCGTTAGGCGTAGCCGAGTTCTTCTGGATGAAGAAGTCCTCATCCGCAACCCAATCGACTCCGTGTCTAGAAGCGTCGTCGTCAGCGTCGGTTGTTATCTCCGATTGACGGCACTAAGACGGTTGCCTTACTTCTCCTTCAAGTGGGAGCGGAGTCCGTTGAAGATCATCAGCTTAGGGATGAACTGAATCTGCGTTGCGGGCTCCTGGTCGCTTGTGAGGGCAGGCCTGCAATGCCGACAACCATAGGCCTTTTCATCTCTCTGCGAGGCCGCCTCGGTGGTGTGCGCCATGAGCTTCGCGGTAAGTCCATGCTGGAGGAGTCGCTCGCCAGAAACACTGGTTTCAGGCAGCAAGGTGAAGGCGCACTCCTCGTGGCGTTTACAATGGCGTCCCTATGGATCCAGAATCTCAGCAACTCCGCGGCTGCGACAGAAATAAGCAATACGAACCACACTCCGCGCGTCCATGTTGAGCAAGCAGGAGGTGCACTGGATCCGATCGCCAACGCTATCGGCGATCGTGAAAGAATCCACGCTCTCGGGCTTAGTGCCGCACAGCTCGAGTACCTGAGAGACCGCGTCGACAGCCTACCGTGCCGATGCCGCAGAAAGTCAGCACTAGTGCCTTTTCGCGTCGGTGTCCCACTACGTACCCGCTGATCAGAGACGAAGTAGTCCGCGCTCCACCGCTGCTTATTGCGAGCCTTCTTGCTCAGGGCGCAGATGTGTTCGCAAGCACGCGCGAGGACCAGGCCGCCGTCCTTCCCGGTGTCCTTGCCGGCGGCATCGCACCTCTTGCACCGGAAATGGGCGGTCATGCGGTCCACGGGGTGCAGCTTCTTCTTGCTCATGGTCTTCCATCCGGTAAAGCCCAGCACCACCGCGAGCGCGGCCCGAGCGGCATCGCGCCACTGATCGAGGCTTTCCTTCAGAAGTGAGGCTACGAACGGGTCTGTGAAGCTCGCGTTCTTCGCGCTCGAGGACGCTTCGACGGTCTTGACCACGGAGAGTTTGCGGAACTCGGGGAAGCTGGGGAAGATGGCCTTCGGATCTGCCTTCCTGAGGCGAGCGTACTCGGTCTCCGATTCGGAACGCTTTCGATGTAGCGTGAGGTCTTGTTCACGGACAACTTTCCGCTTCTTCAGCGTTGCGATTTCGGCGATCACGACCTCTTTGATCGCCTCAAACTCTGGATATTAGATGAGATCCACGGCTGCAACCTAATAAAACGAAAAAAAAATTCTCATACGTGGTTCGGTCCACTTTTCGAAGCAACGGAGCTTGGCGTAATGAATGCCACTGTATGTCGGCGATTGCAGAATCTCCCACTTCGAGCATTGGATCATGCCGGCGTGGAGCTTTGCGCTAGAGCATGTTGGTGATGAGCGATGCCAGGATAGAGGAGCATATGCAGCAACGACTTACGTGGCCAACCCGATTTGTGTGTGAAGCGCTCTCGTGTTCTGACGTATATCGCGCCACTGGATGAGCTTTTTGTAGATCTGAGGGCATTGGTTCTTAGCTCTGTTCCGTGAAGATGGCAAGAACGGCTGCTGACCTCCATCTTCCCCGGCAGAGCGTCTGCGAGGACCTGCTTTGTCTCCACGTAGGCAGAAATAGCGTCCTGCCCCAACAAGTATGCTCTCTTGCGCTCGTCGATCGCCTCATTCCAGGTATCTGTACGAACGTAGACCTTGCCTTGATAAGGTTCTGAACGGCTCGGAACGTCAATGGCAGCATAGGGTGGGAAATGAAAAATGAGGTGCCATACCTTCATTTCTCTCCATGCGGGGAATCCACTGAATGATGTCGGAAAACTCTACTTCGTCTTCCTGTGTGACCTCATGTAGATGCGAGGACCTGGACAGCTGCGGATTAGCTGAATGTACGGCTGGACGAGGGTGCACGAATACTGACTGCCAAGCAGGTAAACATTTCCTCTGGTACAAAGGTCAGTGTGCGGCACTCCCGTCCTACTCGAGCTAGAGGGTCTCACCGTGTCTTCGCATAGGCGCACGCGCAATGAGAATGAATAGTAAAGGGCTTGCGACCTCTTGCCGCAAGCCTGTGACCCTTATGAGCACAACCATACCGACACATTGATGATGTGTCTTGCGTACCTGGCAGATACCGGAGTCGAATAGGAATGCAGCGTAGGTTGCTTCGCCCATCCCGGGAAGGAGTTCGGGGATGGCGCCGAGCACGCAGCGCGCCCGCGCATGCCGCCAGATGAACACAGTGGCGGGGTTGTTGACCAGTATAGAGCAGAATTGTTTGCTTGTCCGCGCTAGAGCGAGCACATCCCGTGTCGAGGGCATGTATGAAAGGACATCGGCCAATAGTTCTAGGGGTAGTTTGCCCAGATGGCAGTTCCGCGCGTTGATCTCAGAGGCTGATGTGATAGTCTGTTGCTCTGGCTCTTGTATTCTAGCTCTCTTGGTAGGTGTCGCCATGTTGCTGAGATAGGGATGTGGGACTAGATAGATGGGAGGAGAAAGGGAGACTGCGCGCCGCTGTAATGGGGCTCAAGGCACCTCCGATGCATATGGGCGTCTAATGCGGATCAATTTATCGCGTCCCTATTGAGCAAGTTTTTGAGATCGGTCGTTGTACTAGTACATACTGTCATCTTCCCTATCACACGAAAGGCCCTTACAGCTGGTAAAGAAACGATAGGCCGTTTTTGATGCCGCTCGCCTTTGGGGCCTTGTTTACCGTGTGGGGCCGAACAAACACCCCTCAGCCAATGATTGAGGCTGCTCGGGCGGTCGCTGTGGCTCTCGGGCCAGCGTTGTCGGAGCCCAACGCCGTAAGCCTGTCTGATTTGGGTATGCCGACATATGCCGCCTGTTTGTACGGCCCGACAGGTAAACAAAAGCTCTGAGGCGAGCGATCAGAAAAACGGCCTATCGATTCTTTACCAGCTGTAGTGAAGCGTACCTATGTCTTGAGGACTATTTTTTGATAGACATGATTGCGAGGCGGTATGCTTAAAGTTCAAGCTAAATCATATACTTATACCCAGGCTGACGGTTGGTACGTCTCACAGCAGGTATTTGAATAATAGACGAGCGCGATAACGTACATAAGAGTCGCACAATGTGAATATAATACAAGCAATACGCGGAGGGCCGACGGTGACTGGGATACATTATATACATGCGTACATTTAATGAGGCTGCGCGATCCATGTCAGGAAACAGAACACAAAGCAATGCTTGGCATCGGAGGCGAAGCACTATGCGAAAGAGGATCACATCGTGAACTGCGTATGGAAGTACGAGGCTTGACGGAGACTACCGAGCTATTCACGCGCAAAGCTATAAGTCGCACGAGCCAGCGCGGAGAATCGCAAAGTAAGACGTACCTGCGCCCTAGGTGACATCGCCGGCTCCGCTTGAGGGTGATGTTGCTCTGCGCCCTTTCCACGCCCAGTCCTCCTCATGTTGTGTGCGGCGGTGTACTTCGCGAGCTCGCGCCTGGGAACCAGTCAGCACACAAGACTACGCGTACTGCTTATAGTAATACTGACCTGACAGACTGAAGGAGCTCCGCGTGCGTCTGATGGGGGTTGCTCCCTGCACGTTTGGTCAGTAAATGCCTTCCATGTCCACAGCAAGCGGAGACATACGCAGCGCATCAGTGAAGGCCTAGGGGAAGGTGTGAGTGTCCAGCGCAGACGCAATAGTAGTAGGGCACAACACACCTTGATGAAGAATCCACCCTTCCGTCCGCCGTAAGTGATCTGGCTATCCATGCAAGCTGACCACGACGTCTACAAAAAACGATACGAGTTGAGACAACGTCCGTCGCAGGAAGAGGTGGTGATACTCACGACGTCGGGCCCTGGCGACTCGGGCGGCATGGTGTGGCTCCGTTTCCTTGTGTGCCCTCTCATCCACGCGAACTGCGCTGAGTCGTCGGCGCGGCCAGCTGCAGATGTGCGTTGGAAGCTGATCTGCTCCATGTCGGTGCTAGCCGAGTGCTTCCACGGAAGGCGCGCTGTTGTTATTACGTTAGAAAGAGACTGACGCGGGATAAGAGACCAAGCGTACGATTGAAAGTGGTGAGAGGAGAGCATGGAGATGCCAGGCCGTCCGAAAACACATTTGGGAGGTCTGGTGGATCGACGCGATCAGTAGAAACTCGTGACCATCGTAAGACGCTAACTCACCTGAAGCGGTGCCGGAGTGGCAGCAATCGAAGACCATCTGAAAAAGGGGACGTTAGGACGATAGACATCTCGAGGAATGTGACCGTAAAAGACGCACAACGCAGCGACTGCCGCTTGGAAGCGAGTCGACGATGATTTTCCGCACGTCCTATTCATTTCAATGTAAGTTTCCTCATCGTACGCGTTTGAGCGTGCGCTGTGACTCACGTCATCCTTGATGTACCCTTCGAACGTGTTGTATTCCGGGTTCAATATGGCATCGACGGGGATGAGTGCTGCGAGGGATGAGCAGGTGTGCCTACTCCTAATTTCGATCCACTTACTCTCATCGAAACCATCTTCCTCCGTGCCGTCCTTGTTCACAACCTGACTGCCGTGTCCGGAGACTGCATTGAGCGGTAGTATTAGTAAGCTGTAGCGTTGAACGTGCGATGGAGAGACTGACAAGAGAAGACGAAATGATCACCCGGTTGGGCACCCTTGACTAGATCTCGCATAGCTGCAAGCTGAGTGAGAAGAGTGAGTGAACGCGCCACGAATGAAGCTGTCGACCGGGACGTACAATGTTCTCCTGCGTGGGCCAGACATACTGTTTTTCGGGGTCGTCGATGAGGACAGTAATGTCCTCTGGCTTGTAATCGTACACTTCTGCAGAGCATTGTCAGCACCTCGCGGCGTTGCTGTAGAGTCAAACCACCGACGCACCAATCAGGAGCTGCCGGACAGTCTTCGGGTCCTCGTGTGCCCCCCTCAACTCCCATACGGGGTCGACCTCCTTCAACGTAGTCGAGTACTGCACGCCAATAAGTAGAGCCTTCTTCACGCAGTGGTGCATGCGCGGGAGACCAGGCATGATCGTCGGCGATTGTAAAGTGTGTAGGTTGCTTATCGTCCGAGTCGAAGTGCGTCGGGGGGAGGTGATCGTCGCGAGCGTGGAGGGGATGGGCAATCGTGCGGGGTATATCTACCTCCCCACCATGTTTCAAGTGCGATCCGCACGGGCGGTGCTAAATGGAGCTGTGCGAATTTGAGAGGAACCGGGGGCTAGTCGAGCGAGTGGCGCTGCAGCGCGGCCTCGGGCGCCCACAACTAGCTCCGCATCAAGATCCCGCTTCCCACCATCTGGCGAGATCGCGTGCCCGTCTGCAGTGCCTTACTCTCCGCGTTGCTTCGGAGGCGCCGTCTTGCAGGACATTTCGGACGTCGTGTGCGAAGATTGCGAAGAGCTAGCCCCGTAAGTCAACCATCAGCAGCCTTGACCTTTACAGATCATTGACGATGGGAACCACCGGGCTGAAAACATGCGGCGTGTGGTTCAAAACGTGATAACGAGTCCACAAACAGCGCCCACCTGTCTTCGCGATGTCCCGCAGGCGGGGAAGGCATTCCTCAGAACTAGCGAAGTGCCCGGCGTGAGTGACTCCGCCACCGCGGGGTCTCGCACCGGTGGAGGGAAGGTGGACTGGGGCTCAAAGCAGGAGATCAGCGTGGGCTTCCCCGCCTCTTTGCGTTATGGGATCGCGCTATCGAAAGGCATTGGTGCACCATTGCAGGCTCCGTCGTGCCGGATTGACAAGCATCGTGCAGGGCGGGGCGCCGACTACTCGCAACAAGCCGAAAATCTAGCAGAATGTTTATCGATCGAGGCCTCGTGTGTGATGGGGACGTACGGATGTTGGTTGACTGGTTCCTTGGCGCGCGTCGAGCGCGGTGATGTCTGATAGGTCCCTGTAACAAGTGCATGGTTATAATACATATAATGGTGGCAGTGGGGAGTTTCGGCTCTAAAGCAACGGTATGGGGCAGTGACCGCATAGAATATCGGAAGCAAATTAGCGCAATTCGTACCTCGGGCCTATAACATACAGCCTATAGAAGGAGAGAAGACATTATGGAGATACATCCGGAGAGCCAATGGGAATGCGGTGGGTTACAACGACGGACCTCTCACAAGACGAATGGTGTCTCCAGAACGGCATGCGGCCGGAGACTACCCAGCTAGAATTCGGATGCAAGAAGTTAGTATGGTCAGTCCGTGAGCAGTGCAACATGCGAAATATTGTACCTGAGGAATAGGCCAGTCGCTCAACCTTTCCTTGCGCTCCGGCGGCACTCTATCCATAATTACCTCAATCTCTTTCCTGTCAAAGACATTGTCAGCCGCCATACGGTCGAACACAGCAGTCAGGGAGGTAACGCACTGCAAATTCTGTAACAGCGTCGCATGCGTCGGCGTCGGGTTCTTCTCTGTATCGACATAAAGATGGTCAACATCGAAACCACGCGGAATCATGCAATGGTCGTCTTACGGAGTGCCTGGCAGAAGGCCTGTATGGTCCGAGTCAATTGTTTGGAGCTTGATAGCCGTGCTAGCCACTTACCCTGAGAAAGACGCCGCCTTTACTGTTGCCAGTGGTGTTGTGGGCGTCCTTACAGGCCGACCACGAGGACTGTCAGCACCGTGTGTTAGAGAAATGAAATGAGTTGAGGTCTGTGGGGAGAGGTACTTACAAGTTCGGGAACGGGAGAAGGGAGCGCGAGCTTGTCGGACCCGTCTAGTTCAAAACTATTTTCCGATAAACCCGTTGAGGCGGCTGCGCTCGTGGGATGTATCGTCTGCATCTTGGCTACGACGCTGTTCAGCTTATACCCTGTAATGCATGACAGCAACTCGCGTCACGCACCGAAGCCCGACGATTTCGAAGGAGCCGCTGAACGACGAATATTCATATAAGTATCGAGATGATGTAGAATGTGGGCCCCTCTGTAAGACTTACGAGCTTGCAGTACATGGGTTAGGTCGCCTTCTGTCACTTCGGGAAGATCTACGATGCGCCTTAGTACGTCTCTTTAAGTCAGGAGATAGAGATGAAAGGCACCTGCAGCCGTCCCAGAGTGACAACAGTCAAATATCATCTGTCCGTGTTGCACGTTAAAAAGGCGTCACTTCAAGTTGGATGGGTAGGGGAATACGCACGACACAGCGGCACCCGGCGCAGAGCGTCGTGAAAATCTCCTTTATTTCCTGTTGTATCGATCAGACGGCAGCGTAAAGATATATGCGAGCCCGCACTTACGTCGTCTTTGACGTAGTTCGCAAACGGGATGTCTACGTTGGATGGCTGACGATAGGAGTCTGCGGCGAAAAGGACTGGATGTGTCGATCCGTGTCAGTCGCAACATTGTCGCAGGCGCACCGCGCGTACATCAACTCACTTTCGTCGAGACCATCCTTCTCGTTTGGGTCATTGAGGGCCTTGACTTGACCGCCGTGACCGGAGACTGAAACAGAAGTTGATGAGGTACTTTCGTAATACAGAGGAAATAGCAATCTCACAGAGAAGGACCAGAATATCCCCGGGGCGAGCGTCACGAACCAGATTCTTCATCCCCCTGATCTATACACACGCATCGGATTGAGTGAGTAGGCAGAACATGAATCATGACCAGTATATCATTCAGCTTACAATGTTATCTCTTGTCGGCCATAGGCGTTCGCGATCTTCGTCCGGCACCTCGGGATTGTCCGTGAGAGTGACTATGTCTTCTGACTGGTATTTGTATGTCTCTGTAAAGATACGAGTGTCCTTGAGTGAGAAGAGCAGCAGTCATAATACTCACTAAGAAGAAGATCACAAAAGCGCTTCGTGTCGCGGTGTGCGCCCGGGACCTCCATAGAAGCGAAGACATTCTTGACCTCTCGGATTCCGATAAGAAGGGCCTTGCGGCGGCGCGGTGGGTTGGCGACGGGCATTTTCTCAAGAGACTATGCGGTACGGCTAGTCCGAGGGAGTGAGGGTGAGTGTAGAGCGGTAGAGCGGTAGAGCGATAAGCGGTAGTCTGCTAGCGTCCGTCCAGGTGAGATTCCCACTATATATACGCACATCTGGGCAGTACAAGCCACCGTCAAAATGCGACAAACACTGTCTGGGGAACCGGGGCTTGGGCGCGCTCATGAGAGAAGGTGTACAGGCTTCAGTCCCGTCCGGTACTTCCTGCGATGTGGACGCATCAGGCGCTGCAGCCACACAAGAAGTGCTGTCATACGCACCTCATCGGCCTCTGGAACACCGCTCACGCGGTGTCGAAGACCCTGGCATTCACTGCTGTGGACTAGGCTCCGATTTTCACCGGGACGGCCGGAAGGAACCATCGTACATGCCACACCGATGATGAACTTTACAGGCAGATGCTAGGCCGGATTTTCCACCCGCGCCGATGTCGAAGTTTCTGGTAAGCAATACGTGAGCAAGGTTCATAATCTATCTGAAACGCTGGATGACATGTACGCGCGGCGGTACACACCACGACAAGGTCAGCACTGGCGCGTTGTACGGCAGGAACCGGACACCGCTGACGGAGCTAGCTGCTCGCAGACAGAAACCTGCTATGAGCCATGAGCAAATCAAATCATGATGCACCCCATGCGAACGGTGTGGTTTAGAAGCTGATCTGAACTTGCAGCATGACTTAGACCGATGTTAACGTCAGCGCCGATAAGCACAGACCGAAACTATCTTTAGGCGTTAATGATTATGACCGCCCATTGAAAAAGCCACAGGCTTCTTGGGCGGTGATTGTTCAACAGGCCAGAGCTACGGACAACGCACTGTAAAACTGTCATCGCCCGTAGATCTGTCATCGTGGTTGCCATCGCGGAGGACTGAGTGAGCGAGTCTAGCGACGAGGGTTTCATGTGCTGCGCCATGAATCTTGTCTGACCAGCAAAAGGCATAATGACGACGTGGTGGCAGTAAACGACTCGTTGGCATGGTTCCCGCAGCAGCAAACGAACGATCCCTTAGCGAAGCTTGAGGGGCTGGACATGCGGTGGTGTCCCCAGTGAATGTTGGCTGATGAGAATCGAAAAAATAGTGATCAACGTTTCATAAATACTGCTACTCGTACGGCCAGACTATCGCTGCAATTGACAACGGTCTGTGAACATACTTACCTCCAATAAGGGCACTCCCCGCGTCCATTGAGTTTTCCACATGAACCGCATACATATGCTTTCTTGCTTCAGTCGCTCTACGTAGAGTGAGTGTGCCAGGGAGGTCATAATCCAGAGTGTTTTGTGCGCATATATCGAGATTGCAAAGGGGTGAGTTCGAGAAAAGGTGGTGGTAATTGGGAGACATGTCGTACCGTAAGCGCTCACTCTCGCCACCCACTCGGGAACTGCCGAACCAGGAACCTCAAGCAGTCGGTACTTGTGTGATAGTAGACCTGCTTGATGCGAGCTTGCTGGACCGCAGGATTCAGACGAACCTCTCCACCACTTATCAGGCCCATTAATGCACCTAATGCGCTGCCCTACTGCAGCGGGAAAAAAAACCTAAAACATTATGGTATATTACAAGCGCACACCGCATCGCCTCGTAGGCTGCTCGAAGCGCCATGCACAAGTACCGAACCCGAGGCACTGCCATCCTTCTTGATGCTGTACAAGAACATCATGGGATGCACGGCCTTCTTGACACACAGGAAGAAGTCGAAGACCTCGACACCGCAGGGCTGCGCGGAAGAATACGTATCGCATAGGCGTGCGGGTGATGCCACAACGTCCGACCGGGGTAACAGCTCTCGCCGACCACTCTCGTCGGAACGCGAGCCTGCGAAGACGGGCCCAGGTACGAGCGAGGTGCAAGCAAGCCAGTAAAGAACGCTACGATTCTCGACCAGCTCCACGAGCGAATCTAGTCGTCCCTCGTATAGCAGCCTGAGTACGCGTGTAGCATCAGCGCACTGTATAGCAGGCGAATCCTTGTACATCGACGCGAAGCTCAACCCGCATACCTGAGACACGTAATATCGTCGTAGTCGATCTCGGTCGCGTGGGGCGGGTTCGAGTTCCCAGCAGCGAGGGGTTACCGCACCTGTCACATATCGTCAGAAACTGCGAAGATCTTGATGACCACTCCAAAACTCACCTGCGCCACCGGCAGTAGCTGCCGCGCAAACTTCGCTGCAGTAGTATGCTTGTTCGCCTTCGCGAAGACCCCGATAGCACTGCACAGCGGGATCTACTGATGAGTGGGCTGCGGGCCCAAGCCTACAGCTCGTGAAGTACGCCGCAAACTCCGAGCTGCGGCGGATGTCGTCTGGCTCTTCCTGATCAACCCTGCAACGTCCGATCTCGAGAGTCGCACCGAGCAGAGACCCTCAGGATACCATGGCCAGGGCGCGCCACTACAATACGAGACAATCAGCTGGACGTCAACGATATACGTTAGTTCGTGGCGCACCTTTTTGGCCTCGCTAACAGACGAGATGGATATCAATAGCAGCGCACGGACGACCCGCACGGAATATGGTCTGCGCATCGTAAAGCTTGTTGCCAGTCAGAGTGAAGGTCCTACAAGAGCCCTACACGAATTGAGCGCAGCGTGCGCACAGCGACCGGGAGCACAAGACTCGGAATGTGAGTACGGTGCAGGTGAAGTTCGATTAGGTAAGGTTAGGGAGGGAAGGCGCGGAAGCTGAACGCAAGCGCGACATTAGATGCCTACGAGCGTCCGTGATATTCTGCATCTTCGTCGCCTTCTTCCAATAACCAAATGCAGAAGCCGCGGACGTTCGGAGTTCTTCGTGCGCTGGTATGCCTTCCTCACAATCTACGCTATGGCCCTGACGGTTATGTACGCGCACCGCATAGATGATACGGTAACCAAGATTACCACGTCTCCATCGGACAAATGTGGAGTCGGCCAGTCTTGGGCGTGTTCTCCGACGCAAAGCCGTAACAGAGTAGCAAGTCAGGTTGAGATACATATAGATTGTCAATGCACTCACAAGTCATCGCATTGCGTGGTAGAATGCAATGTCATAGTGTGAATGCAGTCGAAATGACCATGCAGCGTGGAGAGGTGGCGTCGGTCCGTAGACTTCATGTCTGCGACTTATAAGCCCCCCCGCGCGTAGTGGATTCCAGACAAACTTACCACAGACGGTGATTCTGCAGTCATTTCTGTCAGTGCAACGCAGGGCTCTGTTGGGTGCATCGCAATGGCTCGTCTTATGATTAGGCTCTCAGCCTCACCGAAGTAAAGTAATCAGTATCAGACGCGTACAAATCGCGTTATACACATCTCGACATAGTTACTTTTGAACTCAGATTTCTTTAGAACAACAGACGTGTTGCTTGAGAGCCCCGTGGATAGAAACGAGTTCGAGAGGATGGCGGATGAGGGGGACAGTGTGTTGTGGCGTTCAGCTGTGCCGACGTGAAGGACCTGATGATCTGTGCTTTCGGAGTATGAACCGGAGTAAGGATATGATTCTTATCCATAACCAACGTTCTTTGCAAACCCAACATTCTGCCCGCTCGTCCAGAGCCTCTCCTATGTCTTGACATCTATGTCTCCTATATCGACTGCTGTCACCTTCAATTAGGGCGGCGCAGCGCGCCAGCGGCCCATTGGCGATGTGCTCTTCGAAAATTCGCGCTGTTCGACCACCGCTCGAACTTGTAGTCGCTCCGTTCGACGAAGAGACCAAGCGGGATGCGGCATCATCGAAAGTGAGCACTATATGTAGTCCACATCATCGTATTCGTTCACTGACGATGACTACCACGTAGAGAGTTGAATCTCATGCTCCTGGAGCTCATACTGTAGTCCCATGCGTGGTCTGCCGCACGGCCGACCCACGAGAGTGACAAGACAGCCGATACGCTAGAGAAAGAAGTCCAGCTCATCCGAGAAGCTGAGAAAGGGTAAGACAGGTCCTCCCACGTCTCCATCTCCCTCCGCTTGCGCAGCATCCACGCCCCTTTTTGTCGGTAGGCGCACGTCCCATACAACGCCCGACGCATGCATGCTGACATTTTCTGCTCTAGAACACACGCGACAACGCCTAAACGACTTCATCACGCACATAAAAATCGCTCTGGCTGCTCTGACTGGACTTGGACTTCGGTGTGCTTTGACTGTTTCCGCTGCTCTGGCCTGCTGCTTTCTTCGTCCTCCAACTCTGGCTGCGCCTGTACTCGGCTGTGCCGTGGTGACGCTGTAAGCACGGCGGGCACCTAAAGACACGGTAACAAAGCACGAGTTGATAGCAAGAGATACGGCTCACACCCGTGTATGTACGTTTCAACCAGCCTCAATAAATACGGCGGCTCCTGGCTCTTACCTCTTACATACCCTGACAGCCCACGACGATGTGCACAAACTTTGTCGTACACGAAGCATCATCTCGAAACCCTCCGGCACAATGCTGCAATAGTGAATCACACAAGACATCATCACAGCTTGAAATTTTGAGCTTGACAGCCTCCTGGCCCGAAAAATGCATCAGTATCCACTCGTGTGAGTCTCCCGTGTCTGATAGGTTCCATAGCCCCTAGAAGCATCAGCAGCGCCAGAGCGAGGTATTGTTTCATGAACAGTGGGCAACAAATCCGGTATCCGCCAAGTACTGTGTTATGGCTTTCCTTCTCCCTTGCGACACACCAGGCACATTCATGAGAGGCGACATTGGGCTCATACGACGGCATCTCAGCCATGCTCAGGAGGCATTGGGGAGCATTGAGATCCGGATGTGTTCCTTGGTTCTCTGTCGTTGCTTGATGACATCCCAGCCCGCAATGTGCAATGCGATGATGCTGTGAGTTGACGTGGACAGACTTCCTGGGATGTGGTTTAGTATATGTTGGGGATCACGCTGTTTCCCATGACGAAGCAGTCCCCCTGTGAATAACATCCGCAACGCCGTCACTCTTCCTATCGCATCCATCGCACACTCTGGCACTCCCTCTCACCTCGGCGATCTCTCTCGATGTCCCCTGTCCTCCCTCTAGAGCTCGACGAGTTTATACTCGAGCTTGTCCTCGACGACTCACGCTACGGCACGATGCATACAAACCTAAGACAGTGCGCGCTAGTATGCCGCGCATGGCGCCCTAAGTCTCAAGCTTTACTCTTCCGCAAACTTACCTTCGACCACTGGATCTCTGGTGACCAAAAACTCTACGACTACCGTCGCTTCCTAGAGGAACATCCCCATCTTCTACATCACCTTCGCTGCTTCGAAGTTTGGATGCCCCATAAGCGTTCACCATGCCGGTCCGTCTACGGTGTACTGTTTCATGTTCTAGCCACCCGCCTTCCCGCCCTTCGGACCATGCTGATTTATGGCGCCAATGCGTCTTTCGAGCTGCACCGATTCCACAGTGCTCCATACGTCCAAATGGCCAATATCGCAAATCTGGAACTTTCATACATTGATATAGTGGATATGACAGACTTCTACCACTTCATCCTTCGCTTTCCCAACCTCTCCTCACTACGAATCATCGATTGTTATTGGAAAAATTCAAGCCGACAAACATCCCCGCGCCTTCGCAAACGTTGGAGGGCCCCAACCATCACACAGCTCAGTCTCGCTTTTGGGGCGGCCGTGGCAGATCTCGATGCTGTAATGTCGCTTGTGCAATCCTCTTCCTGCCTTGCATGTCGCTGATATACACTACCGCGACGGTATAGATACCACAACGCGAAGACGTTGAGGATTATATGCCGTCTGCCATACAGCTCCTCTTGCGAAATCTTGGAGCCAACCTGGTACACCTACAAATCAATCTCCGCGCCTTTGAGTTCTTGACTTCTCCTCAGCACAGTAAGTGGACATCATTGCGAATAGCAGCGAATGCACGTGTGCGGGAGGCTCACCATTGTTTGTACAGCACCAGACACCTACGAGCTCTTACGTAGTTGTTCTATGCCGAGCCTCCGACGCCTCGAAGTTCACCTGCGCTGTCCGGCGAGGCTGGTCAAAAGCCCTTTGGACGATCCGTATCCCGTGTCTATCGGACGTATACCCACACTCTTGAACGCTATCGATGCAACGGGATTACGTGTCCTCGGCCTCTACTTCAGTCGTGTGGAGGTACAGAAATCTGAGGAGCTGTTTTTGGATGCACTCGAGCAGATCCACGGGGAGCTCTCCATCCTCGTTGAGGGCGAACACTTCCCCAGGCTCGAGAAAATTCGCCTCGATGTTGGCGCCCCACCTCATATGCACAGTTGGTGGAATCCACGTCTCGCCGAACGCCTTCCCGTATTGGTGGGAAGGGATCTCTTGGAGATAGTGCAACATGTTACCCGATGGTTTGTGATTTACTAGACTTCGGAAACGCCAATATCCACGACCATATTACTGACAAATGAAATCACAGGTTCAAGTTATACGGGCCTTTCACCGACCCGCCAGGAATAGGCGATAAGCGCTTCATTTAGTCTTAGGTGGAGTCTTGTACCACAGTTGGAATATGTGAGTGACAGTCTGTGCAATACGTCTAACACGCTCATTGATATCACGAATCATTGCGACAGATAGTAATTGCAACAGCCCCAGTGCGCATAGTGACTCTATATAGGAAGCCCTCAACCTGTCGCAGTTGTCGGATATATACTATGCACCGTCGCTCAACGTTAACGTTCAACGTCCACAAAGGTTTCAACATGCGTGCGCAAATCGCTTGATCCGAACCAGCTCAAGTAGGGAGCCCAGTGTGGCTTGTCGTGACCTGAAGATTCCCCGTTCCGTTCTGGACTGGTCGTTTCCGCAGGATTCAAGTTTAGCTGTTGCGCCCCCGCCCCCGCCCCCGCCCCCCTTCAAGATTTTCTCCCCGATGCGGATTCGCGATTTTCCGGGTCCTTCAGGTCCGTCGCCCCAGCCTGTGATGCCTGAATACGGTGCTGATAGATCATAAATAGTCGCCTCACTCCACATCTGACACTAACCTCGTTGCGTCTACGCCTCTAAACTCGACTTGTAGACGCCAGTCTACGCCGGCGGCGTCTGGCGGCGTACGCCTCCTACCTGCCACCCTGACATGTTTGGACACGAGGTGTGCGCAGGCGGCGAACATAAACTCGATAAAAGGCCCCCAGTGTCATGGAACCTGCTACTTTCACCCGCAACACAACACTACTTTGGGCACGGTGTTACCGCCTCGCCACTAGTTCGGTGCCAGTGGTATCCGTTTACCTGTCCATCTTCTATGACGACGCTTTCTGTGTATGCCTATGGCACATGCAAAACTCACGTCTCTTTGTGCTCCCACAGGGGGCAGGAAGAGCCAATAGCATTGCCGCCGCCACCACTTCCCATGAGCAACTCTGCTTTCATATGTCGAGATGGCACTTCAAGAACCATGCTGGCGACCGTTCCCTCGAAACCTCCTCCATCCAACGACACAGAAGGCCCCGTCAGCGTCTTTCTCCACATCCACACACGCGAAGAGTGTACTCAGGTATTCTCGTCAGCTTCGCACTGGCTTTCCACACTGGATGCCATCCTCGACTCCCTGGATGCATCTGTCTCCCTCTCTGTATGTGGCTCTTGCCTTTGGCTTGATCTTGATGACACGCACCCGTGCGGCCGTGACCAGCCCCAGAGCAATGATCTGTTCGCAGTGATCGTGTCGCTGGAGGTTACATCCGTAGCTTTTCGGAACGCCCAGACATTCGTCGAATCGGTCCTCACTTGGTTCCCTCGTCTCAAAACCCTTTCATTGAAGTCCCTTCATTTTCTCGAGGACAGGCAGGAGAACAAGGACACCGAACGTGCCAGTGGTGCGAGCAACACTGCTACCAAGATAAAACCCCGTCGTAGCCAGGTACAAAAGCTGACGATGTGCAACCAGGGCGCCCTGGTGAGTGGATATCCTGACAACCACGGCTCGTTTAGCGGCCACGTACTGACTCCTCGCGGACAGGCCAGGGATGTCCAGCACTGTGCGCGTGCACTCCGAATTCTCTTACCAAGAGCCCAAAGTACGCTCGGATACCTCACATTCGATAGCACGACAATGGCAGCGCTGCATGTTATGCGAGACCGAGGGGCAGTTGATACACGTACCATCGTTTGGCGCGAGGACCAGCGCCCCACCATGGCTCCCGCAGAACCGCCGCCCATATTCGACCTCATCTCCCTCTCCAACCTCGTCATCGAAGTGCGCATCGCTGCACGCCCGGACGCAGCGGTGAACAAAGAGCTCGCGGATGCTTCCAGAATGCTGGCATCTCTGTTGAGGTCGCCACCGAAGCGCGTCGTCGTGGACATCAAGATATACCCCGAGGATCCTGGCGAACCTGGCATATTGTGGTGGCCGACGCGTCTCCGCGACGGTTTCGCGGCGTTGAAACGCGCACTTGGCGAGCTCGGCGACACGGTGTTGCACCCGATGCAAATCCGGATCGTGCAAGGACAGCCGGGAGGAGGCGAAGCAGTAGAGGAGATGCGGGTAATCTTCCCCGACGAGGACGTTAGTACCGAGACTCTGGCGCAGAAGCGGTAGTTGGACGCACCGGTTGCAAGCTACGCTATACCTCCGCGCACCCATCCCATGAGACGGCATGGGTCCCTCTCGCTCAGTAGAGATTTGACTGGATGCGCAGCTGCCTTCTAGAGATTCTCTATTTTGTGGTATCATCGCCTGCATTAGTAAAGCCGAAGACGTCACGTATGTACGTTAACCCCGAGGACATGGCACCTCGTGTCATACGCCCCAAATGCTATATTGATCTGTACCGCTGCGGCCGTGTGGCGGACTGAAAAGCGCCATCTAGAGGCGTTGGAGGCGCAAAGGGGGTAGAATCCCGGAGCGCGTGGCAGCTCTTCTCCACGGTGCATCGGAAAGAAGCAGTCTCTGCTCTAGATTCGCCGAGGCGGCCGCACGGACAGAGGCGAAACTAGTTCACAAGTAGAGAAGCACCGTCGTTGAGGCGAGGCGACCGAGTGGTCGGAGATTGGCAAGAGGCACGCCTCTGGGGCGGAACCCAGGATCGTGATTCGCAGATGAATCGCAAACACATCTCGGATCTCGAAAGTCAACGCCGTCGCACTGGGCCACCTGGTCTACACTCCAGCGCTAGGAGCGATAGTCAAGGGTCCTAAGACGGCAGATACATCAGCTCCGATCACTGTGTACAGACGTTGCAAGACGGGCACCTTCGGATGGCACTATGGCCGCGGAAAGGTCCTTTTCCTGGGCATTGGGCGCTGAGCGCTGATGCCCTAGGGGCGGAGACGTCGTGGCACCCCATACACGTGGTCGGCGAGGCAAACAAGCACGGTGCTTCCAGTGGTGGTACGCTGGGGTGAAGAGCTCCTGCGCAGCTTGCGGCACGACCTACTGCGATCGCAGACTATTTCGCAAGCCTCCGAGAGGTCTAGAGTTGCCTCCGGTGGTGCCATCAGCATGACGACGCCCCCAAACCCGATCTTCTGGCTTGCCATAGTGCGAACACAGCTGCAGAGGTTTGTACCAGAACTCGCCGAGCTTCCTCTTCCGGCGGGCGTCGTACATGCACCAGGAGGCCACTGATACTTGAGAGTGCCACCGCCTGATCCGGGTGGCGTGAACGGCGAATCGGAGCGTGCGCTCGTGCTACCACCGAGACCCGACATGTCAGCTCACTTTCGCCATTTCAAGCCGTATACCACGTACGTGCCTCCCTGAGCTTCTCTGGCCGAACGCGGGCATCATAGTCGAGGCGTGGGATGGACATGTAGATCCGCATCGTGATCCGAGGGGCTTGCCATATGATACACTGTCGAATATGGTCAGAACGAGGCAACACAACAAGAACTGGAATCACCGCTCTGTTGGAGCGAGAAATTTTCAGCCCCACAAGAGGCGGCAACAGAACACGAGGCGCTAGCGCCTTGAAGGGCCCGCATGCTGGAAGGGGTGTTGCGCAACTGCCTCGCTGGCTTAGGCAGCTGGCAGAGAGATTTAGAGTGTATCACCTTCTGGTCGATCGGCCCTCAGACCGTCGATACGGAGACTCCGGAAACCCCTTCAATTGGACGACACCAACACGCCGCGGGCGAGGGCGGGGATCGGCCATATGCCGAACTGCAGAGCCTTGCGCCGCCGATGTTCAAAAACTTGAAAGCAGGTTCGGGACCGGGATTCGAGTCAAGATACACAACGCATGATCCCGTAGGCATGAGTCGCGTAGTCGGATTGGGGAGTCACGGATCCTTCATGTACTACGTCTGAAAGGACGAAAACGGGATGTCTTTCCGTTCACGTTCAGGCCTGTAGAGAGCCAGAATAGGATGCTACATCAGTCATCCGGCCTATATTAATATAGCAACACTTACGAACGTGAATTTTCGATCAAGAGCAACTTCGGTGGTGGCGGGCTCTTCGAAATCACCCTGGCACTTTCCGCGCAGCATCGTGCACTGCAGCATGTTTGCCGACTCTTTCTGCGAGACCCCACAGCACACTTGAATAGTACTAGCACCGACTTGAGGGGTTGCAGGCGCTCCGGTGCAGTTACTTTCACTGTAGTCCCGGTGAGCTTCTCGACTTGCTCAGCGAAGACAACAGCAAGTCTTGCTGTTGTCTTCGCCTTACACCAACCGCACACGAAGCACCTTATGACATCGATAGCCTCTGAAACACCATTAGAGGTGATTACAATGCCGCCCAGGTGTTCACAAAACTCACAGATGCCTTCACGTAACTAGGTGTCTCCCAGATGAACTTGAATCCATAGGCGACGTTGCCTGATCGCAAGGCAAGGGCAGCCTCTCGAGGTTTCGAATGTTTTGGCCTGGCACAGACAGTTTCCGCTCAAGAAAGTCTCAGTCGAGCTCTACGCTTGCATATTCTGTGGCCAGTGGGAGCAGAAAGAGGAGTTGGTAGGTGGTCGACAGCAAGAGACGGCGAGTCTCCAAACTCCAGAACCCGGAGATTAGATGTGGACAATCTTATCTGATAAGTATATTGTAAGAGGTTATCTAATTATATCTCGGTGACACGTCGCGGTGCTGCGCGCGCGCGAGCGGTCAGAAACATCCCTCTCCCGACGTCCACCATGGCGGTCGGCATATTCTCCTGGTTCCTCATCTCGCTGGCCGTGGTAGGGGCGCACGCTGCGACCCTCACTCTCCAATCTCCTCGGTTCACAATCTCGGCGTCGGACGCCAGTCAGCTTCGTTCAGAGCCGTGAGTTTCAGCCACCACATACATAAAGAACGTGCTGACGCGTCGCGCACACATAGATTGTCACTCGCGCAGAAGCCATCAACGGCTCTCTCACTCGGTCCTTCAGATGTGCTGAAGCTCACGTTCCAAGTTGTGGACAAGGATGGCGGCAAGGGCGTGCAGCCACACCAGACCTTCCTGCGGTTCTATGACGAGGTTACGGGCGAGGAGGGTATCCAGCCAGTCAAAGTGACGCCAGGCGGAAAAGCAAAGTTTGAGCTTGTGAGTTCGTTTGACGCTGCTGCGACGCGTCTCGCTAAGACCATGGACGTCCCAGAACATGGCTCGCCCGCCCACATCTCTTCCCCCGACCACCACGAACCCGCTCAAAGTGTCGCTCTATCTCGGGTCTTTCGCCCATGCGCCGGTGCAGTATGACCTCTTCGACCTCGTCGTGCCGCCATCCCAGCCTCCCGCGCAACACACGGAGGAAGCGTCCTTCCACCTCCGTCCCGAGATCCACCACACCTTCCGCCCCGAGCAAAAGCTTCCTCCCAAGATCATCTCAGCGTTCTTCGCGGCGCTCCTGGCCGCTCCTTGGGTCGTCCTCTTGGGCCTGGTACGTTCTACAACATCTTCGCGTGCCTGTCCCACTCACCCCTCTCGCAGTGGTCGCACATCCGTCCCCAAGTACCGCATCTCTTCTCGCCAGCGATCCTTCCCTTCGTTGCTACGCTCGCCGCGTTTGAGGCGCTCCTCGTATGGTACTGGGTCGCGCTACGGCTCGGCCAAGTGCTCCTGTACGCCAGCATCCTCGCCATCCCCACCGCGCTCGCGGGGAAGCGCGCGTTGACGGCAGTAGGAGACCGGCGTCTTGGTAAAAGCTCGAAGTAGCGTACGTGAGCCACTTTGGGGACGATGATAATTTATACCGCAATAAACAGAGGCTTCGGCTTGCCTTGCATCGTACAGGTGGCGCGCTACGTTCTACGACGTCTTCAAAATGCACTACGCGTGCTGCACAGCATATCATGGTCGCAAACCGTCGCGAGGCGGCGTATACAGTGAACCGAGAGGAAGCGAAGATATAATTGATGGTCAACGCAACCCTCAGCATTATCTTGAAAACCCAAGGAATGCGCGTCGGACAACCATGAGTACCGCAGACAGTAACTCTTGGTGATCACCGCTATGTAGAGATTGAGTAGCAAATTTGTGTGATTGTCTATCCTAACATGATACCGCCTGAGTTATGGCGGGTGATACCTTGGATTCCGACAAAGTCTATACTGTAGAGAAGGTACCGCCCGAGGCCCCCCGGATATGGGCGGGTGATAGGAATAGTAATCACCTCTCGCTGTTCGCAAGGTCATTGTGGTAAAACGCGAGGCAAATGAGTAGATCCGAAATGCGCTAGAAGCTGCATGTTGGGTGAACAAGTACACCCGGGTGGCCTTGCGTATCGACATTCCTAGCAACATTGCCTAACGAGGACACCCGGCAAACGCCGAGAGGACTTTGGTTGGCAGCTGAGTCGGCGGGTGACAAACATCTTGACGTCTACCCGACTCTACTCTCACCACAGAGCACCCTCATTCAAGCTCCAGGGAGAACACTCCGGGAGTGGTCACAAGAAGTGAGTCTGTAAGATAGAGCACAGCGGCTGATGCGATACCCACGATTTGCAAAATAGTTTGGCAGCGACAGGATTCGGCAACTCTGCGCGAACAATGAACATGAACGCTCGCCGTGGAATCCAGGATCTTCCACAGGAGATCTTCCATATAATCTTAAACTACCTGGGGGACAACAAGCAGATCCTCAGGAACTGCAGTCTCGTCTGTCGATCCTGGCTCCAGGCGAGCCGCCCGCGCTTCTTTGCCGTCGTCTCGCTCTATGCCTGCGAGCGCCGCCTAGTAAACTTCCTCGACTTCCTCGACACGCACCCGGACATCACCAGCCATGTACGGTCGCTCATGCTACACAAACCGATGGACGACCAACCGCCAGGGGTCGACGGGACGTCAGAGCCGTCCGTGACACCGTACACTCTGGTCCGCACTGCCCGCCGGCTTCCCCGCCTGCGCGAGTTACAGCTCTACTTCGTCCACATCGTGCCACTGCCACCGACCGGCTCGGAGTCGGAAGGTGTACACCGCGCACCGCCCATCGACCTGCGCGTGTTTCACATCTTCGGCAGCGCTCACCAGGAGATTGGGCCGTTCCTCGAGATGCTCGCTCACTTCCGCACCGACCGCCTCGAACTCGAGCTGGTCACGTTCGACGCATGCTCTACACGTCCATCCGCCGCTCTCGCACGGCCCATCCACGTCCGAGACCTCCGGGCGGACCTCGAGGCCGCGGACGAGGCTCACGTCGCTATACTCTCCGCCCTCGTATCCACATTATTGCCCGGCGTGCTACAAGCCTTCGATTGCAGTTGGCGGGAATGGTGCGGCTGCCAGCCCGTTGGGATGTTTCTCAACGACGTCGGGCACAGCCTGACCGACCTCACGCTCAACATAACCGTCAAGGCCTGGGTCGAAGAGCGGGGCACTGCAAGTCGGTATAGCATTCGCTCGTCCAGAAGACACCGTGCTAATTCTACCCGTACGCGCCAGTCTCGCGCACGGAATGGGATATTCTGCGCCTGGGCGCGTGCGCCCGTATGCGGACGTTCCGGGCGAGCATGACACTGCCGCTGTCGTGCCCGCACTACGAGCTCGCGGAGACGCGGCGGTCCGTGACGTCCTACCGGAACCTCTTCGCAGGCCTCCCCGCCTCCGTCCACACGGTGGTCATATATATGTCCGCCGTCCCGCGCGGCCTGTCATACGGTGGACGAGCGGGCATATCGGGGCCGTCCACCAAGATATCCGTTGACTTCCATGAGATCGAAGAAGTGCTGCTGGGCCTGGCCGGGCTGGGAAAGGTCGTCATCGCCTTGCGGCCTGCGCAGAGTGCGGTACACGGCGCCGCTGCGGTCGCCAAGGCGTTCCCGGTATTGCACGCACAGAATATCCTGGAAGTCCGATCGGGCTCTATGCTCGCTGGAAGGTGAGGGTCTTGCTTCCCGGCCTGGCTAGCGGATATGCGGGACTAAGCCCGCCGCGGCAGCTCCAGCTGGTGACACAGGATACCCCCGGGGAAGGTATTTGGGTTCTGTATCGCACCCCCTTGTGTCCTAGGAACGCACGGTGGCCGGCAGAAGTGAGTGGATATCGTCATTGTGTACCGTAGGCGGTCCAGTGCTCATCGAGGTGTTTCCCATGCGCACTTGAGAAGCGAGGTACCTAGCCATCCGATTAGAAGAATTAGAATGACTGAACCATGGATATATATCACGACTTCTCATTGAATGTAGCACTAGCCCCTACCTGCTATCCCTACCTGGAAGTTCAGATGTCTGGGTGTGGCATCGGCATCTATCTTCGGGGCGTCGCATGGCCGATGACAACTTCGTGACACCGATGTCGTAGACCGTCCTCGCACCCTATGAGAGATATCGCGCGAATGCTCTCCCCGATATCGAATGTCGTACGGGTATCTATCCTCCTCTAATACAAGACCACAGAACCATCAGCTAAACTACAGCAACTGTCCGTGCCCAGCTAGCGAGACCAACCTAGAATACACGGGCCTGGTGGCGGGGTATCAGTCTATCCTGCCATCTGAGATCCGTGATGACCGTGCTCGCGGCGTCATCGTCATCATCGTCGGAGGGGTGGCGGACAGCGCCGGTCGTGCTCGATGCCAGGAACATGACATCCTGCTCGTAGTTTTGCGTCCATTCATACATCACACCTTGAAGATGCCCCCCTCTTCCCTGTCGCGGCGACACCGCGGGAGGATGGAGAAGACCTTGCTGGTCCAGCGTGTCCACGGGAGACGCGTAGCGAGCGCGACGCTGGTGAGCCCGGCGACCACGAAGATGTTGGTCGCGTGCTGGAGCCAGAAGAGCGCCTGCAAAGACGCGATGACCGCGGCCCAGATGAACGCCGCTCTTGGGGCACTGAACTCGAGCCCGGTGCGCCGGAAGCCCGGCGACGCCTCCTTCGCTGCGTATAGGAACGAGGCCTGCGTGACAACATGCCGACGTCAGCCTTCAAATCAAGCTTGGATGACCTGGGGAAAACGTACCGCTTTGCTCGCACACCACGTGTGCGAGTCACTGTAGACGTGCAGGAGCGAGAGGCCGGCAATGAATGCGACCGCGCAGCAGATGAGCGATACGCCTGCAATGAGGCCCGGGAAGGGCGAGAGCGCGAGCGTCAGGACATTGACACTGTGGGTGTGGAATGCTCGTCAGAAGGGTGCGTGACGCGATCGAGCTGCGGTGCACTTACATCGTGAGGCCCAGAGACTGTCAGAACAAATCACGCGACGGGACTCGTGTCAGCTGAAGCATGCGGCAATGAATGGTACTACGCACCCAAGACAGGCACTGCTGCCACTCTGCGCGACATTGAGACATGAGGTCGCGCCACGGGTGCACAAAGACGATCTCGTCAGAGAAGACGCGGTCCAGCTTCGCCGCATACGCCTGCGGGATGCCGAAGAGCAGACGCGAGGTGGCGGCGAAGACCCGGCCTCGAGGTGGCTCCGGCAGGTCGAGGATGAGCTGATCGCAGGCGAGGCGTGCACGCTCTTGCGCGTAGTGGGTCTGTGCTCGGCTCCGCGCTGGAAACACGGTGAGCGGGTGCTGTTTCAGACGAGGTCGCAGAATCGCCACTCACAGATGACGCTCCAGAGACGCGCGACAACGCAGATGGATCCGGGATGGTTGAGCCTTTGCTTGGCACCCTCGAGGATGCGAATGAAGTTCTTGCACTCCTTCGCCACGTAAGGGAAGGTCGAGTTCTCGGACGTCATATGGTCGCCCTGCCCGTGGATGAAGATGGCAATGAGATCGTCGACAGCGAGGGAGAGGCCATTGGGGCTGTGTGAGGGAAATTGTTCAACGTGTTGCCAATACAAGTCGCCCAAGGTATAACCTGAAGCTACCGCGTCAGCCGAGATTACCGCGACGCACCCAAAAAAACTCACGGAGATGCTCCTCGGACACGACATCCGAAATGCAAAGCTGATCCAAATCGACCTCCTCGAACCAGAAGAGTATGTGCGTCGCATGATCAGCGACGTAGTAGCCACACTCATCCCCGGACTCTGACGGCGACAGGTAGACCTCCGCAGAGTCAGGCAAGCTGGTTTGCTTCGCGTCGACCATCTTCGCCACCACCGCCGCAAAGTGCAGCACCTTCTCCTGAGTGATGGTGGAGTAGATGTACGCATCGGTGACAATTCGTGGGGAGGACTCGCGGACAAAGTAACGCTTGCCCTCCGGCTGGATTTGTGATGACCATCCAGAAGGAAGGTATCGGGGTCTGCGCCATGTGGCGTCAGCTCTGACCGACACGTCCGACGATGATCACAGCTGCTCACTCTGACTCTCCTCCGTACGCAAACTGACCCGGCTTGATGACCATATTGCTAGGCACGCTCCTAGACAACCACCGATGAGTGGCGGCGATATAATTGACACAAACGTTATTTCTCACTGCTTTCGACTGGCATAGCGACCGGTGAAGGCGGGCGTCGTCGGGCGCAACGCCGCAGAAAAGTCCTTGGATGACTTGTAATCCGACATCGGGGTGAAGGCAATTTTCTGAGGGTAGGAAGAGGAGGAGGAGGTGGTGGTGGTGGTGGTGGTGGTGGTGAGGGGGGACGGCTGAAGATATGCTTCTTATAATATACTCAATCGTCAACGTGGCGCGGATATATGGTCGTTAGGAGAACCATACAGTATTATTCCGCTATAGACTTGATGTGGGTATTATGGTTGTTGTTCTATAGCGAACCCGAGAGGCAGGGATAAGCGGATGAGGACACAATGGCTGAGGAGTCGCTGAATGGCGTTTCAAGAGTGCCTCGGAACTCTCTGTTTAAGTACCGGTGCCGATCCGCAGGGTCTTCTGGGTCTGTGCAAGGCGCCAGTGTAAACTGTCAGGAGTGCGATGCGCGCCATATGTGAGGCAGTGTGACTGTGAGATCTTTGGAAAACTGGAAGACGCACATCTGGTGGCACGCCGCTGCGGTCCACCTTCCGGAAGTACATCGCCTTTCTCATCGCTTTCCCCCTTTTGACCGCCCCACCCTGAGTGCGCTATTATGTAATTATTTTTATCGGCACGTTGCCAGTGCTGCGGATTCAGTGCTGCGGATAAACAAACCCGAGTATGGAAGGCGCCGTGCGGACCGTGCGGTCTTTTATAATCGGTATAGTTAGCAGAGTCTAAAATCGTTTCCATGGCTCCACTCTGCCATACATCTGAGGCAAAAGAAGAGTAAGAGTGCATTCGCGTACGTTCATAGAAAATAGTACTTGGCACAGCCTTCGCGGTCAAACTGTGCTCCGCATTTTCAGCTGGTCAAGAAACGATAGGCCGTTTTTTCGGCCGCTCACCTTTGGGGCCTTGTTTACCATGTGGGGCCGAACAAACACCCCTGAGCCAATGGTTGAGGCCGCTCGGGCGGTCGTTGTGGCTCTCATCAGCGTTGTCGGAGCCCAGCGCCGTAAGCCTTCCAGATTTGGGTGCGCCGACATATGCCGCCTGTTTGTACGGCCCCACAGGTAAACAAAAGCTCCGAGGCGAGCGATCAGGAAAACGGCCTATCGATTCTTTACCAGCTGTTATCGGGTTCAAGACGGGCCCGGGAGAGGTCCGCCCGAATTTCGCTTTTGACGTACTCCCTGTGGCGTAAATAGTTGTGCAAGCTTCTTTGAACAGGATAGATGACATTGCGGTGGAATCAGTAAGACTTAGAGCGCGACCGCCGGTGTACAGCAGTCTAGTAGTGGACTAGTCTTCTATCCGCGTGGCTTAGACAGGCCCAGCGCGGGGATATCAACGCCATCGATATAAGGTTAACTTTGCACCGACTTGGCCATTACAAGTCGCGACATTGTCTAGATACCCGTAAGAATCACGATAGCGCCAGTGGGAATCTCCACAGACCACATAAATCTTAAGTTTGACCACTACCATCCACTACCCGATAAAGCTTTTGCTCGGTCAGCACCACCTCTTGCACAGCTGCAGTGAGGTTCACACAAATGGCCGACACTACACCTGACCGAGGAGCCCACGCCGAGCCGGAAGCGAGGTGAGGCAGATCTCCGTCTCTCAGCCTTGCGCGAACGAGCTGACAGACAGCGGCACGCGTCGGGTACGTAGAATTTCGGATGCTGGACAGCCTGATCGAACCGATCCACCCACCGGCTTTGGAACTGAGCCTTCCGGCACCTCTGCGGCCCCTCCGTGAGTTGTTTGACGTATAGCGATCTTACATCGTGCACATATTGACGTCTCTGCGGCCGCAAACAGCCCCAAGCCCTCGTACGCGCCCGTGAGGTATGTATCATTTCGACCCTGCCGCACGCATCCCGCACGTGCAGATCCGCACCTTGAACTGACTGGGTGTTTCCAGCCAAGAGAATGAGGACGACGACGACGAGGATACCTTCATTCCCCGTGGACAATCTGTGCAAACCGCTGCCGCGGGAGGGAAGAAAGGCGGCCGCCCGCGCTAACTCCGCGGTGTGCCTGCTCATTTGCATATAAAGGTATTGTCCTTTTGAGATATATCATGGTTCTATACCACGCCTACTAACCATCGTACTCCGTGTTTTATAGTCACACATCAGGATCTCGCCTGGAGATCGCAGGCCCTGACTCCCTGTACTCGTCTTGGATCAAACCCACACAACTCAGAAGGATATATAGATATATGGAAAGTATACGCTAGCGATGTATCGATATGCGGTCTTGGAAAATGCTCGGCTTGCTCTAGAGACTATCTTGGCTCTATAGCTATGAAGTCGTCTTGGTGATCTGCCAGATTGTGTCCTTCGACGCCCTTGGAACATGGTATTCATCTGCGCCGTCCTGCGATTGATCTCGGCTGTCGAGGGGGCTGCTAGGCGTCAAGGCTACTTCTCTCAAATAACACGGCTATCCTTCGCAACTTTCTTCCCTTTGAATCCTCATTTATTGTCCTTCTTTCGCACCTGTTAACGCTATTCTTGCTCGCTACGTCCGGTGCAATCCTAGTCTTCTGGCGCTGCACTAGTCTCCCCTAGGCAGACGTACCGATGAGGAAGCTCAACGGACGCGCTGCACCTGCTGCCAATCGGAGCGCTATCCTATCTTCTGACCACCGCATACCACTAACAGCGCTCGCCGGCTTCGGTTCCAAGTACACTCGTCGAGATCTTCCTGGCGGTGTTCTTATTCTGCTCCCGGTGACTCCATAGCGGCCCTAACTATCCGCAAAGCCTAGATTCCCAAAACTTCCGAGCTCTCAAACTAGGACCCATCGAACTCTATTTGAGTTGGACGTCGACGTCTGGCAACGTTCTGGAACCCACCTTGCAGTATGTAAACACGTCGAGACACCGGGAAAACGTCCACTCTGTGCTCTTTGGCGTAACGTGGATCACTCCAGTGCAGGAACTTCCCCTTCGCTATCATACAAGCCATGTGCATTGTGCGTGATCCTAATACCTGACACACCAACGAATCCGGTGCTGAATGAAACCTGTCCACGGCGGGCGTTCGTGAGCTGTATGTGCCCCGGTGGTAGCTCATGTGCCTACCGTGTGCGCGTGAGGTGGTCGAGAAGGCGGAAGCTACAGACCACAGCCTTCGTTCAGAGTCCACATGACGCTTCTCGATTGAAGCCTCGAGCGCATGCTCTGGCTGCAGCCTGAGCGGCGGTCATCGCATTGCATATGGACCCTTCCGCGCTGCGTTGGCTAGCGGTCCGCGGCGTTCCAGATTCTTCGGACGCTTCTGTGGGGTGCGGCAGCGAGTAATGACCGCGAGCTTATAGCGTGCGGTAGGCGGTATCACATCGCGAAGCCGGAGATGTGCAGCGGTAAGTGGGCGTACTTTACCATCCAGACCCGCCGGCGTACTTGTACTTGGACCCTGTGTGAAGTAGCGGTGGACGCATCTGTTGATTCATTGGACATGTCACGACACAATAGATGCGCCCGCACACTGAACGGGATAGCAGTGAGAAACCGTTACCGATACTGGGAACGTGGCTGCGGTGGCTATGAGGAGCTGGTCCCTGGACGGATTTCCAATGGCCTTACTCCAGGGCAGAAGGTTCATAATCGCGCTCGCAAAGAGGTATGTGGCTCCTGCGATGAACACTAGAACTCTATTGCTCTGGTCAGGCTTCAGGACGAACCCTAGTCCTCACGAGCGGGCCCCAGTCGCCGCAGGTGGACCCTGGTCGGAACTTGAGCTTATCCCACGGAGAGACGACGATAATGTTATTGCACAGCGCATGCATGAGATTGCAGGCGTACCCCAACACATCCACAACACGAGTGGCACGAGAAGACAGCTAGAATCCTTCACCCAAGTCGGGGCCCTCATCGTCGAGGTCACCGCCCTCCTGAATCTCCTTCGCAAGTTCCTTTTCGCGTTCACGCGCCCCCTCGGCGGCGGCAAGCTCCTTCCTGTGTGCATTCAGGGGGTAGCGCATAGCCTGCACGGGTGAAAGAGAGTCCGTCAACACAAAATTTTACCGAAGCGAGAGGCAAAAAGACGCGGAGATGAGGGACATGCGCGACGTGCACCGCCCACCCCAACGAACATGTGTGAAGAGAAAAAAAGACGCACCTTGACGCTCTGGTTATGGAGCTCGAGACAGTACGAGATGCGCCGCGAGAACACGTCGCTGACCTCGGGGCCGTACCCGCTCTTCTGGCCGCCGCACTCCATCCAACCCTTCTCGTGCACGATCCGACCCTCGATGACCCCGTCGCGGATCGCCTTTCCGACGATGTACTCCGCGTCCTCCTCTGAGTCGAGGTGCAGCTTTACGCAGATGTCCCGCAGCGAAATGCGCGAGTACGACAGCGACAGCCGCCGGATGCCCGTCTTGATCACGTTTTGCCGCAGCCGCACGATGAGGGTGTACGTCTTGTCAGCCTCGAACTCCGCCGCATACTTGGACAGCGTGTTCTGAAACTGCGAGAGAGATCCATTGCGGACGGCTGTGTGGTCATGGCGCCAAGGTGAGCGCAGGCCGCGAGGTATGATAGGAGAGTAGTTTACCCTTGACGATCTCGAAGTATCCCGCGAGCGCTTTCTCGAGCACGGGGTGTCTGAACAGACCGCGCTCCGGGATGTCGCCCATAAGAAGCTCGACCACGATGGTCAGCTTGTGGACGGCTTGGTAGAATCCAGGCGCCGTCTTGGCAGGTGGCGCGCGCCGGATGGCTTGCTGCAGGTTCGTGTGCGCAGCGGTGTAATTTAGCTGCACGGCCTTGATACGGCCGAGGTAGTAGTGGTATCGCGCATGTTGGGGGTTTCCAGCCGCGCTAGGGAATGTCGTCTTCGAGACTAGCTTGTCGGCTTGGTCGTAGAAGTTGTACTGCAAATAACTGCGCAAGATCCGGTTGATGAGAGACGCTTCTGTCTCGTCATCATGGCGCAGGGCAGCTGTGCGCTGCGCTGCAAGAAAATGTCTGCCGACAGGACGCGTCAGTCAAGAAAACCCCGCGGAGACAAGAGGAAAAGAGTGAATGGTGAACTGTGGACCTGCGCGCTCCGGTGAACTGCAAGCGCCTTCAAAGCGCCATAACAGGGAGGGAGGTCACGGCCACGCCATACGCCCAGAGCGCCGACCACCTCGCCGAAAATGGATTCCTACTTCCTATAGTCACCTCACGGACCGGATGCCAGCGCCCCGAGTCCGGCGCTCAATTTCATGGCAATGTCAAGCTTTGGGAGTCAAGCAAGGTCGGTCATACTCAAGACTGTCGGACCTCGGTGGACCGGTGAGGTCCGACCGTGACCAGTGCAATGTGGGACGCTGTCCACTAGTCTTATGTTTGAGAGCATAAATGACAGGACTCACGGTCGTGCGTCGGCGAGGTCTCCGGAGAGCTCGTATACCCGTTCTACTGCGTACCAGACCTTTGCTGCGATCGGATCCATGCTCCGGCGGTTCAGCGCCTGCATCTTCTCGATGGTATCATGCGCGAGCTTCAGTGCTTTGGGGTAGGTGGCGGAGGAGGTAAGGAGGTGGTGGAGGATGAGCAGCCGGAAGTAGACCTCGACCTCGGGTACGGGCTCTGCCTGGGGCTGCTTGGAGGGCTGGGTGTCGACGTCCATGGACTGCTCCGCAGACGGCTCTGGTAGCCATGCTAGGAGTGCTTTCCTGGACGCGGCGTCTGCGCATGCGCGTCGTGAGTGGTGCTCGCGCGGACGTACGCGTACATTTCGGATTGGCCACTTACCGGGGACATAGGACTCATTGATCGCGTCCCGTAGGATCTTGTCGTCGAGACGCTTCCGAAGGTGGTTCAGAGACCTGAGAACGCGGTGGGTGAACCGCGGCTCCAGAGTCGCGACTGCTCTTTCGATGAGCGCAATGTTCGCCTTGATTTCCGCGGTAGGCGTAAGTGGGATGGGTTTCTTCTCCTCCTCGACAGTCTTCTCCTCTTTCTTCTCGTCGACCGGTTTCATCTCTACGTCGGCCATCGTTGCGCGGGATGTGGAAGTAGCACAGATGGAGGTAGGTGGCTGAGGATGAGATGACCTGAGATGACGCGTCGCGCGACGCGCGTCGACTACATTTAGTGATTTCATCAACAATCCATTGTTACCTCATCATTGAGACGATTAGCTACTCTACTTATCGTGTTCAGCTTTGGAAGCTTGCATCAGTAGTCGGACTATGAAGTTGACTATGACTACATCTCCTCCCCCGCCACCAGCCGCCACCACCATGTCCTTCTTGACCCGTTTATTCCGGAAGTTACGAAATCCTGTAGGTCTCCTCCTGAACATCTGAAGTACGGTTTACATGGGATATACGGCTCATAAGCATGCTAGAGAGGCTTTGTGGGTAGAGATCTAGAAGGTACGCTCCTGCGAGCTTCGTTCAACTCACTTTCGAAGCTCAACCAAGCATCAGGAAACCAGTTCTTTGAGATCCCTGGAATCTATGATGGTAGGCATCGATACGACGCTTCAGCTCGTTCTCGCAGATTTTGAGCACACCCAGATCCACGACGAACGAAACGCGTCGTGAAATATGGCCATGGACGAGACATGTGGGCATATATTGGTGGAAAGAAGAGGCTAGCGGGTATGTGTGTGTCCATAGTGTTGGTCCTGCGTACTGACCCTCTTGTAGTCCAGTGGACAGCTTGGCTCACCCATACGCGACACCACCCTCCGACGGAGGAGGTAAGCCACTTGCGCATTGACATTCACACAAAGATTCACTGCGTGCATAGGAACTTCTTGCTGACCTGGATCGACAACGCCGAGTGCTCTTCAACGCCGCAATAATCGCAGCACGCGATCAGGAAGAGGCAGCGAGGATTACGGCGTCCCAGCAGGCGACTGTTTCCCATTTCCAGGCAGCACCACTGAGACAAGACGCCGAACTTCCGAAGGGCGAAGCTCCTAAGGATGAAACACCTGCGGCGGCGTCGGCAGCAGCTCCGCTCCAGCCACCTGAAGCCACCAGCGTCGAACAGAAAGCGGAACGGCAAGAGCCACCTGCGGAACAGTTTTCGCCATGGAAAAAGCCTCTCTCGGATGAACCTCACACCTGGCAGCCTCGCGCTTCTGTGCGGCGGGGAGGCTGAGCAAGCCGCCAGCCACCCTCATTGTTGTTTCCACTTGCGTTCCATTCCAGATGTGTTTTCCGCCTCGTCGGCGGTGTTACCTGGACGCACCGAATGAAATGCATCTGAACATAAGGAGGAATTTTAAGCGGACGTCCCGATACTAGTTTTTGACAACGTGTAAGAATTTAGTCTACCCTAGGCAGATGTCTCAATTTTTCGAGAGGGACGTACCAGTTGGCTCCGATGTGGTCGGAGAACTGGGTTGGGGCGCCGCCCGCTCCGTAGGTTCCCTTCGCCCCATCACTCGATATGCCTAACCTCATGGCATTCGCAATCTCACGGCTTTGGCTGCTACCGCCACCACATCTATCACTCGATGCGAGCACATCATTCCAAACCACTACTCGACGACCGATATTGACTTCCCGGCTTGCGCTATCATGACACCTCTGACGACCTTACGTTCTGTTCTGCTGTTCTTACGAAACCTACTCACCCGATGTCGGAGGCATACCCTCAAAAATATCCTCGACCTCTGGCATCTTCTTCGGAGACGACTTGGACGTCGCAGAAGCAAAGGAGGTGACGATGGGCCGGGGAGTACGGTCGCGCGTGCGCCGCAGTCTGCGGACCTCTCGTTTCGTGAGCCATTCCCAACTCCAGACTCTCCAGTACAACGCGTCACTATATGCGAGGCCCGGAGACCTCTCTCTGCTCTCGAGCTGCACATGGAACATCATCATAGTGGGCAGTTTCTGCAGCCGGGAGATGTCCCTACTCGCCCGGCGTCCATGGTGGCGCAGCTGGCCGTGCCCGGACAGTCCCCTGGCTCGGGGCCTTCGCGCGAGCTGCTTCACCCATTCTCCTATGCCCACTCGAACGCCTCCAAGGGATCCGATATTTCCATTGGCGTCCAGTCTACAAGCACCACGGAGCGGAGCCACAGAGCGCACCTCGACGGCCCGTCTCACAGGCCGGAGGCACGCTCGACCTCGCGTGCCGCAGCGCGCGGTATTTCTCGCATGGCGGCGAGAGCCCCATCGCACACGCCCTCTCGCGCGACCTCCAGATCAAGATCGAGAGCGCCTTCCCCGTCACCCCGACGGTCACACATAGACCTCCCGGATGTTACCCGTCTCGCGCCCACCGCGAGCCAGAATACGTTGGCGATACCCGACTTGGACACATACCCCCCCACGCCAGACCGCCTGCCTCCAGTGCCTCCAGCCCTGATGGAGGACAAAGTGTGGCCCATATTACAGTTACCCCGTTATGACGACTGCCCCACGATGTGCGTATCGAAACATGTTGGAGTGCGAAATCCCTCTGACTTCCGAGCGCTGCCAGTACACCCACGAGGGCGGATTGGATCCTCCCACCCGTGTCGCTCTCGTTCCCGTTGTGCGTCCGCATGCTCCTTTTGAAACGAAACATGACAAGTGCTCAAACCTACCCTGTCTAGAGAAGATGTCCCTCCCGAGTGGGTAGCATGCACCCATCCGGAGGGTCGGTTGTATTTTTATCATCCCCGAAAGGTGCGCTCCCGATGGCCAGCTACTCAGGTTTTCAGTCAATTATTGACTTGATACCCGCAGCGCATCTACACGGATGTCGATGTTCGCGATCTAACTCTACTCGCCGTCTTGGGCGCCTTCGAAGAAAGGCTCACGGACATGATACGTGCAGAACAAGTTGTATTACCACCTGACTGCGAGCTCATGTTGTACCTGGAGAGGCGGCCCATATCTGGAGGCTATAATTGGCTGTACTACTACGCAGACAACACCGCGCGCTCTCTGTTTTGGGTACAGGAGCTCGATATTATCGATGAGCTGCCAGAGGTTGCTGGCATCAAGACGTTGTCTAACATCAGTGGGTAATTCTTGCTAGAACTCATCCTTGCGTTGTGCTCATGGTAGGTACATGCAGGATACGAAATGGAATCGAGGTATTGGTACGTGATATTTTGCCGTCCACAGCATCTCAAGCCTCACGAGACAACTTCAGGATCCATTGTGAGATGTACCCCCACAACCATTCGTTATCGGAAGATGACTGGGCGGAGTTGACGGGCATCCTGACGTTCTCAAGCATCGGTACGTCAAGGAGTCATCGAAATTGACTATCAACTCACACTTACACGCTAGACGCCATTACATCGTTGACATCCACCATATCGTACGGTGCGGACGAAGTACACAGAATGCTCGGGCTCGTCAAATCTGCTAAAGGTATGCGTGATCGGAGTGAGCGCAATCAGCTTCTGACCACAACCTTCTGCTAGCGTTGACGAAAGTCGACTACGCGACCGTGGCCATGGGTGAGCTCGGTATGTCTTGATAGATTGGAACCGCACTCAAAACGAAGAACACCCACAGCTCGCCTGCTGAACCTCTTCTGTAGGTGTCGCTGATTCTCCGGGCCCCCATGCATTAAACAGCCACCAGACCGCCAGCGCTTCTTGAACATGTACGGGCAACCCTATGCGCGCTTGAGCCCTGCTCAGAGCGTGTACAACACCAAGAAACACCCCAGGACACCATTGATCAAAATAATGTCGTTCTTCTTCTGGAATGCCCCGGCTGTGCACCTCCGTGGGCTCGAGAGAATCTGGGTCGATGGCATCATCCACCTCCGGCCCTGGACGACCTTCATCGGCAAGCTGCAGAACGAGTGGCAGGAGTTTGTCCTATACGTGCGTACCCGCCCCGGATATCGCATTCGCAGCTGACTTAAAACCGGGGCGCAGGCTACGGTGTTGCTAAACGCAAACGTCGCGTTCCTTGCCATCCCGAGCGTAGACAACGGCACGGATCAGTTGTCGGCCGCACAGATCAGCAGTAATATCTCAATCGTGACGAGTGTGGGGAGCATCCTGCTCGGGCTGCTGCTCATCCGCCAACACCGCGTCAAATCGAAGGACACCCCGATCGAAGCGGTAAGTCTTCGTATCATCCCACACAACTCCTTCTGACCGCGTGCGGGTACCAGTTCTGGTTTCTCAGCGCGCGCAAGCATCCCACCCTCGGCCTCGAGACGCTCGCGATCATCTACAGCCTGCCGTACGCGCTGCTCATGTGGGGGTAAGCCGCGGTGATACTCTGCAACCCGACCCAAAGCTCACGTTCGCGACAGCATGGTCACCTTCCTCCTCGCGTTCTCGTTCGAGTGCTTCGGCACGCCAGACACGGTCGGGGTGTTCATCTTCGCCGCGGCGTGGAGCGCGATCGCCATCTTGGTGTGCTGGTGCATCTTCACCGGCTGGGAGAGCGGCGAGACGAAGCTCAAGGACCGGCTGCTCGCGTGGCGGGAGCGCCTGCTGCCCAAGAAGAAGACGGACGAGGACGATGCGTTGGCTGGGGGAGGGCCGCTCAGCGCGCTCAGCTTGAACGAGAAGGCGCCGTGGCTGGCGAAGTTCTTCAAACACGGGATCTTCCCGCACTCTGGCGACCCGCCAACGACGGAGATGGAGGAGCGCGCGTCGTCGAGCGTGTAGTAATATTGCTTGTTGTGTAGTCCCGCGGAGGACGTGACCACACCTTGGAGGGTCGTGTATACAAGGCGAGTTCTCTGAAAAAAAAACCCACTCCCGCGAGTGGATACCGGGTCTCCCGCCAGATGGCGGGTAGGTGCAAGATCTTGACTTAAAGTGCTGCCGTACGCGTTCCGCGTCGTGATCGGGAAGTTTGAAGAGTATGGCCTTGTGAAGAGACCCTCATTGGATGGGACTGAGGCCATCAAGATGTGCATATTAAGCTGCGTGAGGCACACGCCCAGTGCCTTCAGGTCAGAAACTGGGCATTGGATGATATTAGCACACATGCAATCCGATCGCGAGAGCCGGAGGGTACTCACGCGACGGGTTGGCCTGCTTGCCCTTGATGTCTTCGAGGTCCAAATCTTGCAGTGTGCCCGCGAGGTAGTTCGCTTCATCATGGAAAACAGTCTCCACGACATATACCAAGCCACATCCCAGGAATTTTGCCTGCATCTATGTAAATTGTCCCCACATAGCACATATTGGGTAATGGGGTCTGTTCCCGTCATGTATAATGAGACCAGGGACGCTACTAGCTGACTACGGTGCATGGGGCCGACACCGCCTCCCACGAACGGGTCTGGTATGTTATGATGCAAAGCCGTAAAGATGACGTCTCGCGACGGCGTTATTGATCCTACCATGAGCCCCGAAACCTAGCATACACGCCGATACCACGAATGACTCACTTGCACGCCAAATTTGCGCAACCCCGCCGTGGATTATTCTGATGGAGGTAAGAACTAGGAATCCACTGACGATGTGAACGTCCGCGCATGTGAGCCGCACCTCTTGCCATCTTGTCTTCAGCCACGATAACAGAGGTCGTAAAGGGAGTGCTCCCGACACGGTGGACCCGCTGAGTATATGCGCCCAAGCAAAGACCCGGGCTATCAACCTTGTTAACGTTCAACCACGTATACATTAGCGAGGCCATTGCGACAGCGACGGGCTTGTAAACCAGCGTATTCGAAGTCCTTTGAGGCGCAGCCAGACGTCAAGGGCGAGAAAAACAGCAGGCCAGAGCAGCAGAAACAGCCAAAGCACATCAAGGTCCCAGTCCAGTCAGAGCAGCCAGAGCGAGTTTGATGCGCGTGATGAAGTCGTTCAGGCGTTGCCGCGTCAATTCTACGAATGGAGCAGTCAGCATATATGCGTCCAGCCGTGTATGCGCCGTCCGCCTACCGACAAAGCGGGGAGTGGGCGCTGCGCAAGCGGACGGAGACGTAGGAGACCTGCCTTGCTCTTTCTCGGCCTCTCGGATGGTTTGCACTTCCTTCTCCAGGGTGTCGGCTGTTCTATCGCTCTCGTGCATAGGACGTGCGGCAGACCACGCATGGAAGTCGAGTATGAGCTCCAGTAGCATGACGTTGAGTTCTATTGATCATGAGCGCGGTTATGAAAAGGATACAATGACTCCGATCTAGCATATACTCACTCTCGATGAACGCTGCATCCCGCTTGGTCTCGTCGTCGAAGGGAGCGACCACCTTCGAGCGGTGGTCGAACGGTGCGAATTGTTGAGAGAGCATATCTCCGATGGGACGCTGGCGCATCGCGCTGTCCTGGTGGGGCACGGCAGTAGTCGATATAGCAGACATGGTCGTTGGGAAGCAAGAGAGGAAGAGCAAGGCCGTGGGTACATAAAGTCGCGGGGAAATATAAGACACATTACTTTGCTTAACTCCATTCTAAGCTCCGAAAGGGGATGTATCAGTATAGAACCAGCGATTGATGGGACCGACTATATGCAGACAGACTAGTAGTAAGTCAGTATTGGGCTGGTATACTATCAGCCAAAAATAGATAGTTTCACGCTTAATCCCTGGCTTCAAGTTCCACGTCGGCATAGCCGGCCGCCACAACTTCCCCCCGTCCGCCATCCCTTGGAGGCTCGAACTCGAATTCTGGCCACGGGGCTCACAGACATCATGTCGGTAATGCTCACCAAGTTTGAGTCCAAAAGCAACCGGGTCAAAGGTGTGTTTAACGCGATTTGTACGCGCACGGTACTGATTACTTTACTTCAGGACTCGCGTTCCACCCTACGCAACCGCTGCTCGCGGCTTCATTACATAACGGGAGCGTGCAGCTATGGAACTACAGGATGGGTGTTCTGGTGGATAGGTTTGAGGAACATGAAGGTGCGTGAAGCGCCGTTACCCGGTGAAACTGTGAGCCTGACCATAAGATAGGCCCGGTGCGAGCCGTCGCGATGCATCCCAGCCGAGCTCTGCTTTGCACTGGAGGAGATGACTATAGGATCAAGGTCTGGGGTAAGCAGGGGTGGAACCAGCTACTCGCGCGCCGCCTCATAATTTGTAGACATCAAGCCTACCAATCGACGCTGCCTCTTCACCCTGCATGGCCATCTTGACTACATTCGCACTGTGCAATTCCACCACGAGATGCCATGGATTGTGAGTCATCCCACCATTCACTCTGCCCACATTGGCCAAACCAGGCTCCGCGGCTGCAGCTCTCCGCTTCGGACGACCAGACAATTCGTATATGGAACAGCACCTCGCGCAACTGCATCGCCATTCTCACTGGCCACTCGCACTGGGTGATGTCTGCACAGTTTCATTCTAAGGAGGACCTTATCGTGTCGGCGTCGCAAGACCAAACAGTCCGCGTCTGGGACATCTCCGGCTTGCGCAAGAACACGCCCAACACTGCTCCCGGCACATTCGACCAGTTCGACAACTTCTCTACCGTGAAGTACGTCTTAGAGGGCCACGATCGTGGCGTCAACTATGCTGCCTTCCATCCGACGCTGCCCCTCATTGTCTCCGCATCGGACGACCGTCAGATTAAGATATGGCGAATGAGCGAGACGAAGGCGTGGGAGGTCGACGCGTGCAGGGGTCACTTCAACAACGTCTCGACCGCGATATTCCACCCCAAACACGAGCTGATCGTGTCTTGTGGCGAGGACAAGACCGTGCGCGTCTGGGACCTCACGAAGCGGTCCGCGGTGCAGACGTTCAGACGCGAGCATGATCGCTTCTGGGTACTCGCCGCCCATCCTGAACTCAACCTGTTTGCTGCAGGTATGTCACCACGCGCATATATGCAGCTTTCACTCAACTGAACGAGCTCAGGACACGACAACGGATTGATCGTCTTCAAGCTGGAGCGTGAGCGGCCAGCATTTGCCATGAACGGCGACACGGTGTACTACGTGCGCGACAAGTACGTTCGCTCGTATGACATCAACACAGGCGCAGATCTCGGTCTGCTGAGCGTACGCAAGTTCGGGAGTCCCTATGTTCCGCCAAGAACGCTCAGTTTCAACCCCGCCGAGCGCGCCGTCCTGCTGACTATCTCCTCCGACAACGGGCTGTACGAGCTATCGGGACTGCCGAAGGACGCTGTTGGTGAGGTCAAGGACTCGGCGACGGACGGTAAACGTGGCAGCGGTCAGGCAGCGATCTTTGTGGCGAGGAACAGGTTTGCCGTGTTGAACAAAGCGACTCAGGTTAGACCACATTTCGTGTACAGTTACTTCTATGCACTAAGGAGGCTGACTTGACATGAACAGCTCATTGAAGTTCGAGACTTGTCGAACTCTGTCGTCAAGGGCATCAAGCCCCCTGTGCAGACCAACGAGATCTTTTACGGTGGCACAGCCAGCCTTATTCTCAGCTCCGCGTCTTCGGTCGTCCTGTATGACATCCAGCAGCAGAAGACGCTGGCAGAAATCACCACGCCGCCCGTGAAATATGTCGTTTGGAGCGCAGACGGCTCTCTCGTCGCTCTCCTCAGCAAGCACAGTAAGTGTTCTGCACTCCGCCCCTTTACAAATCACGTATCCTGAGCATTAGCGATCACCATTGCGAACAAGAACTTCTCGCAGCACACGCTCATCCACGAAACTATCCGCATAAAGTCCGGTGCTTGGGATGACGCTGGTGTGTTCATCTACTCTACGCTCAATCACATCAAGTACTGCCTCGCGCAAGGGTTAGGTCCTGCCTTTCGTTCACGGTGATTTATCGCGCTAATGTCCCTTCAGCGATCACGGTGTTATCTGCACTCTCGACAACCCTGTTTACCTGACGCGGGTCAAGGGCAAGACCGTACACTGCCTCGACCGCTCTGCGCGGCCGCGCACCATCACCATTGACCCCACAGAGTACCGCTTCAAGCTCGCGCTGCTCCGGAACAACCATGAGGAGATGTTGTACAATATCCGGACGTCAAATCTCCTGGGTCAGAGTATCATCGCCTACCTGCAGCAAAAGGGCTTCCCCGAGGTGCGCCACGTATCAAGGTACATATGTCCAGCCTCTGAGACTGCATCCCCAGATTGCGCTGCACTTTGTACAAGACAAAAACACGCGCTTCGACCTCGCGATCGAGTGCGGTAACCTAGATGTAGCACTAGAAACCGCTCAGGCCATCGATCGGCCAGACAGTTGGGAACGCCTTGCACAGCAGGCTCTGAAGCAAGGCAACCACAAGGTATCCCACTCCGCTGTCGATGCGTGGTGGCCGTGTACAACGACTGACCCTAGTTATAGATCGTGGAGAAGGCGTACCAGCGCACGAAGAACTTCGATCGACTTTCATTCTTGTATTTGGCGACCGGGAGTACCGAGAAGCTCACGAAGATGCAGAAGATCGCGGACGCTCGTGGGGACCCGATGTCGCGCTTCCACAACGCGCTGTATGCTGGCGATGTGCAGGGCCGGATCGCGGTGCTCAGGGATGTTGGAATGCGTGAGTGTCTACATCGTTATTAAGCGGGGATAATAGGCGCTAATTTCATGTTAGATTCGTTGGCATACCTGACTGCCAAGACGAATGGTCTCGACGAGGTTGCGCTCGAGATCCTGGAGGCTGCCGGGCTTACAGAGGCAGATGTTGACGATGTTCCTTCGTTCGGACAGTCGACTCTCAAGCCGCCCCCCGTTGTGACGTCGACGACCAACTTCAACTGGCCGACGCTGTCCACGGGCGAGAGCTTCCTCGATCGCGCGCTCGCGAACGGTCTCGAGGCTGGCAGTGACGCGCCTTATGTAAATGGCGTTGACGGCAATGGGGCTGCTTCCGCCGCGTTGGATGATTGGGCTAAGGATGAGGAAGCCGTGGAGGACGTCCCTGCGGAGGAGGGCGCTTGGGATCTTGATGCGGATGCTGAGGATGCGGATGAGGCTGAGGAGGAAGAGGAAGTTGTCGAGGAGGAGCCCGAACTTGGTGCAGGGGCTGCGCCTGGGGTCAGCGAGACAGAGCTCTGGACACGAAACTCGCCATTTGCAGCAGACCATGTTGCGGCAGGATCCTTTGACACGGCGATGCAGGTGTGTGCTGTGTGTTCGAAGTAGCCGAGACTGAGCATCTGACCCCTCCCTTTCCTACAGCTTCTCAGTCGCCAGTTTGGTATCGTCAACTTCCCTGCTCTCAAGCCTGCCTTCCTCTCTGTCTATCGTTCGTCGCACGTATACCTCTCTCCTATGGCTTCCCTCCCTCCCCTCCAATTGCACCTGCGCCGTAGTCCGGAAGAGTCATCTCCGAGCCGAGTGCTGCCTGTTGCAGTGCGCACACTGCCCTCGATCCGCGCGGAACTCTCAGAGGGCTTCCGCGCTGTTTCCGGCAACAAGCTGCCAGATGCACAGACCGTGTTCCGCGCCGTGCTCCGCGCGTTATTGCTGGCGCCTATCTCATCTGACAACGAAGCAAAAGAGGTACGTGGTGAACCGCTGTGGATATTGGTGACACGCAGCTGATCACCTCGTAATGTAGTGGCGCGATCTGGTCACCATGTCCCGAGAGTACCTGCTAGGTGTGACGCTGGAGATCGAGCGCCGCAGAGTTGCCCAGGACGAGCCGGACAACGTCCGCCGCAGCTTGGAACTCGCGGCATACTTCACGAGCTGCAAGCTTCAACCCGCACATCTGCAGATCGCGCTGCGTAGTGCCATCGGGGTCTTCGCAAAGGCGAACAACCACGCTACTGCAGCAAAGTTCGCGCGGCGGCTGTTGGAGCTCAACCCCGACCCGAAGATTGTGGCCCAGGTGAGTTTATAAGTTTACAGCGGTTTTGGGATCGTGATGGATTCTGACGATGTGGCAGGCGCGGCAACGCATCGCTGCTGGAGACCGTAACCCACGAAACGCGGTCGAGATTGACTACGACGAGTTCACAGAGTTCGAGGTCTGCGGGGCGAGCTTCACACCGATCTACAAGGGTTCGCCCGCGGTGCGGTGCCCATACACCGACGCCGCGTACCTGCCACAGTACAAAGGCCAGCTAGACCCGCTCACCGAACTTACGGAAATCGGCGCTTCTTCTGCCGGCTTGCCTGCACCGCGCTCATAGCTTCACTCGACCTGGACAGTCGTGCTCCAGACAGAGTGGGCAGCAAGGGCTGCTACCCTCGGATGTTGTCGCACTACCCGCACGCCTGTAGCGCTGGCAATGGATCTTTTTGTCTCGCTTGGAACTACCGTTGCGGGCGAACAAGCCACACCACGCAAGATCACTGACGCTATACAAGAGAGTCCTACTCAAGGGTGGCGGAATCGCTCGCTAAGCTGGACCTCCGTTTGTGTTTTTCTGTTTTCTTCATCATCGGCTCTACTACTCTGACGTTGGCGAATGCTAATACCCGCCGTCCTCAAACGCTACAGCCACTCTTCACGGCTCACCGTAAACGACAGATACCCGTTGCAACGTGCTGTTGGGGGCACCTGGGAGATCGGTGGTAGTCTATACACTGCACGACTTCGCGCTCTCGGCCGCCGCGTGCGACGCATGGAAGTGCTAACTATTCGCGGCGGGCATCGAATATGCTTTCTCTCAGTTGTACAGCCTCACCTCAAGTGCTTGTCATGCTCAGGGCCACTATCTCGTCTGACAGCGGGTGGGAAGCCAGTAAGGTGTGTGGTGGATAGCTGTCTGCTTCTAACGTTCGATTGACCACCTCGTGTTGTAAGACGCCGCAGCGCCATTTATATGACAACCCTGCCCTAAGCGTACCTGGACGCCTCCCTGAAGATAGAGCGCCCTGGGTTACGGGAGAGGTCGTCTGCCTCGCCCTCAGCCCCAGCCCTGTAGTGTATGCCCTCAACCGCAAGGTTACAACGCTTCGGCTTGGTTGAGGTCGCGTCGAGTAGACTTGTCGGCGTCATTGTTGAACCCGCCCTGCAGGTACATCTGAATCCTATCCCGAAGAATGCCCAATACAATTTAGCGGCGACGCTCAAGCAGCGATAACTAATACCTTCTCCCGGACCGGGCTGTGCACAGCCAGTGCGCGCTTCCCGAATCTCAATTCACCGGTGCGACCACCTGCGCAGTGCTCACAACACAAAATGTGCGTCTTCTTCCGATCGATAACGTCGAGAATTGGGGCGAACTGCCACTAACTGGGTTTGCCCATCTTGCAGGGCTTTCGTCGTATCCCACGCCCCCTTCCGGAACCCTATGACCAGACTCGATGGCTTGCAGCGTCAATGCGCCGCTGTGGACTCAACAGTAAGGGCTGGCATTCGGAGGCTGGGCCAGCTGTAGCTTGCAAGCTCATAGCCATACAGGTAACGAATTTGTCCATGAATTTGCCTTACGCTGGGAAGCCCGACGACCTCGGTGGAATAGCAGATTACGTCCTGGGAGAATGACAGAAGCAACGCTTGAGCCTCGTGCCCTGTGGGCTGTACTTGGATTTCAGCGTCTCCTCTCGTCCTCCCCGAGTGAGCCCACCCTCTGGTTTCTGCTTCGCTCGCCATGACTTCCACTGTCTACATACCTCCAAGCCCCTCGGTATACTCTCCTCAACCCGCTGCAATGGTCGTCGAACCAGAAGTAGTCACCGTACAACCGCACGAAGGGAATCCAAGCCCGGCGCCTTCGTCGTACTTCAATGCACAGGATACCTTCACTCCAGATATCGAGATGGCGCGGCGTAATTATCTCTCCGGAGATTCATGTTCGTCACACACAGCAGTGGAATCTAAGGGGGATATGTCTCCCCCGTCGCCATGCACCGTATTTCCAGATCAGCCCGAGACGGCATCCCCCGACGGGGAAGTCGTTCCGACCTGTGGCGACTTCAGCACCATCACTGAAGATACCAAACCTCCGCGAATCCCCGTGCGCTATAGGTCTGGAAACCCGGTAGATGGGTTTCGGGACAATAGATACGAGAAAAGACATCACTTGTGAGTTGCGCATCGTTAACGATTTGCTATATCTACATGTGACTGACGTGCTTGTTTGCAGGACATCCGAGCCAGATTGGAAAGCGAAGGAAATCAGAACCATCCCAGCTATGAATAAATTCTCTGCACGGTAGGTGTTTACTACTTGACGCAGTGGTGAGCGCTAAGCGGCCGGGACCATTTGGCAGTGCGTCGACAGTCGGCAGAGGATGGGTGCCGTATGTCCATCCTGAGGGACAACTGTACTTTCGGTTCAAAGTGCGATTTCTACTAGACTCGAGGGGCCTAAAATTGCGTTCTGATCAGCATTAACAGCAATATTACACAAATAGTTGCCTCTACGACGAGGACACTCTACAGGACCTCGAAGAAGCGGTCGATGTGTTGGACCAAGGGCTCCAGCAGCGCGACGATCTCCCTGAGAGTTACGACGTGGTCTTGGAGACTCATGTTGACGACGACAACGACAAGCTGGCATGCTATTACATTGCGGACACGGTCAACGAGGAGGTGATGTGGGTGGATGATCAACCCATTGACCTCCTGGTGAGGGATGAGAATATCCCGATCTTGGTCCATCAGCATCTCAGTAAGGCTCCATATACAGTTTGAAGTCTTCCCCTAACCCCTTGTGTCTGGTATCAGAATATGTTTATTTGCGCTCCTACTGGTGGGCCAGATTTTGCTCTGTATGAGACATTGGCTCACATACCCCCGGCAGGGAACATATGTATATGTTCCCTCACGACAGAAAATTTCCAAAGGAACGACTACGAGAACTACAGGCCAGGCTAAACTTCTACTCGTTCGGTAAGTGTTAGGCTACTCCCAGCTCCCGCCATCACTAAGCCGGCCTCCGCACGCAGACAGAGTGGTGTCCAAGACATCTTGTGCGCCCTGGGGCGAGGATGAACTGAGCCGACTCCAGCATATCACCCAGCAGATCCATATCCGTGGTAGGTCTCTCACGATGCGTCTTGGAATAATACTGTGTATAATTGACGGTCGCGCACTCAGACGATAGCTCTGTCTCCCCGTGTGAGATGTTTATAATCGGTGAGTCGTCCGAATTATCTCATCCTTCCAATCAAGCTCACGCAAAGGAACAGCTCGATTGAAGATGATGATCGGTGCGTATCTTCGTATACATCGCATCCAACAACATCCTGATTTGCTCCGTGTAGCCACCGACGGCATGCGAAACTACCATGGGACGAAGTGGGCGCGGATCGAGTCGAATCGCAGCGCGCACGTAGATGTTACGGCGGAGCACTACGCGCCGTCGTGGATCTTCAATGTCATCTCCTGGATGCTCTTCTGCACGCCGACGCTGTACCTGAAGCGCCTCGACGAGATCTGGCTGGACAGCAACGTGAATCAACGGCCGTGGCGCAGGTTCATAAGCGAGCTCAAGGATGACTGGGCCGCCTCCATCACTCCAGTAGGTCGTGCCTTTGCGCCCTATCAGCGCTATGCTCACTGCGTGGCGCGGTGCAGTCCGCCGTAATCCTTACCGCCAACGTCGGATTCCTTGCGATCCAGAGCGTAGACCAGGGAGGCATACCGGGCCCCGACCGCTCGGCGGGTCAGATCGTCAGCTACATTTCGACGCTCCTCAGCATCGGCAACATCATCGCCTGTACAGTTCTCGGCCAGCAGCACCGACCGACGTCGCACATCTACGCTATAGAGGCGGTGAGCACTTCCCTTAGCTCCCGTCGATTTACGCCCGCTCTGACGCTCTGCGGCCGATAGGTCGAGTATCTCCTTAAACGTGCAGAAAAGCGCTGGCAGGCACAGCGCCTCGCCGTCGTCCTCAGCGTACCCATCGCGTTCTTCATCTGGGCGTGAGTATGTCCTTCTTGCTCCCTGTCATAGCACTGACGACCCTCCAGCCTGCTCTCGTTCTCCGCCGCGATCCTCTGGGTTGGCTTCTATGCGACGTCCACGACGACCCGGATGTCCCTGCTCGCTATCGTCATCTTCACCATCTTCTTCCTCTACCTCACGATTCAGAACGGGGAGTGGGCGGCCCCCGCGATCACGCGCACCCTTCCGGCGGCGATGAAGTACAAGATGCAGAAGATTCCCTTCGAGCGTCTGACTGAGCCTGCGCACAAATTCTCAAAGCCGATCCGTGCCTTCTCGAACAAGGTGCGCAGCTACACACGCCGAACGTCGTCGGACCCAGGGGACCAGCCGTACGGTAGCCATATGCGGCAACGTCCTCCGTCGTCCCGTAAACCCTCGCCGCCGATGCGCAGGTTATCGGACATGCTTTATTACGGCTTCCGGAGGACGTCTGAACCGGAAGAGATCAGTGAGGTATAAAGCGGTCACACTGTCGTGGCGAAGCACGGGGGGATGTACTGTATCGCAGTTGTCCAGGTTTTGTTTCGTATCTTTCGTCCATATTTGACTTGTATATATTTCGAAAGTTCGTTCGATGCGCGGTACAACGTAACATAAGCATATAAGTTACAGGGGGCCCTGTATTTAGGAACCTGGTATAGTGGTATACGAAAAGCGCACTCGAATGTTAGCCGCCCCCTAGGCTCGACTCGCTCCGATTCGACGGCGTGCGCGCCATGAACGCAGAATGCGGTATCGACAACGAATTGCCATCCTTCGCACGCTGCTCCTTCGCGTGAGCCTGCCGTACGTACGCGTAGCGTTGGAAATGGTTGAGCATCTGCAGGAACTGCACACCGATCTGCACGGCTGTCTGTTAGACGCATACGAAGGAACAATGGCGAGAAGGACGACGCACCGGGTACCCGCGCAGCTCGTTCAATAGGTCGACCGCCAGCTCGCGCACGTTCTCGTTCTGGTGGAAAAGCCCGAAGCTGAGCGGCTGTAGACCGTGAAGGTGCGGTGGGAGCCATGCAAGGAGCTACCGACGTAATTCAGCACAAATGCGTAAAAAGAATAAGAGAGGCACGAACCTCGGTGACCTCGTCATACGAACGCAGATTCTCCGCGATAGTACGGAAGATGAGCTCCGCCTCACCATCGGACATGCTCTTCGCGAACCGCAGTCGCGAGAGCTGGTGCGATAGGTCGAAGCCCTGGACCGGATTCGTTGCAACAAAGTGCTTCCAATCCTAAAGCGCACTTATCGTTAGCGTCTATAATCTAGGCCGACCAATGGAAGGGACGCACAATTTGGAAGAACTTGTAGCACTCCGTCCGGCGCCACGCCTCGATCCGCGTCGCGTTCACCGCGAGGTCCCTCGCGCACGTGGCGTCGTCTACGAAGTACGCACCGCTGCCGAGCCGTGGCTTCTCGCCCGCACGTTCGGTATACGGCATCGTCGGCCACGCGATAGTCGTGGAGCCCAGTAGGTCCTCTTCGTACCGCGCCGCGACGCGCACGAAACGGATCACGTACTCGGTGAACTTCGCGCGAACGTGCGCCTCTGAGTAGTGTGAAGCGATCGCGCCGAGAACCTATATAACGCGTATGAGGGAGGCGGGTGAACGCGCGAAAGGACTGTGCTCACATCTTCGATGAAGACATTGTCCGCGCTGTCTGGCCGACCCGCGAACTCAGGCTTCTGCGTTGACCCGCCCTCCTTGGTGGGCACGCGCACCGCCTCCTCCTCGCTCCCGATCGAGCCCTCCGCCTTCACCGTCCCAGTGCGCATGATGAGCGGATTCGAGCTCGACCACGACGCAGGGTGGTTCAGGTGAATGTCCTTCGAAACAACGATCCGGTTCGTCCCGATGTCGCACAGCAGATCCCAAGATCCCGCCGTCTCGAAGATCGGGTTCGTCACGCCCGCAATATATCCCGGGCTGCATATATGCGCGTGAGTTTCGCCAAAGACGGAAAGGACGCGTGTCTTACATGCTCTCCCACTCCTCGCGGTTAATGAGCGTAGCATACGGGAACGCACGCTTGATAAATCCACGCAGGACTACTCCGCAACCGGAGCCTAGCGCGCACGCAGCAAGGACGTGGTTTGATACGTTCTCAGCGAGCTTGTGGTGGCCTAGGAAGATTATCCGTTTCCCCGTAATCAACGCGTTGAAGAGCACAATAACTGGTGGCGTAAGTGCGCCGTTCGTGTGCAAGTGAGGATGCAGAGGGCCGCTCATGGTCGTGATCGCCGGTGAGAATGTAGCGCACAGCATCGTCAAGGAGCCCTGTACGCGTCCCATCAGTTTCAATCTGCCTAAAGGCACGGCTTCCTTACCTCGCCCACTTCTTCCGGAAATGTGGAGAGCGGAACTTTGACCGGTAGCTGGTGCTCGTTGTAGTTGATCGCCGTGTGGTAGAAGTGAGAGTCCTTGAGCGCAGACGATGCCGCACTTGCCCCAGCGAGGGATGGGGCGGACTCGCCGCCGCGTCCATACGCACCATGCGATGAAGACGAGGACGCATCCGTCGAACGCCGACCGCGTCCCGCCACGCTGCTGACACTGCTAGAGCTGGCACTCGCAGCACTGGCGGTCGCCACGAACCCCATCTGATCTAGCCCGCTCTCGTCTCCGACCCACACCGCGCTGCCGTCTAGCGAGAACGACGCCTCGGACGGGGACGTCGGACTCCGCATGCCAGAGGCGGATTTGTAGCTCTCCCCACCATTCCGCGTTGCACTCTCCCTGTCCCGCTTCGCGCGCATGTGAGCGTTGTCCTCGAAGCTCACACGTGAGTCTGTCGAGTTGCTTGGCCGATGCCCTGGCCGCGGGGTGGTGGTAGGAGGTAGATTGACAGTGTGTTGGGTGGCCGTACCCGGGTCGGGGTAGTTGGCGTACTCATCCCCGCGACCGATCATGACGTCCTGGCGCTCCGTATTGCGCATGATGAGCTTCTCGTAGCGCGTCAGGACGGGCATGGTGCTGAAGTCCATCTCGTTGACCGCGTCGAAGAGCCGCGCGAGACAGTCTTGCGACGGGTTCATGAAGTAGTCGTCCAGAGCGAGAAGTAGAACGGGCTAAAGTACCAATCAGTTAGCGGCCGAATGAACGATGGTCAAGCGGCCACTGGCGTGCATACCTTGAAGATCTGCAGGAAGGGGTATCTGGTTACGATAGCCATGGCCTTCACAATGGCACCTCTAATGTGGATTAGAGTCGCACACGCGTGCACGAGAACGTACTCACCTCCTCGCCGTCTTATCCAGTTTCGTGCGGACAAGATTGATACCATACAGCATCCTCGCACCATCCTCCGCCGCGTCCTTGCTCTCGGCATTGTCTAGCGCAAGAATAGGCTTGATAGTGTTGAACGGAGTCTGATTGAGGAAGAAGACCGTCCAGTCGGTGGGCTGTCTTTCCGCACCATCCGGCAGCATCAGATTTGCGAGCAGTCTGGGGCCTGTTCAGCTCATGCATCGCCTAACGTCGTAGGAGTCTTGCGCACCCCTCATCTGTCCCGAGAGGTTGAGGAAACTGGTATGTCAGTTGCGCGCCTCGGTCGATGTCGAAGTCTGCGACTAGAACGAAAGAGCAGTGCTGTGCATCATGGGCCATGACATCGGAAGACAATCCCGTAGGTTCGTCGTGTTGAAGACCAGCTTTCGAAGAGGGAGATGGCGGGTTCGGTAGCGCGGGGTCGCTGTGGAACAAGGCAGAGGACGAACGGTACACTGGGCCATGGACTCGAATTGAAGTACTACACTGCCTACTTTTTATTTCATTTTGATCTATATGCAGAGCTAATATCATTTTGCGAAGTCACTTTGCCGGAGTGGTTAACGGGATCGCCTGCTATCAGTAGCTGCCAGCGGTTGGGCTTTGCCCGCGAGTGTTCGAATCGCTCAGGTGACGCTTTTTGCATGCTGGTTCCCTAGTACTGAGTACGGATCGCTGTAAGGTACAAATTGTGTACGTATGTAGGTTAATCGGTCCTACGTATACGTATAGCAACTAAGTCGTGGTCTCACTCTTTTGTGCCCATAATTTGCCGTCCAAGTGTTGATTATGGTTGGATCAGCCGCTTGAAGGCTGCCATCTGCCAAGCTGTGCGCGCTCAAGAATATCAATACGGCGTCTGAGAGATACACACTGGTAACAACGTATATGCGCATGAACCAAGGGAAAGCAAGCGACTTCGGAAGGGGGTACGCCGTACTGCTCTGACAGAATGAGATCGTTTCATACCGGGGTCATTTCCACTGACTCGGAGGTCCCGGTCCACCGTAACCCGTACAACCTGTAAGTAAGTTGGAGCAGTCGCTCGAAAGGCCTCCGGGAAGGCGCGGAGAGCGCCCGTGCAGAGGGACCGTCTGGCTCGTCTCCTGGGTTCGTCGACATCCGGGAGGTGTAGTTGCGTACTTTGTCCGCCCACCTTCGGAAGAGCCCCCGCATTTTATATCTCAGCCTCGGGACCGGAATCTTCCGCAGGATTTTCCTTGCGTTGTTTGTAGAGAAGCGCGGGATCTCTAGCGGTCTCCATGTGTCATTGCTGGCCACAAGTCCCAGTAGGCAGGCAGTGAAGAGGAGGCCGGCGACAACGGGGGCTCTAGTTGCCGTGGATGTTGCGTTATAGCACAGCCATAGGATTGCGGCTGAGAATAGAAGCAAGCTGCAGTTTCGTTCACCACATGGTGAGCGCAGAGACAGAGCGCAAGGGAGTTGCCACTCACGCCCAGATGAAGAGTGCAGTGGGTATGCTGAGAATGACAGCGAGACGCTGTCCCTGCCCACGCGTTCCCGCCCGTTTCAAGAGATATTCCAGCTAGAGTCCCACCGAGTACGCGTGAGCACACCCGCACACCCAGTGTGGGACATTATAAAGACTTTCGAAAGTGCTTACCATCTCATTGTCCCGGAAGGCTGACGCTGATCTGTGCTGCCGCACTAGAATCGTGCAAGCGATGATGTTGCCGATGCTAAGGAGCGTCGAGATGTAGCTGATGACCTGGCCTACAGAGCGCGTGGAGTCCGCGAAGCCGCTTCCGTCGACACTCTGGATCGCAAGAAAGCCGACGTTGGCCGAGAGGATGACGGCAGTCTGCAATGGAGGCGCACATTGAGTACAGCTCCAAAGGGGACAGACTGACACCCACTGGAGTGATAGAATCCATCCAGTCCTCCTGAACCTCCCCCATGAAATTGCGCCACATCTGTGTGTTCACCGTATCATCCAGCCAGGCCCCCTCCAGGCGGGTCAAGTACGATCTCGGCGTGCAAAAAAGCATCCAAGAGACGACCGTAAAGGTCCACGAGGGTGCGTATGCCTTCGACGTGACGTCCATGTGCACGCTTCGATTAGACGCGATCCGGGCCCACTTTGTGCCAGAGTAGCGCTGCAGGAGGTTATCGGCTGCAGGACATTCGGGGGAATCTCATGAAGTTGTTGAAATTTTTGGCGTGCAAGGGGACGCACCAATTGTCAGTCGTAGTGTAGCTATTCCTCAGTAGTATGAGCATGATCGGAGAAACACTAGGAGTCGGGTAACTCACCCACTATGAGCATATCCCATGGGGAGACGGCGGTGTCACCTATATGTGCAGCCGTCCAATAAGTGGTCTGGTAAGAAGCATCATAAGAGGACAGGATAAATACCATCGATATCCATTTCGTGGAGGATTTGCGAGAGCGCGTGGAGGTCTTCTTTATTCCAGGGCGCACAAGATGTGGCTGACGTCGCTCTATCTGCGCGCGGGGGTCTACGGTAAGAAGGGGGAGTCAGGAATGATCGTAGCACTTACCGAATAAGTGGAATCTGACCATAGCACGTAGGTCTTTGAGCTGTTGCGTAGAACAATGTCGTTCGTGGGGAAACATGCAAATATGTTGCCTGTCAGGAGCCTATATCAGCGAATGCTTTATATAGAGCAGCGTTCGACATACCAGTAAGAATGTGTGTGGGCATGTTCTGCAGGTGGACAGAGGTCAAATCTGAGAGTTATCAAACTGTATAGGGGGTCTTACTGAGATGCTGAGGGGTCAGGACCGGAAGGCCCTCATAGGTCACCAGGAGGTCGATGGATTGTTCATCCAGCCACATCACCTCCTCGTTGACCGTGTCCGCGATGTAATAGCACGCCAGCTTATCGTTGTCGTCATCCACATAGATATCCAAACCCACGTCGTAACTCTCCGGGAGATCGTCGTGCTTCTGCAATTCCCGGTCTATCAGATCGACCGCTTCTTCGAGGTCCTGTAGAGTGTCCTCGTCGTAGAGACAGTTATTTGTGTAATATTGCTATTAATGCCGGTCAGAACGCGATTGTAGGCCCCTCAAAGTCTAGTAAAAGCAGCACCTTGAAGCGGAAGTACAGTTGTCCATCAGGATGAAAATATGGCACCCATCCTCTGCCAACTGTCGAAGCGCTGCCAAATCATCCCGGTCGCTTAGCGCTCACCACTGTGTCAAATAGTAGACACCTACCATGGAGAGAATTTATTCATAGCTGGGATGGTCTTGATTTCCTTCGCTTTCCAATCTGGCTCGGATGACCTGCAAACAAGGATGTCAGTCCCTGGTAGGTATAGCAAATCGTTGATAATGTGCAACTCACATGTGATGTCTGTTCTCGTACCGTTCATGCCGAAACCGCTCAACCGGGTTTCCAGACCTATAAAGTACGGGGATATGCCTTGGGTTTGCATCTGCAGGGGGGACATTGTCACCAGAGAACGAGGTCGTCTCTTCGTTCGACATATTCATCAGAGGTGGTTCCGACACAGCATGCGGCAGCGCGTGGCATGCGCTCTGGTCAGGCCCCACTGCTGCAGGAGGCGGATGCGAGTCCCTAGATCTAGAACGATGGCGCCGCATGGGCGGGGCATCTGGGGTAGACGTATCCCGTAGTTTCGAGTGACACTGCCCAGGCACCGAGTCTGTGAACCCCCTGTATAGGCGGGCTGCTGGAAACAGCTGTACGGTGATCGGCTTGGGCCCGGCAAGGGTTGCATCGACTAGGGGGGGATCTCCCGACAAATTCAGAGCCATGTTGGGGGTAAGGTCGCAGTGAACGAAGCGGGGAAGGGCGGCGGGCTGGCGGGCTGGCTGGCTGGCTGGCTGGCTGGGGGGTTCGCTAGCGAGGCACTTAAATCACTGGATGGCGTTCACACCAGGCGGTGTGAGGCGTGGAGGGCTACCTCCGTGCTGTCGGTTTCCTAGGACAGGAGATGTCGATGATGTTCCATTGGAATGTCCGAGCGAAGGCAACTCGTAGTTGGTTTGAGCGCTCGCATTGCCACGAGCAAACAAGTCAATTGTGACGAGGGAATGTCGTAGGTGACGGTATACTGTTACGGTTAGGCATAGGTGGATCTAGGCATATATGTTCAGTACAGCATGGAATTCGACAAATTCTTACTTGACTAACCCCGCTCATGCTATGCAGGAGATGTCCACAGCTATGCAGCGAGCGCTGTGCAGATAGTCACGCCGGTGAATTGAAAAGCTCACAGCCATGAAAAGTCCGGTCCGAGAACGAAGATCACATTTCGGCGATATAGACGCGCGGGTAGTGCAACAATATCCAGGCTTTACAGCTCCTTGTTGTCCATCCAGCCCGGAGCACGGGTGTTGACTAACTATGAGCGAGGAGCAGGCAAGCCGGAAGAGGACACCCCGATTTCGGTCAGCTCCGTAAGCGGGTCCAGTTGTCCCTTGTACCGCGGGAGATATGCGGCGTCGGTGTACGGGCACCGCACTGCAGGTGAACCCTTGTAGATCGGTGTGAAGCTTGCCCCGCAAACCTCGAATTCCGTGAACTCGTCATAGTCGATCTCGACCGCGTTGCGTGGGTTCCGGTCCCCAGCAGCGATGCGTTGCCGCGCCTGCCACATCGTCAGAAATCATCACGATCCGATAACTGCGGCAGACTTACCTGCGCCACAATCTTCGGGTCGGGGTTGAGCTCTAACAGCCGCCGCGCAAACTTCGCTGCAGTAGCGTGGTTGTTCGCCTTCGCGAAGACCCCGATAGCACTGCGCAGCGCGATCTGCAGGTGCGCGGGCTGAAGTTTGCAGCTTGTGAAGTACGCCGCGAGCTCCAAGCTGCGGCGGACATTATCTGGCTCCTCCTGGGCGACTCTGCGGCGCTCAATCTCCAGCGTCACGCCTAGCAGATACTCCCTTGACATGGTGACTAAGTCGCGCCACTAAACATGCGGTGGTCAGGTAGGCTTTAGAAGCACACGTCAAGTCCACCACGCACCTCTTTGGCCTCGCTATCAGACGAGATGGGTACCAATAGCAGCGCACGAAGCACGGCGCGGAATACGGTCTGCGCGTCTGGTAGCTTGTTGCCGGAGACAGCGCGGAAGCCCTCTGAGAGCTCTGCCCGAATGGAGGGCAGTGTGCGCACAGCTACAGGGAGCACGCGGCTCGGAGATGATTCTTCCGGGCTGCGGCGTAGGTGGAGTTGGAGAGGTGGAAGGGAAGCCATGGGGGAGAGGTATACGTGTGACGACCGGTAAACAGAGAGGAATGCGGGCTTGAGAGCGGAGAAGTTTACGATGCCGAACTGGCGGCTGAGTAGCTGTAAAATTGCAGTTAGGCTTGCGCGCTCAATGGCTATGAATACAGCACATACCTGCATTGCTGTGTCAAAGGACCCTGCCGCAACATGGTCTGCTGCGAATGGCGAGTTGCGTGTCCAGAGCTCTGTCTCGCTGACGCCGGGTGTCGCTCCTGCACCGAGTTCGGGCTCCTCCTCGACGGCTGCCTCTTCCTCTTCGACCTCATCCGCGTCCTCCGCATCCGCATCGAGATCCCAGGCGCCCTCCTCAGCAGGGATGTCCTCCACAGCTTCCTCATCTTTGGCCCAGTCGTCCAACGCAGCCGAAGCAGCCCCGTTGCCGTCAACACCGTTCACATACGGCGCGTCACCACCAGCCTCGAGACCGTTCGCGAGCGCGCGGTCGAGGAAGCTCTCGCCCGTCGCAAGCGACGGCCAGTTGAAGTTGGTCGTCGCCGTCACAACGGGAGGCGGCTTGAGAGTCGACTTTCCGAACGAAGGAACATCGTCGACGTCTGCCTCGGTGAGCCCGGCAGCCTCGAGGATCTCGAGCGCAACATCGTCCAGACCATTCGTCTTCGCGGTGAGATATGCCAATGAGTCTGAAATATTGTTAGTCCTGCTCGTCCTCGCATAGAAGGCGCAACCGCTCACGCATTCCGACGTCTCTGAGTACCGCGATCCGGCCCTGCACATCGCCTGCGTACAGTGCGTTGTGGAAGCGCGACATCGGGTCCCCACGAGCGTCCGCAATCTTCTGCATCTTCGTCAACTTCTCGGTGCTGCCGGTGGCCAAATACAGGAACGAGAGTCGATCAAAGTTCTTCGTGCGCTGGTACGCCTTCTCCACGATCTAAGTCGCAAGTCAGCGTATATCCACAGACACGTGTATGAACGGTACGGCCACCTACCTTGTGGTTGCCTTGTTTCAACGCCTGCTGTGCGAGACGCTCCCAGCTGTCCGGCCGATCGATGGCTTGAGCGGTCTCCAGCGCTACGTCGAGGTTACCGCACTCGATTGCGAGGTCGAAGCGCGTGTTTTTGTCTTGTACAAAGTGCAATGCGATCTGCACAGGGTTTAGGTTGGTGTTTCCCTATATGCAGTTCGGAGAACAACATACCTCCGGGAAGCCCTTCTGCTGCAGGTAGGCAATAATACTCTGGCCCAAGAGATTCGACGTCCGGATAGCATACAACATCTCCTCGTGGTTGTTCCGGAGCAGCGCAAGCTTGAAACGGTACTCGGTGGGGTCGATGGTGATAGTGCGCGGCCGCGCAGAGCGGTCGAGGCAATGTACAGTCTTGCCCTTGACGCGTGTCAAGTAGACCGGGTTGTCGAGGGTGCAAATGACGCCATGGTCACTACGGGAACATCAGAATAACCGCACTGCAGACAGAAATCAGGTACGTACCCTTGCGCAAGGCAGTACTTGATATGATTGAGCGTAGAGTAAATGAACACGCCGGAGTCATCCCAAGCCCCGGACTTGATACGAATGGTCTCATGAATGAGCGTGTGCTGCGAGAAGTTCTTGTTCGCGATGGTGATCGCTAATTCTTGAAGTGAGCAAGACGCGCAGTAGTGGGAATCGCGGGACACGCACTGTGCTTGCTGAGAAGAGCAACGAGCGAGCCGTCCGCGCTCCAGACCACGTACTTCACAGGCGGTGTGGTGATCTCTGCCAGCGTCTTCTGCTGCTGAATATCGTACAGCACAACCGACGACGCCGAGCTGAGGATCAGGCTGGCCGTTCCACCATAGAAGATCTCGTTGGTCTGAACTGGGGGCTTGATACTCTTGACGACAGAATTCGACAGGTCCCTCACTTCAATGAGCTGCTCGTTGGAGAGTTGACCGGTTTAGTATGCGAGCTTATGAAAGGTTGACCTACGCCTTACCTGACTGGTCTTGTTCAGCACAGCAAACCTGTTCCTTGCCACAAAAATCGCTGCCTGACCGCTGCCGCGTTTCCCGTCCGTTGACGAATCCTTGACCTCGCCAACAGCGTCTTTCGGTAGCCCCGATAACTCGTAGAGCCCGTTGTCAGAAGAGATAGTCAGCAGGACAGCTCGTTCAGCAGGGTTGTAGCTGAGCGTCCGTGGAGGAACGTATGGGCTCCCAAACTTGCGTACGCTGAGCAGACCAAGATCCGCGCCCGTGTTGATGTCATACGAGCGCACGTATTTGTCGCGCACGTAGTACACGGTGTCGCCGTGCATAGCGAACGCCGGCCGCTCGCGCTCCAGCTTGAAGACGATCAATCCATTGTCGTGGCCTGAAATCTGTGAGTCTAGCTAACACAGTATATGCGCATTCTAACATACCAGCAGCGAACAAGTTGAGTTCGGGATGTGCGGCGAGGACCCAGAAGCGATCGTGCTCGCGCCGGAAGGTTTGCACAGCAGAGCGCTTCGTGAGGTCCCAAACGCGCACGGTTTTGTCCTCGCCGCAAGACACGATCAACTCGTGTTTGGGGTGGAACAGAGCGGTGGAGACGTTGTTGAAGTGACCTCTGCACGCGTCAACCTCCCATGCCTTCGTCTCACTCATGCGCCAGATCTTGATTTGCCGGTCATCCGAGGCGGAGACGATGAGGGGAAGCGTGGGATGGAAGGCCGCCCAGTTAACGCCACGGTCGTGGCCCTCTAAGACGTACTTCACGGTAGAGAAGTTGTCGAACTGGTCAAATGTACCGGGGGCGGTGTTGGGTGTGTTCTTGCGCAGGCCAGAAATGTCCCAGACGCGGACTGTCTGGTCTTGCGAAGAGGAAACGATGAGGTCATCTTTCGGGTGGAACTGCGCAGACATCACGTAGTGAGAGTGCCCGGTGAGGATAGCAATGCAGTTGCGCGAGGTGCTGTTCCATATGCGAATTGTCTGGTCATCCGACGCCGACAACTGCAACAGCGTGCGTAGTCAGGTTGAGATACTTGGAGATTGGCAATGGCACTCACAATCCACGGCATCTCGTGATGAAACTGTACCGTCCGGATGAAGTCAAGGTGGCCGTGCAGCGTGAAGAGGCAGCGACGGTTGGTCGGCTTGATGTCTACGACTCATAAGACGATACGACACAGGTGAATATCGTCTCAACTTACCCCATACTTTGATCTTGTAGTCGTCTCCACCAGTGCAGAGCAAGGCGCGACTGGGATGTATCGCGACGGCGCGCACCGGGCCTATGTTATAGTTTAGTCTCGGTTCGCACCATATAGCAGCACTTCGCGCACCCTCGTGTTCCTCGAATCTGTCCACCAGAACACCCATGCGGTAATTCCATAGTTGAACGCTGCCGTTGTGCAATGAAGCCGCGAGCAGTGGTTGGGTCGGGTGGAACGCGAGTCCTAGATTCCGAGTAGAGCAATCAGCTTCGGTCATACAGATCGCGTTAAACGGTCACGCACCCTTGACCCGGTTGCTTTTGGACTCGAACTTCGTGAGCATGACCGACATGTTGCCTGTAAGCCCAGTGGCCAGTGACGCGTTCGAGGAGAATGGGGGAATGAGCGGAGGATGAGAGTGTTGTGGCAGTCGGCTACGCCTACGTGGAACTGAATATCCTGCGCGGCTACGATTTGAGTTCAAACTTGTCAATAATATTAAACCAACCACGCTAAGCTGTCTCTTTTAACCGAGAAGCTGCTCTAGTCTGACTGATTAGATCTCCTCGGGTACGTTTAGATCCAGATCCATCCAGCAGCGGACTGAGTAATTAGCGTCGTGATACATCCTTGTCTAGAACCACCATCACCTGCGCTGTGTTCCATGGATCTGGGGGAACTTTGCTAGCTTCAGTATCGACTCATCTAATCAGCGGTCTCGATTTGATTCCGCGTATGGGCGTGCTGGGACTCGCACCGTTCTTACAGAAGACTTGGTGAGTAGGTTGGCCTACGACAAGCATCCCGAGTTTAATAACTCCTCATTAAGTCCCGAAGTCGTAAAGACTCTACCAGACCGACTAAAATCGCTTGCGGGAAAGAAAGTCGTAATGTGCGCTGAGATAGCACGCGTGGCAGAAACGTGTACTAACGAACTGCAGTGATGGTACTCTCATCACCCAGCGATTTCATTTCGCTCCATTCCCGCATGCAGCGCGGCATGTTCTTGGCTGGTACCGTCTCATCAAGCATCTACAACATTCCAACGTCGAAGCCATCTGTGTGTTTGATGGGAAGGAGCGTAGCGCCGTGAAAGAACGAGAGGTGAGTGCATGTAGCTCTGCCTGTCGACGAACATGCGAGTCTGTTAGACGAGCCGCCACGACTTGTTACGCCACAGGCTATTCGAATGGAGTAAACATGGTACTCATAGGAAGACAGGTAGAAAGAAGACGCAAGGACCGCAAACTCACTGCCTCTCGTGGTACCTTTGAAGTCGATCGCTTGTCCCGGCTTCGCCAACTGACCAAGTTGTTGCACACATGGCGTCACCTCGGGGAAACTGGGACGATTGCACAACAGCTGTCACCTCTCAAAAACATCGTGCAAAAATCTGGGATACCAGCACTCCCCCCGGCTCGCATTAGCGGCAAAGGCTTGGAGTTAAACGACGATACCCCCATCTACTATGTGCAACATGATCAAGGTATTTGCAGACTCCCCGCCGTCTACACTTCCGCTGCGACATGATTCATTGACCATCGTTAACGCTCACGCCTCCCCGCATAGCCATTGCGTTCCATCTAGAGTCACCGCGCAAGTCCAGCGACGCCGATAACACCGGCGAACCTCCATATTCACTCGCGCCACCGGGTTCTCCGGCAGACATCTCCCAACTCTACGAGGAATACAAGCACAGTATTCCGCATATACCGTCTTTGGCAGAATCGCCTACCGCGGAGCCCCCAGCTTCCATTACATCGGTATCGGGCGTGTCCTCTGCAGACGTTGAGGAAGCCCAAGTCGAATACGCGCTCTCAAAGAACCAGCATAACCTCATGATGGAGGAAGGTAGGCTTTGGCAAGGCCTAGCGCACTCTGACGACCCGGAAGCCGTCGAAAGCATTCTGAGGTCTCTCGCTGAGGAGCTCGAAACCAAGAGCAGCCTTCTTTCGGAATCGTACGATCGCCGCACGCACCCCCCTACATCGGAAACATACGAACAGAGCAAGGAGATTCTGCAAGCTATGGGTGTCCCGTACATAACACCCTCAGGCCCCTTCGAAGCAGAGGCACTCGCAGCATCCCTCGTAATACACGGCTATGCCGATTACGTGGCCAGCGAAGACACCGTACGACCAACTATGCTCCCTGCAGACACAACCGCATATCCTGACACTCTGATCCGCAGGACGTCCTCGTCTACGAAGCGCCTCTCATCCGCAACATAACCAGCAGCTCCGGCCCGCTCGTGCTCATTTCTGGCGCCGACGTCCGGACAGTCCTGCAGCTCGACCGCCCGGGTTACATCGACTTCGCGCTCCTCCTCGGCACGGACTTCTCGCAGCGCATCAAGAACGTTGGCCCCGCCCGTGCGCTCAAGTTCATCCGCGAGCACGGTTCGATCGAGCGCGTCCTCGAGCACGAACGCCAGTACCCCCCGCGCATCCCCAAAGCGGAGTACCTGCAGCAGGTCCAGCTCGCGCGGGATGTCTTCCAGACGTTGCCCCCTACGCCCGATCGCGCACTCCTGCAGCAGGGCGAGGTCGACGAAGACGCAGTGTTGGCGATCTTGGAGAAGTACGGCCTGAGTCGCTATGTGCAGGCGGAGGACTGGGACTATGGACAAGCACTTGCTGGGAACTACTTTTCTGACAATCCTATAGCGGAGTAGATATACACGTTGGCGTACGGGCACCCTTTACCATACATATTGATATTTAGCGACGATACGTTACAACACGACAGAACACGATATGGGTGCACGGTCAGGTATACTTAGAACGAGGCATGCTAGCTCATGTATAAATCACATCAACGGGTAGAGCAAGAACGAATAAGTAGGACAGCATAAGGCTCGGCTTTATGTGAGTACAAGGGAAGGGGAAGTCCGGGCCTCTAGCAGGAGAATGATATCCAAACAACATGCTGACGAAGAATTAATATATGCAGACACAACGCGAACGTTCGTAAAGTTCATCAGGGCGGGCTGCCGTGCACGGCGCGCGGCGCACATCACCTATATCTCGTTGCGGATCATGATACTGAAGCAGCGTTCGCAGAACGGATTGCCGTCGCGCTGGAAGAATGCCGGATCCTCGAACGGTTTGTTGCAACTCTATCGTCCAGCAAACCATCAGTTTCAACTCAACTAGCCAATTTGACGCAGGCCACTCACCGCACACGTGAAGCACTCCCAGCACCACTTCCCCCCAAGTGCCTCGACAGCCTGCATCCCGTCCCGGATACTCTTCTTGCACTTCTTGCACTTCGGCATGCGCAGCCGTACGTGGCACGTCTCGCAGTACGGGTGGCCGCGGTACACGGTGAAGCCCACGTCGTCATCCGCCGCGAACTCGCCGTCGCCTGCGAAGGTGCGTGACGGTGCACCGGGGTCCGCCGGAGGTAGGAACGGGTCGCCACACTCGGCACAGAAGAAGTGCTGCTCATGGTACGTGCGCTTGCCCAGTTCGGGGTCGTCGAGCGTGATGAACCGCTCGTCGACGATGGCCGTCTGGCAGTGGTAGCATCTCGGCGCGAATTGCTGATGAGGCGTGATGAGCAACAATGAGGGAAGAGCTGGTTATATGCGCTTACCTCGTGGTAGTCGAGATGACAGTACGGCCGTCCATCATGCGCGAAAGAACTCAGGTTCTCCAGCAGCTCATCGCACACGCAGCACCGGAAGCAGCCCGGATGCCAGCGCATATCCATGGCGCTCACGATGCGCCCTATGATCGCCCCGCCACACCCGCCACAAACAAGGCCATTGCGCTTCGCAGCCTCCAGGCGCGGGTTCGAAATAGCCTCCTGAACCTTCCGCGTCTGCGGCCGGTCCCGCCGGTCCCGGTTGGAGGAAGACGGCTCGCCCGGGAGCGAGATCTGCGGAATGGAAGGACCATCATCGACGCCACCGATATTGATGCTAGGGAGGCCATTGTCGTCGTCGTCACCGAAGGATATACGAGGCAGACTGGGAGCGCCTCCACTCCGGGAATCTCCCGGGCCAGAGACGTTGATGACAGGCCCGCTGTGCGCATCGTCTTCGTCGCTATCGCCGTCCGGGTTTGCGGGGAAAGAGATCTTCGGTATCCTGGGCGATGGCTGAGACCGCTCGGGAGATGTAAAGGTCGGCGGGTTGTACTTCGTCGGCGATGGCGCGCGGACGTTGAACTGTGGTTTCGTAGGGGACGATGTTCGTGTATCCTGCTTGGGAGGAGCAGGGTGACCAAAACTAGATTTCTGGGGAGACGGAGGTGCGAAGGTTGATTTGCTGGATGTGGGAGGACCCTGGCCGAATTTCGAGGAGGATGCCCCAAAACCAGACGGGGTCGAAGATGAAGCCCCAAAGCCAGACTTAGTAGGAGAGGAAGACCCAAAGCTGGACTTGGCTGGTGATGGTGGCCTGAAGCCCTGCTTTGTCGGAGACTGCGGCTTGATCTCAACGTGCGTCGGTGGCTGTGGGAAGGACGAGAGCGAGAACACCGAAGCTGCCTGCGAAGGCTCACGCCGCAACGGGGCCCCTGCAGGTGCTGTTTCCGCCCTGCCAGATATCTGTGGGGGTTGCGAAGAGCTGAAGCCGTTCGGTGTCCGCGAGGACGGAGGTGCGGGAGAGCGCCGGAGAGAGGGAGGTGGTGCATCGTCCAGGCTCAGATCCAACTCTGCCTTACGAGGCGAGCGCGGCTGCGCGAAAGGCGGAAGATTGCCAGTGGCGGTGTTCGAGCGTGAAGGAAGCGGCCGAGGCCGCGGCTGGCTCTGCGCAAACCCTGACGGAGTGACCGGTTGTGGACTTGCTGGAGCGCGTGGGAGCGGCGGCAAAGCGGGAGGCCACACATTACGCAGCGGCTGTGGCTGTGATTGCTGCTGCTGCTGCTGCTGTAGTTGTTGGTCCCGTCCAAAAGGAGCGTTCGCGGGAGGTTGGGGCATTGGCCTAGTCGAATTTCCACTCGATAACGAGTTCGAGTGGCTATGACCTGGACGGAACGTAGACGCTGACGGAGTCGACTCTAGCGATACCGACGCCATGCGGAACGCAAGGCTGGTCTCGACATTGCCACTCTGCGGTGGAGACGCGCTCCGGCCCTGCGAGGCGGGCACCGGCGACGGCAGCTCACGCCGCATACGCGCGCCTCCCTCACCGTTCGTGTTCGACGGCCGCACTGCTGCGGCCTGATGTGGCTGAGGATTCCGCGGCAGATCACGTATGCCAAACTGGGGACTCGGAGAGCGCGGGTGGCGCTCCAGCAGCGCATTCGTCAGCTCCTCATCATCCGAACTCGGCGGAGACTGAGAGAGGGGACGATCAGTTACGTTCCGGGGAGATGGTGGCGGAGGCGGCTGGCTAGGCTTTGGCGGAAGCGGGTAGTTCGGCGCAGCTGCCGCGACAGGCAGCGTGCGAGACCGCTCCCGCAGAGCGAATCGCGACGATGGTGGCGAGCTGCTCGTATTAGGAAGTGCTGCAGGCTGTCGCTGAGTCGGTGCAGGCACAGGGTTCGACGGCTGTTCTGCAGGAGCCTGTGGGGTAGGTGGCAGATTAGGAAGCTGGAGGTGTGGCGGAAGCGTCCCGACACGTGCATACGAATCTCGCGGTAGGCCCACTGTCGTGTTGGTGTTCGTACTGGGCGAGGGCAGTGGCCTGCTAGTCGACACGGTGCTCCGCCGCTCTACCGTGCCTTGCTGCCTGTTCTCCGTGGCCGTGGGTAGAGCCCGGCTCTGGGAAGCACCAGGCTGGGGCAGTGTGCGCTTCCATAACGGCACGAACTTCTGTCCTGGCGATGCAAGTACAGGCTCCGGGCTTCGGATATTAGTCTCGCGCGCAGGCGCAGGAGAAGGCGCAGGGAGTGCCCGCTTCGGTGGACTTTGAGGCGGTGGCTGAGTCTGTTGGGCGGATGACAGATCGAAGTTACCCGTTGATCGTGGGAGTGGCAAGGGGCGCGGAGGGCTCGTCGATGTGGTAGAGAAGGCACTCGAGGTGGGCGAAGGATCTTGCCCTGGAGGCGCGATCGCATTCGTATTCGCGCTTGCATTGGGCTGCGGATAGCTTGGGAAAACGGATGGCACTGACTGCGTGGGTCTGTGAGTGGCGTACGCCGGTTGGGGTGATGGAGGTGGCCGCGGTGCGACCGCGGCATAACCAGCGCTCTGCGGTGCAGGGGGTAAGCCGCGGGGATCCGGCAGTGGTCGTCGCGCGGATTGGGGTGGTCCCATCTGGGAGGCTTGTGGGGAGACAGGAGACGGGTAGGGGTTGGAGGGCACACGCGCGGGGTAGGGCTGGGGGGACGGCGGGGGCCTATATTGTTGACCGAACTGATGAGAGGGCGGACCTACCGGGCTCGGAGGCAAAGGTGAAGAGTTCATCCTGGATGGCGGACGCGGAGCAGTCGGACTGGACGCATATCCATAGTGCTGTGGAGACGGTAGACCAGCCTGAGGTGAGGGTAATGGGGAGGGGTTGATTCTGGATGGTGGGCGTTGGACTGTCGGATTGGTGCCGTATCCGTACTGCTGGGGCGCAGGCTGGGCATAGGAGTGGCTTTGATGGTTTTGGTATTGTCCAGCATACTGAGCCTGTATTCGAGGATCGTACGACTGAGCAGGACTAGGAGGGGCAGCTTGAGGAGGGTATGGGTATGTGGGCTGCTGGTAGACCGTGGAGTATCCGCTTTGCGCCATCGTCCCTGAGCCGAGCGGATGGTCAGGTCGATATGCGACTGTCCCGTGTCTGTTATATAGTCAGCTCTTCTGATATCATTGACACGAAGACTGGTGCCTCGCACCTTTGTATCTCAACTGCCCGACCTAAGCGGTGCGAGTCTCTCCCTGCATGCGATCTTGCTGTGACCGTCAATTCTGATCTTCCGACCGCAAGGATCTTCTGACCGCAAGTTGTGCTTCAAACGCGCGTCCAAGAGATCGAAGTAAGGCTCAGGTGCAAGGAAGACGGCAGTCCGAGTGTGTGTGAGCAGTGAGGAGTCCTCAGTCAAGGGCCGGTTATTACGATACTGGCCACCGGCGCTTCCGTTGATGATCAACCAGAGTTTAAGCGCCTTGTACATCGCCCCGGGCGAAGTAGGGCAAAGTCCATATGTTCAGCGAATGTCCGTTTTTGTTCGACAGTTGTCGCTCCGGTCAAGAGTGCGAGCGGCGCAAAGGATGTTTGTGGTCGACGATGTGCCCAATCCGTCGGAGCCTCTAACTTATCGCAGGGTGCCACTTGTGCGGACTGAACTCGTCTAGCTAGCGCTTAGGCCGCATAGCATCCAGGAGAAACATCGACAATGCAATACATTACATAATATGTAGATAGTGGTATAACAATGAGCATGCGTGATATCAGTCCTAGGAATGCAGCTGTCGGACACGGCTACCATATACATCGTCTGGATCATATGCGGACACCTTCGCAGCCATCGTCTAACGGCGATACACGGCGAATGTACAGCGGCATCTGGTTCCCGCGATGCGGCTCCGACTTCACGCTCGGACGCGTCAACACGCTGTGCACGGGACGGGTGTCAGTGATCGCACTCGGCTGCGCGGGGGGAGAGGGGCGGACGCACTTGACTTTCTTCTCGATCTCAATGGACGGGTCGATCGAGAACTCGAGGTCGCGCACGAGCACGTACAAGAATATCTTGATCCTGCGGCGTGGGACGGTCAGATCGTTCATGAGACGCCATGATAAAGTGAAGGAACCACGTACTCGCTCAACGCGAACCGGTATCCAATACAAGACCGGTTGCCGTTGACGGGGTTCCCCCCACCAAAGGTCATGAGGTTTCCCCACAGACCCTGCACCGCGGCCCTCCGCGCACGCTCCTCCGCATCCGCTTCGCCGCGCGCCCACCGTTCGGGATTGAACATCTCCGCGTCCGGGCCCCACACGTCCGTGTTCTTGTTCAGGGCCTGGATGGGTATGCTGATGATGTCCCCCCGGCGCACGCGGATGTGGGGGCACGCCTGCCCGTGTCGGTCCGCGAGCGGCGCGCCCACAGGAATCACGTCGTCCGCGCCCGCCACGCGCATCGTGGTCGTGATGGGCGCGTAGAGCCGTAGGGACTCGCGCACGACCGCATCGAGATACGGCAGGTGCATGATCCGCTCGAAAAACGCGGCCGCCTGTGGGTCCGTGTTGTCGGCCGTGGGAGGTGTGGGCGACGTGGTATCCATGGCGAGCCCTGTGGGCACGGGTAGCGAACGTAGCTCCGCCCGCAGTTTGGTCTGGGCCGCCGGGTTGCGCGAGAGCGCGTAAAGTGTCCAGGTGAGCGACGACGAGCTCGTCTCGTGCCCCGCCGCGAGGAACGTCGAGATCTGGCACAGAATCTCGTTCATCGACATGCGCTGTGTCGGGACCTCTGCGACGTTAGAGCGGACTGTCGCAGAAGCTATTTTAGCGTGAGTCGTTCAGAGCGCATATGGACACGTACTCAGCACACTCAGCAGGTCACGCCCGAGCAGGGTCCTGTCGCCCTCGATGGCGTCGGTCTTCTCGGACGCTTGCGCGACCTTCTCCGTCTCCGCGAGGACGGGTTCGCGTCGCTGCTCGATGAGCTCAGAGCCGATCTTGCGCATGGAAGCCATCGCTTGGCGCATCGCAGCGTTCTCAGTCCTCTGCGCCTAGCGTCAGCGCAGTGCCCTCCCGTAATTATTTTACCGCATATAGCCACTCACAAAATTACGCAGCACGGGGAACCACACCTGCAGTATCGTCATCACACGGAACTTGCGTGCGGTCGAGAAAATAACCGCAAACGCGCGCGCAAGCTCGCTCTCGCTCTCTCGGCGCTCTGCAGCCGCCTCGAGCGAATTGAATGCGTACCCGAATCCGGCCGCGCCGATCACGTCCAGCGTCGCACGGGCAAGCCATGGAAGGACATCCAGTCTACAAGGAGCACTGGCCGATTCGATGGTGGGCAGTGCTGCGAGTCGTGATTTGACGGTCGAAGGGAATGGTGGGGACGCCTTCGACGGTACGAAGGACGAGAACGGATTTGGCAGGAACGATGTTGTGAGTGCGGATGGGCTGAGAGCATTGGATGTCGCAGGCTCCGGATCAGCGTCTTCCGTCCTAGTGGACGGGTCCAGGGTCGTGAGGGGGTCGGCTGGAGTAAAGAAAGAAAGCGGCGAGGCAGTGATGTCTAACCATATGTCCCGTAACTAGGCATACATGCGACCGTCAATGAACTGGATATTATCGAGCGAGGGAAGGACGCACACGGATGGCCTTCTCCCAGAATATCGGTGTGAAGGACTTGGCTTGCGCAGCAGAGAATGCCTGATTCTGAAGAGAGTAAGTTGTTAGCGTCGTACAAAGGGGACATTCAAGACAAACCAGAATTGTCGTGCACTGATTTTAGTCCGACAGCGATCTCCTCAGGTGCGGATACTACCGTTTGACGCGAGACAAGACAAATAATAATGCACGCTCGCTGGAATTTCCATAATCCAGATTATCGGTGGGCCCCGACAACCCTGTGAACGACGACCGTGGCGCCCGCTTGTACGACCCTCGTTCCCTGAGCAGTTACCATGATTCCTGTGAAGCCGTCTCAAAATCCAACGATGCCGCTGACATCGCGAAGGTGGATGATGCGGCACACGGACGTGGAGAACATGCTAAAAACGAGGCCTGTGTGCGCGTGCGAAACGGGAGTAAACTTTCTCCTCGTGCACTGCGCCAAGGGCGACAACGACGAGGAGAGAAGATGGCGACGCGGTCGAACCGCGCAACGAACACCCCGGCAGTGCGGGACATGGATGCTGCGCGGTCACGTGCACGCGTCTCCGCGGCGGCCCGAGCCACCGGTACGGTCCCCCGCGCAGCATGCGGGGAGCGGGGATGGCACACGGATGCGGGGGATTCGGGGTACGGAACGCGAAACGCACACGGCGCAGGGAAACTCACCAATATTTTGCGCTATAAACGGGTCGGGAGGCAACGCCAAAAGGAACGCGATGTATGCTGTCAGGACAGGTCCGAAAAGAGGCGTGAAGCTGGGAGCGCACCTGTTTACGGTGCATCTCGCCCTCGGTGGTGAGGAGGCCCTCATACCCCGCCGCCATGCTCGCTAGACTGTCCCGTACAAAGTCCGGTTTGGGGTAGTCGTACCCGCGATTCATCACGTAGTTGACGGCCACCGGGTCGACGAGCATAAGCCTATGACCCCCCATGAAGCCGCGGTAGACGAAAGCAGAGCCGTAGGTGCTCGCCCAGCGCGCCACCAGACCCGTGTTCTCCTGGTCATGAAGGTCCTGTAGGTTTCCCATGAATAGCGATGCCGACGGTGGTCCTGGAAGGTGGCGCAACGGCGAGCGCGCCTGTCGGACGAGCAGGAGGAGGAACGTCCATAGGAAGTAGAACACCAGGACAAGCGGGATACCCAGGAGCACTGTCGCTAGCGACAGCATGGTCACTGGGGCGCGTCGGGGACGGGGTTGCACTGCGTAGGGGAGGGCGGCGGGGCGGAAGAAAGGGAGAAAAGTCCAGCGTTGAGCATGGAAAAAGGATATAAGGGACGCGGAGGGGCAGAAATGGGAAATGCACCGACACGCCAACCTCAGCGCAACGATCGCTCAGTGCGGGCGCTTAGATGGACAGGTGGGCGTGCGACATCTTATCAGCAGCTCTTCCGGGCATCCCGGGTGACCGATGGCCAATAGAAATGGCTGATTTGAGCCCAATCGAGGGGAGCCAATCGGCTGGGCCCCGAGCAGCCCGGGGTGGCCGACCAAGATGAAGATCGATTGCTCGATTCAGAAATTCCACGTGGTGGCGGTGCCCACGTCCCTCGAACGAGCGGCACCATAAATTCGTTCTGCGCTGTCGGTTCTTGGCGCAGCTGTCTGCGCCCCCACAACTGATCAAAATGCACAAGTCTCCCCTGCTTCTTGACATTGGATATCTATCACAGGACCTTCGCGGGCACTTGGTTTCCAGCTCGACAGAACCGCTACACAGCAATCAGCCGCGATCCCAGGCCTGCACACCGTACGGCACTCTCGAAGTGGAGGGGTTTCGTGTCGTGTGGCCCACTTCGCCGAATTATATAGCCATCGCCTGCCCGCGCTGATATCACCTCCCCGAACCCCGATCTGCCCGACATCTTCTATATGAAGGCCTTCGCTGACACCGGGACAATAACTATTACGTGGACGAACTCCTTCTAATCCCGGAACACGATCGTCTGGAGCTTCCAGATAGCGAGCTGCAGCGGACGTTCTGCGTCACAGGCACGCTACCTCCGGTGAGCAATGCAGAGTTCGGCATGGACCCAATGCGTTCCTGCTCACATGTCTTGGCAGTGAATGGCGCACACCGCTGTGGGAGGCGGCGGAGATGCCGGGCTCGGCACGCCGTCGCCTAGCATGGTATAGGTCCGTGTCGTCTCAGGCTCCCATCGCTATGTCTCGACTGTGCGCGTCTCTCTATCGGATTGTCATCACTGCACTTGGGCACCCGCCTCCTCTAATCACTTTTTGGAAGTTTGAGATTGCGGAGGACAATATTATTGACCATGAGGCACGCCAACACCTGCTGACTTTGATTGGCAAGTTCATCTCACCATATATTGCCACCCGAAGCAGACAACCGCATCGCGGCGGCTTATAGAACATATCCGCGGGCGGCGTGAACGGCTTTTCTGCGGGTATGAACCAGCGGAGATGCAAACCGTACTTAGCACAACTCCAATTCCCGCCAACAGCTCGCGCTTCACTCGGGTTCGGCGTGTAAAGTAGTCGCCAACGAAACGGTATGTATAACGCTTCACAGTTCGGACCGCGTTTGCAATGTTAATTATGCTATGACTGTTGCTACAGTCTAGATATCTAATTGAAGCCCCCGCCAATCCTAAGTTACGACTGGTTCAGCCACGCCGACCGGCGCGGCAGCGTGAGGTGAGTTGCAGTCTCCTATCGTTCTTGTCTTTTCCCCTTTTTGCGACAGAACGGAGTATATACCAGAACTGTGAGAGTAACCTTGACTGAGGCCAACGACTCGCACTGAGCGTGAGTGGCATCAGTGAGAGTCACCGTGCCGAGGAGCCATATGTTCAGATCGCGCGAGTTCGCCGCGGTCACGATGGATCGTGTCGCGCTCGTCGAGTACGAAGATCAGGTGCTCTGCCCCGCAGAACAGCAGCTCCGCACATTTACCCACGTACGTCGCGCTCGTCGCGCGGGCCCTCCAGGACGTGCGGCGCTCCGCGTTGCGCACGTTGACTACAACGCCTTCGCCACCGCGAGGAGCCGATCCCGGCCGACGTGGCATACTTGTTGGACTTCGGGCGACCACGTTCAGATGATATCTTCAGCGGTTTCTATCAAGCCCACACAACGAGTCCGACTACAGGACACGTACCAAAGAATGAGCCACACAAATGCGTCCACGATGGGTGGCTGGCGGTTGTACACTCGGGAGATCCCGAGAGCATTGTGTCGTGATTTTCGCTATTTTGGTTCTCATTAATCGATAGAACCCTCGTCACGCTAAGCAGCGAAGAGAAAATGTTTAAGGAAAACTGAAGGTGCAAATTCCACTATCTAGCAGCACCTCATACGAGAATAACACTGTCCTTCGCACCCTCTAGGGTCTATCGCTTGTCCCCACCAGCAAAATCGTTACCCCGCCCACCGACACACGGCATTTTCATTGCGGGGCGCAAGGTAGCCCGGGCACAATTTAGCAAGTCTGCACCTTGAAATAATCAATCGCATGCTGAGTCAACACCTACTCAAAATTCAGTCGGTATTTACCGCAGCATCCTCAACAACAGCTTCGAAACGTCGTGAATACAATACGAGTCTCGGCCCCTCTCCGCCTAAGGAAGACCTACCGCGATGGGCAGCGAAGGTGTAATTACGGTGAGCTCGAAACCTTGCCCCACTACGCAATCTAAGAACTAGCAGATCAATTAATCATTCACTTTGCCAAGGTATACTATGACCTAGCCAGTGTGCTCCTACAAGAAACTCGGCCGCGTGAGGAGCTGTCCCCCATTCCAATATCGACCTCGTGTTTACCGCAGCATCCTTGGGCAGCAGCTTCGAAACGTGGCAGAGCTCGCGTGTACAACACGTATAAATCGTCTACCTCGCCTGCTTCGTGCTTGCAATCAACACTCATCTCATCCTCATCGCGCTCCTCACTCCTCATCGCAACTCGAACATATCCGACGCAACAGGATGGCCCCGAAAAATAACAAGAAAAATCGTTCGCCGCGTACATCGCAGCACCCTTTCGATCAGCCCTCAGCAGACCTCATACTACGCACCGCCGACCTCGTCGACTTCCGCGTGCACTCCCAGATCCTCGCCCAAGCATCCCCGTTCTTCGCCTCCATGCTCGCTTTGCCCCAGCCTATTGCATCAGCCACATCAGCCTCCGAGGATAGCAGTGCCAACGACACGCCGCCAGGACCGGATGCGACGCCGATCGTGCCCGTGTCCGAGGACAGCGCGACCCTCGAGCTGCTCCTCCGCCTCATATACCCCATCTCCAAGCCGCGCGCCCAGATGGACGATCCACAGACGATGGTCCCGGCTCTCCTCGCTGCGACCAAGTACGAGATGACGCTCCCCATAGACATCATGTCCGAGCGGCTCGCCGTGATCATTCCAAGGAGCCCGTTGCAGGTCTGGGCTGCCGCGTGCCGCACGGGCCTCGAGAGCGTCGCGCGCCAGGCGGCGCTGGCCCTCAAGGCGTCGTGGGAAGATGGCGGCGCTGATGCGCTCTCGTTCATGGACGAGCTCGGGGATATGACTGGAATATCCGCTGGGGACTACTTTCGGCTGAAGCGGTTCCTCGCGGCGGAACAGACGCGTACGGAGGAGTTTGTTGCCCTCACCCTGTTGAGCCCTTCGTCGGAGGACGCACGTCCCTCGGTACCCCCGCCTCTGCCGCCCCAGTTCACCACCGACATCCCGTCTACCGACATGGCCTGTCGGCCCTTCAACACATGGGGCCCAGGCTTTAAGACACCGGTATTCTCTGCTCATCAGGCCGTCCTGTCCGCGCATTCACCAGTGCTGAAGGCGCGCCTCGCGGAGCTTCGACTTAATGCCACCTCGTCAGGTTCCACGGTCGCCGCGCCGGGCATTTCAAGCTCGTCAGGATTGGTGTTGGACTTCCTCGAAGGTCCCGGGGTAGTATCGGCGCTGCTGAGGGCCTGCTACGACGCCGAGGAACCGTTGCCTACAGACCTCGATTTCCTCGCGAGACTCGTGGTGGCGTCGCAGAAGTACCAGATGGCCTATGTCGCACCGCGCATTCGCGCAGCTTGGGATGAAGCCGCTGGGAGTCGTCCCCTTGCCGCCTACTTCGTCGCGCTCGCGTATCATCTCGAGGAGTACGCTGAGAAGGCGGTGAAGGCAGTGTTGAGAAGTCAAGTCAAGAACGCCTACGAGCCCGCCATGGAGGACGCAAAGGCGCTCGCCTACCATCGTCTCCTGGTTTACCACAACACCTGTGGCGCTATCGTGAAGCAGCGCTTGAAGGAAGCGGTCGACAGCATACCGGGAACCACCTATACCTATAGCCGTGGCACCGTTCACACGCAGTCAATCACGGATCCCCTGAGGGCCTTGACTACCACCTCCGGAAGCTTGACTGGCCCCACAGAACTAACCAGGTCTCTTGGCGACGCCGTAATACAAGGTACAATGCGCGAGAGCAAGCAATATGCATCGTCATATGACACCTGGATGCTCGTATGCAACACCCTACGATGCGTCGTTTCCACGCCCGTTGAGATAGACGACGCGTTACAGGAGGTGGGTAAAAAAAAGACAAGCATATCGTAAGTATTTATCGTTCTGCGCTGAAACGCTCCATAGGTAAAGCTGAACTTGGGCCCTGAGTACTTGAGTACGGGTCGGCAGTGAATAACATCATGAAACCCTTGTCAATGTGCGTTTGCCTTCAGTGAGAACATTCATATCACTGAATATCGCTCAGCAATCCAAATTGAAGTCTGGAGGAGCGTGTCAGGATTGGTGTGCTATCGCCAGTTTGGTACTGCCATACCGCGATGCAGGACTCGGAGTGGACGGGTGTGATGGGAGAACCTGTATCTGACGACCCAGAAGATGACTCGCCGCCGCACGGACGGACTCGGGGAATAGATATCATGGCTCCGAAGTAGCGTTATAGCGGTGTGGCGTCAAAGTATCATGATATGTCTTCAGCTCTCTGAGTAACGTAACTCTATGCGCGAGATAGGTATGTACTGTACATGCGGCCCTATGGAGAGCGCACTTTCATCGTGCTCTTTACGACCGCGCCGTATACGGCAAGACCGCAACTACGAGTGTTTAGCCTTGTAAGACCGACAAGCACAAATTCGCCTGCTATGCGTTTACTCACAAACCTAGTGGCGTACAGGCATACACCCGGCTTACTGCAGAGACCTTTTATTGCTTGCGACTACCATTGAGTGCAGTTACCCGTAAAACGTCAGCGGAAAGCCCAAGAACTGGCACTGTGCCTGCGACCCGAACGGCGTCATGACGCTGTCCCACTGCAGCTCCCGCACAGGCGCGCCATGCAGGCTCGCCTTCGTCACCGGCTCCCACCTGCTCTCCCTCGCGAGCTGCTGCGCGGTGCCCGTGAAGCCGCGCGCGGCGAGGAAGCGCGGGTCCGGGTTCGGGTCGAACGTGCGCGCGAAGGACGACCAGATGTCGACCATGCGCTGCATGAACGGTAGGTCCTGCGCGTCGCGGTACGGGAGGCTCTCGGGCAGCGAGCCGAAGACGTAGTAGAGCTCGCCCGAGTGACACCTGCACAACCACATCGCGGTGAGAGATAAGCAGGGGGCAGAGGTAGGAAAGCGGACTGACTTGAAGTATTCTTGCGACGTGTCTCCGAACGGACTGTCGGCGGTGATAGGTGCCTCGCAGACCGGGAACTGCATCACGAGTGTGAGCTGACTGAAAGCACCCGCAGAGTAGCATATACGCACGTTCGGAGAGAATCCGGGCGTTTGGTAGCTGCGGTTGAACTCGTAGAACCAGACGTTCTTGAAGAGGTTGTGCGAGACGCCGGAGAAGGCGGTGGCTTGATCCAGGCAGCGGAACTCGACATCCGTCGTGACGCCAGCGGTGACGTTGAACACGTTCAGAGTGGCGTTTTGTCCGGATGGCTCGGGGAAGAGGGGGTTATTGACAACCGTGGTGTTTAGCGATGCGCCGAGTAGGCCTGCTGTCAAATTCCCATTGGCCTAGATGGACAGTAAACGTGACGGTCAGATGGTAGATAGATGTGAACTCACCGGGAAGCCGATGAAGGCAGCGCCATCGTCGCGCATGAACCCCATCATGGTGTGCACATTGGCTATAGGACCCGACCGGTCCAGAGGAAGCTGTTTGGATGTGATGAAAGTTCCATCGACCACGAGGAACCTGCGGGATACTGAGTGTGAGCCAAGAGAGTCGCGCGTAGTCGCCCATCCTAGACAGACCTTGCGACGGTGGGCAAGCTGACCAGCGTATGGGGATCAGCGGCGCGCATACACGCGAGCGCATCAGTGCCAGAGGCGTTGCATCCTACAGCAGCCAGGATGGGGTTGGCGACGAGTGAAACCTCCTGCGGGATCGTATAGTAGAGCGAGTAGGTCGTCGCGTAGTTCGCGCCCGCGAGGTTGCTCATCGGCACCGCCGCGGCGTACTTCCCAATTGCCTTCGGGGAGCCCATCAGAGCGCGCACCGACGCCGCGCCCGCAGACTGGCCGAAGATCGTGATGCGGTCCTTGTCGCCGCCAAACGCGGCGATGTGTTCATGCACCCACTCGAGCGCAACGATCTGGTCCGCAATGCCGAAATTCCCGTTCGTCTTGCCGTCGTCGAGCGCGAGGAAGCCGAGCGTCGAGAGGCGGTAGTTGATGGTCACGAGCACGACGTCCCCGCGCGAGGCGAGGCTGCTGCCTTCGAACGTCGAGTCGCTCCCGGTTCCGCCTGTGAACGCGCCGCCGTGGATCCAGAACATGACCGCTTTCAGGGGCGTGCGGCTGGCCGGCGATGGGATGAACGGGGTCCATATGTTCAAGAAAAGACAGTCCTCGCTGCCGGTGGTGGTGCCCGCCTGTATGCACTGAGAGCGGAAGTTGCGGGCGTCGATCGTCTTGTTGCCAGTATACGCGGTGGGATATTCGAACCGCACGGGTGGGTTCGCATAGGGAATACCGAAGAACTTGAAGGACGTCTGGTCGCGGAACCTGTCCAAAATCATGTTAAGGCGAGACCTCGAACATTACCAACAACGCTTACCCAGTGACGGTCAAGTCCTGCGAATGCACCGTCAAAGAGGACTCGGCAGCGGCAGCAGCACGGAACCCGGCGCTCTGGGAGCACAGAGCAGGCAGGGCCCGCAGACAAGTGAGGGACGAGCTAACGACCCCTTGTGCGTTGACCACTTGACAGACGCGTCCCTCGTTCGCTACCCAGAACTGCTGATTCGACGGGAAATTGCGTTGGAAGACTTGATACTGCAGGGAGGGCACCAGGTCGTTCTTGAAGAACGTTTTGTTCACGGGCAGAAGCGTCTCCCCGAGCGCTGAACACGCGCTTGCAGCATCTCGTTGGAACCGCGGAGCGGAGAGAAGTAGCGCACTACGATGCGTCGGCGCGGTGAACACTGCTCACTGTTAGCGTCTGCTCTCAAGTTGAACGTCTGGATAGGGGCGTACCATCGAGGTCATTGTTATACAGCAGCGAAATATCGCTGCCAAGGGACGCGAGCGACGGCACGGCAGCAGCACAGACCAGGGGTGTTGCCAGCAACCCTGCGAGGGCAAGGCTCGCGAACGCGAAGAGGGGCTGCATGTCGTCTGTGGTGAGCTCCAGAGCGTGCCCAGCGAGGCGCATCCCAAGCACGTTATATACCCCCTCGCGGCTGCTCATCACGACGAAGCCAGGCGGAGAGCCATCGCGAGCACGAGATCAGTGCCGTACTAGAGAATGGCCGAAGCAGACGCGTCCAAAATTGCGCGCGCTGTTATGGCGCCGCTATGGGGGCGCACGGGCGCCGTACGCGATCGGGACCAGTATCAGCAGGTACAACCTCGGAGTTTTTCTAGCGCACATGACGAGGAACCGGTCCTCCGTCTGCCATGCTGGCTTTTCGATGTGTAACTGTGGCGGTCCGAGGGGGCGAGTCCGGTCGCCGTAGATGTGGGTCTTCATTCGTAGAACCTATCGAACGAGCACCGAGCGAGGACTCGGCGACGACCGCTCGTTCAAAAGTTGAGCGACCAGCCGCGCGCGTTCCCCCACATGAGGACCTCCTTCCGGAGCATTCAACAGTTGAAACTATAACGCAGATGATGATACTGGTGGATACACGGCTAGAGTCGCCTACAGTAAAGTAAGCAGTTCAAGGAAGCGCTGAATAGGAAGTGTAGCCAAGACGTACAATATACAGAACAGGTCGAGTCCGGACATGAGCAGCACAGAACAATCAGGCCATCTCCACATCGCCCTCGCCCGCGACGGCCGCAGGCTTCTCAGTCTGCCCATTGGGGATGACGTCATCCTGCAGATACGCGTCCAACTCCTTGTCCAGATCCTCCGCGGTCTTGGGCTTCGCTGGCACTCTTTTGCCCGCACGAGGCCCTGCGGCACCCCCGCGGGGCTTGTTGCGCACAGGACCGACACCTCCCTCCCTGGAAAAAAGAATGAGCGCCCATAAACAATGGGTGCGCGTGCAGACACATACGTTGCAGCGTTTTGCCGGGGCTTTGTGTCATTTCGGCTCAGGCGGTCCAAGAGCGGCGGCTTCTCAATGCGATTGAGGAGAGACCCGGTGTTGGCACCCCGGCGGGGCCCCTTCGCAGACGCAGGGGGCGCGGTGTCGTAAGTGATTTCCATTGGCTGATCTACAAAGGTAGTTTGACGTAAGTATTTGCAAGGTGAGCTACTCAAGGAGCTCGAGGGCTTACTTTTCGCGAGTATGCCGTCGAACTGGTTCTTTGCCCTTGTTGCCTCGGCAGGCGTTTCAAAGGTGACGACGGCAACGCCTGTAGACCGTCCGCTGCGGTCATACTGAACGCCGGAAGACGAGAGCGGAGCGGAAAGAAGTCCAATTGGTGTCTCGTTTCTCAGCCGGATTCGGTGCATGCGGAGCTTCGTACCCTGATTAGTGGTTCACGGACAAGCGTGCCAATTTGACCGAAGATTTGCTGTAGAATATGTCAGTGTATGCCACAGAGATGAATTCATGTAATAGGCGAAACAATGTGCGCATCGGTCAAAGCCCAACATGCCCCTATTTCGCTTGACCATCAAAGCTGCGCTGGCTGTCGCGTGTGTACGCCACATGCAGCGCTCTATAGCTGGGTATTGTCCCAGCGGAGAAAGGACGAGCAGCCGTGGCGTAGCAAGGCTCCGTTGGATTGAAGGAAGCCGATCAAATGACACGTACCGTCAGGTCTTTGGGCGTAACCTCATAGTGCAGATTTGAGACGAGGATCCTTGTGTTAGTTATTCCGCCGGCAGGACGGCTCGTCGCGTTCGCCTGGACCGCCCGGGGGACCCCGGGAGCCTTGTCATGCAACCATTGTCCCTCTGGGCTTGCGCGAGGGCGAGGCGCAGGTCGCTATTGGTGGCGTCAGGACGACTGCGAGTCTTTCGAGAACGCGGTAACCGACGCTGTAGGGCTTCGCAGCTCTGTTGATGTTGGAAGGTGCCATGGTGGTTTCTGGTGAGTTGTCTGGCGAACAGAGGGACGACGAAAGAGAAAAGCGGCAAGGGAGAGCGTGAGCGTTGAGAGAAAGACGTGGTGGCGGACGACGACTTGCGCCTCGCGTCGCGCGTCGTTTTAGGCGCCCATCTGCACCTCAATCCTGAAAAGGAAGGTATTGAAGTTCGTCCGACGCTGGGCCAGTCCCGGCTAGACAAAGCTAGTCCGTGTGCCCGCGCACAATAAATCAATCCCAAAGAGAAAATTTCAATATTAGAGGTAGAGCAGAGTTTTAACACTACCTCAGAATCCACGATGAGGTGATCAGCTAGTATAAAGGCGGTGATGTATGTTGTTCTCGGCTATGTTAGGTCAGTACATAGACCTCATAGACCCCATTCTCTCTAAAATACTTATATGGTGATGTGTGCGTTGCTTGTAAATGCTCTGAAGCGATGAGCGACCTCATGTAGTAGAGTGAAGCGGTGGCTTCGATCTGGGCCGTTGTCCGGCAAGACCAGTTTCTGGCGGGCTGATTCCGGACCGCTTTGACATTAAATATAGAGAACTAGGCAAATCCTGGCTAGAGCCGTCGCCATTGTGCTTGGAGGCTACAGCCTTAGCCAAGGTGTATCCAAAAGCGTCTCCCTTTGTCCTTCTTTCTAGTCACGATTGAGCGCCTATTTCGGAGTTCGAAACTGGCCAAGCCAAAAGCCGCCACGCGCGGCATGTTCAACTTCTTCACTGCGACATCGACGACGACTTCCTCGAGATACCCCCTCCTCACCGCTTTTTAAGCGCAACCGCCTCGGCGCACACTCCTACGCCCCGTAGTCACCCTCCTTAGTCGTCCGTCGACGTCATTTGCGCTTCAATCCATCGCCACCTCCACACGTTCATCACGAACCCAAACACACATTTCGCGACATCCATGGCTACCACCACACGCGGATTCATCGTTTTCAAGGACGAGCCCGAGGCCGTCCCTACCCAGACTGTGGAGAAGAAGGAAAACCAGACCGGAGCAACCGCTACGTATGTTCTCGCACCCCCTCCCGGCCCCCAGCTGGTCTACGCTCCGGACAAGGAGAACATCGACCCCTTCACTGGCACGCGTCCCAGCGATGACCAGGCTTCTGGGAAGAAGCGCAAGACCACTCTCAGCGTCAAGGCGCAGCCCTCGTCTCCGACGAAGCGCCTGAAGCCTCTGGCTGAGAAGGCTACCAGGAAACCACCATCGAAGGCACGTGCCGCTGAGAAGAAGAGCAAGCGCACCGCGCCGAAGCGCTCGGCCTCGTCTCGCGTCCATCGCGAGCCGTCTCTACCGCGTGTGACGGAGGAAATCGACGCGGCGGACCAGGCGGTCATCGATTCAAAGTGCAAGGACTTGACTGTCCTTCCTTTGGCCGATATTTCGGAGGCGTACGACGTTGCGTCCCCTAAGCAGGACGTTCCGGTTGCTCAGGAGACTGGGCCCAGCAAGGAGGCCGCCACGGAGGTATGCTCGATGATGTGGTTCGTATCGTCCAAAGCTGATCTTTCGAATATAGCACTCCACGAGCGATGCTCCGAAGGTGGAACGTGCCAGCAGTCCAACTGCCGCTGGACCCGAGCGTACATCTTCTCCCGCCCCTTCCGCCTCTGCCGCCAGCGTTTTCTCTACGCCTGAGCGCAAGCGCATCTATTCCGCGTTCACATTCACATCGCCCTCCCCGGCCGCGAAGCGCTACGCGTCGGCGCGTGGCTCCAGCGTGGACCGTTTCTCGGACGCTGCGTTCTAGGCGTCTTCACGTGCACTCCACATTTCGACACTGCACATCATGGCGACCATAGGATTTCGCGGTCGTCTCTCGCTCTCATGCCTCCCAGGACCACTATGCAAGGCTCCATATCCATGATCGCACGCGACAACCGCATCCTCGTCTGCCCATCTCAACGACCTCAATGTCTCGACGCCCCAGTGCGTTTGTATTTCTAGACCCCCCGCATCTCACGGCATATCATACCACGCAAGCATCTCCATGATTGTTCATCTTCCTGTGCATATATTCACCTCTCTCGCGCGTGCGCCTCTCCATGGTTCTGTCTTTGTGCCCTCGTCCTTTATTTACTGATGTTCATCTCCCCTCGTCCTACCCTACCCCACCCCATCCCCACCTACCCCTTTTCTCTTTGTTCCGTGTTCCGTGTTCAGTTGATCGTCCCCACGAACGCTGATTGTGTCATGTCATACACCCTTCGCTTTGTCCTTGCATCATGCTCGCATTAGCATACGCATCCTATAGCTGTGGACTCCTTGTAGATGTGTATCGCTCCTAGTCGACCTGCTATCGAATGACAAACGTAATCAGTTGTGCAACTCTTCCGGCAGGCTCTTGAAGTCAAGTGGACGTACTATACAGAGCATATATTGAGGTCACGAACTCTCGGCCAGGGCGACTGAACAGATGCCGCGCAGTGCCACTGCCAATTGGCGCCCGGCGACGACAGTACAGTCCATGTGATTCCCGCGCGGTTATGGGCGCTTGTGTGTCCCCACGAAAGTCATTTGAGGTTGGGGAACGCGTCCAACGCGCGACCTTTCGTACCACCACCATCCTAGACTTGTAGATATGCCCGGGAAGCCACCACGCCAGCGCAAGACGCGCCAAGATGACCTAGTGAGTAGGCACAGAAACTAGACTCGCGTGGCGCGGCGCGGCCCTGGCGGTGTGCTCCGACAGTCTGGTCGTGCTCCGAAAGCCGCTACCAGTCTGCGTTTTTGACCGCATCGTGGTATAGACAAACGACATCCAGGACCCCAATGCACATTCATCCCTCTATGTAAAAGATGCCACGCATACAAGCACACTTGGGAAGACGCGGAGCAAGACGCTCACTTGGCTAGAGATACCCGAGTGGCAGAGAGACAACGAGTACATCTTGACCGGGTATAGACGGTACGTCTTCGCCCCGAGGCTCTAGGAGAGGAGTCGCGTAATCTTGTTGAGGTCTCGTAATGCATGGTGGTGTATCCACGCGCCATGCATTATGAGATTGTGTGGCACGAGGAGTGCCCGTGAAAAGGTATCTGTGCCAGTACTGCCAGTACATTGTAGCAACTGGGCTATGCCTCGGCAAGTGTCCCGTTATGGCTGACTGCGTTCTCCGCCTCGGAGGAGCTGCGGCGAAAGCATGGAATGTGAAATCACTGCAAATGATGCGGTGCCAGGAAGCACGAATCGCGCGACCTGCATGCTCGTATCACTGCTCTCGCAAGTTAAACATGAATGACCTGGTGAAATCCAGTCTTATGAAATGACCAATTACATACCGCAGCATAGCATACGTGGCACGACAAGGCAACACGGGCAAGCGAGTGAAGGGACCTTCTCAAAATGCGGCATGGTACGGGGCCAAAAACGGCGATGTATGCTCTTCCCGGCCTCTCCGGGTGACCTCGAATGTGCTATCCGCCTACGTGCATCACCCGGGAAGCCCGGCATCATAGCGTCGTCATATTGCACTATCCGAAGGACTAGATTTCTCCGGCCGCATGCATGGGAAGCCTCACGTTGAATGGCCCTCTTTAGGCTCAATGACGGCGTTCTGTCAGGAAAATTGTTGCTAACCCGTGTTACAGGGCGACAGCATCTTGGCGTGCATGCGCCGCTTCGGTTTTTGGCTGTACGTACAGGAGCACATTTTGCTGTGCAGTGCTCAGCGCGAGGGCGTGATTCACTGATAGACTTTGGTAACTCCAGACTTGCATAACGAGACCGGTAAGTGCATAACCGACGGAATCAGTTGCGACACTGCCCTCTAATGCCTCCTAACAGTCAACATCCACAGTCACCTCGCCGGCGCGGTGATATTCGCGGTGCTGTTGGTCAGCTTCCCGACTGTATACTTCGCACACTACGAGTCGACCACATGGGAGGACATGGCCGTCTTCATGATCTTTCTTTGCGCCGCCATCTTTTGCCTTTTCTCCAGCGCGTTTTACCACACGTTTAGCGCGCATTCAGAAGCGGTGGGTCGCAACATTTGCTTCGCGATGGTGCGGTGCAGCTTAATGAACACGGCAGGTAGCCGGCAGGTGCAACGGTCTGGACTACGCGGGCATCGTCGGTACGTCTTCACGAATAGGACTGCGATATCACCGCTACCACATTAACGCCATTCCATCGCTTTGTACCTTTAGTCCTGACTGTTGGTTCATTCTACCCGTGCATCTATTACGGGTTTTTCTGCGATCGTCACTACAAGACGTTCTATTTGAGCGGGATCACCATAGCTGGCCTAGGTACGTTCATGCCCCTGATCGTCTTCGGCGCCGGTGGGCGGTTTCATCATGACCGTGATGCGCCCGCACACTGTCCTGTAGCTGCTAAAATCATCCGCGTGGTTGTGACTGCTTGCTGATACCGCACTGGCCCCCTTTCTCGTGACGGGGTTTCACAGGCGCCGCATACATAGTGCTCAACCCTGAGTACCGGAAGCCGACACACCGCGGTGCCCGAACGAAGGTCTTCATCTTTCTAGGCCTGAGCGGTGTTATACCCACACTGCACGGCCTTGTAACGCATGGCTATTACACGCTGTGTTACGAAATGGGCTTCGGCTGGCTGCTCGCCTCCGGCGCCATGTACATCGTCGGGGCCCTGCTGTAGTGCGTGTCCCCCACCCGCCCCGCTCTTGTGCCGCAGCTGACCAAGACCGTTCATCTGCCTTTCGGCCCTTCTTTCTGTCGCGACCCGTGGCACGTCCCCGCGCCGCCCATCTACCGTGTGGCCTCGCCTCGCCTGCCGCGATCAACCTCTCCATCCTCCGCGGACCACGCCGTCGGGCGATCTCCTCGGGTGCCTTGTGCAGCGCGAACCGCATCCCGGAACGCCTCTCGCCCGGCACATTCGACTACTTCCTCGCGTCGCACCAGATCTTCCATTTCTTCGTCCTCGCGGCAGCGCTTGCGCACTACGCCGGCGTGCTCACCGCGTTCGACCACTGGCACCGCCGGGTCTCCGGCTGCCCCGCGCGCTGAACCCTGCACGCGACCATGCCCGTTCTGTACTTCCGCCGTGGGGTGGGCGATCTAAATCCTATTGCCAATGTAACTGCGCCTTCGTAACTGTCCCGCCCAAGGCCCAGAGACGCTCCCCTGGCAAGCCGAGTGCTTCCGGCGCACTACTCTCGGTCAGCCAACTAACCTCCGCAGACAGACAATAACGCAGGGAAGATGTCTCATCCTGAACCACCCGTCGAACAGGGTCTACCCGCCCGCTTCTCAAATTGCCGGCGCGGAGGGCCTGTGTGCGGCGCGGCGCGGCGCGGCGTACTTGGGCAAGGTGGCCCTTCCCGCGCCGCCGCCGTTACCGCTTCTTTCGTCAGGAGCCACCCTTGCATTGATGTGGCGTCTTCAAGCTTCCGAGGAACTTCACCCTCCGAGGTGTTCTTCTCCACATGCCGCGTATTCTAGGGGTGGGGCATGCACCTTTGTCACCCTCGCCACACGACCTCGCGCGCACCTCCAGCTCGGCACGGCATGGCGAAAACGTCAAACGTCCGGACATGGAGGAGCACGCACCCCTCTTCCGGGCGCCGGGTGCGATACCTCGGAGTGTGCATCGTGGTGCCGTTCGCGGCTCTGAAGGGTATATGGTGAAGGGAGCCGACCGCAGACCGAATATACCGAATATGCACTGTGCCGGACGTCTCGGCGTTCTCGACGTTCGGTTGCGGGCGCCGATTCCGCCACCGTCACCCTGCGGGTCTTCTGTGGCCACATAGGGAAGAGTTGAGGATCGTCAGATGATGATTCGACGGGAATATGCTGCTCCCTTGCCGATGGTCAACGCCGCTGCAATATGTCATGTGGTAAATCAGTACGTCGTCTTCCTCGAATCTATCGTGGTGCATGTTGGGTTGACACAATGGCAGTTAACAGATAAACTGCGCCCGCCACGGGCGCGGTGGCAGACGAAACGTGTGCCATACTAGCTTTGGATGCGGGAGGGCGCGGGTTGTGTGGCGTGACCGAGTTGTGCAAGATCCCGCATCTCGTTCGAGGAGTTTCAATGGCAGGTACGTACACTGCGCCCTCCCACATCGCACCATGATCGACCAATCCCTTGGACTGCGCGCAGAACAAAGCCAATATCGACGCCGCTCAAATGGCGGTCAGGGCCACTCTCAAATGCGAATATGCATCGCAGAGACCAATTAATACCATAGGTATCCGCGGCTCCGGCGTTACCCCCCGCAACGGGACGCCACTGGGATGATCGGACGGGCACGACAAATCGGGCGGGACTGCCAGAATGGAACCCGATTGCGGCGATCGAGCACAGCTAGAGCGAATGCGTGCGTTATGTGCCTTATTTGGGTGAGTAGAATCGATGTGCTCAGTCTCTCGGGTCCCTCGACACTTGAAGGAGCGCATCGTCCGCGTCCCCCGCGCGAGAGATGAGCGCGATATATAGCGCCTCGCGGCCGGGGTCACCGGAGGGATAGGGGCGCGGTGACAGTCAGCGTGAAGGCCGCGACATCGCGGGTGTGTCTTCGACGGACTTCTGTCAGAGAACGCAACATTCACCACGGGCCCGGTTTCAGAAGCTGCAGCACGTCGCAGGCCGCACGTCATCCAGCACGATAATCATCGCCGCGCATGCGGCGTACGGTCCCGTGCGGGGCCGTTCGAGCCGCCTTCACCCTGGGAGTTCTGCCCAGCCGCATGCATCGCGCGATGCACGCCCAACAGGCCAGTCTTGTCGAGAACAGCAAAGGCCGCTTCTAACTGTGTCACCCATGGCCGCTCCGGCCCCAGCGCTGACACAGGTTCCCACGAGGCGTTCGCGACGTGCGCTGGCACAAGAGCTGTCGCACGCGCCTTTGCCCCCGACTTGTATTGACGGACGAAATAGCCTAAAAGCGAGCCCGACGCGCTCCCCGACGCCTCCAACATATTGTCGGGCTCGGAAGCAAGTGCACAATCTAGATCGGCAAGTTGTGCAGTACTCAATATTGGGAGGCCTGATCCGCAGAGCCGATCGGCAAGGGCCGAGGAGAGGTTAAGGGACCGGACGGGCGGCCACGGGGACTCGGCGAACGCTCGTCGCTTGATTACCTCTATCGTGCGTTGTCATTTCGGTGGTGGGATGAACCGCCCACTCCGTCCGCGGGGCCTGGCGTGCCACCAGAAGGTCGCCGTCTGCACCTGAATTCCGAACCATGCCAATCAGAATCCCCCGTTTATCGCGCGTGTTTTCGGAATAACGGCTTGTATTTCTCCACATCTACTCCCCGGCCCCGTCCCCTGCCCCTCTGTGCTTGCCCACCAACTGCACCATCGTCCCTCCCGATCTCACATCCGGCGGCTCGCTTGCGCCGTCTGGTCGCGAGCCACGATCTCCGATCTGCAGAGACTCCGTCCCTGACCCTCTTTCCGTCCTTTTCTCTATAAAGCGCGCCCGGTTTCCTTATAACCCGCCTGCTCATGGGCAGCCATCACGAAGCTTCCCAGAACCATGTACCCCCTAGGTTTCCTTCCGTTCTTCTACAGTCTGGTACCAGAATGGGGCGCTGTCGGGTTTGCCCTCGTCATCCCCATCCTCGTCCTTGCCCTCTGGTTTTACACCATCGTCACTCGCTCATCATCATCCGCGCAACCTGACGACATTCCGGTGTACTTGCCGGGGTCTTCGCTGTTGCATATACTTCCATTCTTCCACCAACGCTTCGATTTCATAAACCAGGGCTTCCAGCTCGCAGGCCAAGCCATCTACCAATTCACCCTCCTCCGAGTGCGTCCAACCCCCCTCATACACTCCTCTTTTGCCAGCACTGCTAACTCGGTTGCATCCCTCTTTCACAGACACCGGTTATTGTCCTTTCGGGCGAGGCCGCCCGGCGAGATTTTTTCCAGGCCAAGGACCTCGACCTCAATGCCGGATTTAAGTTCCTTTCCGGAGCCGTGCGTTGCCCGTCTGCGACACTCTCGCTTCCGTCTGACGTCGCTCGCTTCACAGATCCCGATGATGCCGGGTGTGACGTCCAACCTGGAGGCACGGCGCATCGCGCTCATCCACAAGCGACTCGTGTCCGCGCAGACGACGGAACGCCTTGCACGCCGTGAGTGCGCCCTCCCATGGATCGGCGGCGGAGCGCATGCCCGCGGGCTCGGGGGCAGTAGCCTCAGCTTCGGTCCCGTCACATGCGCCTGCGTGTGTGATAGGACCCGAAGCCAGCTGCTCTTCGCGCACGCTATCGCACCGCGAAGCTTCCGTCTGGCGCACTCTGTGCGCCGGCGGCAACTCTGCGCAGGGCCGGGATTAACATCTCGGGCTAAGCTGCCCCTTCCTCCCGCCGATACCCCTCGCACGGACGCTGAGCTGACGCATGCGCGCACAGTGCTCCCTCAGATCCTGGAGGATTCCCGGCGCACGCTGGACTCATGGGGATTCTCCGGCACGTTCGACCCGTTCGAACGGCTTCCCGAAGTACGTGCCGCGCTCCCAGATTAGATCACGCGCGCTCACCGGCGCGCACGCCGCCCCGCCGCATAATCTAGCTTATCTTCCAGACGACGGTGCGGTGCCTTGCGTTCGGGGAGCTCGCAGACGACAGGGCCGCGGTCGCGCGACTGAAGCACCTCTACGACACGCTCGACACTGCGACGACGCCCGCGACCGTGCTGCTGCCATGGCTGCCTGGGCCGAGCGCGGTGCGGCGGCTGCTCGCGACGAAGCGTATATATGACATCATTGGAGGTGCGCTCGACGCGCGTACAGCAGGCGGCATCGCGCGCGACGACACGCCGCAAATGTTGATCGACGCCGGGGACGAAAGGATGATCATAATCGGGGTGAGTGCGCTTCGAATATGCCACGCAAGGCGGCGGGAGCGGGGAGCACGCCGTCGGCGGGGCTTCGATGTGTTGGACGCTGCTCACCAATTGACAGTTCATTATGGGCCTTCTCGTCGCGGGCGCGCGATCGACCGGCACCACGGGTGCGCCCGCTCTTTCTCGCTCGCACGCATGCATGACCGCTCACTCAAGCATTCGCAGCGTCGTGGCTTATTACGTTCCTCAGCGGACACCCGCACTGGAAGGCGAAGGCGACCGAGGAAGTTCGGCGGCTCGTCGCGAAGCACAGCGAGCACGCGCCCACGACGGCGCCGCCGCCACCCCAAGGAGCTTCTCCACAGGCGCCCCGCCATGCGTCGGGCCTGTCCGCGCTATCCGCCACGCTCTCCGCGATCCCGCTTTCTGCGTGGGAGACGGAGACGCCGGTGCTGGACGCGCTCATCTGTGAGACGCTGCGCGTGGCGGAGCCGCACGTTGCGATGCGACAGTACCTCCCACCGGACATGCACGACGAGAAGGCCGAGCCGCTGTACCTTGGGGGCAAGGCCGTGCCCCCGGGCGCGTTCGTGATGTATCCATTCAGCGACGTACACCTCAGCCCGGAGGTGTACAAGGACCCGTGGCGGTGGGACCCCGGCCGCACGGAGATGAGCCTCAAGGCGCCGTACGCGTACGTGGGCATGGGTGCCGGTGAGTGTGCCTATCTGACAGCCGTCGCGCGAAGGCGAACATGAGCTAACGATCGCTTCCCTGCCGGCCCCTCATTTCCGCTGTAGGGAGCACGGTGTGTCTGGGCAAGCGCCTCGCGACGCTCGAGCTGAAGCTCATCACCGCGCTCTTCGTGCTCGGCTTCGACGAGCTCCGCGCGGTCGACGGCACGGGCGCGCCGCTCGCCGCGCTGCCCCGGCCGAACTGGAACGACATCTTGACGTGCAGGCCGGCGGCGGGCTCGTGCTACGTGCGCTTCGGACGGACAGTGGCGGGGACGGGCGGATAGGCCCTGGGGCGTGTACGTGTACATATTTTCGGGCGGCGGCGCGTGCGTTGCCGTTACCGCTGCCGCTGGCATGATGATTGCGACACGACACGACTCACGATTTGGGACGATGGGACGCGGCGCGGGACCGGGTTCTGCGGCCGCGCGACGCGGCTGGGCATAGGCTCGTGTAGTGTAGCGGTCATTTAGATGTACAGCCGCGTTCTTTGTACTGTATTCACATTTCTAGAACGACGTTCATGATGCTACGATTTGAGCGTGGGTGTGTATGCTCTGTCCGGATTGACGTTGGAATGGGCGGATATAGTTGAGCACGTCTATCTGCTGTCGATGAGCGCGAGCTGTTCGGTTAATTATAACGTGCTTTATACAAGCCGAGGATCGTGGTTTCGGGGCTAATGGACACATACGATTCTTGCGCGCGAAGCTGTGGTGTGGGATTTGGAGGTTCGCGGATGTTCAATGTGTCCGAATTAGGAGCGAGCTACGCCGTGAATACTAGCGAAGTGCTTCGGAAGCGCATCGGTACTGTATAACGTTCGGTCTTGAAGTGCGGGGAATAATGAAGATCCACGATGACCATAGAAGGAATTATTCCGGCCACTTGCAGCGTCACTTTGAGGGGATCCTCCTACGTAGTTTGCCTCAATCGGAAATGCGCGAAGCGAACGCAGTAGGATTGGCAGCTTCTTGAATACTGTCACCACTTACGATCTTGTAAAAGCGCAGCCTTCAGTTGAAATATTCGACGGTCGTGCAGAGTCTATCGAGAGGCCGGACTAGCCGAATGAATTTTGAATTAGTAGCAAACGATCTACACCTCGGACAAGTCATACCTGTTTTGGGTACTCCAGCCATAGAGGACTGATCTTCGTGTATGTTCGTGTGCAGTCCTGTGTCACTGTGTGCGTATGTGAGCGAAGAGGTGACCGTACGGTGGCGGGGGATCGACCAGCCGCGTACACAGGTGTGAGACCCTCAATGGACGTCGGTAGAGCTGTGTGTTATTCTCCATCAATTGACCCTGGACCTACCGAAGCCTACAAGCTTCTATTGGTCCCCTGTGCGCCTGTGTGCGCCCGTAGTAACGGTTCAACCAGCGGATAGGAGTCGAATCGGAAGACACTCGAGGCCTAGCAGCTAGCGCTGGGGCTAATTGGTCTGAGACGCTCGCCGGCGAGTAAGATGCAGCCAGAGGTGAGAGGCGTACATGCTCTCTATGCATCTTGAAAACCTGTTGCATCGCCTCCTTCAGCAAAAATTGGATCTTGTCGTGCACAAACCAATTTGGTACCTTCATGAGTGAAGTTGCTGAGGAGGGCAAGTAGCATAGACGCCCATATATAGTGGCAACATTTCTGATCAATGGGCGGCCGGCAGTTGCCGACGGCGTCGGGATGCGCGAACGATAACGGGCGCAACGTCTTGCTCACCACCACCACCTCCGTCTCCATCTTTCTCTCTCTCTCTCGCTTGCTTTCTTCTCATTTCGTCTTCGTTCTCGGCCCTCTGTTGAACGTCTTTCGCCCGTCATGGCCGACCTCTCCGACCCGAAGATCGACGAAGGTGAGCACGCGTGCCAGGGCCGCCCATTCCTCATGTCCTGCAACCATGCTCACGCGGGCGACGATCGTACAGCGTACCAGGACGTCCGCGCGGACAAGACGGACACGAACTGGCTCCTGCTGGACTACGAGGTGCGCGCGCCCGATCCCCGCGCCCCGCGCGCGTCCGCCCATCTCGGCGCTCACACGCACCCTCCCTGACGCCGACGCTGCCAACGCAACGCACGCACACATCTGCTGTGAATTCGATGCTCGCCGTGGAACCGCTGCACACGCCCCTGCCAATGCCACGCCCACGCATGCACGCAGTCTGACCGCTCGGACAAGCTGCAGCTCACGTCGACCGGATCGGGGGGCCTCGCGGAGCTGCGCGAGCAGCTCGACGACAGCAAGGCGTCGTACGCGTACGTGCGCGTGCAGTACGCGAACGACAAGGAGTCCAAGCGCGAGAAGTTCATTCTCGTCGTCTGGATCGGCCCCAACTGCAAGGTCATGCGCAAGGCCAAGGTGCGTTCCGGCGACGCGTCGGCCTCTGTGGGCCGTGGACTGACAGGCACCGTGTAGATCTCCGTCCACGCGGCGGACGTGAAGACCGTGCTGCGTGTGTACTCGGTAGAGGTGCCTGCGCGAGAGAAGGACGACCTGAAGGAGGAGCCCATCGTCATCAAGTTGCGAAAGGTGCGTTTTCGCCAATTTACTATCAGCCGGTCACTGATGGGCTGTCGCAGGCCGGGGGTGCGAGCTACGACGGCGTATAACCGCTGCACTTGGGATGGATATCATACCGCTGTAATTTTTGTATCAGCATTTTCCTTTGGGTCAACCACGGCATATCAGAAACGCGCATAGAATCGTCAAGATATGATCATAAATACGGAGAAATACAGTAGGTTATAGCTCGTCATGGGCAGTCGCCTCTGGAGGCAACTCTACGGCCACTTCTGGGACTGCCGACAATAGCGACTCTGCTAGTGGAACACTCGACGGTTTCTTCGCTATTGTGCCGGGATCCGAGGTCGCGGAGCTGGCTATGGACGCAACAACCGTCGACGCGCTCGCAAGCGCTGTAGACGCCGCCGTAGCGACACTGCTCGCACTTGCAGAGAGCGCCGCCTCGCCTTTCTCCATCGCCAGGAGTGCCTCGTCGCCGCTAAATGAGGGAACGAAGCGCGTCCACCAAAGCGCGATGCGCAGACCGCGGTCGACGATGCGCTGCTTGAGGATGAACAGCACCACGAGTACGAAGAACGCGAGCGCGGCAAGGATGACCAGACGGTCCAGCCAGTCGGATTTTTCGAGCGCGGTGATGAGGTGCTTCGAAGTGGACATGAGGGATGAGAGCACATCGTGTGTCGTGGAGGTAGACTTTAGCGAAGCCGTCGAGGACTCTGTGGGTGGGCGTAAGGGGAGCGGACGGTTGAGTGGTGTGATTGGGACATACCGAGTAGTTGGGTGGAGAGCACAGAGCGTTCGAGTTCGCCTTGCATGAGACCGATTGTTCGTTGTAGCGCTTCTGTCACATCGTTGTTTGCCTTCATGAGCGCGTCCTCTCTATTTGAGCAATGTGCACGTCAGCCAAGGATCCCCAAGTCAAGCAACTGACATCGCAATGATACAGAGGTTTTCAAATGGTTAAACCAGGGATCCACGGAGCGAATCCTGCAAGTTCGAATGAATGTTTTACGGGGCACCGCGCTACACTACCGATTTGCCCGCGTTAACATTCTCCACGGAACGAGGAGAGGTACACGGCCCGCCAGGCAAGGTCTACATCGCGCCCGACAAACCATACTTGGCTTGCATCCGCTTTGTCTACGTCCGTGAAGTGCAAGCCCCTTGCAAGTGACACTGCGTAAACATGATGACCGGCACGGACACGGCGCGAACCATGATTATTACATTGTTATGCGGAACACATTCCACTGACATGTTCCGCGCAACAAGTTCAAGGGAAGGGACGCCAGAACGACTGCTGTGAGAAAAGGGTACTCACGTCACCTTCTCGTTCAGAGTCTGCTTCTCGCGCACCGCGGACGAACGCAGGAGCTCTTCCCGGCGCGACACCTGCTGCGAGTCAATTGCGCGTTTCGACGCCAGCACCGCCGCGCGCATATCTTTTCGCAACCTATGTCAACACAAGCTCAGCTCACATCCCACAGTGTACTTTGCCATTGTGCGCGTACCTGGATAGGGAGTCTTTGAACTCCTCGACGACCCGCCTCAACTCCCGGCGCGCGCGCTCCGTGCGCTGGTCCTCCACTGCAACATCGAGTGTCTACTCAGATATGTCTTAATTCAATTTGACATGCGGGTCTACACGACGTACCTCAACTTGTTTCGCGAACGCGTCCAGGTCATCGCGAAGCTCCGCAGCGTACTGCTGCTGTAAGCTGAGCGGGCCTGTGCATTGGCGCAGCCGAGGGAGCTGGAAGTCGGCGAGGTCTTTCTGTCTGCGCTCTATCAGGCTTATCAGGTCTGTTGTTTCCTCATCGAGTGTAGATGGTAGGGGCGGCATTGAGGACAATGGCGAGACCGAGGATGAAGGTGAGAGACAGAGGTACACGGCCCAACGGCGCACGCATGACGATGCGTGCATGACCGGCAAATGCCGAAATGAGCCCGCCCAATTTGGAAAGTGATCGGCTCGCGACTTTTGGGCGCCTAATACAACTTCGGACGTCCAACACCTCACCGTCCCTTTGCTGTCTTCGCCATGCTCTCCGCCCTCCGCTCGATCAAATCGCGGGCTATATGCGCACCGTCGGCAAGGATAGCTCATGTCAACTTCTACAAAACTGTTGCAGAGCTCACGCGGAACCACTGGAAGACTGGCGCACACCCTGCACCACGGCCTGTCGTAGAGGACGAGGAAGAAGACTGGCCAGCGCCGCTAAAAGAGGGCTTCGACGAGACGGAAGAGTCCCAGGATGAGGCTTCCACATCCTCACGCCCTCTGCCGCACCGGCCCTACCCCACAAAGCCCGAACGCAAGCGAACACCGCAGGAGTACGCGGCGCACCGAGAGACGATGAAGCGCAAGTTCCCCGAGGGCTGGGCGCCGCCACGCAAGGTCTCGCGCGAGGCGATGGAAAGCATGCGCTCGCTGCACCAGATCGACCCCGGCCGCTTTTCGACCCCGATACTTGCGGAGAAGTTCCACATCAGCAAGGAGGCCGTGCGCCGTATCCTGAAGAGCAAATGGGAACCGACGCGAAACGAGAGAGCACGGCTCGCGGCGAAGGAGCGGGAGGCGCGAGAGGCGTGGAAGGCGCAGCGGCGAGCGACGGAGAAGGTGCAGCACGAGGCGATACAGGAGGAGTATGGCCTCGTCCCGGAGGAGAGGAAGGACGACAAGCTCACGATGACATGAGAGTCAGCAGAGTTCCTTGGATAATTTATAGGTATGATGGACATGTGCTCCTGTTCTCAACGCATTCCTGATTTCCTTTAGCTCTACAGTACACAAATCCGCCATAATACCACCGAATCACATCACTAGACGCTTTGACCCGCTTGAGCTCTTCGCTGAAAAGACGCTTGATTTCAGTGGAGAACTTGGCATGGTGGCGTGAACGGGCACGATGGACGTCTGCTTCGCCGGTGCACCGCTCTTTCGGACCTCTGCCATCTTCACCACAGTCTCCACCCCAAGCAAGTCCACCTCCTCCAGCTGTATCGCCTTCGGTCGCCTTGCAAGGGCGCGCGGCGACGGGATTAATCATTCGTCTACATCATACTGGCGCGCGAGGCAGAGCCAGCGCACCGGGTCTTCGTTCAGGTGCGGTAGGTATAGCTTGAGTTTGTCGAGCGCGACGCAACGCAGGGAATGAAATTGCCACATGGTGGTGAGCTTCAGGACGAGAATCCGCTCTTCCATGGATAGCTCCACGCTCGTGCTGTAGGAGCTGGCGTTTGATTGTAGCATGTGAGCGTCGTAATCTTCCATTGCTTGTGGGAGTGCTTACGGTCGGAACATCATATGCAGCAGCGCTTTAAACTCGTCTTGCTTGACGCCTTCCAGCCTCACAGGCGAGTCATTTGCCTCGTCCTCCGCGAGGGCGGTACCCGCAGGAAGTGTGAACATGTCGCGGAAGACGGGGGAGCACGAATTTCTGCTTAGGCACCCTGAACAGGTAGCCTTCGACTTATCGTGGCCGTATGTGCTTATTAGCTAACTCACCTCGCGTTTCCCTTGCTAAACACTCACCAGGAAGACTACGTGGTCGTAGTAGAATGTGTCGTCGCGGACGATCCCCTTCGAGTCCACTCCCGTACTCATGGACAGAAGGGAAACACAAGTCGCCCACGGCTTTGATGTGCGGTGTGTGATTGCGTCTTTTGGGTCATGCGCATACGCCATCGCCATGGCAGGACGCCCACAGCCAAGGCCGAATAGCGCAGCAGGGATGCAGGAAAGGTGCTTGCACGGCGTGTGCATATATACACGTCTGCGTTCATCCTGCTGCGATCGTCCACTGCACGTGTACGTAACCGCAGCAACCCCTGGAGTCACGACCAGTCTTCTTGCAGGTCGCGTGAGCCTCGTTCGCCCGCGCTCGCTGCGGTAGCGAAGCTTTACCAACGTACGTTCATGAGTGGTAGACCAGTGTGCACTGTGGGCTAATATGGGAGTGACTGCGGTAGGTCAATGCTTTCTAGGCTCTTCTAGATCGTACCAATGTGACGCCGAGTGCCAACGCAGAATCGTTGTCGGGGCGTATCCCCACAGCCAATCCATGGGGTTCTGGGTAAGCGAGTTTAATCCCAATGTCGACACAGCGACCATAGCGAATGGGATCATAACCCTTGTGTTTACCGCAGCATTCTCTGCAGCAACGTTGTGGGGACAAGATTGTGTATATAACGCTCACAATGGTCAGTCCCACATTCTTCGTCCTTGCCAGCAATTCTCATCTCATCCTCTCCACTTCTGTCGGCCGAATTAACATATCACACAGAGCAAGATGGATCTGAACTGTCGTGACTCGCCCCAGGCAGCACAGCACCCTTTCAACCAATCTTCGGCGGACCTCATTCTGCGCACTGCCGACCTCGTTGACTTTCGCGTGCACACCCAGATCCTCGCGCAGTCTTCGCCCTTCTTTGCCTCTATGCTCGAATTACCCCAGCCTGCTTCCACAGCTCATTCCGGGAACAACACTGGCGACGCAGGGTCGGGCGTGACTCCGCCCGTCGTGCCCGTCTCCGAGGACAGCAAGACCCTCGAGCTGCTCCTACGCCTCATATACCCCATCCACAAGCCCCGCGCGCAGATGGAACATCCACAGACGATGGTCTCCGCACTCCTTGCCGCCACCAAGTACGAGATGACGCTCCCCATCGATATTATGTCCGACCAGCTGGCCACGATCGTAGCCAGGAGCCCGCTGCAGGTCTGGGCCGCCGCGTGCCGCACGGGTCTCGAAGGCGTCGCACGTCAGGCTGCGGAGGCGCTCAAGGCGTCGTGGACCGACAGCGACGCGCATGCGCTGTCGTTCATGGACGAGCTCGGGGACATGCCCGGGGTTTCCGCCGCAAACTACTATCGGCTCAGGCGCTTCCTTTCGGCGAAGGAATCCCCCCAAGGTGAAAGTAATTTCGCTCACTTGACCCCCGCGCGGATCATAAACCCGTGGATGATGATTGTCCCGGACGGACCAAGCCCGGACCCGTGGACGCCAGAGCCAGTGTACACAAACCTGCCACCTACCGACGTAACCTGCCGGTCAACGTCACGAATGGGCCAGGCGGTACTGTTCAAAGTGCACCAGGTCATCCTATCTACGCACTCGCCAGTGTTGAGGGCGCGCCTCGCCGAGTTTCGAGATGCAGCATCGTCGAATTCCGCACCCGCGCCGGATCCAGACTCTACGTCCGCGCCGGACTCGGGTTCCACGTCCGCTCAGGGCACCCCAAGCGTGCAAGAGGTCGTGCTGGACTTCGATGAAGGGCCTGAGGTCGTATCCACGTTGTTGGCGGCCTGCTACGATATCGAGGAACTCCGGCTCCCCCTTGTTCCCCGTCGTCTTGCAGCACTCGTGGCTGCATCCCAAAAGTACAAGATGGCCTTCGTCGCACCACGGATCCGCGCGTCTTGGGACACGGCAGCCAATTTTTATCCGTTAAAAGCATACTTCGTCGCGCTTGCACACGGTCTCACAGGCTGCGCCGAGGAGGCGGCGAAGATCGTGCTGAGGACGCAAGCTGGGGACGCATACGACCTGGTCATGGAGGACGCACCAGCGCTCGCCTACCACCGGCTGTTGGTATTCTACGATTCCTGTCGCACGGTCGTCAGGGAGCGCTTGGCGGAAGCTATCACTAGCATACCGGAAGACGTACCAACACTCTATCACGGCACTGTATCAACGGAACCAATCACAGTCCCCTTGAGGGAAGTTGCTGCCACCGTGCCTAGTGTCCCTAAAGGAGAACTGGTGAAGTCTCTTAGCGACGCTGTGGTGCGGGTGACCCTGGAAAGCACGAACCAGCAATTGACCTATGCTCCCTGGAGGCTTGTGCGCAAGACCCTACAATGTATCGTAACCACTCCTCATGAGATAGACAAGGCTTTAAAGGAGGTGCGTTGACCACAGTTATCATCACTGCAGGTGCTCTCATGCTAACTGCAACCGTCCGCAGGTGAAGATTAGGTTGTGTTGATGGCGGCGACGCACCCCAGCGTCCTTTATACGCCCTTAGGAAGTCGACGTGCGTACGCATTCGCTTTACGAGACACGTCTCCGAATCGCTCATCATCAGCCAGGGGTGAAGCTTTGAAGTCTTGAGTTCGTTGAAACTGCTACTAAAGATGGGATAGTATCTAGGGAGAATATAGGAGATTGCTTGTTCATTGATACGATGACGCGCCGTCCGGGCGGACTTGCGGATCGTTATGGTCCTTCGCGCGCAATGACGGTGCGTGGTTCAGGCTTCAACGTTTTAGGGCTTCTCTCGTCCGAGTTCAGAATCACGACGCCGCCAGCCCGGCCAGAGCGAGTGCTCGTATTCCGTCTGCCTCGCTCAACAAGCCATGTCAAATATGAGTGGAGTCTTATTGAGGCAAGTTTCATCGCAAGAACGGAGACTTTTTAGCCATCGCTGGGCGCTAACCGTTGCATATAAGCCAAGCGGTGGTCAGACGCCGGAAGGTCTACCTCTCTCTCTCTCCCACTCATGGACTCCCTCCCATTAGAAACGCTGCAACAAATCCTCGAGCTCGCCTGCACCGATGGTGGATCTACAGGGAACGCCCTCTCCCTGACCTCCAAGTATATACGTGCCGCCGCCCGTCGCGCTCGCTTCCACACCCTGCGTATCGCCGCCGACAGCAATACCTTCGAGGACTTCGTGGCTTTCTTCGGGCGCGAATGCAACGATGAACGCAACGGTTCAGGAAGACCTCGCGTCCGTCACCTATACTTGACACTGGCCCGTCAACAATACATCACCCCCGAGACCACACAATTCCTGCTTTCCCAGCCACAGGCAATGTTGAGGATCTTAACAGGTCACGAAGATGATGCACCGATCTTTCCCACCCTGTTCCTCGAGAGGCCTTCAATGCGCCCCAGCATGCCCGGCATACAAGAGCTCCTCCGACTCGTTGCGCCGGACCTGTGGTCACTTGTGGTCTATACGGCTTGTGGCCAACAGGGTCCCCGAGCCAAGTACCCTATCCTCAAGCACACGTTTCCCCTTGTACGAGAAGCGGCATTCATTGGTCTAGGGGCGACCCATGTGCTGGACTCCGACGAACAGCGGTCGCCTGTCTTCCCCGTCGCCACGCATCTACATCTCTGTCCCCGGGACGATGTTGATGGACACGACCTCCACCTATCCACCTGGTCCGCTCTCGCACCCCGCGTTACGCACCTGCGTGCTTCCGGTATAGAGGGCCAGAACCACGTTGAAGAGCTCGCGGAAGCAATGGGAGTGCGTGTGGGGCCTCGGACGTACCCCAGCATACGCTACCTCTTCATGGAGCCTGCGCCGCAGCGTTTCACGCACATTTCAAGGTTAGCGCATGCCGCGGGAGCGCAAGCGTTTACATGGAGCGACCGCCTCAATGACATTGTCCGCGAATGTCGCCGCGCGAACATCAACATCCAGGTTAGGCTACTCGCAACACCCGACGTCGTCCGGTATGGCCTGGCATGTGCTGACGTGCTTGTCGGTGAATGGATCGATCGTGTGGAGGGCAGGGAAGGGTGGTGGAAAGGGTTGGAGTTGATTAAGACGGGATCCCTACAGGGAAGCCCTGGTTTATGATCGTGCGTGTACATGCTATTTTTCTTAGTTACTTGATATTCAACTTGGAACTTTTTAGTGCATGGTTCACTGTCTGGACTGACGTGGGGTAGTACGAGATCAAATCTTAGTGTGAACCTGAGTATCGCATAAGTAATTACATTGAACACATCCTCCGCCCTCCGCTGTAACTCCTGTGAGCTCGGGTCTTCCTAGCCTTTTTAGAATACAAATTACACATCATTCTATTGATTTGGTCTACTAGAGCTCTTCGCTGAAGAGCCGCTTGATCTCCGCGGAAAAGTTATATTTGTCCCGGGCGCAGAGGATGTGGTTGTTGTATTGGTTGTATCCACCGGCGCCGGAGCACGCACGATAGCTCTCCCGTACTTCTGCCATCTTGATTGCTGTCTCCACTCCGAGCGATTCCACATCCTCCAGCTGCATTGCTTTTGGCCGTCTTGCAAGAGCCTCTAGGGAGGGGAGCATCCACTCCTTGACGTCGTATAGACGTGCGAGGCAGAGCCAGCGTACCGGGTCCCCATTCCCAAGGTGCGACCTGAGCGTGGATATTGCAACGTAGCGCAGGCCGTGAAACTGCCACATGGTAGTGAGCTTGAGAATGAGGACCCACTCCTCCATTGTCAGATCAACTCTCTCCTCTGTGCTCGGGGCATGGACCCTGGAAGCAGGCCTTTGCCGATGAGCACGGTCGTCATCCATGGCAATGGGTAAGGGCACTCACGGCTTAAACATCGCGCGGAGCAACGCGCGGAACTCGTCCTTCTTCACGCCCTCCAGCGCCACGGGCGTATCGTCTGCCTGACCCTCCGCGGGCGCGGTGCCTGGGGGCAGCTCGAACATGTCGCGAAAGATCTCCAAGTTCTCAACGAACTTCTGCTTGGGCACCTTGAACAGACGGTTCTCGACCTGCAGTCACCAGATGGGGCGTGTTCAAATTAGCGAACGCCTACAGAGCGAGGCTAAGGTTCGCCTACCAAGAAGACGATGTGGTCGGAGTAGAACCAGCCGTCATGAGCGACCCCGTCCGTGTCCGGGCTTGTCGGTCTGGGAACCAGTGCATAGATCTCTGACATGATGTCTGGGCGTTGTATGCTAGTGGCTAAGAGTTGAATGCGCTGAGACCTGGCTTGTCATCAGGGAATGAGAAGTATGTGACTAACCGCTGGGTTGACGGAGTCGAAGCTTAACTAGCGTGAGCAGCAGAAAGTGCGTCTCTGAGGGTGCGTGCGTTCACTCACCTCGGCGTGCGTATATATAGCACGCGTTCATCTGCAGCAGCTGGGTGTTCGCATGCTCCGGCGTTATCACTCACCGCTCGCGAAGGCCTACCGCAGTAGTCTCTGACTGGTCTCGTGGTGCAGTGCCCAGCCTTGTGTCTCGCGTTACCGCAGCTGTCGTACACAATTGGCGATGCAAAGAATGCAGTACGACGCGCTATCGCACCGGCTTCAGATTGCTCGTGGTACTGCGGTAGGTCAGTACGACCGAGACCCTCGTAAGACCACATTCTTGGAACGTCAAGAAGCCGCTTGTGGCTGCTGCAGCAAGACATGGACGTCCTCATGACAGCGCCACGCAGCGTGCGGTGGAGCCACGAGATCATGAAAAGCTACATTTGCACTTTGGGTATTGCATAGCCAGTAGAACCGCGTACCACTCCGGCAGCATCATGCACAGAAGAAGCTGCTTGCGCTATCGGGATCTCCTCCCCGGAAGTGCACCGTCAACGGATACTAGCAGTACACCCACGCGTCAGCCACATCACTCCCGTAATACGAAAGACCATGTGCACACCTTGCATATCGGACGGGTGAACACGAGGCCATTCGCCGGCACGTCATCCTTGTACTTGGACACTGATGATTGTCGAGGGCGCGACACCGTCCTCCACCCGAGGCACCATCGCGCCGAGGATATTGTGCTCCGCGTCAAGCGAGAGCGGTGGCGGCTGCATCACGGCCCCAAACGCGTTCGCGACCTGCTCGCCCAAGCAAAACAAACCACATTGTCACCCAAAACGCCCCACACCAGCGACATGGCGCGAACTGGGTCAGTATTAGGCGAAGTGGGATGAGGAAAGGGACAGAGGCGTACGGGTGATTCATCCCGGGCACGGGAAGAGGCGGTAGAAGTCTTCGACCGCAAGCGTGGTATTTGCGCGCGCGAACGCGTGGACTGTCTCATAATAGTGCACGTTGTTCCCGGGGCTAATCAGCTGGTCCGCCTGGTCCGCCCAACCGACATACCGCAGCGTCTTTCCATTGTGTGGCGCGCCTGCGGACAGGTTGTGGTTTAGAGTGAACGCCTAAAGTAACGCAGCTGAGCAAAGAGCTCCAGACAGCTACGAGAGACACGCGGCAACGTACGTCGGACTGCCCGGGGTTGAGCTGCTCGCTAAGCACGATGATGCTTGCGTTGTACTCCTCCTGGGTCCACTGCATGTCATTGCACGTACTCCGTCAGCATATCAGCTCCTCGTGCCTACTAGGTCCAACGCACTTTAGCAGAAAACCGGAACCAGTCCTGGGGCAGTGAGAATGGCGGGTCGCCGACAAGGCCCGTCGCGAACACCTTCTCGCCCCCGGGCTGGTCTCCGCCGAAGATATACGTCTGGTCGGCCTCGTAATAGTCTGCGTAAATGCGGCGGAGCGCCCCGATCTGCTCTTCAGTCAGGCAGGTCGACGTGTTTTCGCCCGGAGTGCAGGTGAGCGCCTCCGTGCGGAAGCTGAGGTGTGTTGGGATCGGCTATATGGCACACTAGGGTACTATAAATGCGTACCTGCATGCGCGAGGACTGTTGATGATCCCGTCCGAAAGGTAATGGATTGGGCGGTCAGCTAAGCCGCGCGGGGTCAGGTCTAGTTATGGCTCGTGTTCGTGGGAATCCCTACGACTGCGACGACAACTGGCTCACTTACACCCTTGGGGAATTGCGACTCCTCCGAGATAACAAATGGTAGCTGTGAAAGTGACTTCAGCGCACGCGGTATGCACTGGTCATCGTACCTCCTCCGCTCAGCGGCGGCCGGCCCTCAGCCCATCGTTTCCAACGGTGAGTGTGCGGCCGTTCCAGGCGTCAGGCAGCCACACCTCGGTGATCGCGAAGGAGCCGGCGGTTGCGTGTGTCGTGATCCTGAGCTCGACGCGACAGAACGCTAGGAGTTCCGTCGAGTTCATGCTGGAGTTCCGTCGAGTTCATGCTGGAGTTCCGTCGAGTTCATGCTGGAGTTCCGTCGAGTTCATGCTGGAGAAGACGTCAGCGATGTCGACACACGCATGTACGGGGAAGTACGCGGCCGCAGAAAGCGCGAAGTTAGGATTAGTAGTGTTTCTCGGCGAGAATGGCATGCATGCGCCTTTTAAGCCGCGGGCAGTCGTGTCCCGTGGCGGTGGCTGTGGCGAGCAGTAGCGTCATGGCGGTGAGACGCATCATTTTGAGGTACAGCGACCGAAGTGCGCAAGGAGATCTACGTCGAAACCTCCGGGTATATTCCATCGCGGCTAGCGGAGTGCCACAGTTTAGCGGGGAGCAACCCTAGGGATAGTACCAATAGTAGGTGCTGGACGCGAGAAGTGTGCAGGGCCCCCACGTCGGAGGGACGCTATAGACTGCCTGGTGGGGGAAGGATGCTCAACGTGTCTAACACCTGACCAAAGTACTTTCCGTTTCGCACTCTCCGCATTGACGGTGCTGGCTGCGCCAGCGATGCGTTCTATCACACTGGGAGAAGCGTAAGTGGAAAAGCGATCAGATTCGGGCCTGTTTGACACTCACAGTCAATTCCGCGACTTTAGATGCTTGTAGACGTGCTTGACGCGCCACGGCTCAGAGGCGAGTCGGGAATGTGATAGTGACGCATAACATACACATCCTTTGAGCCACGGGCACATTCAGACCGCTGGCAAGGGAAGACGGATTGGGTGCCGCTCAATGTGCATGGCCCGTATCACCAGTTGCGAGTTAACTAGTTAAGCCTTGAAGTATCTGTATCAATCTTGAGAAAGCCGAATGCCCCTTTCGTGCACGATTTTCTCTGAGTGCGTATGTGACTCAGCGACGCGACCGACCCCGGTAATTCATGCACACGTCTCATCTCCATGTCGGCGCTGGTGAGGATTCGGAGGAGTCCGAGGAGAGGAGTCTGGAGGCTACTAGTACTTACTAGGACCGGTTCGATCTCAGGTTAGCGCCCACTACTGATACGCCGGCATGAGCCGGCACGGTACGAAAGTAGCTGACTAATTGATCGACTCAGAGTGAGACAAACCACAACTCTAAACAATCCCACTTGATCAACCCGCCATCCTAACTCAGCCTCACATGCAGTGGCAGCCGGCTGGTAGTAACCTACGTGCCCTCGTCCCAGAGGTGAGTGGTGTGCCTGCACCCCCGGGCACTCTGTATCACCTACGTAAACCAAGCCAGCTGACCAATCCAACCGGCTGTACACGTGAAGTCGCTTCAGCTGCAGGTTGCTCCATTGTACACGCTCTATGACAGCTTGTACCCTCCCGCTCTAGATGCCGAATCCCATACTATCCATGCCCTGTGTATTCCTGTGGCTTGCGACACACATAGTCAAGATTACCATCATGCCGCGACCACAGCTCACAAGCCAATCGTGGGAAGCCGTCTAGCAGCCTGAGCTCAGCGACGAGCGGCCGAGTCTGCGACCTCCCCCCTTCTCCCCCAACCATAACACAACACACAATCTTACAAATGGCACATTTCTCATTAGCCTACAGATGGGCCAAAGAAGTCAGATCATCAACCATCTCTGTCGGCAGGGAGCAGGACGGCGAATACGGGCTGAATGGTCGCCTTCGACTTCATGCGGACCTCGACCAAGCGGAGCTGGGCGAAATCAATGGGCGTGCCTTTGTGCTTGAGGGTATGAAGGTCCTATTATAAGGATGCGGATGTGTCAGGGTGCGTGCAAAGAGGGATCGGAAGACGAACCATCAACTCTCGAAGCCCGGTAGCCACTAGACGAGCAAGCTCTCCGCGAGTGACTGGTACGTTCTTTACGCCGTGACGTACGCGGTACTGATTGGTAAAAAATCCCCGTTTGAGCGGCGGCTGTATCTCCTGCGGCTGTGATTCGTTGGTGAGTGACAACAGCAAGGACGTTAACAAACAACACTCACACCGATGCAGATGCTTAACTTCTGACCGATTTCGGCGTCTTGGGCGAAGGCAAGCTCGTTGGGAGATGCTATGTCGCCCCCGGCAAGGGCCTGATCTAGCGGGACGCAGTGGTAAGGCACCACGAGCTCTGTCTTCGGTTTTCGTACTCCCGCAGAGTGCTTATAATCATGTTGCGCCAGTGTCTGGGAGACGGTGGTGTGTCAGTAACCCAGTCTCATTACTGGAGGTATGCGCTGACAGCACATACCTCAAGCTCGCGCTGAGCGGGGGCATCACCGATAGTCCGCCACGCACCACTAGCATCCATGGCTCTTGTAGGCGTCTCGCCTCCGCCATTGGTGCTGTCCTCGGTCTTGACACCACTTGCCTGCCCATTAGCATCTGCCATGGTATTGAGTTCGTGGTCGTCCCATCGGTCCCACGATCCGTCCATTTGCTTTACGTAAAATCCGGTGGGCGTCATGACCAGAGTATTACCTGCAGGCATGTCCGGCAGTTCATGATTCCCCTCCTACTCATCGATCAGTACCGGCATTTTAACTGAATGCATGATATAAGGGCTCACCGAAAGGTTCTTGCCTCGGACTTCGCTTACGGCAGCGGTTTTGGGCATCGAAAGGGCAGCGATGTTGTAAAAAGATTTCCTGGTCCAGACGTGAGATCAACAATGAACACCAAAGCTTGGGCGGCGGGTGACAACGACTGGACGTACCGCGCACCACAGAGCCAGGCAGAATACACAGCTCTCAACGAGGGATTGAATTTTGTGGTATAAAGTTCGCGGCTAGGTGCGTTTTCACTCGGAGCGTTGCAGACGAAGGGAGGGTGATCAAGATGGGGGTTGAGGGATATGACGCTCTTAGCATGGAACTTATAGCAGGAGGAACGAGGTATATCCAGGCACTGGACGACCGCCGGTAGCTACAAACGCATCGCTGCGCGCGAGGTGCATGCACATACAGGAAGCTTCCCGGCGCGCGCCACCTGCCAACACGACGCGTCAGAGCTGCAAGTGCTGAGCGCTGATAGTTCACAGGTTGATCATACTGGTCGAGCTTCTCATGGGCGACACCTCAAGGCCTCAATGCAGGCCCGACTGCGCGGTGCACCGCTGTACGCATGAGCCTATCACAACAAGCCATTAGCCGGCGTGCCCGGTGCCTTGCACCGCCTACGTGGGGCACATACGGCGTTTAGTGCTGTTTAGTGCCGCTATCGATCGGGCACGAACCTATGATGGTAAGCCATCCGGCGTGCGCCCTGCCAACACGGCGCTTGGATTCTGCCAGGCGGTTTGTGCAGATGCCAGTGCAACTGAAAATACCGCTGCGCACACGAGCCTACAGCAAGTCATGCGGCGCGTAGCCCGCCAGGACGGCGCCTGAGGTTGTCATTTTATGCATGCCGCCGAGCGTTGTGTATGTCATCTTTTCATAGTCTCAAATGATAACAGATTAAGTAGTTCAACCTATAATCGATCCACAGGAGCATAAAGATTCGCGCGTTGGATAGACTCAACCCGCGACACCGTGTCACGCACAGAAGAAGCTGCTTGCGCTGTTCGGATCCCCTCCCCGGAAGCGCACCGCCGACGGGTACTAGCAGCATACCCACACGTCAGCCACACATTCCGCGTACCAGGGAGAATGACAGGGGCCCTGCGCACCTTGCATATCGGGCGGGTGAACGCGACCCCGTTCGCCGGTACGTCGTCCTTGTACTTCACGGCTACGATCTTCGACGGCGCGATGCCGTCTTCGACCCAGCGCATCAGTGCACCGAGGATGTTGTGCTCCGCGTCGAAGGAGAGCGGGGGCTTCTGCGACGAGCCGCCGCCGAACGAGTTCGCACCTGGTCCGCTCTGGCAGCCCGGGGCGTTAATCAGCTATACCCGCGTCAGTATCGATGAGCGCAGCTTACGTTACTAAAGGAAAAGCTGAGTTAGCATGCGCGTCGAAAAGAGGGGGAGAAAGGCGGACGCACCAGTGGTTCATGCCGGGCACGGGGAAGAGGCGGTAGAAGTCATCCACGGCGAGCGAGGTGTTCGCGCGCGCGAACGCGTGCACCGTCTCGTAGTAGTGCAAGCTGTTCCCGGGGCTGATCAGCTGGTCCGCCCAGCCGACGTAGTGCAGCACCTTCCCGTTGTGCGGCGCGTCCGCGAACGCTGTCAGGTTCGGGGTGACCGCCTGCCGCGACGTGGTGAATATCAGCGTGGAAGTTCATGGTGATCGACCGCGCGCTGGGGACTCACATCGGACTGCCCGGGGTTGAGCTGCTCGCCGAGCGCGAGGAGGCTCGTGTTGTACTGCTCCTGCGTCCACTGGGTGTCGCTGTGCAAAGGTCAGTGAGCCCGGAACCCGCGTGCAAACGCAGAAGGGTAATATACTTCAACACAAAGTACCGGAACCAGTCCTGAGACAGCGGGAACGGCGGGTTGCCGACGAGGCCCGTGCCGAACGCCTTCTCGCCACCAGGGTAGAAACCGCCGAAGACGTACGTTTGGTCTCCTACGTAGTAGTCCGCATAGAGTTTGTGGATGGTCGTGATCTGGTCCTCTGTTAGGCAGGTCGAGGTGTTCTGGCCCGGGGTGCAAGTGAGGGTTTCCGGACGGAAGCTGAGGGTGAAGCGTTACCATTTTTGATACCATGCGAATATGAACTAAAAATGCGTACAAGCACGCCCGGGGTTCGTTGATGATCCCGTCGGTCACCTGAATGACGCGGGGGTCAGCGTTACCAACTAGGTCCCCATAGAGGTTACGGCAGTACGCACTCCATCCAGTGCGTCGCACTGCTTCAGGACTTCGGGTGCAATGACGTCGGTCCATACGCTTGGCTCGATGAAACGCGACGAGGTCGCCGGGAGGACGTTCAGGCTCATGTGGACCGACCAGGGCTGGAGGTGCGACATCCATGCCGCAGGAGAGCCGACCACCTATGCCGCACGTTCAGCCGGGCCACGTGTAATTGATACGTGCTGGAAAGGTCTATACTCACGATTCCGTCGAAGCTGTCAGGGAAATTCTGGATCTCCTTGAGCCTTCGTGGGTTCGTAGATGAGTTGTCTATCATAATTCATGATGTCCGCACGTTTGACATACCCTTGGCGTCCGCCTGGATACGAATAATTTAATACGAGTTAATAGCAAGCGCATAAATGACACCGACCTGTAGAGCATCCGACGTAGTACGACCGCTTCGCCACCTTGTGATAGTACTGCTTGGTGATCTCCTTGCCGGCTAGAACGCTCAGATGAATGGCTCTCCAACCCCAGTCAACGATCGCGTTCTGCAGGAAACAGCATAGGTGAGCACAAGTACGACGCGTCACAAGCTAGGTAACTTGACACATACATCGTTATGTGGCCCGCCCCAAGCACCATCAGCAACACCCGAGTTGTGCCCTGTGTTCGTGGAGATTCCTGCGACTGAGACGCGAGAGTGAGCGAAAGATTCGCGGCGAGGCTGCGAATGTACTTACACCCTTGCGGCACTGCAACTGCGCCGAGATCCTCAACGGTCACTGTGGAAGGAAAATCAATTCAGTGCTGGTTTAAAACCTATGTTCGGCTGCCACGGCGTACCTCCTCCGCCGAGGCCGCCATTTCCGACAGTGACAACACGACCGTTCCAAGCATCCGGAAGCCAGACCTCGGTGACGGCAAAGGAGCCCGCTGTTGCGTTTGTGACGATCTTCAACTCGACGCGACAAAATGCAGGCAGGTCCGTCGTGTTGATGCTGGAGAAGACATTGGAGATGTCGACCCGTGCGTGGGCGTGGAAGTACGTCGCCGCGGTGAGCGTGACGTCAGATATGTTGCTTGGCGAGAACTGCGCGCAAGATGCTTTTGAGCCGCGCGGGGTCGTCTCTCCGAGGACGGCGCTGGCGCTGGCTACTAACGCGAGGGCTGCGAGGCAAACCATGCTGAGGTGAAGGACCGACGTGCGGGAGACCATCCGCGCTGCTTTCCCCCAGATTTATAGCACCACTTCGAGCGGGACGCCACAGGGAGCAGCTGCTGATTTCGAGCGAAGGACGGACTGGGTGACCGCCGGAGGATCGGTATAGCCTGCTTGGTAGGCGAGCGGGAGCATCGTACTTCTCGGACACCTGACATCGCAGGCTCGCTGTGGCGACCGGGGAAACACCGGGAAAATCGTTCGTTGTGCGATCCAGGGGTGTATTACATAGGAGTTTATGGATATTCGTCCATTTGCAGACGTCCCGTCTTTTTTTACGACATGTTCACTACAGATACTGAGAAAAATGAGCGTAGTAGTACAGATCAACCGGTCACCTCCATCCTTACTCACAACGCGAATCCCATAACTCGCCTGCGTACTTGACACGCTGCTGTTCATACTTCAAGACTCTGTCCATGGAGCTCGAGGCGTACCCGGGATATAGCGTATAGGCTTGGTATAGGCGTCATTCAAAGTCTAGCGACACGTATATTTCCGAAAACGACCAGAAAGCGATGATCGACGCCGATCGAGAGAGACGCTCATATAGACGCCGAATTGCAACCTCCCCGAGTCCGGGTCCCGCTCACGCGCTCTTCATCACATACCCCCATGGACCCTCCACATAAGGACGGTGTATTCTCGTACCACACACACTCAATCATCAAACGGCGACCGCGCAGCTACAGACTGCAGCTCGAGTCGCAGCTCGCGGCAGGCAGCAAGACGTGACGAGAGGTGTTCAGATATGGGCAGTACCCATCGTGGTGTGTAACGTTCACTGGTTTTGTGTTGCTCTTTCGTCTGTAGTCGCCGTTTTCCGTGTGTTCTTCAACTCTTCATGCATTGAAGAGCACTTTGTCATATGAAATCATACTTTCTCACCGCCATGTGGAGGGTTGGAGACTTCGATTCGGAGACTGGTCATCTGTGCGATCAACGGTGCTCCGACCCGTCTTTTCTCGCCCACGGTTTATATGTGCCGCTTCGTTCGAAGAATGTACGCGTACAACGTCACCATCACCTTCTCCCTTTGGCCACAGCGCGTTAAGTGCGTATACAAGCATCTCGAAGTCGCGGATTGTGAGTGTTGAAATAGCCCATTGATCACACTGCTGCTTAAGCTTCTTCAGATGTGATCGAACGCGTTGCAGCCAGTACCGTGAAGACGGAGAGTCTGCAATAGGAAGGGCTTCCCTACACTCGTGATGCTAAACGGTTGCCCGCAGTCCGGCGGTCCTCTCTACCCTGCTACCAGAAGTACGGGCAGGTCAGATGTTGAGCATGAACGAGGCTCTCTGTGTAGCTGGCGGCCGATGCCACCCGAAATGCGGTTTCTCTCCGCTCTTCGCGCCAACTCAGCACACCGATATTATTTAGAGGCGGCTTCGCGTTGAACTGCGGCGCTCCGCTCACGAGATGCTATATAACTGTGCCTACGTTGCAGCCCTCCTCGCGAACGTCGGCCCAACATGGTACTCCTCGCAGCCCTCGCGCTACTGGCCGCTTCCACGACCGTTCTCGGGGACGCCACCGCGCGGGGCTCGGAAGCGGCATGCAAGCAGTTCTCGCCGAGCAACATCCAGGATGTCGCGCTCACAGCGGCGACGTACTTTCCCGCGAACGCACGCGTCGACATCACCAACGTCTTTTCTAGCATCAACACGACGGACCTTCCCGCGTTTTGCCGCGTCGAGTTGAAGATCACGACGAACGCGACTGCCGGCTCCTATGCGATCACCGAAGTGTGGCTTCCGGACGCCTGGAACGGTCGTACGCTTACCGTCGGGAACGGTGGGCTGGGCGGAGGAGGTACGACAGCAGGCCGCAGAATAATTTGACACCACAGAGCTAACTTTGCTACAGTGACCGTCTCTGACCTTGGCGGAGTCGCCGTTCCCCAGGGGTGTAAGCAAACCCAACACCTGGTTCGGGACTGTCTGCTGAACTCGTCTCCGTAGTCGCAGGAATCTCTACGAACACGGGCCATAATTCGACCTCCGGTGACGGCAGCTGGGGCGGTCCGCACAACGATGTAAGCACCTCCTCAGCCAGCGTGCGACGGCTCAGGCGCATGCTCACCCGTACATCTTCATTCAGAACGCAATTGTCGACTGGGGCTGGCGAGCTGTGCATCTGAGCGTTGTAGCAGGCAAAGAAATCGCCAAACAGTACTATCGCCAAGCTCCGAAAAGATCGTACTATGCCGGATGCTCTACAGGTCAGCTACGACAAGATAGTTGTCTGTGATGAATGCTGAGCTCTTCGCATCTAGGTGGACGCCAAGGGTGCGCCAGAGGTGTGGAAGTACTGGAACGGACGTAATACTGACACGCTTTACTTCATAGACTGAAGGAGATCCAGATATTCCCAGACAGTTTTGATGGGATCGTAAGTCGACTGTGTACAGCTCGGATACCCATTGTAGCGGCGGGCTCAACGTCCGGGATATCCTAGGTTGTGGGCTCCCCCGCCAACTGGATGTCCCATTTGCAGCCCTGGTCCGTCCACATGAGCCTGAACGTCCTCCCGGCAAACTCGTTGTGCTTCATTCCCCAAAGCACCTGGGATAACGTGATCGGACCAGAAGTCATGCGGCAGTGCGATGCTCTGGACGGGGTGCGTACACTCGCGAACTTGTACGCGACCTCGGGCAGGAAAATTAACCCCGAAAACCATTAGCTCTTAGACGGAATCATCAACGACCCCCGCGCATGCAGGTATGCATTCTGAGGCCCTTCACGTGTGCCATAATTGTAACCCATAACGCATTTCTTTAGCTTCCGCCCGGAGGCGCTCACCTGCACCCCGGGCCAAAATATGTCGACTTGTCTGACTGAAGACCAGATCGGCGCACTTCACCGGATCTTCGCGGACTACTATGAGGCAGACCAGACGTACATCTTCGGCGGGTACCAGCCCGGAGGGGAGAAGGCGTACGCGACAGGCCTCGTGGGCAACCCGCCGTTCCCGCTGCCCCAAGACTGGTTCCGGTTCTTTGTGCTCAAGTGCGTTCGCCCCCGCCGACGGCGAAAGAAAATTCGCTAATGAAGCATATGCAGCGACACACAATGGACGCAGGACGAGTACAATGCGAGCATAATCACGCTCGGCGAGCAGCTCAACCCGGGGCAGTCCGATGTGCGTCATTATATGACCCTCATAGCCTCGTGCTGAGACGGAATATGCCAGGCGATCACCCCGAACCTGACGGCGTTCGCAGACGCGCCGCACAACGGGAAGGTGCTGCACTACGTCGGCTGGGCGGACCAGCTGATCAGCCCGGGGAACAGCGTGCACTACTACGAAACCGTGCACGCGTTCGCGCGCGCGAACACCTCGCTCGCCGTCGACGACTTCTACCGCCTTTTCCCCGTACCCGGCATGAACCACTGGTGCGCTGTCATTTATTTTCCCATATCAGTTCGTACACTACTGACATATCTCCAGTGGTGTACGCCGCATGTTGCGCTCTAACGCTGATGTGGTTATTTTGACTGACATTTTTTTGAATTCTACTAGGGCGGACAAGCGGCGAACGCGTTCGGCGCCGTGATGCAGCCGCAGCCGCTCTCGCACGACGCCGAGCACAACATCCTCGCCGCGTTGTTGCGCTGGGTTGAAGACGGCGTGGCACCGTCGGCCATCGTCGGTGTCAAATACAAAAACGACGTGCCATCGGACGGTGTCGCGTTCACCAGACCGATATGCAAGGTGCGTAGCCGTTTGTGCTTTGTAGTATAAGGGTTATGTAACTGATGCGTGCACGCACTGCCAGTACCCATCGACGGTGCGCTTCCGAGGAGGAGACCCAAGCAGCGCGAAAAGCTTCTTCTGTGCGTGATGTGGTAGTGTCGCGAGCTGGATTATCCAATACACGCATGTATGAGGTGTTCATGCTTCCGTACTAGACAGTGGGTTCCGCTGCGCCATCATCACAGGGGACTGAATTGAAGACGTTCAGATATAGTAGCTGCGTTGCCATAAACTACGAAACATTCTCTCGTAACAGCTTCTACCTCACTGTCCCTCCAGGCCATTCCACCACCCTTTCCCACCGACAGCCTGCTCGAGCCACTGGTCAACGAGTGCTCTGGCCGCCTGGCTATGTGAGGCATATCCAGGCGCTTGCAGGAGCGTAGCTTGGACACCGACCTCCGTACGGCGGCACTCACGGACTATATCCTCCAGGCCCCTTCTCATAGCCGCTTTCCCTCTCCGGGCGGGGTCATAGCCCCTCTCCCGAGGCTTCAGCCAGGCTGCCGCGTCCACGAGCAGACAACGCACGCTCAGGTACGTTCGAGGCAGGGGCTGAGGCGCGGGAGGCAGCGCAACTGGAGACCCTTCCTGGGGAACCGGCACCCCCACGGCTACTGCAAGCTGGGCGATGTGATGCCTGCTTCGCACGTCCGAGACGCGCAGGTGCGTGACGCGCGGGGCGAGAATGGACCAGGCGGAGAGGTGGAGATCCTTTGTGTAGGGAAAGGGGAGGAGGTGGAGGTGAGTCGCGCGGGGGAAGATGGCGTGCGAGAGCTTTGCATCGGCTCTCAGGAGGCGGGTGATGTTCGGCGACGATCGTATGAGGGTTACGTCTCGCAGGAGTGGAAAGGTGTGCTCGAGAATGGGACATTGTCCGTGAAGGTCGTCGGGCGCTTCGTCCACGACGACGGTCCACAGGTCTGGAGCTACGAGGCGGATCAGCTCCTGCGCGGCGTGTTCGCGGGAACGGAGACGAGTCAGATGTTCCTGTGGCACAACGAGTGGCTCAGGGGTCATATCGGGAGTCGCTGAAGATGGCTGTGGATCCTGCATGGCCAGCGTGGTCTTCCCGGGAAGTTCCAGAACCCCTAGGCTTGCCAAGGTCAAGTATAAGTGTCGGACGCGGGGCCTTTCATTGCACCCACTGTTGCATTCCCGCTTGAGAAACGCAACGAACTCCTGGAAGGTGTCGCCGTCTGCATCAGCGACAACATGTAGGGTGTGAAAGCGGGCCCGGCGTGCAGCAGCGCGAATCTGCTTAGAAGTAAGCGATAAGGAGTTTCCTGTAGCCCCTCCGTCTGTGCAAGCGAGCTCGAATATTTGCTGCAGTGTTTCTAACGGAAGGTAGTCCATGATTGCTAGTGGGAAGGAGACTCGGAGCTGAGTTTGACGGCCATGGCAGCAGGGGTGTGGGTACGGTGTCGGAGTCATCCGGGAGCAGTGCGGCAGCGCTCGAGAGAGTTCCGATAAAGCGGTGCAGCCGCCACCAGCATTAGTTCAACGAACGTTCTTACTAGTGCTTCCTCCTCCCCCGCTCATGGACTCCCTTCCGGTAGAGACGCTGCAACAGATATTTGAGCACGCTTGCACCGACGGCGGGTTCACAGGAAACGCCCTCTCGCTCACTTCCAAGCAGATACGTGCTGCGGTGCGCCGGGCTCGCTTCCACATCCTCCGTGTCTCCGCCGACGGCAAGAATTTCCCGGAGTTCGTTGCGTTCTTCGAGCGCGAATGCAACAGTGGAGGGAGCGAGAGACCCCGCGTCCGTCACCTATATCTGACTCTGGCTAGTGTCCCGTACATCCCCCCTTGGGTCACACAAACCCTGCTTGCCTTGCGGAATGAACCGCAGCCGTGTCCAACGGGTCAAGAAGCTGGCCAGTCACCAAATCACTCTACCCTAGTTCCGCCTCCGACCCTCTCCCGAGAACGCGCCGTACAAGAGCTCGTCCGACTCGTCGCGCCGGACCTGTGGTCTCTGGTTCTTCACGCGGTACCTCACGCCTCTCAGGACGACCTCCAATACCCCATCCTCGAGCACACATTTCCGCTCCTGCGCGAAGTGGCCTTCATTGGTCTGCCAGGGCCTACCCATTTCCTACGCCCCGACGCAAAGCCGTGGCCCGCCAGCGTCTTCCCTCGCGCGACACACCTCCACCTCAGTCCGAGTCCCCGCCGCGCCGGGGGCCACGACCTCCACCTATCCTCATGGTCCGCGCTCGCGCCCCGCGTCACGCATCTCCGTCTATCCCGCATAGAAAACCGGCACCATGTCCAGCAGCTCGCAGAAGCGATCGGGGTGCACGTGCAGCTCAGCATCATGCTCCTTGGTACCGTGGTCCCGACACCCCCCGCCGCTCCCCTGCCGCGCCCCAAGTTGCCTCGAACATATCCCAGCGTACGCTGCCTCCTCATGGAGCCGGCGGAGATGCCTCGAGGCCGCAAATGCGGAAACTTTGCGTTGGGGCAGGCGGTCGTGGGGACCGGCCTGAGCGATATCGTCCATGAATGTCAGCATCCGGAGGTCGACGTCCAGGCTACGCTGCTCAGAAGGCCAGATACAGTTCCGTACGTGCAGCATGCGAAGGTACTTGAAGAGCAGTGGGTCGAACGGGTTGAGGGCGGGGAAGGGTGGTGGAAAGGACTGGAGTAACTTACGTGGAGATCGACAAGTTGAGAAGCCGGACGTGACACATAGAGAATTCGGCACCTCCCCGGCCTAGCAAGCTTGAGCAGCGTGGCGCACGCATTCCTTGTACACATCATACGGCTCCAAGCAATCTAGTATCTCTCGGTCAATATCACAGCGTAAATGACTATCGCACAGTGGGACTCACGCAGCCCCTCCCAGTCGTGGCCCCGCAGAAGCCACTCCCAGTCCTCACGCCCTTGCCCGAAGTCCTCTGCCGTCCGGAAGATGAGCTTTGCATGGTCCCACAGTGGCCCGTAGGTCGCTGTACCGTCGGTTCCACGCTCGATCCGACCTACGCAGGAGCCGTACCCGACGAGCTCGAGCGCCGGCGGGCGGTCCTCCAGCAATTGCGTGCACAGGTCGAGACCGCACATAGAGTCGAGGATGTGTAAATATCCCAGCGACGGCCGACCCTTGAGCTGTGCAAGACGAGATGCGCTGTCAATGGGCAATCTAAAACGCATGATCTCGCAGTGAAGGCGGCAGCCATGCGCGGACGTACCATAGTGATCCAGTCTGACTGGGGCACAGTGTTGGGACCGACGAATTCCCAGCGCAAGAGCAACGCAGAAAGTCCGCGGGGGAGACGTTCATCTAGTATGCGCAGGTGCTCGTCTGTGAAGTCCTTTCCCCTGAGCATGAGCCCGGCCACCTCTAGCTGCGGCAGCCCCGCAAATATGTCGAGAAACTCCGTGTACTCGTCCACATCGTCAAACGGGATGTCGAAGCGCAGGTCGAGCCGCCGCATCCCCGGTCTGTTCTGGAAGAGCGCGAGGAACGGCTCGTGGTCGGCGACGAACGCATCGTCCACGCAGAGGAGCTTGAACGACGTGAGGTGCGGGAGCGCATCTGGATTGGCGTCGAGCGCGGATAGCACCTGGTCCTCGCAGTGCTCGCTCCCGGTTACTATGTCGAGGGTGCGCAACTGGACACAGTGACGGAGGACGGTGCCAAGTGTGGCGAGGCTGCGCGGTTGCTTGAGGGAGAGCGTGTGCAGTCCAGAGAGCATGTGTAGCGGGGCGTCTAGAAGGGAATAGACGGATACGGAGAGGCGGCGGAGTGTGGCTGGCGCCCGTACGACGCAGGCTTTGATCTTCCGTTCGATTTCGGGGATGATGTGCCGGGGAAACTGGCGGCTTGAGCCTCTTAGGGTGAGACTTTGGAGACGCACGAACTCTGGACGGTATGACGACAGCAATGCGCCCTCGTACGCATCGACTGGGACCCTGGCAAGATTTGAGTATATCGACATAAGTTCGTCTGCACAATTGGACCAACGCACGAAACGAGTAGCTCGATGAGCGTTGGACCACATGTCCTGGCTAGCGTGTCTAGGATTGAGATAGTAAAGGGCGGCGAGAGGCCGTACCACCGAAATGACCGAAGGTGTGGAAGCGCTTGGAGCGCACCGAGCAAATTTCCTGAATTCGTATAGTGGCGAGAGCCTTAGTCACCTGTCAGTGGTCACTATAACTTGCAACCTACCGATATCGCTCCATTTGCGCCGTTCATGGGCACGGACGTCAATCTCCTTGACTATTGACGCGAAATGAGCGTCATGCGTGATGTGCTGAAACAGCTCAGCGTTCCTGAGGTCGTGTCGTTCGATGATGCGGGCCTCGCTGGCGGGATAATTGCGATTGTTGTGTGCCGTCCACAAGCCGAAGTGGATGGTGAGCCGCGAGAAGAGAAGAGGGCGAGCGAGATCACAGAATAATCGTGAGACAAACAGACAGCTTCGTTGGTCGGTGCTCGGCAAGTCCTTCAAGACGAGATCCCAGAGCTCTGGGGGCAGACGAGAGGCGCGATATGCGCATGCGATGACATGGTCGTTGCCAGAGTCACTCCTCGTCATAGCTCTGGCCGTAGTACCTATCCGAGCGACGCCAAAGAAGCCACCGAGTCCTGACGGTTAATATTCAGTATTGCGTGTACTCGTTCATGCGCTGAGCGAGTGCAGCTCACTGATTTTCCCATTTAGGTTTCTTCCGCATTCCAGCTGGTTGTACTTCGCCGTTGCTTGGTACTTTGCGGCGCTTATCGAGGCGCCACGCGCGAATTTTATTCTGCACCACGCGAGTACCACGCGGGGCCCGTAGTACCGTCTGGAGGGTATTGGGACGTGGATTGTCGATATCTTACTCGATGATCCACATATGCATCTGGTTCTATTTTTTTTTCTGACCGAATTTAACGCTCGTGGATGCGGTACAAAAATCAGCGCGACATTCAAAGTTTGAATGAAATCTTCAAACCATGCGGATTCACCGAATAATTGTAGCCCTCGAGCCACGGACTCTGATGACTTGCTCAACAGCGAGCACACTGGAATAGCTGCACAAGTCATACTACGTTAAGAAAGGTGAGGAAAGGAAGACAACAGCGAGCGTGATCATCGCCGCATTCGAGGAGCGGCTCCTCTGGGCGCCGTTCTTAGTTGAATGTTTAGCGATAGCAGAGGGCTCGACCGTAGGGGGAAGCTGGGCGAGCGTCGCTGCACGCTGAGTCTGGAACTCCTGCAGGGCCGCCGCCATGTCCGTGGTCGTTGAGACCATCTGTACGAACGGCTGCGCACTGCTGTTCTGAGCATCACCGTAGTTGAAGCTACCGAGGACCATATAGTGTCAGCGCTATCGGCGGAACAGAGCACAAAGGGGACACTTACGACACGTAGACGTTGCGCAGGAATGCATCGCCCAGGATGAGGTCGAACCCGGTATTGTCCCCGAAATCAATCGTGGAGTATTGATACGTGTTAACGCAAGCTGTCCTATTCGTGCCATCGACGGCGGTGACCATGGGAAACGTCAGGTCGAGCGGATGAACAAAGAACTCTTCGTTCCTGGTAGGCGATTCGTCAGTACAGCGCGTACTCAAAGTAGGCCCGCGACTCACCCAAATACAAACGACAGCGTAGTGCTCCCATTGCACGGAACAAACCAGTTCGAGCTGACGTCGTCGAACTCAGCGCCAGGAATACTGGAGTAGATGGCGTCCACAGCGAGGGCAGGCAGCGGCGGAAGGGAGGTACCCGTGTCAAGCGCAGCGACCACTTTCCCCGCAGGCACGTTGGCAATCCGCGACGCGTTGAACGCAAACGCCTTCCCGTTGACAATCATCGCATCCAACACCGGGGACCAGTGATTTGGAGCCACGCTCGGCAGCTGCGGGGCGTTCGACACGTTCTGGAAGTTCGTGGTGTGGCTACCGATGATGAACACACCCGGAGCGCTGCGTCCGAGCTGCACGTCGAAGAAGTGGGAGATATTCGCATCTTGCGCGAACAGCGCAGGCATCGGGGTGTTGCCCATCGCAATGGCGGCCTCTTGTCCCAGGGCCTGCGATAGGGCCTCTTGGATGTTCGAGGCGGCGTTGAAGCCTAGACCCATTATGCCATCGGCGTCGCCGAAGTCCGCCGGAACGCCGTCGAGAAACGCTACAAGGCACACGTGCGTCGGCATTCGGTGCAGGGCGCTCGGCAACTCGGGTGAACACGTACCCAGTGAGTTTATGGCGAGACCCCCCAGCTTGAACTCTGCAAAGTCGATATTGCTTTGGACCTGACCTTTCCCGTAGTTTATTGGCACGGTGATGTCGAAGGTGCCGGCGGGATTGGTCACATTCGCAGGACGGTCGTTGAGATCCACTACGAGGTCTGATGAGCCTGTGTCCAGGATAACAGTCAAGTCTGCCAACGGTGGGCGTAAGTACGTCGAGCCTAAGGGAGGCTCGTATAAGTTTCATACTAAGCCCTCCAAGGGTGATGTTTGTGGTATACTAAGCAGAGCAGAAAGTCAGCGGTTGGACACAGTATTCGAGAAGACCCCGAGAGCACTTACTAAGAGATCCTTGGAGATAGTGACACCGACGTTCCCGGGAACAGTGAGACTCTCAATGAAGTGCACGTCGCGTCTACGAACATCAATAGCGAAGGAAGGCCCTGCCCCCCTGACAGTATTAGAACACAGTAAAAACGATAGGAGAGCGCCTGCAATTGACGTGAAGAGCGAAGACATGAGACGCAATGTGGTAAGGGTGAGGGAGGTTATTATCCCCTGGACGAGGGACTGGCACATTTAAACCTTCTATGACACTCACCGGGTCTGCCGCTTGATACTACGGCTGATGCCAGTCGTCCTTGTCAAGCAGTGCCACTTGATACCGCGACGAACCCATTTGGCTGCGGGAACACTTCGCATATGTGCAGACGCTGTGGAAAGCTGTGTGCAACGATGTATCGGTGGGCCTAGTCAGTTCTCAACGTTTGCTGTCAACGAGAAAAAAAAGTCGTCAGCTACAAGGAACATCCGCGCCGCGAGCTTCAATTTTCTCACCGTATACTAGCAGCTGCTGTTGGTGATTCATCCTGCTGTTAGTCTCCGAACGGAAATGTCTATACAACCGTACGCTCTCGCGCGGGATGACCTGCCGGGCGCGTAACAACATAGTGCCATGTCAACGTTTCAACGTGCGCGCCTTCCGATGACAGTTCCGAGCCACCTTGCAGTGATCAAAGCTAATAAAATCCAACAACGCCCGACCGAAACATGTGGGCGACGAAAAGACACCTTATAATTGGGGCCTCATTCCGAGTGTTTCGATCCTTCGCAAGTGAGCGCTCGGGCTCGCTGGGGGTCTTGTGGAGAGATCGCATCAGCTTGATATGGTTCAGCAGATACCAGACGATACCTTGATATATTTCTCATATGCGATCCTGGGCGTGTACCAGAAACCGTCCACTTGCGAAGTGGGAGGTTGTCGAGCAGTGAAAACGAAGCGCTGAGCGCTGTCTTTGCTATCCACGTGGGGGCGGCTCTGATCTCAGATTGCACAAGCGTTCTCTCTCTCTCCTCTCCAACTGCTCTCTCAAGCTTTCTCTGCTGCATCTGGACTCAGTCCTTTCTGCTGGACAGTAAACCGCATGTGCGTCCTCTTTGTAAGGTTTTATAAATCCCGTTTACATCCTGAGGATGCCCCCACTGGGGGCGAAAGGTATGGTCTGCATTGCTGATTCAAGGCCAATGAGAGAAGGAACATCGTCCTGTGCACGGCTCATTCACCTGCTTCCGTGATAGTTTCACGGAACTCGAATGTGTATTCATGGTGATGAATGTGCTGTTACAATCGTCCGCGAAGCCGCTTACACGTTCAAGTTCGTGGTAGACGTAGGAATTCCTGCATGAGCCTGAACACTTACATAGTAAGCGTACAATGGTGGCGACACTGTTGTGACCGAGTCCCAAACTTGGACGCCGGCACCCTCTTAGTGATGAATGAGAGTAGGTATGAGCCAGCCTGGCCCACCAACGATGTACCCCACGCATGCCACGCGGAGTCCCGAGGAAAGAATGAGTGTGGAGTGGTCCATCAGGATCGGGAACTTCATGGGTCCGAAGAAAAGTCCAACAAGAGGGGCAGCGACGGCGTTACCCGCGAGTGGGAATGACCCAGACAGCGGCCTCGAGGCTGGACAAGAGACCAGGCAATACACGTCAGTGGATGAATAGATTGCGCAGTATGCGGGTGACATACCCAATGAATTCGGGCGAAAATGCTGTCGTCAATTGAAAGCAGGAATATAGGCACGTTCATAAAACACGCGACCCCGGCCGAGTGCGCAAAAGGACGCTAAAAGACAACCAACCCCGCACGCGGCAGACCATGGACAGCCCGCCCATACGATCTCCTATAGTACCTCAATCGACCTCCGGTCCTTTCCACCATCCTTCCCCACCCCCAACCCGCTCGACCCACTGATCGCCAAGCATCTTCGCACGTTGCCCATACGGGACAGTATCAGGCCTTTTGAGCAACACAGCCTGGACGGTGCCGTCCACACGGCGATGGCATTCCCGGACGATGTCGCTCAGGCCGTTCTGCATGGCCACTTGCAACCTGCTGAAGTTCCCGCATGTACGGCCCTGAGGGTTCGCCTTCGGCGTCATGAAGAGGTAGCGTACGCTCGGGTACGTCCGCGGCGACGGGGGAAACTCGGGGGATATAGTGAGTGTTCGGTATAGGCGAACCTGCGCGTGCACTCCCACCGCTTCCGCGAGCTGACGGACATGGCTCTGCATTTGTATGTCGGAGACGTGTAAATGCGTGACGCGGGGCGCGAGCGCCGACCAAGCGGGTAGGTTGAGGTCTGGTTTATTGACGCGGGGACTGAGGTAGAGGTGTGTTGCGCAGGGAAAGGCTGGCGGCTTCACGTCCGACCAGTTGATACGTGCAGGCCCTGGGAGGCCTATGAAGGCCGCTTCCCGCACAAGCGGATATGTGTGCGTGAGAATGGAGTACTGGAGGTCCTCTGGTAGGCAAAAACCGCTAGGCGCCGTATAGACGACGAGAGACCACAAGTCCGGCGCAACAAGTCGGACGAGCTCTTTCACCGGGCATGAGCAGGGAGGTGAGGACACTACGCCGGACGATTCGAGTGGTGGGGCGGGAGAGTTCGACAATTGACCAGCTTCGTGACTCGCCGGCAGCGTCTGCGAGTTCCGATTCTGCGGGGCAAGAGGAATTTGTGCTGGATTAGGAGGGAAGTAAGGGTTTGTGGCCAGTGTCAAGTATAGGTGACGGACGCGGGGCCTCTCGTTGCGCCCGCCGTTGCATTCGCGCTCGAAAAAGGCGACGAAGTCGGGGAAGGTATTGCTGTCGGCGGCGACACGGACCGTGTGAAGGCGTGCCCGGCGCGCAGCTGCGCGTATCTGCTTGGAGGTGAGCGAGAGTGAGTTTCCTGTGGCCCCTCCGTCAGTGCAGGCGAGCTCGAAGATGTACTGCAGCGTTTCTAGCGGAAGGGTGTTCATGAGCGGGAGAGAGAGGAAGAGAGACTGATAGAGTTTGACCTGGTTTCTGTCACAGCACTGCTTTATATGTCCTAGACCGCCGCAGTGCCTGAGTCTCACAACTCCGATGTTGCTCCGATACCGCAATTACACTCCCGCTGCAGTCAACGTTAGCGACTCAGTGATCCAAGGCTCATTACCAGTATAACACAGCCATTAGTTAGTAGCGATGCAGTGGATAACGTGGGATTCTGAGATAGTCATGGTAAACGACGAACGAAATAAGTTTCGGGGTGGCTTGTTGAGCTGTCCCAAGGGAACAGAGCTCGTCAATGTACTCGGGTGAGATGTGCCACTAAAAGCGAGAATAGACACCAGACAAAAGTTCCTACGTCGGCACATAGCGCGCACGGGGAATCACGGCCCAAAGCACCAGAAGCGTCGACATCATCGAGACCACACTGACGGTTTAATAAGCACTTGCGAAAAGCGGCACAGGACAACGAGCACTGGCACTCACAAGGGCGGCAGGGTCGTGATTCCGAACTTGGACGCGAGCACCCCAGTGATGAAGGGGAGCACCGCGGAGCCTGCCTGGCCCGCCCCGGCGATGTACCCCGCGCAAGCCGAGAGAAGCCACCGGGGGAGGATAGTCGTGGAGTGGTTGATCAGGATCGGGAACACGGGTCCGAGGAAGAGTCCAACGAGCGCGACGGCCACGGCGTTTCCGACGAGCGAAGGGACGACCCAAACGGTCGCCTCAAGACTGAATAAAAGACGCATTGATACTGGTCAGCAAAGGAACGGATCACACAGCACTTAGAAGACATACCCGATGACGAGGGCGACGTAGAGGAAGAGTGCACGCCGCTCGCCGAGCTAAAAGTGTTCAGGACCTTGAGCTTCGAGCCTCAAATGGCGTATCCCATGCATGCGTACTTTTTTGTTGAACCATAGCAAGAGAACCCGCCCGAGCATAATGCCTGTGTGATCGTTAGTTCGTTATACATGGTCAGCAGTTCGCATGGCATCTTACCTCCGAAGAATCCAGAGGATATGTACCCAGCATTGGAGCTGCCATGACGTTGCTCTAGGATGTATGTCACGCTCCAGCCTGATAGGAAAGCACGTCAGCGGGCTAGGGCTGCGGCCACACTTCCGACACTCTGAAGAATACTCACCTCCCATAGTGACCTCAACCCCGACATAGATCAGAGCGAAGACTGAGAGGAAGTGAACGTCCTTGTTGCCCATCATCTGTCTGAACTTGTTAGAGCTGACACCGTCCGCGTCGCTGCTGGTCTCTCCCTCTTCCTGCATAATTTCTGGAGTGCATATTCGCATCAGGGGCCTGACTAACGAAGACGCATGCTCGCTTCACCGACCTTCCTGTCTCTTTCCTCGAAACACGTACCACAGCACCGCCGTGTTCACCGCATATAGGCCTGCGGATATAATGTAATGGAACGACCAGTACTTCGAACTCTTCGCAAACTCTGTAGCGACCAGGGGTGATACTGTCGCACCCAACCCTACGTATCCGCACTTCTCAGCCGCTGTGACAGACATGGACGCATAGAGCGCAAGACACGTACCGTATGTTCCATGCAAGTAGCCCATCTTGGTGTTTGAGTCCTTCTTCAGGCCAGCGACATACCCGGTCGCCGGTGCGAATTGGACAGACAGCGCGAAGCCGATGACGAAGTACGCAAAGCAAATAAGCGGGAAGGGGACCGCTGGTGCGAGCAGAACATATGCGCCGACTTGACAAAGAGAACCTGATAGCATAACAAAACATGAGCACAAGTATACCCCGGACAGTCAGCCTTGGCAGAGTTTTGACCTAAGAAAAGGACCTATCGCATGGATCAGCGTTGTGCTCATTAGTACGTACCGTCGATTATGAAACTCACCTTCCCGAACCCAAATCGGTCGGTGAGATAAAAGTTTGCCAAGCCCCCAACAATAAATCCCTGAGGCAATCGAAACTACGTCAGAACAAGGTATAGCCCTGAAGAGGTGGCACTACTCACAGCAGCACCGAACACGAAGATGAGAGAGACGACAGCGAATCCGATCTGAAGAGTTATATCAGCATTCGAAAGCGCCACCAGATAAATCAATATTCAATCCTCACGTTATACTTCTCTTGAATCCTGGGGAGCATCGGCCCCGTCGTAGCATCGTTCCACCCGTTGACGAACATGCAACCGCATAGCGCGAGGAAATGTACCAAGCTCTTTCTTCTGTATACGGCCTCCAAGGCCGGGTCCAGCGCCGTGACTGATTCTCTGAGAGCCTGCACAGAAGGATCCACAGAGCCCATGGACCCGCGTTCGGGATCCACGGGCGTCGCGTGCACGATTGAAAGTGTGCCCTGACCACCGCTAGCCCCAGTAGCCAAAGAATACAGCTCTATTCCCTCAGCATCGCCTCCGTAATGAATGACTTCCGGCGCTCGCGGTGGCGGTTCAGTACGGTGTCGAATGCCCTCCTGTGGTACTGTTGCCTCAGTCACTTGGAGGGAGGAAGTAGAGGTAGTGGCGATTGCGGAGTTCGAGTCGTCGAGTTTGTCCCAAGAAGCCTCTTCCACAATATTGGTTGCATCGGCAGATACGGAGGGGTCGTCGTCCCGCACCGTGCGAAGCTGAATCGTAGATGACGGCATGCCAGTGTTCTCGAGCTTCTCGCCGTTGGCTTTGAAAGCGTAGAGAGGACCTAAGAAGAAGGGAGGAACATCGACGTGCCCACGGCTGAATTCCCTGGGTTTTAGTATCGCTCATGGGTCGTGTCGGCTCTTGCATGACCCCGACTGTACGTACTGATAATCCCTGCACCCGCGATAGCAACCGTAATGCACGTCAGATGACACCCGCTGACAAAACCACGGTCGGGGCGCTAAGTAGTAGACTCCGGTAAGCGATAAACAAACACGAGTGGTCAGTACACAGACAACAACAAAACCTATGGAAGGGAACATCCCGATACAACCCGCAAGTAGAGGAACCCATCTATGAAGCCCTTCATACACGTCGAGGATAATACACCCGTCCTCATATCGGGACGACCCGTGCGCGGGGGATGATCGCCCAGATGACGATGAGCGTCGACATCATTGACACGATGCTGCACAGTTCCGATCTGTCTCAGCACCACAGCTGCTGCGTACAAAAGATCGACACTCACAACGGCTGCAGGGACGCGATACCAAATTTGGACGCGAGCAGGCCAGTGATGAACGGCAAGATCGCGGAGCCCGCAAGACCGACGGCGGCGATATATCCCATGCAGGCCGTCAGAAGCCAGCGCGGGAGGATGGTCGTCGAGTGGTTCATGAGGATGGGGTACATCGGACCGAGGAGCAAGCCGACGAACGAGACCGCGATGGCGTTCTCGATGAGCGAGGGCACTACCCAGACGGTCACCTCGATGCTGGTGAGATAGATCAGCCATCAGCGTACAGAGCGTAGGTAGTAGAATGACTTACAAGATCGCAAGAAGCGCATACAGGAAGAGTGCGAGACGTTCTCCGATCTGTCGAGGGTGAGTGAGGTACACCTGCTACATAGACGCTGCTATACCTTCTTGTTGAACCACATCAGCAGTATGCGACCGAGCATCAAACCTGTCCCCCCGTTAGCACTTTGCTATCACGAGTAAGAATTAAACCTACCGCCGAAGAAACCGGAGGCAATGTAACCAGAGTTGGAGTTGCCATTTCGCCGCTCCAGAATGTAAGTGACGCTCCAGCCTGCCGAACCGAGTCAAACCGGTGTCAGAAAACCAGTCTGTCGAGAAAATTGCTAGGTACGCACCGCCCATGGTAACCTCAACGCCCACGTAAATCAGAGAGAACATAGCGAGGATATGCACTTCCTTAAGGCCGAGGACCTGCTTGTACTTATTCGAATCCACCGCGTCCTCAGTGCTGACACCACTCTCGCCTTCTTCCTCCATCACCTCTGCCAGATGCGGTGGGTAGTGAGTAAGATATCCACGATATCATCACTAACATCAAGTTCACCTTGTTGCAACCTGCCGCGGAACACCACCCACAATAGCGTAGTGTTGGCGATGTAGATGCCCATCGATATGATGTAGTGGTACGACCAGTGCGAGGTGCTCTCCGCAAACTGCGTCGCGACCAGCGGAGAGATGAGCGCGCCCAAACCTAGGACAATGTCAGATGCATCTCAGTGAACATTGTAAGCGACCCCTACCGTAGCTCCCGTGTAGGAAACCCATTTTGGTGTGCGAGCTCTTCTTGAGACTCGCGACGAACCCGTTGCAGTGCGCGTTCTGGAGCGAGAGCCCGAACCCGATCAAGACGAACGCGGCGCACAGCAGCGGGAAAGGGCCCGCGGGGCTGAGCATCGCGTACGCTACGACCTGACAAAGCGAGCCTAAGGGTTCCCATCAGGTAACCGGCGCGAGATGGTAAGTGGGTGGTGCTGACCCATGACCAAAACCTGGTTGTATGCGTGTCAGGAGGTAGAACGCCGCGTATGACAAGTGTTCAGCTCACTTTTCCAAAGCCATAACGGTCTGTAAGGTATATATTGACAAAAGCACCGCTTATAAACCCCTAGCGCGGACACGTAAGCGCGGCGGGCAGATGAGTTTGCCTAGAGACTCGAACGTACGATCGTGTTAGACACAAATAAAAGCGAAACAATCGCAAAGTTGACCTGTCAAGTAAGCTCATCAATCCAGCCCAAACGACAGGACGCGCACCAGGCCTACGTGATAGTTGGCCTGAATCCTCGGGAGCATGGGCCCGGTCGTCCCGTCGTTCCAGCCCATGCAGAAAACAGCACAGCAGAGCGTCACGAAGTGGATCAAACTCTTTCGGCGATACACGGCTTTCTGTGCAGCGGAAATCGCGGGCGCAGTAGAGCTTGTGTCGTCCTCGGCGAGGACCGACGGAGCTAGAGAGCTAGGAAAGCTGGGCGCAATCTCGGGGTCGCCGCCTTTGCTGGAGAGATAGTCCTCGCGGAACGTGATGCCCGCGTCGCGCATAGCGGTGGAAGTACCCTGTGAGTTCTCGCTGATCACGGGAAGCTCTATAGCCTCAGGCTCCGTAGCTGGGAACGGGGCCAAAGGGCGGATGCGTGAGATGTCGGAGCGGCGGCGCATACGTTCGCTCGTCAGCGTAGGCTCTAGAGAGGAGGCAGAGGCGATCTCCTCAGCGTCGAGCGCGGACTCGTTGAGTACGCGCAACAAGTTCTTGTCCCCAGCAAGGCGCGAATGTGGACCCATTGCTGGCATACGATGGTGAGCCTCAGCATGCTCTTCCTCTATCCTGGCAGAGGTAGAAAGCGGGTGCGTGTCGTGCAGCGACATCTTCTCCTAGCAACCAACGCAGTTGAGGGGAGGATGAGGGGGAGAAAGGGGGAGAAGAGCTTTAGCTCCCGACCAGCAGCGTTTTGTTTCCGGGGCCCCGCTCGTTCCCCGCACAGACCACTGTATGACCAATGGGCAGGGACGTAACATCACTGGCTAGGGTTGCGGGCACAGTCTCTTGGGTCTAACGGGAATGGACCGTGTTCTGGGTCGCGCATTTTTGTCAGTGAGGCGCACACAGGTGACCCATCGGAACAGCGGAGGTCGTGGGCGCGTTCATCACTTACGATAAGTTTACGCTGCCTTTCCCCTGAGACCTGCTGCAAGCCGCAACTTCTTCTGAGATCTTTCAAGCCTGCAACGCTGTCCTCCAAGTCCCACAAAGTGTCACAAAAGGTTCCGGAAGAGGGAAGGTCGTCGGCGTTCATGTGCAAGAGGGACAGGTACGTAGGCGCGCAGCAGGGGTTCACGACATTTGTCCGGATTACGGTCCGATATACATCGAGCGCTGATTGGTCTCTCGGGTCCGGGGGGTACTCCGCGGGGATCGGAAACTGAAACGCAGACAAAAGTCCAATTTCTAGTAAGTAGTTTGTACGGGTACATACACGATAAATGCAGCGTGGTCTATCGTACGGAATACATCGTCCGAAGGAGAGCATTTTCAAGGTAGCAGAAAGGCATCGGTGAACTGAAGCAGAGGAATTCTAGTAAGAAAGACGTGTGTGCCGAAAGCGAGCAGGAGATCTACGGTGGTGAACTGGATGCCATATGCATCCCTCAGGACCCAATGGAACAGCGACTTTCAAAGACGGCAATGGTTGTTTAAGTGGGGACTTGGCGAACGCGCGGAATCAACGCCCAGATGACGATCATCGTGGACATCATCGACACGATACTGTTGTGCACAACATCAGCGTCCGCATCGCAGTGAAGAAGCAGTAGCAACTCACAACGGCTGAAGACTCGCAATGCCGAAGCGGGACGCGAGAAGACCGGTGATGAAAGGCAGCACGGCAGATCCCGCCTGGCCGACACCCGCAATGTAGCCCATGCACCCGGTGAGCAGCCAGCGCGGCAGAATCTTCGTGCTGTGGTTGACGAGGATGGGGTACATCGGCCCCAATAGGAGCCCGACGAAGGCGACGGCGATCGCGTTCTCGATCAGCGAGGGCACGACCCAGACGGTCACTTCGAGTTGGATGGCGAGTAGCGCGTAGAGGAAGAGTGCGCGACGTTCCCCGATCTACGACACAGGTTAGGTGAATACTGTGCGTATAGCGAGAGATCTGCGCACCTTGCGGTTCAGCCACATGAGCACGATGCGACCGAGCATAAGCCCGCCAAAGAAGCCGGACGAGATGTACCCCGAATTCGCCGTACCGTGACGCTTCTCTTGAACGTACGAGACACTCCAGCCTGCCCCGTCGTGAGCAACGAACGTGTCGATCACTCAAGAAGAGAGATGCGACGTACTGCCAATGGTGACCTCCGTGCCAACGTAGATGAGTGCGAAAACGGAGAGGAAGTGCACCTCGCGGATGCCGAAGATCTGCTTGTACTTGTTCGAGTCAACCGCGTTCGGATCGATGGTCAGGTCGTCCACCTCCGCCTTGATCTCTGCATGCATGATTGATGGGTAAGAAGGCGATCGACGTGGTACGGCGATGAGACGCACCGTCCTGCCGCCTGCCACGGAAGACGAACCAAATCATGGTCGTGTTGAGGATATACAGGGCACACGAGATCATGTAGTGGAACGACCAGTGCTTCTGCTCGGCGAACTGCGTCGAGATTAGCGGCGCCACGAGCGCCCCAAAGCCTGTGAACAACAGCTCAGTACATTGTTGAAGATGGGGCGAAAGGGTTCGGAGACATACCATAGCTCGCATGCAGGAGACAGATCTTGGTCGAGACATGGTTGCGCCCGCTCGCCACGAAGCCATTCGCGTGCGAGTTCTGCAGCGACAGCCCGAAGCCGATGATCACGAACGAGAGACACATGAGCTCGAAGGGACCACCGGGGATCATGATCGCATATGCGCAGATCTGCAGCACGGAACCTATAGGTAGGGTGCATTAGATTTCTGGCGAGAACAAGACACATTGTATATCCTCTTACCGAGCAGCAAAACCTGGGGAAAACGGTGTGAATTTATGTGGCAGGGAGGAGCAATTACGGGACACACCTTTCCAAAGCCAAGCTTGTCGGTCAGCCACACATTCGCGATCGCACCAGAAAGATACCCCTGCAGGAAATAAGTACGGCTTTTGAGGTGTAAAATGAGGACTCACGATGGTGTTGAAAATGAACAGAAGCGACACCATAGCGTAGCCGAGCTGTAAGCCAGATCTCAGTATACAACGAGCCTACAACAACATTGACGCCGTCGACGCACATGGTAGTAAGATTGAATCCGAGGAAGCAGCGGGCCCGTGGTGCCGTCGTTCCAGCCGTTCAAGAAGATCGTGAAGCAGAGCGTCGCGAAGTGAATCGCGTGCTTCCGCCGGTAGACCGCCTTCTGCGCGGCCGAGATCGCGGGCGCTGTGGAGTCCGTGTCTTCATCCAGCCGGATTGACGGCGCGAGCGAGCTCGGGAAGCTCGGTGCGATCTCTACGTCGTTGTCCCTGCTCGGAATCGCGGTCTCCCGGAAGTCAAGCTTCTTCCCACCGGACTCCGAGTATTCTTGGATGACTGGGAGTTCGATGGACTCGGGCTCGATTGCAGGTGGGGAGTCGAGAGGCCGGAAGCGCGAGAGCTCGGACCGGCGCCGGATGCGCTCGCTGGTGAGGGTGTGTGGGAGCTCGAGGGATGAGGCGGAGTGGGCTTCAGACAGCTCGAGCGCGGAGCTGTTAAATGCACGAAGGGTGCCTTTTTCTGCGGGGTGGGGGAAGGTGTCCATGTCGTGTTCATCGAAGACCGCGATATCCACGCTGGGTCTAGGAGAGGCGCTGGAAGGTCCTGCGGCGGGCATTTTGGGGTGTCTGTGTATGGCACTAGAGTGAGCGACTGCTTACTTCGGTGGCGAACGATTCCTATTTTAAGGGGAGCACATCGCGAGTCAACATATCTTGCGCTGAGGGGTTGATCTGCCTCCTAATACTCAAGTACAATGAAGCTACTCATGGCCTGTCTTGGGCGTCGCGCCCTGCCATTACAGGTGCAGGTGAAGTGAAACCGGGAAGGAGCGCAATTCTACACCGCCCGTAAGGATTGGACGAAAGAGTAAAAGACGCATCATCCCGCCTCGCATCTCAGAATGCTCCCGCTATGGAGGGAAAAGCGGACGACCATTGCAGTCAAGCAGCGGCCGAATGGGAGTCAAAGGCGAGCCCGGTCAGGCCAGAAGCTTGCAACTCCCTAACCCCCTGTCCAGAATACCACCAAACAGTGCAGAAGGGCTCCCGCAACCCCTGCGGAGTGGTACTGTGCGATTACGAGACTAACATCCTGAGACTGCATGCCTACATGATATGGCGACTCCCTCTGCCCTCCTCTGTCCGATGGTACTAAAATTTGGCATGACCTTACGGTGGGCGCTCATTCACCACTTTCTTTGAGCAGCGGATCATCTTACGCGCGTGCTCATTGGATAATCGGTGCGCATGCTTCAAGAAACCGGACTCACCTATGGATCGTTCACGGGCGTGATAAGCTCAGGTGTCGTAAGGACTCGAGTCCAGGAGCGATGGCGGGCTCGAGGTGGTGGGAGATGGCAAGAAGGCTGGAGCAGATGATCGCCAGGCTTTAAACATTCGAATTCTCCGTACCCGGTGATTATAAGCTCCTACCCGTCTATCCGCATTATCCATGGACGTAATATCGCCACTGGGCCTGTTCTGGAACCATGGGGGGTCGGCGTCCGGCGGGCGGGCGACCTATGACTGCGGGTCTTCGGTCCGACTGCCACTGGCAAACGGCGGCGAGGCGGAATCTGAGCTACTCCTGAGCAACGTGCATGACCAGTCAAGAGCAGCGGGGACAACATCTCCTGTGAGTATATCGCCCAGAGCGAAGAGCTTCGTCGACCGCGAGATGAGCATCATGGAGGCGGGAAACAAGGAGGAAACCACGAGGTGCGCGCAACCGAATAGCGAAGCGTTCAAGCGGCGCGCGCGTCCACGCGCGTGGCCCTCGCGCAGATCCTCCGTCGCGTCTCTCGTCCATCTACCCCCATTCGCCCACTGCGCACCCTAGCGGCTTATAAACTCCCGGTCAGCAGGCCTCACAGACGATATGTTATCGCACGCGCAGTCCTCTCGCCTGAACACCTACCATACACCGAAGCAGAGGATCCTTGGGAACCCGTCAGCACATCCCGCGCCCGCATGGAGGCCGAACGCGAGGGCTGCCAACACGGACCCCGGGAGCAAGATTCTGCTGAGCCGGCTCCCTCTGGATGTCGAGGAGAACGAAGTAGAGGTACGCTGCCGTCTTTGGCGACGACATTGTACTCGCGATGTCCTGGGTGGCGGCTGACCTCTGCGTGGTGCAATCCGCCGTTTCTCGTCCTAGACCTTGTTCACTAGGACAGTGGGACCGGTGAAGGAGGTTCTCATGGTGTACAACTCCCAGGGCAACTCGCGCGGCATGGCGGTCGTGACATTTGCGCGCGCAGCCGACGCGTCTGTGGCGCGCGGGAAGTACAATGGGAAGATTGTTGACGGCAGTAAGTGGCCTCGGTTCTATTCTCGCGCGGCATGTGCCCATGAAGAGTGATGCTAATGGCATGGTCAGGAAGGCCAATCCGAATTGAGATCGTAATCGACGATGAGGAGGTGCACAGAATCCCGCCACCTCCCGCCACTGGCGCGCCGTCCCTCCTCGAGCGTCTCGGCCCCCCCAAGGTCTTCCAGGCTGCAGCACAACCGTAAGTACATACTCTTGTGACGTACACAGAGACATTCACTTACGCCCCGTCGCTACTCAAGACATCCGCGCCAGCATATAGCCCTAGGAAAGGGTGCGCCACAGCAGCCGCAACAACAGCAGCCGCCACCGCCAACCGGGCCACACAACGTGAAGGGAAAGCTGCGCGCGAAGAAAGGGCCACGAAGGCTGAACAAGCAGCGACAAGCGCAGCCCGCAAAGCAGCCTCCAAAGAAGAAGACTGCAGAGGAGCTTGACAAGGAGATGGAGGACTACAAGGCCCGCGCGGCGGGCAACAAGATCAAGACTTCCGAGTCGGCCACTTTCATGATGCAACTTGTGTAGCCCGTATACATGATCCTCGACGTGAGGATAGAGAACGGTCTGTGGTGGAGGCGTCGTTCTTGGATTAGAATGTGACTGCTGAATTGTATTAGTGTTGTACTTGGGCATTCATCTTTAGCGGTTTGGGTTGTACAAAATAACACCATCGTCAAATTCCGTAGTGCTTGTCTGTGCGGTACAAGTGTCTGTAGTATGTTTCAGAGTTTTTGGGCGAGCCTTCGAGTTGGCAGCAGGCACCTAACGGTACGTGTACATACCCTATATGCCGAGGATACACCGAAGAAACGCCGTCCCCGCTGCGGAAGGCGGAGGCACAGCAAGCTTGAACTGCTGAAGCCCGCACGTTTGAACTTTGCAAATTTGAACTTCCAAGCAAACGAACTCGACGTCTGGGCAACCGTGGTAGATAGCGAATGATATTGCAGATGTTTCTACTTGTCTTGAGGGAATACACGTGTCTCTGAGTTGTTATACATGTTTTCTATCCAGCAATTCCTCTCCAAAGTCGGGTTCTGGTAATCCTACAATGGTCTCCGTCTTGGTCAAGTTCGCCACCGCCCCCGTGTATACTCAAGTACTCAAGCCACGACCGGGACAGGCTCCGTGCTGCCCGGCTTCGCCTCAGGCCTGCGCTTCCCCTGCGTGTCCTCCGCGTAGTTCTCGTAAAAGTTGTGCTCGTCCTTGCCCGACGCCGCCCGCCCGGGGCCGTCCCAGAAGTGATGCGCCTGCGAGTACACGCCATAGGACGTCGGCACAACTTCGATCAGGTCCCCGCGCGCGACCTCGATCGCGGGGATCTCGGATGCGGGGAGGCCGATGAGGTAGGCGAGGATGCAGCGGATGACAGAGGCGTGCCCGATGATGAGCAGGTCCTCCTTTTCGCGCTCGAGCTCGATTAGGGTGGGCTCAAGGCGCACTGGACATAACGTTTATATTAGCGCAGAACGAACAGCAATGATATATGACCAGGCGCACCGCATAGGTCGTGATAGCTTTCAGCGCGAGGGGCGCGGTACGCGTAGGGGTCGTTCACGAAACGCTCCCATTCGTCCGGGTAGTACTTGCGCACTTGCTCGGGCGAGAGGCCGTCCCATACGCCGGGGTTGATCTCAGCCATCTGCGGTCGTTCGATGACCTTTACTTTGGCAGGTGGGGAGTGGTCGGCTGCGTTCTTCGTGAGGAACGGCCAGGCCGAATGGTGTGAACGCCGCCGTGCGGACGACCAGATCTACAAAGGATTTAGCTAAAATCGACATCCCAGACGGGCAGACGTACGACGAGACGCCGCTCTTTGGGGTTGATCCCCCGCTCCTGCAGTGACTTCTCTCGTCGCTCTAGCACGAACTCCTTGAGGCGTTCCGCATACTCCCAGCCGGCGGGTGAGAGATCAGAGTCGGCTTTGTAAGAGTGTTCAATGAGTGACTGTCCCGACTATGAAGAGCAGTAAGCAGCTCGCTCGATGGATGCAAGTGCGTATAGTGTACCCGAGCAAAGTATATTGTGCGGAAGTTGTTGTGAATGTTCATGAGGAAGAATACAATCCGTGATTGCAGGTAGCCGTGGATATTCTATAGCTGGCCTTGTTAGCGGTCTCTATATTGCGACGCACATGCTGGACGTACGTTGACCATGATCTTCTCGCCGACCTGTTTGGGGTATAAGCCACAGTCTCAAATAATAAGGTTCCTACGTACGTTAATGATTCGAATAAACGGCCAAGTAGTCTCTTCTACGGGCTCGTAGTGTTTCTCGTGGTCCTTAATACGAGCATAGTAGTCCTGAACTGCTTGTTCAGGGTCCCAGCCGCGGTACTAACAAAGATGCGTTCAGCAATCGTATCTCCGGAGCACCCCGCATGCGCTACTGACATCTGGAGATGATATCTTGACGCTCCGAATGTTTGCCAGGATGATCTCCTCGTTATCACACAGCGACTCTGACACGCGATGTGAGCGAGATCACGCGAGTAAAACACCGGCGGACATACCGAGCATGACTACATGGATGCCCGCCTTGTCGAACTTCTCCGCCACAGCATTGCGGCGCTCAGCCGTGCCGTTGTTCGCGTCGTAGATCACGACCTGCCCTCCCGTGTTGAAGAAATCCCAGATCTGCTGCTCACAGCCTTGGAGGACTGTCTCCCGCAGCTTGATCGTCTCCTGGCTCTTCTCTCCTTTTGCCAACTTCAGATCGCTCACGCGCCGTGAGGGAGACGGACGCACCCAATGTAAAGTAGTCTGGGGGCAACTTCTGGGCACCACCGAGCACCTTTCTCCTGTAGTCTCCAAGCGAGATAACGGTGGTCTTTATACCTGTCCATCGGAGGTATCGCTCAAGTGCGCGGGATACATGCGTCTTTCCGCGGGCGGGCAGTCCGACGGTGCACACCAAGATTTTACCAGCATGGAAGAGAAGACCCGATGCTGTCGTGTATAGCGGCGCAACCATAGCTCAAAACGATGGCCTGGGGCGGGCAAGGTGGTAGTGGACGACCGGAAGGAGGCGGAAGCGGCGAGGTGCGCTCAGACTGTTTCCGTTAGCGGGGTACCGAAACCCTATCTAATCTAATCTGGCTCCACTACTCCTCGGTATATAAGGCGGTGCTGCTGCAGGGGCGACAAAGTCACTGACTCATGTTTTCCCCTCCCAACCACCACCACATCTTCACCAACTTTCTACCTCGAATCAATATGGCGAAGCAGCGCACTCGTACGCGCCGCGGACGGAGACAGCGGCGCGCAAACACCCCTTCCACCCCACTCGATCAATATAAGGCCAAACAAGTCGTAGCCGCCGAGGCTAAGCGACAGACAATGAAGAAACGGCGGGCCAAGTCAAAGGCGAAGGCGAAGGCCCCACAGCAAGATGGACAACACGCCACGCTCTTGGCACAGGCCGCGCGGCGCGCGCGGAGAGAGCGATGGGCGCAGATCGCGGAGGAGACGAGGAAAGTAGTGCTTGGGGATGGCAAGTACGTTGAAGAGCGCCGCGCTCCCTCTGTTCTGTCCGCTATAGCTCAATCTTCGCAAGGCCAAGTGTTCTCCTCGGTCACCCACATCCACCACGACATCTCCGCATCTATCCTCCTCTCTCGACAGGGCACTACCTTCTATCCCCACTACTCCCCCGACCTCGCTGAATGGAAGAAGTACCTACCTACCATGCCTCGTCCCCCTGCTACCATCCAGTTCATCTCGAACTCTACTCTCACCGCAGCACGCCAGCTTGCCGCGGCGCGCGGTCAACCCTATGCGCAATCTACCGACATCGGTGTCCTGTCTTTCGCCAACCCTAAACGGTCGGGCGGCGGCTATCTGCATGGCGGTGATGAGCAGGAAGAGACGATTGCTCGTCTTAGTACTCTCGTCGCAAGCCTAGACGCTCCCGCTGCGAAGGACTTTTACAAGGAGCACCGGAATTTCCGCTCCTCCGATGGCAGTGGACTGCACGACCACTCCATGGTCTACTCCCCTTCTGTCGTTGTCTTCCGCCGTGACGCCGACGACACCACCTTCACCGACCGTGCACCTATCTTCGATCTCCCTGGCGGCAACGATGACCTCGGTGGCGAGTTCATCTCTCCATACGTCGTCAACGTCCTATCCGCGGTTCCCGTCAACGCCGCCGCCGTACGCGCCAAGCACGACATTGAGCCGGGCAAGGAGAACCTCTTTGAGGACGGTATCCGCTCCGTGATGAAGGAACGCATGGCGCGTGCCTTGCGCGCGTTCGAGCTCACCGGCAACAAGATCCTCGTCCTCGGCGCGTTTGGATGCGGGACATGCGAGAACAAGGTGGAGATGGTCGCGGAGATCTGGGCTGAGCTGCTCGTCTGCGGGGAGACCATCAACGACGTCCGGCACGAGGCGCGGTTCAAGAACTCGTTCGAGCAGATCGTCTTCGCCGTGCCCAGGAAGATGTCGGACTCTTTCCAGAAGGCGTTTTCAAATCGCGAGTTGATGGAGCGGGTCAGTGGAGCGATGTCGCCAGTTCCGAATGCTTGAAGTGTATCACTAGGATGGAAGATACCCTCTTGTCGACCGGACATGTGTGTATCGCTACGTTTTGTGCTTTCTCCACTGTATCGTTAGTAACTTATGGTTACAGTAATGAGTCTATCACGATGAATCGCCCTCAAAATACTTCACATCGGTATGAGTCTGATTCGTGCGGCCTCCTCGTGCTTAAACAGCGCTTAATATGGGGATTATATAGCGTCCGAGGTCAAGTCCTGTTGCCTCTCTTTCCCCCACTTGATCCATTGAGCATGGACTCCCTTCCACTAGAGACGCTGCAGCACATCTTCGAATTCGCTTGCGCCGACGGAGGGTTCACCGGCAACTCTCTATCGCTTACTTCCAAGCAGATACGCGCCGCTGCGCGTCGCAGCCGCTTTCACATTCTGCGTCTCTCCGACTCGAGCGACACTTTCCGGCAATTCGTCGCGTTCTTCGAGCGCGAATGTAACAGCTTTGGGCACGACGAGAGGCCACACGTTCGTCATCTATTCTTGACGCTGACCTCTCTCCCAACCGAGGCCGTCAACGTCGCGCAGGCCCTGCAGGCCCTTCGACAATCCCGGGGATCTACAACGAGTTCCCAAGCTATTCAGTCGTCTAACGACCCCACGCCGCAGCAGGAGACTCCAGCGGTGCCGCCTCTCCGATCTCGCGAGCAGGCCGTGCAGGAGCTCGTCCGACTTGTCGCGCCGGACCTGTGGACTCTTGTCATCGACGCAGTCCCTGACGGCTGGCGAGACCATATCCGATACCCCACTCTTGAATACAAATTTCCGCTCGTGCGCCAAGTGACCTTCATAGGGGTACCATGGCCCACCGATCTCCTGGATCCCAAAAGAAAACGGTCGCCGGTCTTCCCCGTCGCGACGCACCTCTATCTCAGCTCCCACCTGTATAGAAACGACCTCCAGCTATCTGCATGGTCTGTTATCGCACCCCGCATCACGCACCTGCGTATCTCCGGCATCGTACACCAGTACCAAGTCAAGCAGATCGCAGACGCCGTCGGGGTGTCTGTGTCAGTGAGCACTGCGCCCGGCTCCGCTGTGTTGTCGAGCGCATCCTCCTCGGGGCAGCGTGGGCCTCCCTCGCCTCGGACACGCCCCAGCATACGCTACCTCATCACGGAGCCGATGCAGAAGCTTCCGGGTACACTTGCGTCCCACAGGATTGTGGAAGAGGAGGTGGAGCGTGGCCTGAGGGATGTTGCGCGTGGATGTCGCCATCCGGACATCGGCATCCAGGTTGTGCTGCTTGCAAAGCCTAAGTACGCTCCGTACGGGAAACAGGCTATGTGACTGCGCGCCATGTGGATCGAGCGGATTGAGGGCGGGAGGGGTGGTGGCGAGGACTCTCCATGCTACATGATGCAACAGAGATCTAGTCACGGTCCACTGTAGTTGTAAGTGTCTGTGTTGGACGGCTCTGAGGGCAACTATAGTGTTCTCGACCATGCTCAACGCATTGAACGGGTTTCACAGATCTCTATACGGCGGCGTACTGCCAAGCTCGTCGACGACTTGAATGGGATATTGTTCTCAAAAACGGCTCGGAGCAGCGCGCCAGGCCATCTTGCGCGACGTACTGCGTCCGACTTAAAGCGTTTCCCGGGAACGTACTTGGTTGCGCGCTGCACGCATTAGATCACTTATGAAGGTACATTCAACGTTAACATGAACACACGGCAACACCTCAAACTATTACTGGTATGTGCATCCACCGGACGGCTGGCGCTCTCATCCGGAGTTTCATCGGCGAATCACTCTTGCAGCCGAGACAAGCGCTGTCGCAGCTTCGAAGAGGACTATCCCGTGAGTGAGGCAAGGCAATTAAAACATCGATAAAGTGTTGCGAAGGGGGGCTCGCAGTGATCTTCCTCCCCTCATCTTACACTTCCCGGTTTCTCAGGGTTCATGAACTGCGAGATGTCCTCGCCTCAAACCCACACGGTGCTGAGCGGCAGCTTCTCCGAGCCAAGGAAGGAATCAGACATCGTGGTGAACAGCCACCACGTGCGGTAGCACTCAGCGATGCAAACGACGCCGACGCTGGGGACATCGAGCTTTTACCTGTAACGATCGGCACTACCAACGGAGCTCAGGGTGTATCTTCCGTCGTTGACACGACCCTCCGAGTCGCGGATCCCGAGCGCGGCTCGACGGTCTCGCAGAGTCCATCTGCCCAGGCCTACACGGAGTTTGGCCAGACTTTGGCAGCACCGGACCCCGCCTTGGCCGCCGTGCACAAGAGGAAGAGCTTGGTTCATTTCGCTGCGTTGTGTGGATGTCTGTTCGTGAACGGGTGGAACGACGCCACGACGGGGCCGATGCTCCCCCGGGTTCAAGAGAAGTACGGGGTGAGCCACGATGTAGTGCGGACAGTGAGATCGCCCGCCGGGAAGCTGACGCGCGAACCTTCAGCTCGGATTCGCTATCGTCTCCCTCATATTCGTGTTTGGGGCGGTCGTGAGCGGCTCTATCTGCCCGTCGGATCGCAGCCTGTGCTGAGCGATCCCGGTCTCTGTAGGGCTTCCTTAGCGGAGCGTTTGTGAACGTTTATCTCACCGACCGGCTCGGCTTTGGGAAGGTCGGCCTCATTAAAAGTGGCCCGGATGAGTACAGCACTAATCTATCGTCATAGGTCTTGTTTCTAGGTCAGACTTCGGAGCATCTCATGAGCATGAGATGCAACCTCGCCCCGTCGGAAAACCCTTGAGCTCACACGTCCGCTATACCAGGTTCTCTCTGTCAAATCGGTGCATACGCCGTGCTCGCCCCAGCGGGCCCCTTCCCCCTGATATGTTTCGGGTACCTCGTCATCGGGGTTATGCTCGCGATCCAAGCTGCACAGGCGACCGGGTATGTCGCCAGCCTGAAAAAGGACTCAAACGCCAAGATGGGCTACTTGCATGGCAGCTACGGTATGTCCTTGATACGTCCGTTTCGGTCGCATAGTGACTAACTGCAAATATGTACTAAGGGTTGGGTGCACTGCTTTCGCCCCTCGTCGCTACGGAATTCGCCAAGAGCCCAAAGTTCTGGGCGTTCCACTACATCATATCTGCTGGTCTGTATGTTGTGAACACGGCGGTGTTGTGGTACGTGTTCCGGGGCAAGAGACAGGAGGGTCAGTATGATGATCGTATGCGCATCCGGCTAATCGCTGACGTGTACTGAGGTAGAAATCATGGCGGACGAGGGAGAGAGCAGCAGCGACTCGGACGGCGTTGGCTCCAACAAATTCAACCAAATGATCAGGAACAAAGATGTTCACTTCCTGTCATTCTTCGCCTTGATTTACGTCGGAGTCGAAGTCACTATGGGGGGTGAGTGTTATTTCAAACGGCAGACCCTACTTGATCTGACTCGCATACACACTAGGCTGGAGCGTAACCTACATCCTGGAGCAACGCCATGGCAGCTCCAATGCAGGATACATATCTTCTGGATTCTTTGGCGGTAAGCCGTCGCGCGAACCACAGCGCGTTTGACGCGCTGACAGCACTACAGGTATCATGCTCGGGCGGGTACTCTTACTGTGGTTCAACACGAAGGTGCGTGTAGTCCTTCCCTCGAGGCCAAATTTCTGAACGCATACAGATCGGAGAGCGACGGGCGCTCTTCCTTTACGCTGCCCTTGTCATCGGGTATGTCGCTCGAGTGACGCGGAGCTCGTTCCCTCACTAACAGCCACTTACTCGTTCTCCAGCCTCGAGGTCACAGTCTGGGTCGTCCCGTCGCTCATCGAGAACGCCGTGGCCGTCGCGCTCGTCGGCCTCTTCCTCGAGCCCATGTTCCCCATCCTGATGAACCACTCCACGACCATCCTCCCCCGCTGGCTCCTCACCGCGTGTGCAGGGTACATCGCTGGGGCGGGCCAGGCGGGGTCCGCGGTGCTGCCGTTCATCACAGGGCTGCTCGCGTCCAAGTTTGGGATTACGACCTTGCCGCCCTTGTGAGTGTTCGCGTCCTGTAATGGTGCGCTGGGGCGTTATTGATGCGCCGCACACAGCGTGGTCTCGATGATGTCGACGCTTCTGGTTCTGTGGGCTGTGATTCCCCGTGCACGCTACGTGCCGACGTAGAGTTTTTGTCCGGTGTAGATCAGATAATAAGTTGCACGGGGTGGTCCGTTCTCAGTGCGCCCAATATCCCTCAACTTGCTGAAGTCGCCATTCTCTGACATTCCCGCCCAGTTGCCGCTCTCTGTAGCACTACAACCCGCAACTCAGATCCGGAGTCGCAGGGTGCTCCCACGTCGTGACTGCTGAGATGCCTAGCCTCAGACTCTTCGTCACTGAGAGACGCGACGGCGAGAAGCAGGGTTGACTCGCGTTCTCCGTATCGCCATCTTGAAAACTGGTATGCCTTGGTGTTCGTCTCTGTTTTCTATATGCGTTCTGCGTGCTCCTCCTGCATAACAATACTTCGTCCGTGTCGTATCCTAGTGCACTTCATCGTGCTCAGCTGTCCCGTCTTCTGAGCTGGTCGTTTCTTGAGTCGCTGTGAAGCGAATGGTATATGTCCCCGGCGGCCGGCTACGAAACGCAGAACCGCGACCGCGACATCTCTCGGACCTCACCGGTCACCTGTGGGCGCGCAAACATGTCAGGGCGCCCGCGACGGGTAGTGCTAGTGACTACACATACCAGCCAAAGTGGTGCACTTTCCATCGTACGAACGCTCTGCGTAACGCGACGACGCACAGCTTGTCCGGAGATTATGTCCACGGCGGGAGTCCGAAGCCCGAGCAAGGCGGGTGCTTTAGCCCACACACGCCCGATGTGTTCTGGTTGCAGCACGAGATGATCATCCTATGCCGCAGTCGCGACTCGCGGAGCGCGTCGTCCATAGTACTTCCGAGCTCCGAGAACCCCGAGTCACTGGCGCTCCGACGATTAGTACCCGACTCGCCGACTCGCACTAGATTGCCGGACCCTCAGATAAACCAACCCATCCAAACTCGGACGACTTGCGTCCATATCCTAAACAACGCCACAAGGATGATGAAGCCCCGGCCGAGGCCTCGCCTCGGTCCGCGAAGGGCGAAACGCAGACGTGAGATATCGCTACAACCTGCGCGTCGTGATATCGTACAAGCGTGGTATACAACTCACAATCGTAGAGTTATCCATCCGATAGCTCGTAGCTCGTTGCGATGTTTCGCAATTTTCGTCCTCCGCGCATCGCCAGTCACCTTACGCGCGTGACCGGACGCTCTGCACGCCCTCGCTCACCGCGCTCTTCTTGTCGCTCTCGAATTCCTCGCTCGCGCGCGCCTCCACACCGCCTGCCACGCCCTCGCCCAGGGACACGTCCACCTCCTCGAAGCGCGCACACGCGTCCGCGCCACGCACGGGGAACGCCAGGTTGAGCGCCCAGTACACGAGCGCGGACACGCCGAACCCGGTGAAGAATGACATCTCGTAGATGTGCGTCGCCGCAATCGGGACAGTGCGCCCCGTAGCACCCGCGAAGCCGACGACGTTGATGAGGATGCCTGCGATGTACGCTGCATATGCACTGTAGCATTAGAGTTAGTAGGGAAAATATAAATAAGGCAAGGGATGGGATGTACCGGAAGTTGACGCCGTAGGTGTAGTAGTACCAGCCGTCGGTCCGTGCGTGGTAGAGATCCTTCACGTTGTAGTGGCCTTTGTGGATGACGTAGTAGTCCGTGATCTGCGTGTCACAGCGTCGTTAAGTAGACGCGCAAGGGTGAGAACGGATGTATTCTCCACATACCATGACACCCGCGATGGAGCTCAGGAAAACCGAGTACGCCGAGAGGTACGACGTGAAGCTGTTGCTGCTCTTCAACAGGTTCCACGGGAGCATGCACAGGCCCACAATCGCGGCGATGTATCCGCCACGACGGATGTTCTACGATTTTGTGCACATAGTTAGATGGGATGCTGCATGATCAAAAGTTTTGTGAACACTTACAATGTATCGCGGGAACAGTGCGGTCAGGTCGCAGCCCGCGCTAATCGAGTTCGCAGAGATGTTTGTGCCAAGCTACACCAGTCCCGCTGCGTAAGTACGCGCCAAGTACATCGAACATATATAACACAAACCTGTGCGATGATGAACGACGCCGCGATGAACCAGACGCCAAAGCGCGTCGCGTGGCTCGGCTCGCCATCGAGGAACTTGCCCAAGAGGTCGATGGGGGACCAGATCGCCTCCCCGTAGATGGCCTGCGACGACGAACTGACGATGATGCCGAAGAAGCTCACGAGGGAGAACCCGAGCGGGACGCTGATGAGCTGCGGGAGGCCCGCCGCGGCAGGCGTGCGCGCGCGGGACGCGAAATCCGGCGCATTCCTGCAAAGCCAATCGCATGTGAGCATGAAGGATGGAATAGAACGTGCGGGCATATAACGGGCTTACGTGACAAGGGTCGCCATGTTGCTGATGCAGGACATGATACTAGAGACCATGGCCCAGCTGAGGTCGGACCCGCCCAGGGTCGCCGGCTGGTGGATGATTGGGCCGACGCCGTGCGCTTTGACGATACACCAGATGAAGAACGTGATGCCTGCGATGGGCACCACAATTGCCTTTAGAGTGAACAAATGGCGGCTGATAGAAATATGTAAGAACCCGTGCACAGGGCGCGAAGAGAGTGCGGGAGGCTTACATCTTATGGATAGGGAACCAGATGGCGGGGAGGGAGATGAGCCAGAACAGGAAGAAGCACATGAAGTCCCGTGTGTTCGTGCCCGAGGATGCGGGCATGGAGTTGGCTATATGCGTCAAAACCTCAGTATATGCGGGGACCAGGCAAGTAACCGGCGACTTACGGATGTTGTTCACAGAGGGCCACATCGCTCGAAGCATCACGAGAACGCACGAACCACCGATGCTAGCTTGCACACCGTACCAGATGCTGCGGTTTGCGGCACGATAAGTTTCATATTCGCGAAGATGGAAGAGATGCGTACCAAGCCATAGCCCCTCGGTTAAAGACACACCACAGACTCCCCCAGACACCGAAACTTGTCCGCGCGACCACGGGGAACGTGACATGGAAGATGGCGCCGGGGCGAGCGTTCGCGACGATGAAGGGTGCGACCACACCGTATCCGATCCACACGGAGATCCACGCTTGCCACCAGGAGAGCCCAAGCTGCACCATGGACGAGGCGATCATCCAGCTGCGCCCGCTGTCAGCCGGAATCACGAGAAGATGCAAGTAAAAGCACATACGTATTGATGTTGAAACTGTCCGCGATCCAGCTGCAGGTTGCCAAACATCAGCACGCGTATAACCTGGGATTCGGAGACACACGCACAACGCGATGAAGTTCCAGGTGCCCCATGTCCGCTTGCCCTCCTCGACGGGAAGCAGATCCTCATTCTGAGTGGGTTTACGCAGTAGCTGAGTGTTTGACTCCAGTGCCTGCATAGACTGACACGTACCTGCAAGAAGGACTCGGAATAGGTCAAGTTCTGGGCGCGGTCGACCTGAATCTTCTGCATGATCCCCATGGTGGTCCGAGAGCTCTGAAAGAGACGGGGATGGTGCCGACAGCGAGCGGGGCGACGACGGGACTGCTACCCCGCACCCCGATCATTTTAAGGACCTGCTATAGATAAGGAATGGACTTTTGGTGGCGCAGACGGGTGTCCGCAGGCCCCTACGCGTCGAACCCTGATAAGTATTCGAGTTCACCCGACGAGATAACGCCCTCACCGTCATTTGCCCAGGCCGTCCAGGGCTTGGAAGCCTCCGTCCTCTTCGGAGGCCTCGAGTTCTACTTTTTGCCACACATTTCACAGCCCAAACACCCTGCGTAGCAGGATAGATATTCCTGCATTAAACAACGAGCATCCTGAAGACGAACACGGTCAGAGCCTGTCAGAGCTGGTGGGAGGAAGTCACGGCAGCACGCGCTCTTCTCGCGTACCTTATCAGCACCTTCTCCATCAAGCGCCCACAGATCTGTGTCCTTCTTTCTTCTCACTCACTCAGAGCTAAACGCCCGTGCCACTTATGGCTTCCCTCGTCATCTGCCAGAGGGTGAAAGGTTGGAGGGGGGGGGGGAGAGGAACAATTGAAGGGGAACGGAGGAGACAGACGACTTATATACTGGCCCAGAAAAGAAGACGGTGCGGAACTTAAATCATTGACAGCTAGTGTTCCAAAAAAGGTCCCCGTACTAACCGCTGCATTCGACGGTCGCTGCGGCTAATATGGTCCTACATCACTAACACACTGATAAATAGCTTCAACTGACTGTACTATGCCTATCTGAATGGTGCATCCGTCGCAAGCTACTCATTCCTATAGACTCCGAGTCGGAGTGCTCATTACACATGATCATGGCGCCTGACAGGGCGTAGTATCACTACGCATATGTTTGTGGCACTTTGATATTTGTCGCACAATACAAGTACTGACAATATATTGCCAGTCAGATATACGTAGCCCGCGTGGGGTGGATGCCACAGCGGCCATGCATTCACTCTGGCTGGTTATCCCGAACCCATCAGCTTCAACCCTTCGGCGCCGCTCGTTGTACGATCACACTGGGCCATCCCACTACACTGGATGCCCCCTCGCTTAAAGATGATGGATATCCGACACCCCGAGTCAACTCAGTCGATGTTTCTTGCTACCAGTGACCACAACCCAAAGCCGGCCGCCGTCAATACTACTTTCACCCGGAGAAATCGGCGGCGAAGCGGTCGCGCGCCATCATTCACCCCCAAGCCACCGTCTATGGCGGTTTCGCCCCTTGCCGAGGCACTCCTGACTCCGTCGACACCGTCACAGGACTAGACGCGGTGTACAAGCTCGGATGCGCGCGCGTGTGTGTCTGCCCGGTGGATGTCGCCGTCTGGGAGGCTGTGCGAGGTGCGAAGTGTGCACCACAGAAGCTGTGTCGACCCATGCTAATCCTGTTGTATCACCATGACGGCGCGCCGATTTTTATCCTGTACGTGGATACACTCAGCCTCCACATCGGCGACACCCCTATGCTATTGCTGTAATATCCAGGTAGGCTATCTACGATGTGGTGGCTGCCACATGGGCGCATCGGCGGTCGCCGCGCTGTCGCCACTTTCTCTGCCTCTTGCTCACGACTTTCCATGTCCGTCGGCACCGGGAACAGGTGTTTTACACATTGATTATCGGCGGCGCTGACCGCAGCGGAGAGGATAGGCTGGGGTTGTATGGGCGCCGAGTCGGATCAGTGTATCGACGAATACAGCGATTTGCCACAGCACGGCAACAACCGAGCCTCCACCTCCACACAGAACATGGGTGTACGTTACCCTGAGAGCGATCAGGTCTTCCATTCTTTAGTCGACATGATGAACCACCTGACATACTTCCTTCTTGACTACGTCGTACAATATGCGGAAGCAGTGCAGTTTGTCCACCGGTAAATATGACGATCAGTTCGCCGGCCGCCGATGGATACTGCGCGTGTGTGAGACTCATACGCATGTTATCCGGTATAGTGAGATAATACAGTGTTCATACATCCTGTCATAGTGTACATCCAGACAAACCCAAACTGAACGCCGCCGCTACCTCATGAGATGAAGACCTTCCGGAGCTCGGTGTACCGCGCCCTCTCTATGGGTTTCTTCGGATCGAACACCCAGCCAACATTCTTAGCGGCCTGATCATCAAAGAGCTGCACACCACCACCGGTCAGTACTTGCGAAATGTAGAACCTGAAACGGCACGCACCTCCTTGGAGTACACCTGCCCACTGGGCAGCGCGAGCGGCATGTTGTCCGCGTCCATGATCTTATACCGCTCGCGGCACACGATCGTCGAGTTCACGTGGTGGCTGAACGGCACCTCCTTCGCGAGCTCGCCGAGATCCACGTTGCAAGTCGGGCAGTCCGCGTTGCGCGACCCACGCGTGTAGCACGCCGGCAGCCGCAGCGACGCAAGCCCCGCGTACATCGCGAGGTGCAGCAGCGGCTCTGTCGGGAGCGTGCTGAGGTGATATATCGCGAGCCGGAACGACTGCACGAGCGTCGACCACCGGGACGGATCGTACAGGCGCTGTGTGGCGTGTCAGATATAGCACGGATGACGCACGCCGTGACGCAAGCGTGTCTGGCTCACTTTGTAGGGGCCACATGCTGTGGTCGGCGGGCAACAGAGGAGCGCTGCTGCTTGCACGATCTGCTTGTAGTGCGTGTCTTGCCACGGTAGGAGGTGTTTCTTGGAGTAAGCCATCGCCTCAACCGTCTTGCGCGCCCGCGCCAGCTCGATGTATTCTTGCAGTCTCAGGTCAAATTCCAGAGTGTTCTGAAACGTAAAGTTTAGATTTGTAATGTCGCCGCTAAGTGAGCGAAAGTAGCCGCACCTTGAGTTTACGCAGCGCAGCCTTGTTCTCGCTGCACCATGCAAGCGCCTCCGTACAGCTCTTGCGGTTCAGCGCGTCTTCGATGCGGCGTATGTCCGAAAACAGATCGATATCCACCAGTTTCTGCGCGCGCCGTTATTTGGTTAGCACTCCCGCATGCCCGCGAGCGCAGCTGAGGCCGCACCTCTATGCCTTTCTCCGATGCTATCATGCGCGCCGTCTTCTCCTTGCCGTTCCGCAACGCCCAATCCACAATCCAGCGGTCCAGACGCGTATCGGTCCACCGCGTAAACTCGGGCTCGGTCGTGGACTCCAGCCGCTCGAGCGTGCCGAGGTGCTGCAGCCGCTCCCGAAGCACATCCAGCGTCGGCTTCGCCGCGGTCTCTTGCATGTCCGACAGCTGTTCCGTACGGGACGGCGGGTCAGATGTCCTCAGCGAGTTTGTGCATACTGCGGCCGCACCTTGCGTTTCAGCCCCTCAACCCGTGCAATCATGCCGTCGATAGCCTTCGTGGTAGCCTCTACATCCGCCTCGGGAGTCTTATTGCTCGCAAGGTCCTTGGCGGTGTTCTGCACGGCGCCGAGCTCCTTCTCGATGTTCTTCTGGGACGCACGGAACACCTTGCGGTAGTTCTCGTAGGGCACCTGGACACAACGGGTAAATGCGTGTAATGCATGATCCGGAGGTCGAGACGGGCTGTACCCGGGCAAACGGCTGCTCGAAGAGCATGATGCCGTCTACGTTCACTTTGTGGTAGCTCATACTGCCTCAAGCGCAGATCAGATGTTGATATACCGGGATATCGAGCAGAGACAGGTAGGGCAGGCAGCTTAGAGAACACAGATGCACGAAGGCAAGCCGAGAGCTTACATAGACGCTCATTAGAGAGCTCGACTAGTAATGATTGTGTTGAGCATACTTATGTCATACTATTGATCACTAATGGAAGCAAAGCTCTTATTGATGAGCCTGATTTCGGTAACTTCCGACAGCACCTTCTTTCCTCTCACCACCTCGCGGTAGGGCAACATGCATATGGGAGGTCTTCCTCCGACATCTCGGTGTAACAAACACACAGAAGCGCGTACGCTGAGTCCTCGTATTTCACTTCGGGGAACGGGAAATCGGGCTTGAAATGATTTGCCACAGACGGGAAACACCTCACGCCGTCTCTCCTGGAGGCCCCATGCGTTGCTTCGGAACTGAGCTCGCGCTGCTCCGGATGCCTAAAGCGTCTGATCATTTCTCTGTTTTTCCGAGGTGAGTGCGCCTGATAGGGGCAGCTATCGTCTTCCGGTCTCTACGAACTTTTACGGCGTTGTTTCACATGTACTGAGCTTCACGTCAAACAAATCGACAACCTGTGCGTTCCCCGACCGGACAGATGATGCATCGCGGATCAATTAGCGTCTATCTGCGGGGACAAGCAGGAACAACTCCGCCAGTCTCTTCTTACTGGATGCTGCGACTAGCCGGGAACACAATGTTGGATATCTGCTTTCACGATGTGTGTGGCTGAAGCAACTGGCTTTAGCGCCCACAACATGTCCTACAGATCATGGCCTTCTGGCATATGCATGCTTACAATCTTTGCACATGTACAGTCGCGTGCTGAGTCCAGTCCTTCAGGTCCCGAAAGCACCCAGACCACCCCGATGCACAGGCTGCCAACCGGCGTGGTGGATCGGGCGGTCTCGGCTGTGGCGGTCGTCCGACATCCACTTCGGCGTTCGCATATATCGAAACGTACGTGACTCCTGCATCAGCTCAACAGTCTTTCTCTCATGCATGAACTCGACCATCACCTGCTACCGGCTAAGGTACACGAGCGCACCGAAGCTTGGACAAACGCCCGGGAAGAAACCCAAACCTGGATGTCGCTGCGGCGCATCTGAGATTCGGTGTTGGCCACGTTTCTCCACCATCGGACGCACGCGACTCGCACGCGAGAGCTGTGATGCTGATCCAAGTCACCTCCCAAACAGGAAGTGGCCACGTCGCCACGTGGGATCATGGTGTACACTGCCGCCCATCATCTGCAGGCACAGACCGCTGCTCAGCCTCCGCCATCCTCATCCGTCTGCAGCCCGAGGCGGGTCAAGGTGGTCAATGCATAGCCATACAGTACGGAGAATACTTTCGATGCCGAAGAGATCTCTTCCGCAGCGGTGAGAAGATATCACATCCTCAGGCGTATTCCAATCTCACATAGGCAACGCCCATAGAAAATATCGCAATGAAGCAATTGGACTTTGCACAGCATGCGTTCACGGCTGGAGTTATGCGCGATGGTCCGTAAGGACGGGACGCTGCCGACGCCTGCAATGTGAAACCGAGACCGAGCCCGAGGTTCCCCTTGCGTCTGCAATCACGACCTGCACCTCCTATTCCGTTCCTAGCCAACTCGTCCCGCGTTGGCATTGTATTTTGAGGCGCTCGCTCGTGGATACGCTCCCGGCGTACTGGTTGGCGTCGCCGCGGTGTCTCAGCAAGTCGGCGCGGAGCGTCACTGACGCAGCGCATGTTTGTATATATACGAGGTTGTATATCTCTCCTCAACGTCATCCAACCGTTCTTCGCTCTTCTCATTTAAGCCAGGTCTTCTTCCAAGCAACCCTCCACCACTCTCCCATCCCCACCCATTCTCACCATGAACAACAACCCGTACGGTCAATGGCAGCAGGGCGGCGCGGCCCCGTCGGTATTCGGCGCACTCCCCTCGGCCCCCGCGTCGAACCCCCCGAGCGCAATGCCGAACAGCGTCACCTTCACCTTCACGAGCTTCAAGACTACTATTCTCAACTCCACCGTGGTCGGCCCGCAGCAGCGGACTGTGTACCGCGTCGTCACGGAGCCCACCGCGCCCGCATGCACCATCTTCAAGGATAATGAGAGCCGCAATGCCGCGATGGTGCAGTGGCAGCCTCACGCCACCGTCGAGGTCCACGGCGTCGCTGCGAAGCAGCGTGTACGGGACTGGCTCCGCCTGGCTTCGGACCAGAGGTGCGTGACCGAGCCCCTGCGGTGCTCACTTGTCAAGGAGCCAAACGCGCATATCTGACCCGTTCCCTTTTATAGCCGCCGCGTCATGGACTTCCGTGGCGTCCAGTACGGCTGGGCCCCCATGGAAGGCTTCATCTGCGTACGTCCCGCACCCGCCGTGTCCGTCAGTGGCTGAGACTGATATCTCGTTGAACAGCTGTACAAGGTGCAATCGCAGGCCCCCCGCGTGCTCGCGCGCATTGCGCGCATCCCGAACAACGTTATGCTCGAGATGACGCAGGAGGCGCTGCAGGCGGGTATGCTTGAGGCCTGCCTCGTCGCGACCGTCATGCTCTGCTGCGGCCACAACATCGACTAAAGCGCTGGGCTGCGCCGCGCCCATCCGTGATCGACCCACCATAGATGACATCTGCACGCCCACATCACCCTAGACTTCAATCGCCCCCGAGCGTGCATCTTGGCCGTATTATTATCCCAGTCGTTCTGCTTTCTTGGCTTTCTTGTTATCCACTGGTATATAGTACATAATGTCTTGTCCATACCCGTATCCTTCGTGTATCTAGTAGATAGGTGCCCCAACCCTACTTGCCTGTATAGTATATCTATTTGTAGCACACCTCGTCTTATTTCTTGATATATACAACGTTGTTATCGGAACCACATTGCCTGGCTGAGTGACTTCATTCATATACGGTCATCCTTCATGTAAGTTCACTGGCAGCATCTTTCGAGCTCACTGGGGCCTCATACTGCAAATCACTGCAGCTCAGTCTCGCTCCCGAGATCAAGCAGCGTGCCTGTCACCCACGACGGCTTCATCATCCGCTCACTCACTCGCATGAGCCACACGATACTAGACTTTGTCAGCTGCACAGGTGCTTCTTGGAGCAACCCTACGCATCTCAAGTGCAAGTGGCTGTACACCACTCCGGAAGGTATAGTAGACGCCCATAATCGCGGCGAGCAACCGGTGAGCCAACTCGTGAGACAGGGACGTCCCTGGAGCCTGGAGATCCCCGCCGGCAACCGCAAGCAAGTACAAGGGCACACTGCACGATCATCGCCATGCGTCGGCTCAATGCAGTCCATGAGAGTCAGACAGAGCGGTGCACCGGCGGGGCGCAACGCTAATCTGTGCCACATCTGATCTCAGTCGCCGTCCCGCCTCACCGTCGCGTACGGGGCGCCACCGGCGGGCCTTGGTCAGCCCAGCTCGGGTGGTGGTGTCTGGTGCTGGGGCGAGGGCGAGGGCGGGCGCGGGCGCGTTGCGAGCGCGCTCTCTGCTGTGGGCGCAACGACGCCTCGGACCATCCGCAGCGTGGAGAAGCCGGTGACCCGGTGGCGTGTGTGCCGTGTTGTGGCCCGTATCGTCCTGACAAGCAATGGGAACTGGGCGCTGCTGACTCGGTCTCTGTACGGGGAATAGCCAAGCTCCGTCGTGGACGGCCGGAAGGATATAGGCTGAGTCTGAGGCTCGCGCTGTTGTTGTTTCATGCTATATTCGTGCCCTGACCAACGCTGGGTGCGCGTTACGGTATATACATACATACGCCGGGCGATGATCATGCCACCTCGATCGTCCGGAGGAACCGCTCGTACATGGTCGAGTGGATGTTCCGCACCCGCGTCGCCTCGCCGAAGAAGGGCGTCCGGATCTGAGCTTGCGCCTGTGCGAGCACCCGGCATCGATATCAGCCGCCGTCCACACACGCGACACACACTCGAAGGAGAAACGGGCACTCACGAGGGCCACAGGCCGGATCTGGTCGAGATGGCGCACGAGACGTGTGGTCATCTCCGCCGCCGCCGCGGTGTGGCGAATGTTTGAGCGATCGGGGAGTACGTCCGGAAGGATGCTGACAAGCTTGGGCACGCTACGGGAGAAGTGGTCGAGCTCGGACGTTTCGTCCGCATCGAGCGCGCCGTCGCCCTGGACGAGGCGTTCCCGCAGTTGGGGGAGGCGAGTCAGGGCTTGGGCGTAGTCCAGGAACACCTGTGCGACGCAAAGTAAATAAACTACCTATAGCAAATGAACAGGCCGGGGACGGTACCTTTCCGCGCTCGTTCCAGCCGTTGACAGGGCGGCCGTCAAAGACGTCAAACAGTTCGCGTAGAAGCGCAAGGTCGTCACGAATGACAGCGTCCGGCGCCAGCTCGAGTACGGCGATGTCGTGGGCAGCGTTGTACAATCCCGCAGAGAGATACAGTTCGTAGGCCTCGTACACCTTCCCGCTGTCGAGGGCGTGGATAGCCTGGGATGCCACATATCAGAAGATGCAGGAACGAGAAGTTTGCTTCCGTCTCGTACCTTAGCTTCGTTGATCCAAGCTACGGGGATTTTGAGACTCCCGACGAGCCCACGGGTCACCCAGTCATCAAGCTTCGCGGCCGAACGAGTCAGCAACTCCTTGATCACCTTCACCCGTCTGCAAGAGGTCACCGTCAGCCTCGATTTCAAACCCGAGCGGAACCAAATCACGTACCCCGCAGACCCTTCGACGTGCAGCAGGACGAACACGGCCTCCTGGATCATGCCGAGCTGCTCCAGCTGAGATGCATAACTGTTCGCCAGCAGATCGGCACTGGGGCTGTGCCCTTCCACCCCGTCATCGTCTTCTTGATCTCTTCGTCTCACCGAGGTATCTCTGTCCGCGAGATCGCGGGCACGCAGGCACCGGGAGAGGAGGATGTAAAGATGCCAAGGAAGCCGGTAGTCGGTGGGAGACGGGCTGAAGGAGAACGAGGAGAGAACCTCGGACAGATTGCAATCTGGGTCCGCGGCTAGCTTGATGAGCAAGTATAGAGCGTCCGGGTGCTGCGCTTCTCTAGGTAGCTTCCAGAGCGAGTCTGCGCTGTCTGGGCGCTCTGCGTACCAGGGTGCAGGTGGCGCAACATTGGATCGCCCTTCCTTCCACAAAGTGTCGTACGCGTCGAAAACATCCGCGAGAGATGCGTCCATCGGCAGCCCATACCACAGCTGCAGACCAAACGCGCGCTTCCAGTCTAGGCCCCGCGCGAGGTCCACGTCTGCGCTCTGCTCAATCCCGCTGCCGCCCGAGCCCTTGAGTGTATCCGCAACTCCGGCCAGCAACGCGTAGACCTTGCGGGTTCCCTCGCCCATGTGAGCGTCGATTCGCTCTTGTCGCCAGATCTCGAGCTGTTCCTGCAGATCTGCCCGGAACTCTGCGTCACCGGGGCACTGCGCAATGAGTGACGCCAGCTTGACGTTACCGCCATCGGCCGCCGTCTCGCACGCGCGCTCGACCTGGTAGCCACTGAGCAACGTGAATACCGTCCTGTCCCATTTCGTGTCAAGATGGTCACGAAGGTCGGCGTCCATTGCGGAGGAGACGGCGGTCTTGAGCCATTTCGACAGTTCGGTCTTTCGCCTAATGGCTCTGATGCGATGCCTGACGTGGACGTCCGGAACATCGTCAAAGCGGAAGTCAATTGGGTCGAACAAAGCGTGGCCCAGGCGAAACAAAGCAGGTTCGAAAGAGAGGTCGGTTGATGGGAATTGCGCCACGAAGGACGCGAAGGTGAGCCTGAGAGAAGGATTGGCAAACGGGACGCCGTCTGCATCTTCTTCAATCACGGTGTTGCTGAGATGGTGGGAGAGCAAGCGGGAGGACTGCGCTGACGCGTCAGACGCGTCTGCGGAGAGGAGAGGTATCTTGCTGAGCTTGATGACTGAAGCGTTGGCGGAGGATTTCCTACAAACTATGAGTTCACCGTCTACCGCGTGTGGAAAGCACCTACGATGAGCTTGCAGGTCCGCAGAGTTCGCCTAGGTGGACAAGCGTTCCTCCAGGACCCCATCCTACGCGGAACGAGCGGCCAAATGACAGGCCGGCATCAATATATGCGTGCTCATAGCCTGAAAACGCGGATGCAGAGCTTTCTACGCGCGAGTATTTCCGTGATGGGTGATACGGTTCGGGTTCTATGTCGTGCGCGAACGACGCGCGCTGAGAATCCGCGCCACTTCAGCAACCTTGCTGAGCTTGGGCACATTATTGCAGGACGCACCTGACGTGAATCTGCGCGGTAGCCCTCGCCTTCGGAGTCTCTACTGTGTTTCCGGCTGAGGGTGGAGGGAAGCAGGAGTCTCTTACGCGACTGGGGCTGATTGAGAGCTTTGAGGGCACGTTCTTCTTCCGGCATTCGGAAAAGGGAAGTTTGCATGACGTGCATCTTCTGCGGGTCCACGCCAATTTCCCTCGCCCATGGTATAATGGTCGTGTCCCCAGGAGGCCCGCGGGCATCACGCGGGCCACTTTTGTAGGGAGCGGAGGTTCGTCCTCGCGCGTCGTCCTCGCTATCCTCGTCCTCGTCTTCATCATCCAACTCTTCGTCCACCTCGTCTTCTTCGCTCTCCTCCTCGTCGTCGTCATCATCATCGTCGTCATCCTCCACGTCGCTTGGCTCGCGGTTCATGATGCGGTTGGGACGCGCCACAACCAGCACTTCATCATCCTCCATATTGTGGTCTTCCTCCCTCGAGGGCTTCTCTGGTTGTGGCGGCGGCACCTCCATAGAGACATCTTCTTCCTCTTCGCTATCCGAGACATAGGCCCTAAAACGCGCCATTGCAGGCCGAGAGATATAGATACAAGCGAGGAGGTAGAGGTTGAAAACAGAAATACAACGCGCTGAGACTCACACAAACGCCCACGGAAGCGCCCGAAGCGCCACACTATCATGTAGCTACACACCGGCACCCTTCTTGCTCTCTTACTACTCCGAATTTACATCCGTCCTCGTCGTCTCTGATTAACGACGCCAGATCTGCATTTCTTGATACCGCAGAATTCTCAGCTCAGAAGCTCTAGGCTCGGAGTATGGTCTGGTCAACCTTATACCGTTGAGCGCTGCCAGCTTGAATACCAGTAGCATTGTCTGTCACTGCAGTGTGTACCGGGTCCGCGACCACGACCACAAAATCATATACCCCGAACGCTCGGTGGCACCTTTCAAGACCAAGGATGGCCAGCGCGCCTCCAGCATGGGCATACGTCGACTTCAAGAACGACGAGCCTCGCACTCAGGCTGTCGATCGCCCCACCGCCATAAACAGTTCTCCCGGCCCATATGCATCCGCGCCTTCGCCCTCCTCCTCCTCAAAACCTCCCAGCATGGTCACGCCGAACGACTTCAAGTTCTTGCGCGAGCTAGGGAGTGGGTCATGGTCCACCGTACGTCCACCCTATTTTGTGTGAGCCATCGCGGAAGCCAACGTCTAGGCATAGGTTATGGAGGCAACCCAGGTCATGACCGAGAAGCGCTATGCCCTCAAGATACTCAGCAAAGCACAGCTGATCAAACTGAAGAAAGTCAAGTACGCGACTGTCGAGAAGGACACCCTCGCCAAACTCTCCAACGGGCACCCAGGGATTATCCGCATGCATGCCGCGTTCCAAGACGAGACTTCTCTGTGTAAACCGCATTACCACTTACTCCACCTATAGAAGCTGATCATATCGGGACTAGACTTTGCGTTAGATCTCGCGGACAACGGTGATCTAGCCGACTTGGTGAAGAAGCACGGCTCCCTCAACCTGCCATGTGCGCGGTGGTACACCGCACAGATCGTCGATGCTGTGCTGTGGATGCATAGTAAGGGCGTTGTGCACCGGGATCTAAAACCGGAGAATGTGCTGCTGGATAGCGAGTTCAGGGTGAAGCTCACGGACTTCGGGTCCGCATACAACGCTCCCGACGGTGATCTATGTAAGTACGAACACTATCTCGTATCTATGAATCTCCAACGTAACTCCGTGGACGTGAAGCCCCGCGCGCGAGCTCGTTTGTGGGAAGCGCAGCGTACGTGTCTCCCGAGCTACTCAACCGGGCGTCGAAGACGACGAGCAGCAGGTGGGAGTTTCTCAGGATACTCGTATCGCTCACACCTAACATTCCTCAGCTCCGATATATGGGCGATTGGCTGCACGTTGTATTTCCTTGTTGCTGGCATGCCGGCGTTCGCTGCCATCAACGACTACCAGAGCTTCCGCAAGATAGAGGCACTAGACTACACGTTCCCCGACGGCTTCTACGACGTAGCCAAAGACTTCGTGCAACGCCTCCTTGTGCGTATTCGGCGCTCACACGATTGTCACCTCCGCCCTAATTATACCACAGGTCCTGGACCCCGCGGACCGGCTCGGAGTTGAGCCCAAATCCTCGCCCTCTGAACTACGCGACCACCCATTATTCTCCGCGCAAGGCGCCGAAGAAGATCCCAGCACTCCCCCGATCTCCTGGGACACGCTCTGGACAGATCCCCCACCTCCTATCGAGACTGGAATCGCCGCACCCGCCCAGCCCCACGGCTCCGGGGACGAAGAGGACGTCTGGGAAAGCATGGTGCAAGAATTCAGTCTCGCGAACCTGCGCTCGCCTGGGCCCCTGGACGGCGACCCGCTCTCGACCATGGCCAACGGGCTACTCACGCCCTCGAGCACGTCGACGCCCGTCGATGTCCCCCCTGACGCGGTGTTGTCCGAGGTCGTGGAGACCGTGTCCGATTCCTCGGCCCCGGACGCAGACGCGGGCGTCGGGCCCTTGGCTGCGGAGTCCGAGGCGCCGGCGTCCGAAGAAGCCCCCGCCACGGACCCGGTGTTCAAAGACAGGGACTGGTGAGTGCTTCGCGCACGCTCCCGGGCGGGGAAACCTGAAACCTTATCTGACCTGTCAATCTTGTAGGTCCGCTGTGCTCGAGCCCGGCGAGACGCTCCGCAGGGTCGCGGGAGTGCGGACGCAGCTGCGCAAGGGACTGCTGAAGCAGGCGCGGCCGTGCGCGCTGTTGTTGACGTCGGGGCCGAGGGTGGTGTGCGTGTTGGTGGATGAGAAGGATGGGGCGGGACCGGCGAGGGCGGCTGATGTGAAGCGTTCGTTCGTGTTTTCGCGCGCTGGTGGCGAGGCCAGCGGTGCGGGCGCAAAGAAGGCGGACAAGAGCACAGTGATGGGGTGTCGCACAGTCGAGGCTGGCCATAAGCTCGTGCTGCATACGGTAAAGCATGGGCGCTTTCGACTACCAATCTCTGAGAGCAGGTTTAGCTGACCAGTTACACAGGTAGAGAAAGAATACACATACGACTTCGCCGATCAAGCAGTCCTAGATAGATGGGCACAAGACATCAGGTCCCTCGTTAACTCTTCTTAGAAGCATCTACTTCACAGTCGCAAAAAGCGTCACAAATGGGGAATTCATTCATGGACTTGTAACAGTAGAAGATCGGACCTTACTTTGTACCGCACTTGGCAGCACCCCGTCGAATAGAACATCTTGCTGCTCGCCATTTCACTCGTATCAAGTTAAAGTGAAATGCAAAGCCAACGAAAGCGGCTAATAGATATTAAGTCCTCAGTCAAGTTATGCTACGCTCTATCCCATGTCAATGAATCCGTAAAATGCGTGAGAGAGAGTCGGGGTCCATAAGGGTCTAAAGCACCCTCATCCGTGCTAGATGAGCGCGCCGTCGTCCATCCATTTCGTCGCTTACGAGGGGGGGCTGTAAAGAACACCGTCAGTGTCATGCTGGGCACGGTGGAAAGGAAGAACTTACACAGGGGCCACGGAGGTGACGGGTCCAGGGTCGGTGGGGAGCGTGGGGAAGGGGGTCTCCGCGCACGCCTGCTCAACATCGTCGATGCCGAGGCCCGCGGGGAAGTGCGCCGGGCTGGCGGGGGCAGGCGGCGTGGGCACGACCTCCGAGCAGTCGACGAGGTCGTTGATGTCGCTCCCGAGGATCGTCATCTTCTTGAACGCGGCCTTGAACGCGCTCTGGAGCTTCGCCTGGTTGTCGACGAACGACTGCCACTCGCACGCGGTGCGCGAGTCGCGCGCGAGGAGCCCGTCGGACTGCAGACGGAGCTCGCCCGCGAGCGGGGACTCGAGCTCGCCCTGGTTGCCCGAGGTGCCGGGGAAGGCGGTGCCCTTGAGCTGCGTCTCGATGAAGAACTGCGTGTCGAAGAGCTCGGGGGTGGAGTCGAACGGCGTGCCCGGGATCGTCGGGTCGACGTGGTCCGCCGCCGCGATGGTGTGCCTGTGGAGGACAATATCAGTGCCTGTGCGCTGACCATGCGGAGTGAGAGGCGCTTACGAGGCGAGGAGAGCGACGACCTCAGCAGCAGAGAAGCCACCGGCGTCGTCGAAGCGGGCGAGGATGCTGTCGACCGAGTCGAAGGGCTCGGGGACGGTGCCGTCGGGCGCGGGCTGGGTGGCGTCCTTGCGGCCGACGAAGACGTCGAGGCGGGGCGCACCAGGGCAGTTGCTAACACCGATAGCACCCGCGAACTGGATGCTGTAATCCCATGTCAGCCATTGTGGGAGAGTTGGAAAATCAGGACGGGAACACGTACAAGTCGGCGGTGGTCAGGTTGTGGGCGGCGATGAACGGCGCCTGGGCTTCGATGATGTCGTCGACACCGTTGTTCGCGTGGAAGTTAGGCTCGATGTCGTCGAAGATGGCGATGGAGCCGTCAGCACCTCCACCACCGAAAGAGCCGGTGGCGGCGATCTTGGGCGAGATGCCGATGGCGTCGTGGAAGGTGAGACGGAGGGACTCGTGCACCTCCTCGCCACACTCGCCGCCGTCGAAGAGGTTCTTCTGGATGTCCTCGAGGACGGGGAAGAGGGCACAGCACGCGGCGTTGGAAGCGGTGTTAACACCGTCCGGGCACGCCACACGGCGGGTGAGAGCACCTATGGGACAGATCCTGTCAGACCGTGGCCGTGGACTGGGGACGAGGGAAGGAAACGTACCGTTGGTCACCTGGAGGGCGGCGAGAAGAGAAACAAAGGAAGCAAGCATCTTGAAAGCCATGGTCTGCGAGTAGAGATGGCTCAGAAGAGCTGGATGAGAAGAAAGAAGAGAAGACGATGCTCTGAGGACTATGAGGCGTCGCCCGTACCCTCTTTATACCGCCCTCGCCTCTGCGCGATCCTACTTACCTCTCTGCGGTGCGCGCGCAGTGTCGTACAGCGATCTTTGCGCTGCGACCAATCACGTCGGAGGTATTTTGACAGCGTGAAAGACGGCAACCGGGCTTATGGGCAGAGAGAGCAAACCGTGGGTTTGGTGCATCGCTAGCACGCTGCTGAATAGCCAATGGGCGGGGATCGCGCGCCCAAACGACCGGACGGACACCCGGCAAGGGCTGTTCCTTGGACAGCTGCACAGCTGGTGTGCAGGGACCGACGGGGTTGCATGAGAAAGGCAAGAGGGCGGTGGGTGCGCGCAAAGCTCGGCACCCGGAGCCGAGTAGGTCCGCGTACGCAACCGGCACTGCGGACTGCGTTTCTGGGCGAGCACGACGGATGAGACGCATCCACGGGTGGAGTGAGAAACGCAACTATCACCATTTCGGGCGGGTAGCCCCTTGGATGAAACGAGGACAGGTACCGCCCCGATTGTTGGGTTGGCCCGGACCATGGGAACCTTGAGAAAGAGAGTGATCGGGCGTGAGAGCTCGACGAACTGGGTACGTATGCGTTCCCGCCCATAGCTGTGTGATGTGTCAGGACCGCAGAGATATGTGCTAGGAAGAATGATTGCGACTAGTTACCCGCTGCATAGAACCTGCGAGCGCGCCGTTTCAAGCGTCCCCCGCCCAAGATACTGGCAATGTCAACACTGCACCCGACGTCAAAGGGCTGGACGACCGGGAGAAGATTGCATCTTTTACGAGTAAGCTTTCGGTCACCTCCGACGGTGAATTGTGATGCTCGGTCGGAGCGCGCAGTCTTACCGACGGTCCGAGTCAGCTGCACGTCCTCGAGCACGTTGACCGACTGCGACCAATGTGAGATCGGGAATTGCTCAGCAGTAAGTGATCAGCGCGGAGGCATGATGGATAGACGGAAGGCATGCTGGCAAGACGGAATGTATGGATAGAAACAAACGCCAGAGATGGCCGAAAAGCAACACAACGAGGGTTATGCCAAGACAGGATGCCAGCGCGGCTATCGAAAGGGCGGCGGGAAAGATGAGGGGCCTGTGAACGACTTCGCCAGGAGGCTTGAACGCGCTGGATGTCCCGAGAGCCGGCGTGGGTCCCCATCGTTCTCTCGTCAGAACTCCGTCAAGATAGCGCCGTTGATCATGCAGGTGTGCTGTGCCTGCCCGGGGTTGAGGCGCATTCGACCAGCTGAGCACGAATGGTCCTGCACAGTGTGGTAAGAGCTGAAGCAAGACATTGCGGGGACTCCAATGTTTCCGTTCCACGTTGATCGCCGCGAAGAGGCGCCAAACAGCGCCACACAAGGCCTCCTTCGTGGCGTTCTGACATGCGGGCGCCTCTTCGTCCCTGCGGTCGACGCATCGCTGTTCGCAGTTCACTGAGCGCCAACACCGACCCAGAGTTTCAGCCAGTAGACATCCGTAGCTGCTGAATGATGACCTCCGAAGCCAACACCGTCGCTGCACCTGCCCAAATTATCGACGGTATATGTCCTAGAGATAGTCACGATCATAGTCATGATTTAACGGTCGGCGAAGACATCGGTGTGAGCAAGTTGGCCCGCAATACGGATACTTGGCTCGAGGACGGGAACATCGTACTGGTGGCCGGTACTCGGGCATTCAGGGTCTACAAAGGCCTGCTTGCAGCGGCACTGTGCAACATCTTGCTCCCGAAGACCTCCGACGGGTCATCAAAGGCTTCGGGACACTGCGGTTCGAATGCCATCGACTCCTAAAAGACCAATTCAATGTTCCAGCTGTAATTACCTGTACCACGCCAGCAATGTGTAACCTCATCCTGGAAAGAAATTTCCTGTGCCAGCTCGACGATAGATCGCCTTGGCCCCTCCACCCATAGCAGCAATACTTATCGCTCCCGGACCTATGCAAACAGTGCAGATACCAATTGACGGAGCACTCACGAGCGGAGCGGCGCAAGCTCTGGTGCAGACTGCCAGCCATATTTGACCTCTTGAACGAGCACGGGCTTGAGTGGGAGACAGCCTGAGCAGGCATGTTCCGAGCCTGCGTCAACCTTCACATTCTTTGCTGAACTCCTGATCAGAAGTAGGGCCAGACCGGGGTCATAAACCACCTAGTCGGTGTGTGCAGCGCAGTGAAGAAACGAAGACGTGCCTTGAAGACTCTGGAGCGTTAGTGCAGATCTCGGCGTAGATGTGATGGTGGTATATATGTGCTAGTATGGGACTTTCACCAGCGTTGTCGAAGCCCAACGCCGTAAGCCTGCCTGATTTGGGTATGCCGACATATGCCGCCTGTTTGTACGGCCCCACAGGTAAACAAAAGCTCTGAGGCAAGCGATCATAAAAACGGCCTATCGACTCTTTACCAGCTGTAGGACAAGGATGTAACCTGGTAAATGTAATACGCATCTCACTCAAGTACTCAAGTAATCAAGCTGTGGCGGGCCATGACTTTCACGGCGCCACTTGGGCAAGCAAAGCCAAACAACGCGTGAAATGAGCGCCTACGACCGCGTCGCGAGCGCGTCTGGCGCGTACTTTGCCTTCGTTCCCTCCTCCTGGCCTCCGTCCGATTGCATCCCACACACAACCACCCAAAATGCCTCCTCAGGCCTCATCGAAAGGAGAGAAGGACAAGATGAAGCAGAAGAGCCTCATGTCTTTCTTTGGCAAAACGCCGACCAAGGACGGTGACGCGAAGACGGCGGCTCCCCCCAAAGCCAAGACTGCTGCAACCCCGAAGGTAGAGAAAACCGCTGCGACGCCAAACTTGAAGGCGACTTCTGCAAAGGAGAAAGCACCAGATGCAGACGCGTCTTCCCCCGTTGTGACGGAGGCGCGGACGCCGCTGCCAAAGGGAAGCTCGCAGTCGTCGGGCATCGTGAGCGCGACGTATACGCGCAGCTCGGAGGGCAGCGCGCGGGATACCCCGCCCACGAGCGACCCTATAGACGTCGACATGATCGAGGACGAGGACGAGGACGAGTCGGGCGCGGTGCAGAGCAGCGCGGCGAGGCCGGTATGTCATGTGTTGCACGCGCGCTGCGGCAGACTCACAAGTTCCTGCGTAGACGGCTTCCCGGACGAAGCGGAAGATAGTCGTGGACGACGACGACGATGACCTTGCTTCAAGCGAACCGCTCGCATACAAGCGGGCTTCGGGCAGGTCGAAGAAGGCACGCATGTCTGCTGTATTCTCCGACGAAGAGGAGGAGGAAGAGGAGGATGCGCCAAGGCTCAATTCCTTCGCGAAACGTCTCACGAAGTACCAGAAGTCTCCCGCCAAGGGCAAATCTAGGAGTACGTGCTTCGAAAGATCAACGTTGCCTTATACTCACCGTGTACGGTTACTTTGACAGGACGGAAGACCGACGATGACGACGACTTCATTGTCCCAGACGACATCAACGAGGAGGACGAGGACGAGGACAACGACCGGGCGTCTTCGCGTGCTTCGTCGTCGTCACGCCCCTCGTCGCGTCTATCGGCGTATTCCCGTTCCTCCGGGGCGACCGACGCGGAGTCGGATGAAGAGGCACCCAAGACGAAGAAGAAAGCCGCTGCGCGCCCGCCTTTGCAAAAGGAGAGTAGCTCCATGGGTGGGAGCAACTTCCTCACCGCGGCGGAGCAGCGCGCGCTGAAGCAGAAGGACGAGAAAAAGAGCACGGAGGATCCGTTCAGCTTCCTGGTCGACGTACGCGACAAGGACGAAGTGCGCCCGGGCCAGCCCGGATACGACCCGCGGACCCTGTACATCCCACCGAGGGCGTGGACGAGCTTCACGCCTTTCGAGAAGCAGTTCTGGGAGATCAAGCAGAACCACTTCGACACGATCCTGTTCTTTCAGAAGGGCAAGTTCCTAGAGCTGTATGAGGAGGACGCGCGCGTTGGCCATCGCGAGTTTGACCTTAAACTGACACAGCGCGTCAAGATGAGCATGGTGGGTCCCGTTGCCGGAACACGGAGAGCTATTCGTTGATGCCTGTGTTAGGTCGGCGTTCCTGAGATGTCCTTCAACTTCTGGGCAGCCAAGTTTCTCGCTAAAGGTCTGCCTGTCTCAGACTAATTTGTGCGCGACGTTGGCTCACTTGTTGATGTAGGCTACAAAGTTGGACGTGTTGACCAGGCGGAGACAGCCCTCGGGGCAGAGATGCGTCTTGCTGCCGACAAGAAGAACAAGAAGGAACCGGCCAAGGACAAGGGAAAGGACAAGATCGTGCGGCGCGAGCTCAACAAGGTCTACACCAATGGCACGCTCGTCGACGAGGAGCTGCTCACAGACGAGCAAGCGGGCCACTGCGTCTCCATCCGCGAAGAGGAGGCGGTGGAGACCGACAAGGACGGCAAGCAGACTTTCGGGATTTGTGTGCTCGATAGCGCCACGAGCGAGTTCAACCTCAGCGCGTTCGAGGACGATATTTGTCGTACGAAGCTGGAGACGATGATGCGCCAGCTGCGCCCGAAGGAGATCATTTTTACTAAGGTGCGCATATATCCCCCTTTGTTGCGCATGTATGCTGAGCGTGATGACTAGGGAAATCTGTCGGTCTCGACTACGCGGCTGTTGAAGTCAATCCTGCCCGGGAACTGCTTGTGGACGAGTCTGCGCGAGAGCGAGGGATTCAAGTACAACGAGGCGATCAAGGAGCTGAAGAAGCTCTATCCTGCGGATGAGGACGACGACGAGATGGCTGACAACCCGCACGGCTTGACCAAGGCTGTACCCGAGCCCATCCGAAGGATGCTCCCGCACCAAGGAGCTATCCAGGCGCTGGGGTCGATGATCTGGTATTCCGCTCTCGCTCTCGTTCACTTGGGCGTGTGATACGAGACTCAGCCCCACTTGCCAGGTACCTGCATACACTCAACATCGACAAGGACATCTTGAGCATGAAGAACTTCAATGTATACGATCCCATGAAGCGTGGACAGGGCCTAGTCCTGGATGGTCAGACTCTCGCCCATGTTGAAGTGAGGCGGCTTTCGAAATGTGGTCTACGAGCAGGAATTCAATGTCTAACGCATGCTGTAGGTCCTACAAAACAACGAGGGGACTGAGGAGGGCACCCTGCTCAAGTTGCTTGGGCGATGCATCACTCCCTCAGGTATGCCGCCGCGTTGGGTACGTCTCCGCACTGCGAACTGACTTGCGATATGCAGGCAAACGTCTGTTCCGTATATGGTTGTGTATGCCTCTTCGCGAGGTAAAGGACATCAATGCGAGGTGCGCGCTGTCTCGAACACCACTAGCAAGTATTCGGGCTCACCTGGTGCAGGCTTGACGCGGTGCAAGACCTGCTCGAACACCCCACGTTCGAGAAGGACTTCACGGCAATCGCAAAGGGCCTTCCGGATTTGGAGCGCATCGTCTCCCGTATCCACGCGAAGAACTGCAAGGTCAAGGACTTCATCAAGGTCCTCGGCGTGAGTCCTCAAAGCGCCTTCAATATAAATCCGTTCGCTGATACTGTGATGCAGGCGTTCAGGAGCCTCAGCAAGGGCCTATCTGCTTTGGCCGAGACTGCGGACTCCTTCGACTCTAAGAGCATCCCCGGACTGCTGCGCACGGCGCCGGACCTCACCCCGAACCTGAAGCACATTCAGGCGATGTTCAAGCCCCCGGAGAGTGGTCAGTATTATTTGTCTCTTATATGGGCCAGAGATGCTGAGGAGACTGTAGGGAGCGACGAGCTTTGTCCGGAAGACGGCAAGGATGAGGTGTATGACGGCATCATGGAGGAGATCAACGAGCTAGAGAATGAGCTCAAGAGCGAATTGAAGAAGCTCCGCAAGCAGACTGGGTACGTGTTTCTCCTCCGGAGGTGTAGATGTACGATATTGACTTTGCGCTCGCTATGTCAGGTTGGACCTCACTTACTGGCACAGCGCCCAAGGCACCAAGGTAAGGCGCTGTCATCGGCCAGAACACGACAGTTGTTCTTACCCGCTGCATCTCAGGAAATATACCTCGTCCAGACTCAAGGCAAGGAGAGGGATAAGGCACCTAAGGGATGGACACTGAGCGGGTCTACGAAGGTGATGCCCGCATATAGTCATTACCTCGTCCTTAGGCTAACATCCAAAACTACCCGTCGAACAGGCCGCGAAGCGCTTCATCGTCCCCGCCTTGCAGACCACGATCCGGAAGGTCAAGGAAGCCCGGGAAAACCGCAACACCGCCATCAAGGAGTTCAAGAACCGGCTGTATGCCGAGTTCGACTTGGACCGCAGCGTATGGCTGCGCGCCATCCGGGTGCTCGCCGAGCTAGACTGTCTGTTCAGCTTAGCCAAGGCATCGAGTGCGCTTGGGGAGCCTGCGTGCAGACCTGAGCTCGTGGAGGGCGACGAGGCGTTCATCGAGTTTGAGGACTTAAGGCACCCGGCGTTGTGTGCGAGTGGGTCGTTGAAGGGCGACTTTATCCCGAACAATGTGAAGCTGGGTGGCGAGGTCGGTAAGATCGCGTTGTTGACTGGTACGTCAAAACATCGATAATGATGTGGACGGGAGGCTGATCATTGTGTTTCAGGTCCTAACATGGGGTAAGTGGGCTCAGATAGTCACGGGGTATGTTATTGATGTCGGTATCACCGTACTTTTCAGAGGTAAATCAACAGTAAGTGTCCCTCTTTCAAATAAGCGAACATTTGGCTGAGACGGATATAGGCCATGCGTATGACTGCTGCAGGCATTGTATGTGGAAATCTGGTGCGGAAACCCATGACGTACTGACCTACGGTTGCAGATCATGGCGCAACTTGGTATGCTTGTACCAGCCGCGAAAGCTCGGTAAGTTGACTCGCGTGTCGTCGGTAGCAATTATGCTGAACGCTGCACTCACAGTCTCTGCCCGGTGGACTCTATCCTTACCCGCATGGGTGCCTACGACAACATGTTCTCGAACGCCAGTACGTTCAAGGTTGAGCTCGACGAATGGTGCGTGTACTCGTCGCACCTGTGTAAGCCAGTCATTCACGTTCGGACAGCTGTAAGATCCTGCGCGACGCAACACCGAAGTCGTTCGTGATTCTCGATGGTGAGTCACATTCCGTGTATTTAGTTCGATGTGCTAACATTGCTTCAGAATTGGGCCGCGGGACCTCTACATACGTATGTTTTATCTACTCTCGCGCGGGGGCACCGATGCTCACCCAGCGTAGGACGGTATGGCCATCGCGGCTGCGGTGCTCCACGAACTGGCGACGCACACGCTGTCGCTGTCATTTTTCGCAACCCACTACGGGTCGCTGACGGACGACTTCGCGTACCACCCCAACATTCGCAACATGCACATGCAAACGCTCGTCGACGACGAAAAGCGCGAGGTACGCCCCCTCTTCTTTCCCCCCTCTCGTACACACGCTCACCCACATCCGCAGCTCGTTTTCCTTTACAAGCTCGTCGAGGGCGTCGCGAGCTCCTCCTTCGGCACGCACGTCGCGAACCTCGCCGGGGTGCCCCTCGCGGTCGTCGAGCGCGCAGAGGTCGTCTCCAGGGACTTTGCGAAGCACTTCCAGGAGAAGGTCGAGGGCAAGAAGAACAAGGCGGCCGGCCGCCTGCCTATCGTCGCGCAGGCGGACTTTGCGTACCTGTACAAGCTCGCGACGGGCGCGCTCGAGATGCCGGCGGACAGGGTCCGAAGGCGGGAGGTGCTCAGGATGCTCAAGGGCGCGGTGAAAGGCTGTCTGCAGGAGTGCGCCGCTTGAGCTTGAGGACTGAAAGGCGTGAGTTGTCGTGTGTTGTGTCGGTGGCTGGATTGCTCTCGGATACTTGCTCTGCTATAATCGCTTTGTGTATAGTTCATGTAATGCTTCGATACGTGCTTCAATCGCTTTCTTCGCTGCTACCAAAGCGTTGGGGCCCGCAGATGAGGAGTACTATGCAGTGCTTGTGTTCTGCTTTTCGTGATTGGCTAACCACACATGTTCCCATTCAACTTATAGCGACTCAAGAATCAATCAGCTCTGAAGATCCGACAACTAGACACGAAGAAGCAGAAGATGATACGACGACAACGTTGTATACCAGAGAGGCGCGCGGAACGCATATGGAACGCAGGGACGGGGAACCCGGGTATGCTTTGTCCAGCTATGATTAAGAAGGCACGAATCACACCTCCTCCTCGCCATCGAACCTCCTCGTGACGATGAATTCGAGGCCCTGTCCGCCCGGAACCTTGGCAGTCACGACGTGTGAGCAACTTGTGTCTCCGAGTCGCGAATCGGAGTGCTGCTTGGAACGGTGGCTACGCCCGCCAGAGGTCAGCAAATGGCAGCTTCTGCAACGTCGAGCGGACGGTCGGCACTCACAACCTCAAGTACGCCTCAAGGGCCTCTTGTGCAGCTTGGCATCGCTGGTCGCAAGACGCCTTCCAGGACTGTTCACTTGCCGGTCGGAATCTGAATTCCACCTGCTTGAGCTGCACCGACGCAGGCGAGTCGCGGAGTTGGGGGTGGACCTCGATGTGTCGGAGAACCTCTTCCTTCCAGAGGTTCCACATCGGTGTGTTGAATGGAATGAGGTCGTCCAAGACGTGAGAGAGCACGTCCGTGTAGTCCTTCGTAAACGGGACCAACAACAACACTGCCAAGACGACACGCGCGGGATGTCCGCCCTTCAGCGGCGGGAGTTGTTTCATGACGTCTGATATTGGGACCCGTAGCCGCCGCCTTTCCGCGTCGGCCTGGATCCCTGGAACAGATCGGGGCCCAATATCGAGGACCTCCTGAATAAGGAGTCGACGAAGAAGAACCTCGAGGCCGGGCGACATGAGGTAGGTGTTATATATCCACGAGACGACCAGCGATCCGAGAAAGAGGAGCTGGCCGTAGAGCTCTCCCTGTGGGATCACCAGCAGCTGCACGAGAAACTGGAGGGAGAGAACCGCGCTGCAGATGCCAACGTTGTAATAGCGGGACGACTCGTAATTGAGGACAAAGCGACCCCTGGTGATTGCACGCAGCGCTAGCTTGGGACCCGTCACGACCACCAAGTCGTCCTCGTGGTGGAGGACCCCCGCGCGTTCGTTTTCGGGCCCGCGCTGGTCTTTGATCTTGTCTATGGGCCCGGGGTTGCAGAACTCCAGCCTATCGCGCCCGCCCAACACGAGGTGCGCGATACCGTTGGTGACCATGCCGAGGACGATCATGGAGAAGCAGGGCCAGTCACCAATCAGGCCACACCCTACGGCGGCAGCGAGCGAGAAGAACATGGTTCCGAAGGCGGCAATCAGCATCGCAGGAGGTTGAGAAAGTGGCGTTACTTTCATAGTAGTACTCGTCATGAGGAATGTGTCCGGTAGCTCGACCATAGTCACCGCCGCGGGACGTTCCGCTGTGGAGCGGCTACCCCTGGTATTCTTGTTGTCTTCGCCCTTGGAGCAGCACTGGCAGCGTTGGCAGGCAGAAGTGCCGTCGGCTTTCTGGCGGGTAGAGTCGTTCTTGGCAAGATCTCTGCATTGCTTCAAGAATAGTCGCGCAACGTAGGAGGCATTGCGGTTATCCGCCGCCCCGTAAGCGTAGGAGTATCTCATGGATTTCTCCTCCCTGTTGAGCTTGAACAACGTAGCAGGATCGAGGTTGGGCCCAGGGTAGAGAGCGTCCCACAAGCGGGACACCGCCAGCTGGCCATATCTTCTGGCGACCTCGTAGGTGCCGGGCTGGTTGTACCATCCCATCCAGCGACGCCCGGAATAGATATGGATTGTGTTCATAGCGGCGACGGAGGCATCCCCTCCGAAAAAGCCAGCAATGCCAGAGATGTCGAGAGTAAAGGACGTCGGAGGGGGCGGAATATTAGCATGACCGAGGTGGCTGTGTGCGCGGGCATACCATTAGGACAAGACAGCAATAAGAGCGATGTCAAGAATTACGACGTACCCGCGAAAGTTGGTGAGTAGAGGCATAGTACGGGGTGGGAAATCTGTGGGCGACGGTGAAGTAGGGGTGACGGCGGGGTGGTACGAAAATTCGACCGTCTTATAGCGAGGTCTGAGGTCTGCATTTGGCCTACAGAATGCACTTCAGTGAGCCAAACCGTGCCGAATTACGCGGAAGACTTTGACAGTACCACGACATAAACTTTGATGACCTGGTCCACCTCAGTCCACCCTGAACGTCGGGAATATGACAGCTAGAATGTGGTGCATTCATGGGTCCGGCGTTCGGGTTCTTCAAGTTGCGAACAGTTGAGGCTCCCTGCACAAAGGCGCGAGGCGGTTAAGAGCGCTAGCCGATGGCGAAGGGTATGTGATGAAGTGTATGAAGTGGGAGCTCACTTCGATAACATTGGGCGCCTCCGCCGGCGTCGGGGTGACAACTTGGGAACGGAACGTGAGCGCGTGAGCGGGACGCTGGGATGAATCAATATACCAACCCCACCCACCCCTCCCGCCACTACCGCGGCTTCTTTGAGAACTAGAATATGGTGGCAGCGTTTCAGGCGTTGGCGCGCGGAGTGTTGACGTACTGAGAGATGCCTTCTAAACCCGCCTGATGCGAATAACGCGCAAATAAGTAGATTGGTGGGTAGAAGCTGTCAAACGGAATCACCTGCGACGCACAGGCAAGGCTTGGCGCATCAGCCTTCAGGTGGTTCCTTGAGTATATGGGGTCTAGCAACGACTTACACCGTACTTCCCTTGAGGTTTGATCAGAGGAGCACTGCGCCATTGGTCCTGTCGTGACGTACCAGTTCCACCTGTTGACGAACAGAGATCCCGGTATAGCGCAGCGAAACGCACCAAGCTCTCTCTTCTCTGGGCCACGGCCGCGGCGAGATCAGAGAGGCCTTCCCGGGCGATCCCATTGTCAGCACTACACGGTGATTCACCCGGTACTTCTCTTGGACCCTAAGGCTAGGGAGCATCGGCCCCGTCTCCACCCCTTCACGAACAGACATCCGCACTGTTGGAGCAAACTGGAAATCCGGTCGTAGAAGGTGAAAAAGAGGGTGTTCTGGTTGTCCTGTACGGTAGCGTCGTAGTACAGAGGCAACCAGATAGCGTACGAAATGGGACCCGGTGTGCTACTCTGTGCTACTGAACGCTTCGGCAAGCGCCGGCGAGCAGGCGCTCGCTCGCTCAAATCCAAAAACTTTGCTCGGGTTTTAAACTTCCGCGAACATACTCCCTCCTGTGCGCCGTCGCATCGCAGCAAGTGTTCGTACGCCGGAGAGTGCACCGCTTTGGTTGATATACCCGTCGTGGGTGTCTTGACATGCCGACCTCAGCTCGCTGTATTCCCCGGGGGATGGCTGTGCGATATATCGCGACGAAAGGCCCATTATATACACCAATAAGACTAAGGTGCATGAGCACAAGTTCTACTTACGCAGGAGCATCAAGCGGGATGAACTGGATAGGCCCCGACGCCCAGCTGTCGAGGAAGCGCATCTCCGGCTTCACGCCATTCCACCACTCCTTCGCCTTCAGCAAGTGGCGGTCCTGCTGGCGTACCTGTCGCCGCAGGCGATGAGCTACACGCGCACACATACTTGACCAAGAGACTCACCATCGGTACACTGAGGTACGTCTCGCCGGCACAACGGACGACGAGCGCTTTGCTGGGCGGGTGGAAGATCGCGCAGCCTGCCTCGGGTAGACGGTCGTTGAGTTCTTCGGGGATGGAGGGCAGGACGGAGGGTTCGTGTAGCTGGAGTGTGCGTCCGGTCTTGAGTAGGGTCGTCATGGGTTTCTGGACGGCGATTCAGTATGTCATAGACGAGGATGTGGACGGCCAACGTACTTGGTGCGAGATTGCACGGTGGCGCCGCTCGATGTTGTCTGCGGTCATCACCCTGAAGTCGACTGCGGAGTCTTGCATGGTGATGAGCGGCGCGCGCGGCGCATTGGGATCTGTTGGTTGGGGAGTGCGGGTGTCCTTTTAGGCGTAACTTTCAGCGTTCGCGAGCTGCAGCGCGCAGTTGGGAGACTGACCTTGCCAGCGAGCATGTCTCGCAGAGTCGAAACAAGTAGATTGCCGCCCGCAACGGCTAGCGAGTCCAGGAGAGTCGGAAAAATTGCGCCGTTCGGGAGTTCCTGAAAGCGTACTGTCAATGGTGGGGAGCTAGTGCGAGCAAGGACAAACTGACCATTCTCTCGCAGCCCCAAATCGCACCGGAGTCGATGCCCTTCTTGCGCTCGGTCATCTCAATAACGCATACGCCCGTTTCGCGTTCGCCGTTCATAAGGGCATACTGTATGGGTGAAGCGCCGCGGTAGGCTGGGAGGAGCGAGGGGTGGACGTTCACTCGTCGGGATGGGAGGAAGTTGTTGAGAAGCGAGTTGGGGAGGATGCGCCCGAATGAGGCGGTGACGAGTAGATGATCAGAGGGAAGCGTGTGCGAGGACCCTGCTGCTGCCTCATCTAGCAGAAAAGGCGGCGGAACCTGAATGCAACTGGGAGTTAATCCGGTAAATGGGCCAGCTGTGTGCGCTGGACGCTGACCTTGAAGTGCTTGAATTCAGATCGTTCATGCGGAATTGTATGCACCGGTAGCCGTGCGTCTTCCGCAAGTAGCTTGAGGGGTGCTGTTTGTGTTAGCTCAGCATATTTGTGGCACCAAAGCAGCGTATCTGTTGCTCACATATTGAGAGTTTGGAGCCACGTCTACCGGTCTTCGTGTCCGGTTGTGTTACGACCTGGATTTCCTGCCAGACATCTGGGGTTTAAGTTATGATTAAAGATCGATAGTAACAGTAAAGTAAAAGATGACAACCTTTTGCTTCCAGCACTTGGCGCAATACCCCACAAGAGAACTCGTCGCGTCCAAAGAAAAGGATCTTGAGTGCGTCATGCTTCGTCGAGAATGAGCGACCCCCAGCGGCGACTGATACAAATCTATGCCTTCGGCGTACGAGAACCAGCCTTGCAGCCTGAGGGATATACATGGTCCCGCTGTACCGTCAGCGGTCTCGAACTTGGAGACACGAGCCAAATCGGGCTGCGACCAGTGGCAGCGGCAGGAGTCGAAACCTTAAGTTGGGCGCTAGAGCCATTCTGCCACGTGGGCGATCGGGCAAATAACACATGCGAATCCAGAATCCGGGGAACATGGACGCAACCGAGCGACAGGGACCTCCAGTCTCCGGGGTATGCGCTAAACCGGGCACGGGAAGAGCGGTCTCCCTTGCCTTCCAACCTCATCTCGCAACCCCACAGACTCCCAGAACTCACGAAGATGCCTCTCGAAACTAAGCTCACGAAACTCCTCGGGATCAGGATGTGAGTGCGGCTTTCTTTGACCGGACTTGAAGACGACCCGAGTTCATCGAAGTCGTGCTTGTCTAGACCCGTCGTCCAGGGTGGCATGCAATGGCGAGTGACACTGCTCAGACAGATATGGGCCTACAAGTCTGACTATGGCGCAGGGTTGGCGTGCCACGCCTTGCAGCTGCCGTCTCGAACGCTGGTGGACTAGGTACGTGCCGAGAACGTTCAACTTGATGCGACTACGAAGCAGGAAACGGCACGGGTTGGGTCGGCTGAGTCTGGGTGCAGCTACGGCCCCGTTATAGCGCAACGTGCGATTTCTGGTGTCCAGGCACATGGGGTGATAGGGTTCCCACCGAAAGTCAAACGCGTCGAAGTGTATATTCTAGCGCTGGGGCCTCAGCCGGTTCAGCCATACGCCTTTTCTCCCGTGAATGGCTGGGCATTAAGTAGCCTAATAACTTGCTGCTTTCGCTTAGCTCAGCGTTGCCTGTATTCCAATTTCGGTGCACGCTTCCCGTGGCCTTCAATCTCCCGACTTTGTACACATGAATATTCATCGCTGACCAGCACCACGCAGGTGTTCTCACCGCGCTCACCCAGCCTTCGCCGGAGGCTCTGCGGCTGGCGATTCGTGAGACTTACAAGCTTACGAAATTCCCCTTCGGCGTGAACATCACGCTCTTGCCGAGCATCAACCCTCCGGACTACGAGGGGTACGCGCGCGCCGCCTACGAGGAGGGCGTCCGGATTTTCGAAACCGCTGGGAACAACCGTATGTATACAGCCCCTCAGACCGCTCCAGATGCGTGCATGATTACTGACGACATGTCGGAAGCCGGCCCGCTAATCAGGTTCTTCAAGTCCAACAAGTGCATTGTCATCCACAAATGTACAACAATCAGGCATGCGAAGGTGTGTCCAGCGGTACGTCATATCCCGGTGTGGACCTACTCACGGAGCGCGGGACAGTCTGCGGAGCGTCTTGGAGTGGACTGCCTGAGCATTGACGGATTTGAATGTATGACTCCCTCTCATCTGCATACCCTCCCCGGTTAACTTGAACCGCTCTATAGGCGCCGGCCATCCCGGCGAAGAGGACATCGGCGGCATAGTCTTGGTAACCCGCATCTCCCTATCCAGATATCGACCCGCGCTGATCACAGCCGTCACATCCAGTTGGCACGGGCAGCACAGGAGCTGAAGGTGCCGTATATCGCCTCCGGCGGATTCGGGGACGGGCGCGGGCTGGCGGCCGCGCTCGCGCTGGGTGCATGTGTGCGTCGCGCTTCCTCTCCGTTTCATTTAGACATAAGTCGCTGACAATGGGCGATGTGCGTGCAGGGCGTGAACATGGGTTAGTCTTCCTCCCACCGGTCCGACGCGCCTGCTCCGGCGGTACTGACATGGCACTCCCAGGCACGCGGTTCATGTGCACAGTTGAGAGGTCCGTAACTGCCATACAGCCTGCACTCTGCTCTGCTAGTGCTGACAGCTGCGCGCGCAGCCCGATCCACGAGAAGATCAAGGAGACGATCGTCGCGTCCACCGAGGCGAACACGACGCACATCTTCCGCACGCTGCGCAACACGTCGCGCGTGTACAAGAACGCGGTCGCCGAGCAGGTCGTCGCGCTCGAGCGCCGCCCGGGCGGCGCCAAGTTCGAGGACATCCGCGACCTCGTCTCGGGGCAGCGCGGGCGCCTCGTGTACGAGACGGGCGACCCTGAGTACGGGGTGTGGACGGCGGGGCTCGTGATGGGCTTGATTCGGGACGTGCCGACGTGCGAGGTGTTGTTGGAGAGGATTGAGAGGGAGGCGGAGGAGGTTGTGGATGGGTTGGTGGCGATTCGGGTGGGGGCGAAGGCGAAGCTGTGAGCCGCCGATGGTGTGTGCCCGTCTTGGGATGGTGACTCGGTGTTGTTTCGCACATGCTCTCAATGTGGATGGATATCCGAACGCTCGACCGGATATCTCTTGTCAGACACCCAAGTCGGCGAACAATCGTGCAAGTCAACCCTCCGTCGTACATGAATTCCGCTCGGTTGAGCATAAGCACCGAGCCACCAGTGCACACGGACCCAGACATATCCCGTACACCTCCGCGCGGCCTCCATTCCACACCCCACCGCCAATTGCGGACTGGCACCCGTGTAAGGTTCAAGTTTCGCAGGGAAGTGGGAAGCAGGAAGCCGGCGGGATTTACGTGCGCGCCGCTCCGAAGATGCGATCGGTCGGTGGGCGTCCAGGAAGCCCCCCTGGCCAGAGCCCATTAAGATTAAGACTTAAGAGGGATGATGACTCTGACGTCTGGATTGGCCGGATTTCCCACTGCTTCTCGATGCAGGGTCGGCGGATCTGGAGATATGGAGTCAACATGCTAACCTGACGAGGCAGAAGGGGCAAACTGCGCCGTCACTACGAGGTGTACGTCTGTTCGTCGAGGCGACCATCATGTTGTCCTTGGATATCATGATATCCCGGTCTCCCCATGCATAGCGCTATGATATCGCAGCAGGACATGGAGGCAGAGGCCACGGCGACATGTGCTCGGCGTTCTTTCATATTTCCTTTTCTGCTTGTGGAGTACCAGAGGCAAACAGACCATAAGCAGCGGACAATAGGCTCATCACACATCCCGCGCGGCCACACGTCGCAAACATGTCGGAAGTCCCCCAACACTGATGTGTGGCACAGCGTAGCTTCATACGTCAGGAGTCAGGACTTGATCAGGATTCGTTTGAAACAGTCATTGGATTCAGCTACATGCGCCGCTTGCGCGGCACAGCGAGAGGGGTACTACAGTAGGGATACAACCGAGACCTAATACCCGATCCGGAATCTTAAGCGTAAGCGTATAGAGTGTGTGCATATGGACAGAAGGGGAGAACAAAGACAGCGCGTGCAGAGCGAGCGGACTCGAGAGCAGGGGGCGGTGGTGGATACAAGATGAGATAGATGGGGAGAGATGGGGAGATGTGGTATGGAGACAGAGACAAGCGGGTATGTACGTATACGTATACAGTGCGAGCTGGGCGCGGGCGAGCGTCCAGCTATTCGTGCGTGCGTGCGGCGTTCGTCTATCGTGCAATGTCCGAGACCGGGGTCGAGAGCCATAGAAGAGGGGGAGGGAGACCGAGGGGGGGTGTCGCGGAGATTGGATGAGGGAGGCTCAGAGTGTGCGAGGCTTCGCGCTGGGGGTAGGTGGCGGCGTGAGCGTCGACGCCGCAGTCGGCTGGGCAAGCGTCGGCAGCGGGTCGCCGGGGTTTCGGGGAGTGATGCGGTACGGGTGAAGGCTCGCCGGGAACTCCCTCCGGACCTGCTCGTAGTGGAGGTACTTCGCAGAGGTCCCAAACAAAAACTGGGGCTGGTCGAGGTTGAGCCCGCGGCCCTTGGCGAAGGCGAAGTGCCGCGTGAGGCTGGGGTCGGCGGCAATGGCCTCGGGCTTGAGCGGGAGCGCGAGGATAAGGTCCGCGCCGTCGAAGCGATCGGCCAGCACGATGCGGTGCCGGGTCGGATTGAAGTACGGGTGGTGGCGCTTGACGAGCTTCAGGACTTTGGGGGAGCGAACGTGGAGCGTGCTGCCTGAGGAGGAAGAGGAGGAGGCGGTCGTGCAGGAGGAGGTCGCGGAGAATTCGGAGGACTCGGAAGAGTCTGAGGACTCGGAGGAGACGGAACTGATGCGCTGACGGCCCCCCGAACAACGGGTGAAATCAAGAGGGATGGGTGCCTAGCGTACGAGGTGAGTGAAGGTCTGGTGAGGACGGTGAGGTGAACGTACGAGGAGGTCATTAGCATTATTAGCGTTAGAGGTCTTGCTGTCCGAGGACTGTGTAGCGTGGGCGTGGGCGTGCATTCTGGGCCGGCGTGAGTGGATGTCGGGGAGACAGAGCGATGCAAGCGAAGGGAGAGTCGGGCGTTCGGCGGAAGTGTGGATGTCGAGGGCCGGGAGGGAGAGGCGGAGCATGTTATATATGTAGCGTGGGGGAGGTGTAACGTGATGCAGGCGGTGGAGGTCTTGGTATGTATGTCGAGATGATTGTGTGAAAAAGCAAGATGGGTCCACCGGGGTACCGATCAAAGGGGCCTGCCTTGATATGTCTAAGCTGGGGTATACGCGGGTGTCGGAGGAGAAGAACACGAGAAAGGAAAGGCGGTGAGGAGACGGGGAGACCCCAAGGCCGAATTGTCAGACCTTTATAGCAGGTAGCGCTAACGGCTCGACCAGCATGATGGATACGCCGACATTGTCGTCCGCGCACGCGACGCTCAATAGGCCTCTTGACAGGCGAAGACATGCGGGTCCGATTCCCTTTGTCTGCGTCTGCGACGGTGTAGGCGGTAAGAATCGCACTCGGTTGAACAATTAGAGGCACTCACGAGCGCTATATTTGCGCGTATTTGGCGACGGTAAGCATTTCGCCTACAATGAAAGCCGCTCTCGCGACTAGTACTGTGCTGCGTTACATGTACGATTTCCAGCGTGGCAAGATATGCTTAGTGTGGTCGACGACGTGGGTGAGTGGGTGTGCAGAAGAAAGCAGAGCGGGTACGAATATCGCGAGCCGCACACATATTTTAGACGCCGTCAAATAATTCCCACGACGGGCGTCTGCCACATGAGTTGCCGAAATCCTTTTGTCCCTGCTGCCACTCTGCTGCCTGTCCCTCCCCTTCCCTCTCATGGCAGAATCAATTCCCAAAATCCAGATTGTGCGCCGCCATTGTGCTAGGCGAGAGCAGAGGAACTGACCGAGATGTGCAGCTGAAAGGTGCAGAGCCTGACTTGTCCGCTGCGACATACCAAATTCACGATGAGTCCCATACGATCGGGAACGCTCTGCGGTGGATGCTCATGAAGAAGTGCGTCCTCTTTCTTGTGCTCATGAAGTACCCAAGCTGACAGCTGGCTATTGTTACAAGTGAGAAGGTGGAATTCTGTGGATACAGGTTAGTCATTGCTCTAGTTCCTACCCTCCCATTCCTACCTGTCAGCGCGGACGCCCCTGGAACCATTACCATGGCAAATGTTTGTCCAGTTCATTCCCTCCGAGGTGCCTGGAATGCCCGGCTGTTATGGCTTGGCTCGGGAGCCTTTTTGTTCCTCGGGTGAGGTCGAAATAACCGACCCGTTAATTGTTTGGGCTTTCCACTAACGCCTACCTCCTCCACTTGCTCCTCTTACTCCCATGCCTCTCCTCACGCAAACGCCAACCTTGCTGCTGGTCGTCCGACTCATGTACTGACGTCTACACAGCGTTCCTCATCCCTCAGAAAACCACATCAACATGCGGATCCAGATGTACGGTACGTGTATACATCCTCCATGTCCGAACTCCCCTCCTTATCCCTCCCGCACCGCCAGACGGCCTGTCGTCATTGACGGCGCTGATACAAGCCCTCAAAGACCTCGACGAGCTTTGCGTGACCATCGACGGGGAGTACGCGAAGAGCCTCGAGGGCGGCCAGTTCGAGCGCTGGGACGAAAAGAGCTGAGTGGGGCTCGCGGTGTGGGTCGCGGTTTGTACGCTTTCGTTGCTGTATCATTATGTTGTTCTAGGTCTCTCCGTTGCGCTTATAGAGCTGCGTCTTTCTCATCCAGCGTGTGTCTACGGCAAGCGAAAAGTACCCACCGATATCTGATCCCAAATCCCTTTCTACTTCTTTCCCAAGGATTCTCTATATGCTGCAGTGTATAATGCACATCCCGTACGATTTGCCTAAGCACGTTGGTAGTACATTCAGAGCGAGCTGATCGTCAACTCGAAGATCTACCTCCGTGGCCCACAGGTGTTGTGCACTCACAGGAGACGGACAGCAGCTTCCCCTCGCACCTCCAGTAAATCTGCGGGCCGAGAAGGTCCCCGGGATCCATCTCATGAATTTACGGGCATCACCTTCTGCATACACGCCAGTACTGCTATCAATCTGTCATCCAGGCTACCCAGATGAACGTGCCAGAGTGAGTCGCCACTCACATCATCTCCCTGTCACTGACGACATGATCTTCGAGAAGCTAGTACTAGCTCTGCCATCCGCACGATTCCGTGCGTGATCCTAAGCCGGACTTGCCTGACAGCTCACAGGTGCTACCCTCGGCTGCCGACGTCAACGTACCACGCTGGCCCGCCAAAGTGGGCTTCCGATAGTGAACTCACGGCCCTTCGCGCGCATCTGAGGCATGTGCATGGGTGCCATCGTGCGTCCGCCGAGACCTATCGCGCGCATGTGCAGATGTCGAAGGATGGGGCTTCAGGAAGGCTCGAGTTGTCGGTCTCCTATGGGTACAGATGCCGACCGATGCTTATAAGAGTCGCTGATAGCATGACAGCCCGTCCGAGCCTAACCTCCACCACAGCTGCCTAGGATGAAGCGCTCCACCGCTGCTCTGCTCACCCTCGCCATATCGGTCGCTACCGCGTCCCCCATCTTGGAAAAGCGGGCCAACCCCAAGGGCATCGACGTCTCGCACTTCCAGGGCACGGTGAACTTCAACACCGTCAAGGCCAACGGCCTGGCCTTCGCGTACATCAAAGCCACCGAGGGCACCAGTGAGTCCTCTTTGACTATTTCGCATTGCCAAGTCGCAGGGTACTCACCAACCATGCGCAGCGTTCGAAGACCCGGACTTCTCAGCCCACTATGACAGCGCCACCACCGCAGGGCTCATCCGCGGCGGGTACCACTTCGCGCACCCTGACGAGTCCTCCGGGGCCACTCAGGCCAAGTTCTTCCTCGCTCACGGCGGTCAGTCATAACCCTTCCAAAACCCGCTCAAAACCCGCTTGCTCACTGTCGGAACAGGCGGGTGGTCTAAGGACGGCATCACTCTGCCGGGTGCCCTCGATATCGAATGTACGCCTCGTGATATTTTCTACGTAAACCTGCAGCGGTCAATCGTTCACAGATAACCCTAGCGGTGCGGAGTGCTACGGCCTGAGCGCGGCCTCCATGGTCGCCTGGGTCAAGGACTTCTCCGACACCTACCACGCTTCCACCGGAGTGTACGTCGTCGGTCCTCCGCACTCGACCTGCACGTTCACTGATACTTTCCGTCTTGCAGTTTCCCCGGTCAGTGGCCTAATCCCTATCCGAAAACTATAGACCAGCTGGCAGGCTGATGCATCCGCTGATATGGCAGTGATATACACGACGACGGACTGGTGGGCGACGTGCACGGGCAACAGCGCCGCGTTCGCGTCGACGAACCCGCTCTGGATCGCGCGCTACGCGTCCACTATCGGCACGCTCCCTGCAGGCTGGTCGTGAGTAACCCCACACCCTCTACTTAGTGTGTTAGGTTGATGGGCTGATGGGTCGGCAGATTTGCGACGTTCTGGCAGTACGCGGACTCGGGCCCGAACCCGGGTGACCAGGATGAGTTTAACGGGTCGTTGCAGGGGCTGAAGAAGTGAGTGGTTTCCGTTTGCTATCGCGGATGGATCTTCCGGAAAGCTTATGATGATTGTGATCTGTAGCATCGCTCTGGGATGAATGACTCAGTGAGCGGAACAATGGAAGTCGACGAGGCAAATAAAGATTCAGTGCCTCAATTGTACTGTATTTGATGTAAGCAGGGGAATGTGGCCGTAAATCTCGATGCATAACTGTACACTTCGCTTGGGTCGAGTGCCTGTAGTTGACATGTGCGACGATGCTACCATGAACCGCGGGATCTTTTCGCGGCAGTAATGCACGGAACACAACAATTCGCAGCACACGAGAAGTACATATGCTATAAGCCTACTGTATAATCTCCGTATATACGGCACTCGTTAAATCGCGCATGACCTTCACACCCTCCCCCATTGTTACCCGTTACCAAGGCATGGAGCGGAATCCCCCATGACCAGAGGACAACGACGCCCCCGTTGTCAGCTACCGACCAGCGTCAGCACCACAAATCCGACATTGAACAATAGGCACTTACCGCCGTGTGTATCTGTTTGTGCACCAAGCAGAGGTCTACGGGAACGAATCAGCATACCGGGACGCGCATATACGGAGGGCACCACTCACAGTCAAGATACGACATCGCCGCATTGTTCTGGTCCTCGACGAGCATGTCGCTGAACTCGAGCTCCGCGCCGTCGAGGTTCTGCCGCACGAGCACGAACCGCGGCGCGTACCCGCGCTGCGCGAAGCGGCTCGCGAGGATGTTGCGCACCTGCGTCGACAGCCGCGTCTGCAGCACCGGGAGGTGCAGCTGTGGCGGTGTGTTGAGCGGGCACACAACAGGGGATGGAGAGATGAAAAGAGGGCGTACGATGTGAGGGTCGACCTGCATGATGTCGTCCACGTCGAGCAGGTCCTTGAGCAGCTGCGGCGAGACGCTCCCGCCGATCCAGAGGATCGTCATGTCCTCATTGTCTGTCTTTCCTCGATGAGCGGTTCCCCGCAAGAGCGCGAGTGCGGACACCTACCGATGAGATAGACCCCGTGGGACTCCATGAAGAGGTGGCTGTCGCGCATGAGCGAGGGGAGGTCGATCTTGCCGTTCGCGTCCGGAAGCGCGATCTCGTCGTTGAGGTCGTGCACGGCGAGCATGCGTGGGTAGAGGTGGAACATGATGCTGCGCGTGCTCATGGCCATGATCTTGTGCGCGTGGAAGTTGCGCACGTCGGCGGTGACGTTCCGTCCTGCGAGGTCGCTGGGTGAGCGATAGGGATCGGTGAGGGGGGGGGGGCAGTGAAATCGTCACCTTTGAGAGGCTTCGTCTTCATCATGCCGAGAATGTATAGCGGCAGCGTACGGAATGCCTCGGGAAGGATGAGCTGTGTGGGTGCGGCGGACGCCGCGCAGAACTTCCGGTACGCATACAGGATGAGTGCGCACTTCTCCGTGAGGTCTTCGTGGATATGCGAGATCTTCTGAGAGGACATCTTCGAAATCGCTGCATTGCATTCAGCGAATCTTCCCCACAGCACTTGACGAGAGCATGCATACCTTGTCGCACCATGAACGACACAGCAGCGTCCATGTCTGCATACTGGAAGACATTGCCCGCAAGCGTCACAACTTTCAAGGCAACGTTGAACACCCGCACGCGGCGTTGGCCCGCCACGGTGGTGTATAACAACGCCGCCTGGATGAAGGCGTACTGTCTGTCGTCTAGCGTGCGTGTGTGCTCGAGCCCCACGCATATCGTCTTGTCCGCGTCCATCGTGCCGAACTCGAGGTCTGCCGCGGCGCTCTCGTAGAAGTTACCGAGCTGGCTCGCGACTCTCAGCCCTACTTACCGGTTAGGATATGTAAGCGAAAGAGACAGCTAAGACTTACCGTTCGAGGTACGTATTCGCATAGAGCACGAGTAGGCTGTTGTCCGCGAGACGAGCCGCCTGACCTGGGACGACAGAGCCATACCGTCTCTGATCGGGTCGAACTTCGGGTAGAAAAACAGCTCCCCACCGCTGAGAGTGGACACGATGCCTGTTTGCTTTGTTTGCGTGGGATGACTACCGTCGCTGCGACTGACGTACCTATTGACCCGACATCGATAGGCCGACCCATTCCGAGGAACATGCTGACACCGACGCCCTCAGCTGCACATTGCTCGCCAATGTCTTTCCATGTATCTTCTCGGGGAATGAAGAGTGTCTTCTCCTTATCCGTGCCGTACAGTGCTGCCTCGTCCGCCAGCGGTTGGAGGGCGCCGATGCCGATGGTGGGCAGTGTAGCAGCAAATGCAACCAGTTGGCCTCCTCTCCCTGCCTTAAGGCCTGTTAGATGCTGCGAGTGGTGCATTGTAGCACAACTCACCAACGCGGCGAGACCGGCGGCAAAGGCGGAGCCGAGCGCAGCTTCGGTCTCGAAGGTCTGCTCATGTCGCATTGGAAGAGTAGTCAGGAGGTCTACGATGGCGTTCCTAGGCGAAAGTCACTAACATGCACCGCACCGCATTTGGCACGCGAACTCACCTTGAATCATCCACCTTCACGAACAGACCAGCGAGCGACGGCAGGAAGACGTCGTCAACATCAGGCACGACCATCATCGGCGGCTGACCAGCGATTTCTGACTATGAAACAGCATGTTATAAAGCAGTATATGCATGCGATTGGGAAGTAAGCGTACAGAGAGGTTGTAGAACTGTAATGTCCGATCAAAAGCCAAAATAGCAATGCGGCTCTCTTGGGGGAAACAGGAAGGTATTGATTCGTCGTCACCGAAGAGCGCTGCTAGTAGTACCGCGCACGCTGTCTTCAGGAAGCCGGAGCGAACGGCTTCTTGTGAGACGTCGAATGCGAAGACATAGTCCATAGGTTGTGGCTTCCGTACGCCGGTTGTAGGCTGTGGAACGACGGAGTAGTACAGGGGTCGGATACTGGGCGGTGGTTGGGGAGTCCAGTATTCTTCTGAAACGGCGAAGTCGACAGTGCCCTTGTTCAGCTCAGGTCGTTGCAAATGGTCCAACCGGAGAAAGTTGGCATCCAGGTTGCAGAAGTATTCCGATGCCACTTCCGTCTCGTGGCCGCACAGATTGCACTTCCACTTCGCCCCGCCTGCTACCCAGGTGCACCATGGGTTGATGTACGCCCTGCAGGAAGCGCATCGCGCGGGGCCAGCCGGACCTGGCTCCACAATCGGAATCGGCTCTTCCCGGGGATCTTGGTCTGCGAGTGGCTGGATAACTGCAGCTACGGGAACCTCGCATTCCGACGCAAGGCGTGAGGTGCTTGGTACGTTCCATGTGGACATGCGGACATATCTGGGCGACGAGTTTCCTGGGAAGACCCACGTTTGGTCCATAGAACAGAGCAGATCGGTGGAGGATGGGGAACGTACCTTGGTCTATAGCTACGAAGTCCGTGGTGGACAGAGGTGGGTGCTGTCCCGGCAGGGTCATGTACGGCTGATCCTCCCATTTCTCTCTGTCGGCCTCGATGGTGTCAATCGGCGAAGGTATTTGGTTGGGGTCTATAGCCGCACGTAGGCCTTTGTAGGGCGTACCCGCGCTGTGCGGCGGCTGCGGAATATGGGATCGAGTGCTATGCGCGTACATGAGAGAGCATGTGTTTCGGTATGATGTAGTGGTTGTGGAGAGAGACCTGTGAGCAAGAGGTTCCGAGCACAAAGTTGGGATATATTCAGCTAGCCAGGACCACGCTAGAGCAGAAGACGAGTGTGTAGAAGAGTGGAAGAAAGCGGAAGAACGCTAGCGGTATGGTACCGCTATGACGGCGTCGCATATATTTCCCGATTTGGATCATTGTTTGGCAAGAGCGTCCGATCCAAACAAATCCTATGCTGTGAGCGCCATGTCCTGACATTTATCAGAGGACCCAGCCTCTAAATCATCACATCGAAATATGCGCATTTGTTGAAGCAGCAGGGAGGGTCGGGGAGATATATTGCCCTCAGAGAAGTGAAACAATCCGAGCGTTGTTATCTAGCGAAAATACAGCAGTGGATATCATCATCGGCTCGGGACACAGCTACACGAGAGCCACCGTGTATTTCAACTTCTGAGAGCTACATAAGAATTGGGTAACAATACATCGCTGCAAGTGAGAGAAATACATATTGATACCGTCGTACGGGCATTTAATCCAGACAGTCGAAGCTCCCTACTTCCTACGCCGCCTCCTCGACCTTGTTCCGAGCAATACAGAAAGCCTGCACAGATAGCCCATAAGTGACCAGCAAAATAGACAGCAATGAGTCGCTACGCACCGGAGTAACCCATTTCTGGCAGCTGCAGAATGTACCCGCCCAGTAGTAGTTGCCCAGTTTTGCACCGCACTTCTCATTCGGACATATGATCTTGCCCGACGCATTGCCCTGCTCCAGGAATGGCGCCATCCACTTCATCTGTCATGCCCAGTCAGCACCAGTCGCTGTCGCCGCAAAGCGTGGGAGCGACACTTACCGGCTGGACGAAGTACCCGGAGCATCTGGCATTGATCAGGATCGACGGGCTCACGGCTGCGAAAAAGTCTGCGCTCTTCGTGTTCGTGAGCTTGGGGTTCTGGGGGGTGGTGTGGGTCGGCAAGTCCGACATAGGAGTCACGGCGAGACCGTCTGGTGAAGAGAGCTGGGCAACGAGGTCGGACAGGTCGCTGTACGAGCTCGACATCGAGAGCGGGGGGAGGGTACTCCCGACAGTCGTCCAGGAAAACACTGAGGCGTTGTCGAAGTCGTCCTCGGATTCGGGTTCGTCGGGCTTACAATGCTCGTCGCCGGAGCTTTCCTCCTCAATCGCATAGTCAGAGGACGCGTCGGATCCGTCGAGCGCCATGGAAGATGTCTTGGGTGTTCTGATTATGTCGTGCATAGATGGTCCCAGTTGACCATGGTCGAGCATAAACTTCCGAGTCGCCAGCTCGTGCCTATCGAATCTCAACGGGGATTGGTGATCGCGCATATACAAATACTAACCTGCACTTTCTGCAAATAATGTGACGTCGAGGGGTAGGCACTGGAGCATCGGACGAGGTATATGCGGACTGGGCAGACATTTTGGTCTCCACCTCATCATGTCCGTCTGTGAGGACTTGCTCAGCTACGACTACACGGCTACACCAGCGTATGGCACTCACTCAATACCTCATGCACTGCACGCTCCAGGTGAAGCATGCGTGTTTCCCTGTCGTGCTTTGAAACTTTGGCGCATGCCTTGTGGAATATCTCAAGTTGCCGATAGAAGTCGACGTTGCGTCTACAGCGCGATCCCGTGAGCCAAAGGCAAGATCCGAGGAGAATGTGGATGAACATACTGCACGTCAGGCCTGACTCTCATGATCGTTCCCAAGGCACCTTCAGGATCAAGCCCTTGCGAAACCATGAGATAGGCCGCAACAATGGATGCACTTCTGCCTAGATCCAAATTATCGTCCAGCCATCCGACGACAATCGAACCAGACTCACTGATACCCGATTGACAGTGCACAAGCACGCCATGGCCATTGTCGAGTTCCGCTTGAATGAAGATGACGGCGGGCACGAAGTACTGCAAGATGTCCGAGGAATCGGTGTCGTCTACATTAGACTTGATTTGACGTTGGCCGAGAGTCTGCTCATCAGGCGTCCGTTAGCTATCCAGCGCGTACTTCATATGCATCGGTATGGGGGCGTACCAGGTGGACGGATAGTCGACCTCGAGAAGCGGTCAGCACGCTACGGATCTTCTGCGCTCTGAGCTTCTCGGTGTCCAGTGCGCCCGAGAGGTCTCCGACCCAAAGGTTGTGCAAAACTTCGTCCATCGACATGTTTGTGGACTTCGCGCTTGTCGTAGTCGTTTACAGTGAAGCCGCTGGTGCCGCCGGGGAGCGTGAAGACAAGGACGTGGATTATAAGCGACCAGATTGCGGAGGCAAGAGTCACCTCGGGGCCGCAAATCCCACACCCCGAGTTTCTCGCGGTGGGAAAACGTCCGAACAGCATGCTTCGCGGTCTCCCCCGCGCGCTGGACAGCCTTATCTTTCTGTCAATATACTGTCAACATATTCCACGCTCCTATAGTAGGACTCCTAGATCATGATGCGTACACACACGCACAACACGTGTTGTGCATGACACTGGCGAAGCATACTGCTGCGCACACACAGTGCCCAGCATATAGAACCTCGACACCACGTTCCTGACATGAGCTGATAGCTGTGGACAAATAGCCCGCGAGCAAGAGAACCTGAGAACCGAGTCAGAACAATCGCAGCAAGCAAGAGCGTAGATATTTCGGAGACGATAGGGAGAGAATCGACTCACCGCGGATGAGCAGCACAGTCAGGACGCCTCGGATGCGTATACATCTCGATTCTGATATCTTGATTTGGATGGCTGTTTGGCAAGAGCTTCCGATCCAAACAAATCCGGTAACTACGACCGAAGTGCAGCGGGGCTCGAATCAAGATTCATGGCGGATAGTGTCGTGGTATTAAACAAGAGAGCACGTCGATACAAACATTGATGGGGACACAGAGAGCACAGAGAGAACAGCACAGCACGACGAGTAACAAAGGTCCATCTACAGGGAATCAGTGCTTAGCAACCACAGTGCCGTGAAGCCCATATGTCAAGCTAACCTTTACAAATCCGGCAAAAGTGGCTGGTCAAGATGCGCTTGATGAGCTTGAGGACGACTCGGAGCCTGGAGACGACGTCGATGTGTCAGACGACGGCTTTGTGGGAGATCCTGCATCCGACGAGTCTTGGCTTGGCGATCGGACGTGAACGATCATCCTCAGCTCCTCCGCCGTGGAGGGCGAGACTGGGGACTTGATGGGTTTGCGCGCCGGCCCCACAGAAGGAGGGACGCGAATGACGAGACGCCTGGTCGCCGTCGTGGACGAGTGCGACGTCGCTGTTACGGAGAACATCGTAGGCGACCTCGCCACCGACGGCGACTGGGCGCCGCGGAGCGTGAAGGTCGGCGACCGGGGCGGCGAGTCCGCAGCAGGTGGGTCATCGACCTGAGCGTCGCGCAAGAACGATGCGAAGAGCGTGTCAAGCTCGGGCTCGAACGATTGTGGAGGAGAGATTGGTAGAGGTTCACGTACCTGCATGGGCACCGAGTCCAGGGAGGGCGACTTGATAGGGGTCATCGTACCAAGTGTAGACGACATTGTAGCGTATGCTTCAAGACGTAGCGGGGACTGGAATATGTCTACAGGATCAAATTGGTTTTGCTGGGCTTACAAGAGGTTAGCCTCCGCATCGGTGTGTTCAAGGAATGGCAGGGACCCACATCAAGGACGGTCGGTGGCTGGGAGGGACTTGCAGCTTGCATAGACTCCAACCACCTCACCCGCGCTTCGAGCTCCTGTATCGATGCATCCTTCGCGGTGATGATCTCTTGGCTCTCCTGCAGTTTGATGTCTTTCTCGGACTGTATGCGCCCACATTCTTGCAGTAACGCGGTGCGATCGTTCTGCAACTCCTCCCGCGCTTGCCGCAGCTTCTCGCACTCCTGCTCAAGCCTTGTGCGTTCTTGCGCCGAGTTCGCGCGTTCATTTGTGTAGTCAGCCAGTGTACGCTCCAGCTGTGCGCGCTCCTGCCTCCAGCTTTCGCTCTGCATGCGGAGCGCCTCTAGCTCTTCGATGAGCGGTCCGTTGACCTCGGGACCGGTGTTGGCATTACTCCTGGCTAGTAGGGCATCTCGCTCCTGCACGAGGGCACGGATAGTGTTTTCGTAGTCTGCTCGGAGGTCCGTTACACGTCTCTCGAAGATGGCTGAGATTTCTAGCGCGCCCTGCAGCAGCGCCTGCGAGATTTGTGGTGGCCGCTGCATTTCCTGTATGCGGTCATGATCAGATGACACGGACCATGCCTTAGTTGTGAAACATACAGCATGGTGGTCCGTAGGCACGGTGGAGGGAGTACCGTTCATGGCGGTAGTGGCGAGAGCGGGGCGTAACTTTGTGTAGGCGCACAGTTTGCGGGGATTTGCTCCTTGATCCGCTCTTCCATCCCCATCTCCATCCACTTCCCCGCAATCCACGCGCTCGCATCCACGATCCTCGGCTATACACACACATCTGTACTTCCATACTAATCGGCTACGGCGAGTACGGAACCGTCAAAATGTCGATGGACGAAGTTGTACACAATCTCTGGGTTGGAGACCTCCCGAGCGCCCTGGACACGGAGAAACTCAAGGGGCACAAGATCCGCAGTGTGCTCACCGCGATGCGGGGGCGGGTTTCTATTCACGAGGTATGCCTTAATGTCAATGCACAGCGAGTATGCACCGGACACCTGACGAGCCAGACTTTCGTGCGCCATCAAATCAATATAGACGACACGGACAGTTCGGACATCCTGCAGCACTTCGTCCCAGCTATAACGTTTATACAGGCGGAGCTGGACAAGGATCATGGCGTGCTGGTGCATTGCCAGGCGGGGATCAGTGAGTTTTGTCCTGTGGTCCTCCGACGGGTGGGGAATGAATAGGACACAGGCCGAAGCGCGTCCATCGTCGCAGCGTATCTCATGGTTTCCCAGGGACTTGATCCTGAGGGTGCCCTGGCCGCGATCAGACAAGTCAGGCCAGATGTCCAGTATGTTCCTCTTACTTCCCCCTTCGTGAATATCCCGTTCACAAGCACCCATTGCAGACCGAATGAAGGCTTCATGCGCCAGCTAGAGATCTTTCATAAGGCATCCTTCAAAGTCTCGAAGCACGACAAGGAAACGCGTATGTTTTATTTGGAACGTGTAGTCCGCGAAGTAATGAGTGAGTGGGTTAGCATAGCACGACTGTGCAGCCGTGACTGAAATTTCGTGAAGATGGGGACGGCGAGGTGGAAACTGAAATGTTCGCGAAGTTCCCATATACGCCATCTGACACTCCAGTCCCTACTTCCCGGCGTCGCATTCGGTGCAAAATGTGCAGGTAAGTGCGGCTATATGCGTCGTCCCGGGTACCCGCTAACTACCGACAGGCACGAGTTGGCAACTCGGGAGCATATGCTCGACCATGGCCAACTGGGACCGCCGACCCCAGCAGTGCTATCTGCAGCTCCATCCCGGAGACCTTCTATGAACGACGCGAAACCCCTTAGCCCACTCACTACCGGGCTTCCCACCGCTAGGAGAGCGTCGTCGTCTGGGTCGAAACCTGGCATACAGTCCCCAATGTCGCCCATATCGGGCACCTCGCGGCGGCCGTCTATGCACGATATCCTCCCGCGCTCGCGCCTTGGCTCTATCACTGAGAACAGACCGCTCAAGACCTCCCTGATCGCACTCGACAGCATGTCCGCGCAAATCGGACAAGAGGTGTCGGATGCGATATCAGACTCGGCGATTGACGAGGACAGCTCCGGGGACGAGCCGCCCAAGTCCGACGAGCCTGGCTCCGAGGACGAGGCACCAAACGCCTCGGAGACGTCCGCGACGACGGCCGCTACGGGCGAGGCGACGGCAGAGAAGGCGGACAAGGTTACTCCGCTCCCCTCGCAGAGGCCGCCGATCTCGGTCTCGAGCTCGTACATCCACCCCTCCGACCTCGCCGCGCAGCTCGCGTCCCACCCGAAGCTGGCCGCTTTGCGCGTGCCATCCGGTCTCGCCATGACTCCTACGGCTGGCGTCCCCTCACCGACTCGCACGGCTCCCCAGAGCCCGGGAGTCGCGAACATCAAGAGCGCCAATTACTTTGCGCCTGTGAGCCCACCGCTCCTCATCAACCCTAAATGCTCGGGATATTTCGTCGAGCCGGTGAGCGCTGCCCTCATGTTTGATATCAGTTGGGGCCATGGCTGAGGACGGACGGGCGTAATAGATGAAGTGGATGGAGCCGTTCCTGGAGTCGGGCAACATGGCGGGAAAGATCACCTGTCCGAACAAGAAGTGCGGCGCGAAGCTGGGTAACTACGACTGGGCGGGCGTGTGTTGCAGTTGCAAGGAGTGGGTCGTCCCGGTGCGTGTGGACGTATTACTGTTCTGGATTGCCCGTGGCTTATTTGTCGGCCGTGCAGGGCTTCTGCATTCATCGGTCTAAGGTCGACGAGGTTGTGTAGGAAAAGAACACTGTCAGAAGTTCAAGAATTACCCCCATACACGACTGTATCGCTATGTTGTACTCGCAACGCTACTACAATTGTAAGGTTGGCCTCATCCATGATTGACCAATGCCACGCGAGCGGGCGTGACATTGGCTTGTAAACCTATCTCGTCTCGCATTTCGTCCTGAATCGCAAAATCTCTTGCGAGAGATTTTAGTTTTTTGTGCTCCCGACGATCTCTCGCAAAAGATTTTTCGATTGGGGGAGATGTGAGGGAGGAGATAGTTTTCCAACGTTTTCTGGAAAGTCACGCATGGGCGCTCGAGAACGCTTTCTGGGCGGGGTCACACCACGTCACACGCACATGGCACTGGTCAAAGATGGATGAGGCCAACCTTATCCGTAACCAATGATCACGAAGCTCCTTGTGGGGACTGTGCCTGAAGTTGAATACAACTGTAAAGGTTGACTAGAAGCTGAATTGTAGACAATCATAAGTGTTTTCTATCCTCACCTCCGGGCGTCTATGGGCGGTACACCATCTTCCCAGAAAGGCAAGCACTTTTGTACTTCGACTCCCATCATCGAGCCACCAACTGCGAGCACACTAACGGTCTAAGTATTCCAACGATATCCTCAGTCATCATGGCGGACATGGATGACTTCCTGAGCGATACCGCCGCCTTGTATGGTGACACTGTGCCGTTGGACGATGGGATGATTAGATACGGACCGCTCGTTTTGACGGTCGCGCCGAAGGTGTGTTTTGTTTTCCAGATGCTGAGTTGGAGATAACTAAAATTCTATGTAAAGGAAGGAAAGGCGAGTGAAGAAGGCGGACTCCGCTGCGATGCTTATTGAACCACATGGGATCAGGCGAACACGCTCCTGGCAGACCATCTATTCTCGCCCTCGCTCCTCCTAGCGGAGCTGATCGAGCGAGGGATTATTTCCCTCTCCAATAAAACGGGTACGTGAAATACGCCCTATTCGCCGAGGGATCATCGAATGAACCTTCCCCAGTCGTCGAACTCGGGGCCGGCTGCGCCCTGCCCTCGCTGCTCTCTTCCACCCTGTCCGACCCACCCAGCTTGGTGGTAATCACAGACTACCCGGACGACACGATCATGAAAAACCTTACCGCGAACGTCGAGCGGAACCGCCCGCACGTGAACGACAAATGCACCGTGCACGCACGCGGCTACGAGTGGGGCCAGGACGTCGCCCCCCTTCTGTCAGTCACGGCCTTTCCTACACATTCTATACTCCGACGAAGACACACTGAGGATGGTTTATCAGGGACATCGCATCGGCGCACACCCCCAACGACCGCGCCCCCGGCTTCGACGTCGTCATCCTCTCCGACCTCCTGCACTTCGACCGCTCGCACGACGTGCTCCTCCAGTCCCTCCTCACGCTCCTCCGGCGCGCCCCCGCCGCGCGCGCGTACGTCGCCGCGGGCACGTACACCGCCCCGCATATATGCGCGCACTTCGTCAGCGCGGCTGCGGAAGCGGGCATCGTGCTCGAGGAGGGCGAGGTGGAGCCGGTGTGGCGGGGCGCGCTGGGGGTGTCCGGCGGGGGGCTGGATCGGGAGCAGTTGGGCGTGAGGAAGGGGATGTCGAGGTGGTGGGTGGGGAGGTGGGCGGATGTCTAGTACGCCCTGGGTTAGAGGTACTGACAGACAATGTGCATGGTTGAGGACACTGCAAGGCTGGAGGCCGGTCGGTAAATCGAGAGTGAAATAACCGCATCCCGGTCGGATCGGGCGTGGCTGAGTCGAAAGTAGTTCTGCTCAGTAATGGTGTATAGATGTGGCTATGGTACATGAAATGAGATGAGGGGATGGCAGGGTCCGGTTGATAGAGGGGAGGTATCTCCGGCGCGGCGGCACGTCTACATGTCGTCCACGCTCCATTCGTAGCTCTCGGCGCCGCGGCGTCGTCGCTCGTTTTGCTTCTGGAAGTATTTCTTCTCGAAGCCGGTACTGCGATCTAAGGGGCGTGGTCAGAATGACAGCAGTGGGGGAACACAGACAGTAGACATACCGACGCCGTCCCACCGGTATCCCGGCTTGATGCCGAAGCGGTTGGGTGGTGGTGGGGGGCCAGAATATTCGGGCTTGCGGGGACCCTTCGATCTCTTCTTCTGCATTTGAGAAAACGGGTCAGCCACAGCTCTCCTGGGTAACAGTGGCACAACTTACGGTCAAGAACGCTGCAGCAGGGTCATTCCACCGGTCTTGCGCCTTCAAGTCTTCGTTCAAGCCCTTGTCGTCGATCGTCCTCGCGAATGACCGGGTACGCATCTCCTCTTCCTCCTTCCGCCGCTTCTCAGCCTCCTCCCGCTGCACGAGACCCTTTCCCCACTCCATCTTCTTCGCCTCCTTCTCCTCGCGCTCGCGCTTCAGCCGCGCCGCCTCTGCACGCTCTGCCGCAACATCAACCTTCCGCCCCGACGCGTCACGGTACACCGTCTCCTGCGCAGCCGCCCGATCCGCCTCCGCCTCCTCCGCAGTCCTCTTCTCCGGCCGGTGCTTAGGCAGCTTCTTCTTGAGCTGCGCAGACGTGAGCAGCCCACCAGTAAAGGCCGGTTCCACGACCTGCGGCTGTTCGTCCTCTGGGGGAGGTGGCGTCTTGCTGCCCCCCGCGCCCTCCTGCACTGTTTGCCAGCCCGCGTCCGTGTCCGTCTTCTGCCGTTTCTTGAACCGGCGGTCTGCGGCTACCACTGCGTCTTCCGTTTCGTCTTCATCGTCACGCGGCGCATCTCCCCATCCCATAAGGTCGTCATCCTTGATGAACGACGCGCTTGTGCTTGCGGCGGACGTGGACGCGGTGGTCTTGCGTTTCTTCTTCTTGGGCTGGGCCGATTTCGAGAGGATCGCGTCCGCTTTCGGACCAGACATGTATTTCTCAGCGAGATATGTCTTGAGAGACATCGTAGGAGGTATCTAGTAAAGTGTGTAGCAAGGCAAGGTGTCGGCAGCTCAGCTGAGAGTGAGTGGATCGACCGAGTGACAGTCCGAGGCGCCCGGAGTGTGGCCCAGGAGCGCCTTGTTTGGCGCACCGCCCAGCTGGAAGAGGCGCCTGCCACACGCGGCGAGCCTGCCCTGAACTCACCGCCTATAAAAGTTTGCGACCCTGCTTCGTTGTCTCCTTAGAACATACTCAGCTAGGATCTATTTTATAGGTACTAACTCGAGTCTCGCATGTTTACACATGCCACATCCTTCTTATCCAGCCGATGACTTCCGCGCCCGCTCGTATAACCGAGAACATGGCTGCTTCGGCAGTCTCGAGGACGTTTGGATCGTGTCGACTCGCCCTCTTCGGAGTGGCTTGGAGCGCGAACCAGCGAGCCGGGTGTATGTCTGATGGATACCCCTCATGTATTACTTTACCGATGCAATATTCTTTTGCCCCCTTGTAGCCTCCATCGCTCGAGTCCCGCAAACGTTGTGGTGATCGGTACTACTCGAAGAGCACTGTGACTACGGGAAGGTACACCTGAACGTTACGCAACAGCCAATAATTGCAAGTTGGGCAGGACCGCCACGACTTGGCAGTATTATCGAAGATGTACGTTGCGCGCGAGGAAATACATAAATACATACCGTACTACAAAGGAATACACGGTACAAATTGAAAAAGACGTCAAAGACGTCCAGAGCGTGCACAGATCAAGTACGGAACATAGCGGCACGGACACTCCAAATCCCAATGTGATAACAGTGCTACTCTGCCCCCGCTGTACCACAAAGGCCAGTGTACTTCAGTATGCCGCCATGACACTCCCACACGACTTCGACACCAGCGGTACTCACTCGTCTTCCCCGTCGAGCCGCGCCACCGTGCGCCCGTTCTCCAGCCGACCCACGTCACGCACATTCGAAACTCCCTGCCTCATCCGGGTCGCCTCCGCGGTACCGCACCACCAGCGGATGCTGCCACGCCGCCTCCGAGTCAGCACTCCGAGTCGCCTATCGGCGCCACCGGCCGAGAAACAGCGCACGCACCTTGCACAGCGGGCGCGTAAACGCGACGCCCTCGGACAGCGTGTCGTTGCGGAACTTCGTGGCGACGATCGTCGTGGGCGCGACCCCGTGCTCGACCCAGCGGAGCAGCGCGGCGAGGATGTCGTGCGCCGCGTCGGGCGCGACGGGCGGCTGGGACACGCCGCCGAATGCATTCGCCCCGTGCCCGCCCTAGTACCGGACCGATGTCAGCACCGTACTCTCCACGAAGGAGGAATTCCGACTTGGGGAAAGACGTACGAGGCTACATGTAGGAAATCGTATCAGCACACCGGACACGTGTGGGGTGTCGGTGCAGGGCGGTGCTCACCAGTGGTTCATGCCCGGCACGGGGAAGAGGCGGTAGAAGTCGTCGACGTCCAGCCCCCCCGGGCCGCTGCGGGCGACGTGCGCGCGCACGGTGTCGTAGTAGTGGAAGCTGTTGCGCGGGCTGATGACGTCGTCCGTGAGCCCGACGTAGTGCAGCACCTTGCCGTTGCGCGGCGGCGCCGCGAACGCACGCAGATCCGGGTCGATTGCCTGCGTGGGCGCAGCGGGTGCTCGTGTTAGCAGAGGGCCCCAGGCCGGCAGCGGCAGCGGCAGTGGGGCTCAGCTCACGTTCGCGTCTCCGGGGTTGATCTTGTCCGCGATCTTGTACACGCTGGAGTTGTACTGGTCGATCGTCCACTCCGTATCGCTGTTGACAGCGTCAGTTTTGCCAGACTCTCGCGCCGGACCATCAGTGCGCACTTCAATACCATGTACTCCAGCCAGCCTGTCGGGAGCGGGCTGGGGCCCGCCTGGAAGTACGTCGAGAAGTACACGTCCTCGCCGCCGGGGTTGAACCCGCCGAACACGTACGCGCCGTCCTCGTAGTAGTCCGCGTAGATGTGCCGCAGTGCGGCGATCTGGTCTGCGTTCAGGCAGGTCGAGGGGTCTTGGCTCGGGCGGCAGGCCAGAGTCTCAGGGCGGAAGCTGGAGCGATGGGGAGGTGTTCAGTAGGAAGGTGCTGCGTGGCCGGCACATTGACGAGACGCGCACGTACTTGCACAGCCGAGGGTCGTTGATGACGCGGTCGGACACCTGGCGTTCAACTGTCAGCACACACTCCTCAGCGAGGAAGCGGCGGGACCTACGCCGTCGAGCGCGTCACACTGCTTCATGACCTCTGGGGTGATCACGCCCGTCCAGACCTCCTGCGGGATGAACCGTGAGGACGTCGCGGGCTCAACGAGGCGGGCGAGGTACACGCCCCAGGACGTCAACCGGGAGAGCCAGTTGGCGGGTGAGCCAACGACCTGCACGGCTGGAGTTCGGATCAACGTGGATGACACGGGTTTCGGCGCAGGAAACGTACGGCGCCGTCGAAGCTGTCGGGAAATAGCTGGATCTCTTTTAGGCTGTGGAGGGGGTATCAGGACGGCGCATATAAGGAGATATTGTGAGAGGGAGCATACCCCTGACGGCCGCCTGTTAAACATGTTAAATATTCAATATTGGCACTCGCGACGCGGACAGCTGACTTCAGAACAGCTCTCACCGGTAGAGCATCCTAGGTAGTACGACTTTTTCGGGGCCTCGTTGTAGAATTGCTTCACAATCTCCTTGCCCGCGAGAACGCTGAGGTGGACAGCTCTCCAGGCCCAGTCGACGATGGCGTTCTGATAGAGGGACAAGAAGATGAGCTCGGAGTACATCCAGTGTGTGTCACGAGTACAGCGGACTGACATCGTCATGGGGTCCGCCCCAGGAACCGTCGGTGGCCGCGGAGTTGTGGCCCCCGTTGGTGGACACACCGGCAACTGGTGATATAAAAAATTAGCGAACGTGCTCAAGGAACGTTGGCAGAACACTCTGCGCACATCCTCGCGATACCGCTCGAGTCCCAAGCGCTAGAACATCCGCTGCAAAGGACAGAACACCGTCAGCCCTCCGGTTTCAATTGCACCCGCCACATAGTTCAAGTTGGCAACCGCACGTACCTCCTCCTGCAAGCCCGCCGCTGCCCACAGTGAGCATGCGCGCGTTCCACTCGTCTGGGAGCCACACTTCCGTTTCTGCACCCGAGCCTGCCGTGGTGTTCGTGGTGATCACCAGCTGGAGGCGGCAGAACGCGGGGAGGTTGGAGGACGCGATGCCGATATAGTCGTTTGAAATCTGCACGGTCGCGTTCGCCGGGTAGTACGTCCTCTGCGCAACGGTTACTCCGGGCAGGTCACGCGGTGAGAACCCCAGACAGGCGTCGTCGGAGAGGGATCCCTGGCGATGGACGGCGGCGTCGGCACCGCCCACGAGCTTGGAGAACTGCAGGGTGCTGGCGAGTACGAGCGCTGTGAGTAGCAGCATGAGGACTGGCTTGAGCAAGCGTGTGGGGCTCGGAGGCCCATGCCAATTTAAATGTCTTGTGCTCGGTGTCCGAAGATCGGGGTGCGGGGACGTCTTCTCGGCCGAAGAACTGCGTTCGACGGCTGATGGCAAAGTCATGAGGTGCTTTTTCTGTGGATTTATAGCGTTATACACGCATAGAGGTGGAGACGGAGAGCTTGAACACTTGGTCATCCTGGGGATGGTGAATGGGAAGGTGTTCCGGAGGGGCGGAAGCTGCCAGTGGCGTCCTTGCGTTGCTTTCCGTGAGCAAGGTGCCCCCGGCTAGGATACATTCACCTAGGCCGGAGTCAGTATTTTCAAAGCAGCACAACTTAGACAGACCTTAGCGGACTATCAGTGCTTTAGCGGTGGCAGCTTGTGCAAATGCAGCCGCCAGGTTGCCCTCCTAGTTACGCCAACCCACGTGACCGTGGTGGCGCATCTGTAATAGACAGAGCGACGACGTCGAAGCGGCCAGTCCGCTCGTTATGTAACCCGTGTTACCAGCGTGGCCACCGCGAGGGGCTTCATTGAACATGGCGACTTGCGCAGGTATCAACACGATACGGACTCGAACTTTGAGTACAGGTGGAATCGGCATCGCAAAACTACGACAGCGACATATCCCAAGTATTCGAAGAAAGACTGAATGCTGCGAAAACGACTATAACAGGCTTCAAAGCTGCGACAGCGATCATCAAAACCGGCTCCAACAGGACTGACACACGACGGCGACGACGGCGACGACGACGACGACACCAAGAAGCCCGGACTCTGCCTCTACCCTTGGAGGTCTCCACCACAGACTCTCCGACCAAGGCAGCCGCGCGCCTCACCACCCCGCGGCCATGCCCTCGTTCAAGACGATGTAAGCAGCCACGAGCACAAACCAGGATATAGCTGTCCAATCGACCGACCGCTCCGCTCAGGCGCACTCGAAGCTCGCAGCGTCGTTCTCGTCGCCGCCCCGGAGCCGCGCCTTCAGCGGGTGCTGCCAAAACGCATCAGCGCTCGCGTCATCGCCACATACAGGGTTCAGGAAACAAAGAAAAGCGGACCTTGCACAGCGGGCGCGTGAACGCGACCCCGTCCGCCGCGCTGTCGTTGTTGAATTTCGTGGCGATGATGGTGTCCGGCGCGACGCCGTCCTCGACCCAGTGGATGAGCGCGGCGAGGATGTCGTGCGCAGGATCGTTGGGGACGGCCTGCTGGAAGGAGCCCCCAAAAGAGTTCGCGCCGTGTCCACCCTGCATGGGTTCTGTCAGTATCGCCTTGTGGCCCTTCAGGAACGGAATCGGATACGTACGAAGCTGCAAGCAAGCAAGGCTCGTCAGTACGCCTGAGAGGATAAGGCAGGAAAGAAGGGTCGTGCTCACCAATGGTCCATGCCGGGCGCGGGGAACAGGCGGTAAAAGTCGTCGATGTGCATGCCCCTGCTGCGGAGCGTGCGCGCGCGCACGGTGTCGTAGTAGTGGAAGCTGTTGCGCGGGCTGATGATCTCGTCCGTGAGGCCGACGTAGTGCAACAGCTTGCCGTTGTGCGGCACCGCCGCGAACGCGCTCAGGTCCGGGTCGATCGCCTGCGCAGATGCGTGTAGGTCTCAGTATATGAACGACAGTGGAGAGGAGCAGAAGGATAGCGTACGTCTGCGTTCCCGGGGTTGACGGCGTCTGCGATCTTGTACACGCTCGAGTTGTACTGGTCGATCGTCCAGGTCGTATCACTGTCTGCCGCGTCAGTATTCAAAAGGCTCGCGACGCTTGAGACTCATGGGCACGCACTTGAGCACCATAAACTGCATCCAGTTGGTGATGAGTGGATTGGGCGTCTCCCCGAGGAGGTCCGTAAAGTACACGTCCTCGCCGCCGAGGCTGAACCCTGTGAACACGAACTTGCCGTCTTCGAAGTAGTCCTCGTAGATTTTCGGGAGGATGGCGAGCTGGTCGGCGTTCAGACACGTCGCGGGGTCTTGGCCCGGGGCGCACGCCAGAGTCTCCGGGCGGAAGCTGGTTGGGGAGATTTTTAGCCAAGCGTTTGTCAGACTGATACGCAAACGGAAGGACGCACTGGCACACAGACGGATCGTTGATGACATTGTCAGTGACCTGTCACTCATGAGTCAGCCGCACGCCTCCATGGTCCTGAAGAAGCGAGAAAACGCACGCCGTCGAGCGCATCGCACTGCCTCATGACCTCCGGCGCGATCACGCCCTTCCACGTCGCCTCCGGGATGAAGTGCGAGGCCGTCGCGGGCTCGACGACCTGGGCGAGGTGCGCGCCCCAGGATACCAGGCGGGACATCCAGTTCGCGGGGGAGCCGACGACCTGTACAGGTTTCCGCTATTAGTCAGCGCGAGGGGAGCGGATGGACGGACGTGCGTGGTACTTACGGCGCCGTCGAAGCTGTCGGGGAACATTTGGGTTTCTTTCAGGCTGCGGGGACCCGGCGCGGATCAGTATGGAGTCGATTATGATGCGATGCGAGAAAAGGCTTGTACCCTTGGCGGCCGCCTGTGTTTATAGGGATGAGGAGTGAGCATCGAGACGGTCACGAAGTAAAGACTGCAAGCTTACCGGTGGAGCAACTCAGGTAGTAGGACCCTTTCGGGGTCTCACTGTAGAACTGCTTGATGATGTCCTTGCCTGCGAGAACGCTGAGGTGGACGGCTCTCCACCCAAAGTCGATGAGCGTATTCTTGGGAGGTAAACACAAACAAGCTAAGTACGAATAGAAGAAAGAAGGGTAAGGCCCACTTACGTCGTTATGAGGTCCGCCCCAGCTGCCGTCGAAGGAAGAGGAGTTATGGCCCCCGTTGGTGGCCACACCCGCGACTGTAAGACAAAAGGCGTCAGGAAAACAGAAATTTGCGGAGCGTGACCAGTGCAATCTGCTTACATCCTTGTGAGATTCGAGAGCCGAGCGCCATGACGTCCGCTAAAACATGTGTGAGATCCGGGAATCGAACACGGGCAAGCCGCAGCCGTTTCGTACCTCCTCCGGCGAGCCCACCGCCCCCGACGGTGAGCATTCGCTTGTTCCACGCCGTTACATCCGGGAGCCAGACCTCGGTGTTAGCAAACGAGCCTGCCGTAGCATTCGTGGTGATCAGCAACTGAAGACGGCAGAACGCGGGCAGGCTCGACGACCCAAAGCCGAGATAGCTGTTCGAGATCGCAACGGTCGTGTTCGCGGGGTAGTACGTCCGCTCCGCAACGACCGCGCCCGAGAGCCCGCGGGGAGAAAACCCCAGGCAGGCAGCTGATGGGGAGCTCTCAGCGCGGCGGACGGCATCAGCGCCGCGCATGACCGCAGAGAACTGCAGGACGCTGACGAGCACGAGGGCTGTGAGGGTGAACATGAGCGCGAGCTTGAGCGACGGTGTACGCCGCCAGTGCGCAGAATTTATAGCTCTTGCGCGGCCGACCGGAATATCGCTGCTGGTGTCGGCTGCCCACGCGTTCAACGGGCTCGGCCATTTCGCCGAGGAAGCGCTGCGCTCGACGTCTGGAGTGCAGTCATGAGGCGCTGTGCGCGGAGGATCTGAAGCGTGGTACTCGCCTAGAAGTGGTGTTGGCGAGCTTGAACGATCCGGCATCGTGAACCGGAGGTTTTCGAACGACAAGGAAGGTCTGTGAGGACCGAGGGAAGGTGCGCATACGACGTTCTTGTATGCCGCTTTGCGTGATCAGGGTGACACAGAGTTTGAATTACCTCGGTCCGAGGCAATCCAGACAACAAATCCTGGTGTACTCCGTGGTCGAGAGTATGGTGGTGGTTGCTACTGTGTTAGATCACGGATTGAAATCATTCAGCGGTGCAACTGAGGCCTACGCTGAAAAATCCAAGCAGTCTTGAAAATTCATTGAGCTTGAGTTATGCGGAGGGTTTGAGGTTTTCCCAGAATTCAGCTCAAGCAAGGCTGGTCCTATAAATTGATAGCTCCTGCTGTCTTTCTGGGGAGCACACGGGCGAACTCAGACAGGGGATGTGGACTTGTGTCAGAAAGTCAGATCCACGGGGTCCATTATCCGCGGACATGTCCGGGGGACATGTCCGCGCCTAGGCGCCCACGATGCGCGGCGCCAATATCGTCACTCTCAAGTAGTTAACGCTTGCCGCGTGTTGTGGCTCTTTGTCGCGTTTGACCACAGTGCTACACGGAGCGTAAACGCAATCAGTGGCTCATGTGGCTTCCTTACCTTGGGGATACAACACGGGTGGCTTGAAGGGGCGCTTCTTGCTCCCTCAGCCACCTTCCGAGTCGGTCGAGCGCCTGCCTTACTGACCACTATCTTAGATACACAGTACTGCGACTGATTCTGAATATATATGTATAGAACATCTCGTAGGTTGATAGCCACACGTACGTCGCACTAGGACGGACAATTATTGATGTGGCTTGAAGACCAGAATGCGTCAAAGAACACGTCCCTTGTCGGTCCTTCAATGCGAACAATGCCCGTGAGGTCACAGTGACACATCCGTGACCCGACGCAGCTTGTCCGCCGGATTGTCCGCCGGACATGTCCGCGGACAATTCTCCCAGTCGCTCAGACATTCTCACTTGTGTGGACGAGCGCATGGTCAATTCCTTCTCGGCTTTCTGAGTGAGTTTGGCCTCGGGCATATCCGAAGGGCATCCAGCGCTAAAGGTTACGTCAGAGCACGTGACCGTGGTGTCACGCCCCTTTGCCGTGGCCTGTGTCGCGCGCGACGCTTTGTTCTTCCTCTCCGACCGCAGATTACGCGCCGTTCACTTGCTTTCCTCGCCTTTTCTATCTGGAGGACTTTTAGAAAGGCAGCTTGACGTGGAATATTTGTTACCGAAGGCAATAGAGACCAAAACGCCGTGTGCGAAGCTTGCATTGCGCGGGAGTCGCTCGACCACGCGAAACAGGATTAGGGCCTGGTAAGTGTTCAATGCATACTTCCTCCACGGCGCAGAAAGTCTGGCTATCTGGCCTATATTTCCACGCTTGAGAGTGGCGGTGGCGGTGGGCATGGGCTGCGCGAATGGTGGACGGCGAACAGCGAGCGGTGAACGACTGAGACTCAAACGTGTCTGATTGTGTGTTTTCCAGGGTCGTACATGAATCCGCGTGCTCCTCCCACATACTCGGCAGCAGATTGGTGGAGACCCCATCAACCACACTCTCAACCCCCAAATATTCAAGCACACGGAAACCCGTACTATTCGCCACCCAACGCCTCGCCCCACAACATGGCAGCACCTCCTTATCCACCCTCCGACCCGACGCCCTTCAAAGACGTCCTGAGCGTGTTCGCCACCGCGCTCGACAAGGTCGACACGCACATGACCGCGCGGCTCAACCGCATGGAGATCGCGATGGGCAACATGGCAAAAGTCGCGACCGAGGCGCTCCAGGTCGCCACCAGCGCGCGGCAGGAGACGAAGGACGGGCTCGAGCGGCTGCACACGGGCGTCGTGAACGCGGCGAAGTGCTCGCTCGCGAGCTCGGAGAAGATCGAGATGATCCTGGGCGACGTGAGCGGCGATCCGGACGCCGATCCCGAGCATGAGCGCGCGACGGTGCTCGGGCGCATACGCCAGCTCGAGCGCGCGGTCGTCGAGCTGTCCGAGAGCGTGAGCGATCCGGATGCGGCGCGTGAGTGTTGCATAATGCCGTTGAGATGTCCTCTGAACAGTTTACAGGTCCGACCATTGTGAGGCACGAGGCTGGGGTGAACACCGACCCCGTCGTGCGCCAGTTGGTCGATGCAGGAGTCGACACGCTGCACCTCGCACCGCCCGTGGTATGTCTTCAACAAATACTCCCGACCCGCTCGAGGTTTTTGGCGAAATTCGACGTGGAATGGGTACTACGCGACGCTCGCGCCCTCAACGTACCGCACCCAACAAGTTTCAACGCGCCAGGCACAGTATTACACGCGCGAGCCTCGTATTCATGTCCACTGACGGGCGTCTATTTACGTGCAGTAATCCTCGCACCTCCAGCGTCGCCGGGGACGTCGCGCGGAGGCCGAAAACACTTACGGCGTGCGTGCGCGAACATCTCGATGCACGCCCTCGATGCCCACGCCCTCAGGCTCATCACCCGCAGGTGAGTGGAGTAATGACGCCGGCGTACCTGCGCGGAGTGGGCGTGGAAGACGAGTGCAATGGCAGACGTACGCACATGCAGCCGCTCGCGCGGAGCGTGTCCAACAAGGTTCAAAGCGACAAGTACGGTACTGCATGCTCGAGCCTCGTATTCACCTCTACTGACGGGTGTCTGATAGCTCGACCACGCCCTCGCAGCTCCGACCTCGCCCAGACGTCGGCAACACTCACGGTGAGCGTATTCGAACTTCCCGATGCAACCCCTCAACGCACGACATCATTACCTGCCGGCAAATGATACTTATTCGACAAACGCCGCCATCACGCTGAGATCTATCGCGAAATTCGACACGAAATCGATACCACACGGCGCTGCCAGCTACGGTAATACATGCAGCAGCCTCGCATCATGTCTACTGACGGACGTCTACGTATCACAGATGCTGGTCCGCTCTAGCGCACCTCCAGCGTCGCGGAGGCCGACGGCACTCCCGGCGAGCGTGTGCGAACATCCCTTCGCGCGCGCCCGACGCCCACACCGCCAGGCTCGGCGCTCGCAGGTGAGTGCGGTGATGCACGCCTGCGTACCTGGTGTCTATCAGCACGAGGAACGAGTGCAGCGGCGGACGTATGTACGCGCCTACGTCGAGTCAAGCCGCACCACGCACTGCGCACTGCGCTCTGGGCCACGAGGGGCCGCATCGGCCACGGGCAGCAGCGCGGACAGCGGTGCCGGCGTCCACGCACGACGTGTGCGGCGACGCGAGAGGGTGTAGGAAGCGCAGAGCAGAGCGGAAAGCAAAGAGGGGAGAGGAAAGCACGGGAGGCCTGATGCAGCCCCGAACCTGTCGTGTCCTGCAATATATACCCGCCCGTGCGCTAATCTCTGTTTTCGTCTTGTTTGCATGTCGCGAGCGTCCCGCGCGGGGCGCGGCGAGCCGAGCACAGACGCCGCCCCACGGATCTGTCCCTCTGCACACGCGAAACGGGGCGCGAATGGGGCTTTGGGCAGTTTGTTCGGGTCCCCGCCGTCGACGCGCGGTGTCGGGTGCCCCTCCGTGCGAGCGTCGTGGGTACGCGTCCGGGCGTCCGGGCGTCCGGGAGCCCGGAAGATAGGATGGCGACGGCGTACAGCACGTCTACAATGTCGTGTGCACGATGTCCTGCGTACACGCCGAGTTGTGTGTACGACCGTCCCCGCCGCTCGTCCATGGAGATGCACGCCGGACGCCGTCCTTGCCCATCACGCCCGGTGCGCAGCGCTGGGGCCTGGGGGGAACATGCGAAACACGCCGTGGCGGCCTTGAAGCGAGGCGAGCGTTGGGCGCACCCAGTGGGCCCTGCTCGTCCGCGGGGTAGAGCGCAGTCTCGAGCGTCACCTCAGCAGCGACCTGCAGCGCATGCGAATGCGGCGATACACCATCTCCCCCGAAGATGACCTGTTCTCTGCTCGCCCGTCGAGGCGTGCGCCAACTCGGACGCGGTTCCCGCCCGACATAGACACAGACTGAGATTGGCCGCGGCGGAGGCGGCGACGCTTGCGCCGTACGCGTGCCTCCCGACGGCTGGAACACCCAGAAATTAGCCCGAGACGGCCGCCCGTCCGTCGTCGAGCGAGCCCGGGAGGGGTATGTGCATCGTCGGCGTCCGGCGCGCGGCCGACGTTGCTCACCCGTCGTTTCGCGCAGGACCTGGCCCACACGGGTGCTCGTTCAAGGTCGACCGGGTGCGCCCTCGGTGCGGCGCGGACGTGCTGCCTACGTCGCCCGATGGGCAGAATATTACACGACGTGCGATCCGCACGTACGGCGGTGCACATGTTCCTTTACGCCCGCTGCAGACCGCCCCAGATGCTCGGAATATACGCATGACGCTGTGCCTGCAGCGCATGCACGAGCACAGAGATGCCGTTGACGTCCTTCGCCCGGAATACGGTGAACACCGCTGCAGACCCCTCGGTCATCCTCCGTCCCTTGCACCCTGAGCGAGCACGTTTTACGCAGCTGGATAGCTACTATTCCTCGCCTCCTCTATGTACGTTTACAGCTCGTCTCGACGCGCATGGCACTGACAGCGCCGTGATAGGACACCCCATAGGCGCCGTTAGAAAACATCTCCCGCCGGTGCGATACTGAACACTCCGCTTTGAAACGCGGAGAGCAGGTCAACATAGCATAGACGACAATGTGGCTGCATGCACGAAGACCCCGCAGCCATAGTTCGACCGCGATGTTGTTTCCTCCTCCGCCACCCTCTCCCGGCCTCCCATCCGCTCTCCCGCCACCTACGACTCGTTGGCGCGCTCCACTTCAGCGATGCACGGCACATACGACGCTTTCCATGCGCTATGTAAGTTCTCAAGTCGTCCAAACACAAACTGCGCTGACGACGTCCATTTTTCAGATCACCCCCGCTCAAAAAAAATCAACAGCACACTGCAAAGTGCGCGTATCGACGCCTCTCGCGCACATACCACATCCACAGAGCACCCTCTACCACCCGCGACGACCCCAGCGCCCCACGACAACATCCGCCGCGCGCACACCACACCCCATCCGCAGCCAACTCGCCCGACTCGCCAACTCCGCCCCGCCCCGCCGGCTCCCCCACGCGCTCAAATCTACGACGCACAGCTCCCATGAACCAGGGCGCACCCACCCCGTGAGTCCCAGCGCACTGGGGACAAAAAATATCTGCGCCAATTTCGCTCATTTCTTTGCGTTTTCCACGCGCAGATGCGCCGAAACGCGCATTCCGGCACGCACCCGCACCCTACCGCCGCGCCACTTGGCGTGGACGTGTCTCGGGACTGTCGGCATCGTCCCCCGCCGCTTGCAGGACTGTACGATGGCGGGATTGTGTGCCGCGTACGTCGGGACGGCTGCCCGCTCTCGGCGTGTACGTCTTGTGGCCTCGTGTGACGCCGCCGTTTCTGACATGCGCCGCTGGCTTCGATCGCAGGCCACACATCCCGCGACGACCCGCCGTTCCCGCCAGTGACGACTCGGAGGCAACCCCAAACGTTCGTCCGACTCGGTCGCCCATCGCGCGGCGGACAAAAACACGGCATGGACGACACGCCATTGGCCTACTCGTACGCGCAAGCAGCCCCGCGCTATGTTCGGAGTGCGACCGTTCCCCGCGAGCGGTCGGATCGGGTGTCGTACGTACTACGAGTGTTCGAGGCTTTGCACGCGTCGCTGACTCGTGATTCGCTCACAGGACGGCCAAGACGCGCACACACAATGCCGTGCGTCTTCGCGACGCGGTTCGCTCATGGGACGGTCGAGACGCACGCGATATCGTGCTAATTTCGACGCGATGGAGCGAATTTAAAGGGCGTGCCTCGGATACGTATGCGACCCTGGCCAACGATAGCGGATGCGGACAGGCCGCTTCGACCAGCGCCGCCGCTTGCAAGATTGCTCTGCTCGCCCGAGGTCCCGTATCGGGTACAATCTCACGAACCAGCACGTACGAGGGCTGCGAGCGGCTCGGCATCTGACGACAATAGCGGTACTCAAGACCTCGCCCCATACGCTACAACATCGCCTCGGGAAAGAACAGCCTTAGTGTATCGGACTCGGTCCGCGTGCACACAAGACAACACGATCCTGGTCCCGCACGCTACGCCCGGGACGCGTACGAGCCGGAGATTACGGTACGTACTCCAGTTACGTCTTACGCCCAGAGGCTCACTGTTCACCCGCTATGCGTTCGCAGGACCGCCCTCGAACATGCGCACGAAACTGGCCCTTGAGGTTCCCGGCGCGGCCTGCCGCGCCTCCGCTTCGCTCAACCGACATCTGCTGGCGCTCAGGACGGCTGAGCGCGACCCTGGTCGACAAAAATGGGTGCGGAATCCATGATATCGTCGCCAAGATGGTGCGACACGGCGGGGGCACGGGAGCTCGATATTGTACTCCCTCGGCGCGGACGTCTCGCGAGCACCGACGTGCTCGGATTCGATGCACATCTGGTACGTAAGCAGACAGGCACGGCACTGTACAACAGACATCTGCGGCCGCGACGCCGTTTTCAGATTTGTACAACCCTCCGTATTGCAAATGACATAGCACGGCACAAATTGCGCATGAACTGTCCATTCGTGTATGTTCTCCGGTCATTTCGAGCACCTACCGCTCCTCGTTTACGATGTCCCACTCCCCGCGACAGCACAAGCAGGACCTCGCGCGGACGGCCAAACGAGACCGACCCGCACTCGAAATCCCGCGGTACCCCCTCAGGACCCCAACAGTTCTTCGACGCTCTTCCTCAAGCATTTGCCGAAACAGTGGCGGGACGATAATGCTGTGAACATCGGCAGACCCGCGTCGCCCAACGGCTCGATCTGCGCGCGAAGGGAAGATTGTCCTTAACTTCGTAGGGACTATGTTCGAGCACCGAACGTGTCCCACACTCACGACGCCGCGAAATTGACTTGTGAACGTCTCAGTAAACGGTGAGTGGTCGCTTGGAGCGCGGACAATCACACTGCCTTGCTGACGGCTTGTCCTAGTCGCGCGGCGACGGTCGTATTAGGATGCGATACGAGGGTGGGAACGACTCGTTCGATCGCGTTCTCCGCCCCCCTGATCGCTTTGCAGCCGCCGCGCGAACGGTGCGAATGAGTGCTTCCCGGTGGATCGCGACGCATCTCCCCCTCGGGAAGCTTACGAGGACATTGAACCTCGGCCGCGGCGTTTCAGGCGGGGCGCAGTGTTCCGGTGGTCAGGACACGCACAAGCATCGAAGGTGAGTGGTACGGAGGCCGATGTGGGTGTAGACAGCGAGGCAATGTCGCCTGCGCGACAGGATGCAGAAGATACGCGGCGGCGGAGCACTCGATTGGCGTAGACCTGCGTGCGAGGGCTCGGGGCTGGGACTCGGTGGCTGCCCGGTGTATCGTTCCCCGCCCGCTGTTTCGTGTCGAGAATACGTTTCGGACCCCAGATCTCGCGCCTGAAGTGCTCGTCTCCGGTCGGATGCTATGCGAGGGCGGAATTCGCGGCCGCCGCGCCCGCTGGGTGGGACTCTGGGAGCACCCGCATGTGTCCTTGCGGCCTGCCCATCGTGCACGTCCCCGAGCCCATCTCGCGTCGCGCCGACGTCTGAGGGGAATGCACCATACGTGCTCGACGCTGTATTCATGTGGCTACGGGCAGGGTTCGCGGCTCTGGTGCTGTACACTGCTGTGGCCGGCGGCCCAATGCCCCCCATTTTCGGCTCTCCCGCCTCAATAACGCTCCTGCAGCGCTCGTAAACGTGGCAGAGGACGTCTATGCACCGTTTCGCATGCATCCAGCACCATTTCCGCGCCCTCCGCGAAGATTGTATTTGTATGATGTATGTCATTTTCGGGCACTTTCGTGTGCAAAGTGCCTTAATTCGAGCATTCCGCCCCACCCTCGCCTCGTATCGCCGCCTCGACTTGCATTCATACTGCCGTAACCCCGCGGAACACTCTCCCGTCGCGTTGCAGCGCGTACTGACAGTTTGAAATTGCTCATTTTCTGCATTCCAGGTGCCTGGCCGCCGGCGCCCACACCGAAGATCGACTATTGCGCCCCCGTACCCCGTCCCAGGCCTCCAAAAATGCGGCCACATGAACCATCGCACCACGCTGCACGCTATCGGTACGTTTTGCGTCCCCTGCTGAGACGAAATCCCGTCAGCTCTGGGTACAAGCTCGGGAAGCTTTGAGCTTCAGCCACACAAGATCGGGCATTCCAACTTGCCCGTGCCCCGCACCGTCGCCTAAACTCGTACACAAGCCGCCGTGGTCTCCCTGTGTGCTCTCGCATCGCTCTCGAGGGCGGGTGATCGTTTCGCACATTGATACGATCTTTCGCAGGCTCCTTCGTGGTTCGAGTCCGACGCCGGGAGCACACCGACCCTGCCGCATCGACAGCGCCCCAGGTGCGTCTGGAGACGCAATCATGGATACTGCAACTCCACTGCGCGTGCGCACAGGGCGCGTACCGCGTTCTACGCGAAGATGGAGATCGACTCGGTGTCGGACACTCGCATGGGTGAATTACGAAGCCGGATTGAGCATCCCGCCCCGCCCTTGCCGCCCACCGCTACACACGCCCGTGTACACAATTGTGTGAATGCCCTCACCCTTCGTATGTCTCCTCCAAGCCTGCGCAGATGTTTCCAATCTAATCTACACTCCAGGACCGAAATCCCATGCTCACGGTGGGCACATTCAAGTTCTCGTGCATTCCTCGCACCCATCTATGCGGCTGCACGGTGTTGTCGATCAACGAAACGACGCTTGCTCGGTTGCTCCTGATCGACGAAGCGCAGAGCAGTAGTGTCATGAAAGTATAAGGTACACGACTCGGTTTCTTACGCATCATACGGTGCTCACTCCACGGCGATCCGGGCATGCAGAAACATTTCGCGCACCGGCGGTCAGCGCGCCCACGCGCTCACCTCCGCTCGTCCCGAACGGATAGCACCGAGTCCCACGAACAGAACTACGGCGTTCCGAAGGCTGGGCGCGCAAGCGGGCATACAGAGCAACTGGACGCGGGAACCGCTTCGGGGTGCGCCGATTGCGCGCGCCCTGTCTCGTCTCGCATGCCGGCGGCCGCGCAATATCCGCTGGGTCATCTGGAGGGACAGCGACGCGTCCCAAGAGCTGGGAATCGAGGTGTACAATTTTGAATAGTCGCACCAGGCTGTCTCGAGTGTACATAGATCCTATCCCAATAAAACGCGTGTCCCGTATGAAGCGATTGCCAGAGGGGATGACAGTGGACGAGCTCGTGGCTAGCAGGGATGTGGACTCAGGGCACAGTCTGCTATCCGCGCGAGCACTGAATGTAGATGGCTAGATTGTCTCTCCTGTCATGCCGTTCGCTCCTCGGGCCGTACACCTCTTGCTGCCGTCGGATATATATTTTGTACCTTATTTCTAACATGCCTACTCGCTACCGTCGTGTACGGAATGTCCGAGGTTATCAACAGAGGAAGCGCGTCCTCGCTCTCGATGTGCTGACACATTTTGAGCGTGACCGTGGCCGTGTCGACTTTGCGGAGACTCCTCGGGCTTGGGGTGCGACCAAACCGTTGCGTAAGTGCAGCCTCGTGTTACCGTTCGGAAGGCCATGTTGCGGGGCCTGAAAGGACACAAGCAAGTAGATTAGTGACCGTGGACTCGAGGTCTAAGGAGATGCGTGCAGCGCGTACGAGCAGGGTGCGGACTCGGAGTCCTCGGAGACGGCGGATGCCCAGACACGGAGTGGGGCGCGCGGTGAAAGTGCGAGCCGAGAGTAGTGCAGGGTAAGCTGCGAGCGCCCCGAGAATGCCAATTATGATGTTCGGTGCGGGAACTGTACGCCCTGAGTGAGTGTAATGTGAGATCGAGAAGCATGAGATAGTACCGACTGGTTCTCGACTTTCCCTGAGGCGATCGCGCGGCCGCTTTGCAATCAAACCCTGTCTATCTCCCCAGGTTTGATACGATGGGGCAGCCAATCCAGGGCGACACGAGAAGCGTTGGAATGAATCGAACACTTACAAGATTTAGTACAGCAAGCAATCCGGACATGAGTTCAAGCGCAGGGTTGGCGGATGAGTCTGGATCGTATTAGCGCACTGAAAAGCTACTTTCGAGCCTCGAGACATGGTGCCGAGCATGGCGGCATGAGCGTGGCGAGAGTAAGTACATGGCCGATCGAGGAGAGCGGCGAGTGGCCCTGCACTCAAGCGCTCGCGAACCACACTGTGTTCCCGATATAGCAACTGAGATTGACCCCGCCTCCGGGGTCATTTGCCACGTTCGCACTTTCCACCGCTCCGCGAGGCAGCCGCCGCGGGCGCGAACTGGAGCTATCGCCGAGGCACATCATGAGCAACATTTTCCGCCAAGGAATAAACGGCGGCCGTGCGCGTCGTGGCGCTGTGGGTATCCGGGTCGAGCAGTCAACTTCAGTGCCGGCTTCAACACACCGGCGGGATATGGCGAGAGCATTTGTGGCTTGAATATGACTCGCTCTGTCTTGTAATGGACCTTATACATATGAGTACAAGTACAATACTTTACAGAAGCATCAGGGAAATAGTCGACCGGGCATGGGAGAAAGGCTGTATGGGACATGCAGGCTTCCTGCCTGTCCCAAACACCCTTTCCCAGCATGCCCAGCTCCGTCCTGGGCAACGGGCGGTGTGAGTGCGTGAGAGGGTAACTTTATTATCCCTGCACGGTCGGGCGACCTCCGAAATCATGATATCAGGCGAGAACAGTCGGGGTGCCGAAAATCTAAGGCGTTCCAGATCAAGTGAACCTAAGAGGGAAATACCAAGCCTTTCCAGAGCAGGATGCGGCCGGAAATCACACCTCCGGGAGGAGCTGTGCGGGCACCTCCCGGAATTAACGACATATATTTTTCCCGGGCGGAACTGCCAAACAGTTGCCGCTCGCGTACATGACCCTTGCGCGCCATCTTCGCCGTGCTCCCACACACCGCCCATTTGTGACCGCCCGCAAGGCTGATCGGCACCGCCGGACCCTCCGGAGAGCTGCTCGGAATGCACAGTAGTAAGCACAACAATTCTGCAGCTCGGCAGAACATCTCACCGGGACGTCTCCCGCTGGTCTGGCCTCCTCGCCGTACTGCACCACCTCCGTCGCACCGGATGTTGCCGTCCTCGCGCTAGGTGTGTCACCAAGTAGTGTTAAAAATATATTGACAGAACGTGCAGGATACCTACCCGAGAGAATGTCCCGCCGCCGTCATTTGCTCCCGCCATTGCCACCTCTGCAGCTCCCCTATGAACGACCCACTACGCACCTCTGCACTCCACGCGCGCACTCCGACTTCGAAAGCCAGCCGCGATGCGACCTCGCGAGCACGCCCGCACAACATCCCGCTCGACCGCGCCGTTCGAGATTGCCGCACCCCACCTACCATGCTGCACTGGCTACGAGCCGGACTCGCGTCCTCCGAGTCGCATTGGTGCAGAGGCCTATCGACATCCTTGGTGAGTTGCTCCGCCGTCGAGAGCAACTATGTACTCACCGCCCGTACACAAGTTCAATGGAGCTCCGTCGGGGATCGAGAAGGCTGCATCTCGCCGCTGCAACTCCGTCAAACGAGGCCGGTGGCCGCCCATAGCGCGACGGGCATCCGACAGGCAAGCAGCCTGCGTTGCGAGCGACGATTCATCGCCTGTAAGCACACCACATCGCGTCGAGACCCTCCCGGCACTCACGACAAGCACCGTCCAGACCGCTGGCTGCTGCGAAGGCCGCGCGCGAGAAATTGGTGTAGCGAACTGGAATCACGCTGTCAGCACGTTCGCACGCGATGGGCGACGTCTCGTGTACCACCGTGGTACCAACAGACGGGTGGCTGCTGCTTCACAAAGTCCGCACGCGCGCTCGACATCCGCATGCGCCTTGATGTCCGCATGCCCCTCGACATCCTCGCACCCATCGACGGCCGTGTGCCCGCTCGACGTCCGCACGGCCATCGTCGTCCACACACCCTCACCGCACGGGAGACCTCCGTGCACCTATTCCGCGCGCATGTCAGTTTTGACGCACACCGTCGTACAAGACGTGCCTACGCATGCCGCCGCGCCCTCCTCGTGACCGCTTTGCGCACGCCGCCAGAGGACACGCACACGACATCGCGACGCCTCGGCGCAGGTGTCTTCATGCCGGCTTCCGCGATGCCGGCGGCCCTGCGCTGCGGTACAGAGTGGACACGCGAAATGGGAGCTCTGCGAGTCGAGGGCGCGGGCAAGCGACGATACCGTCGAAGGTGAGCACACTTATCACTTGCATCTGTCGAGGTCTACTTACCGAGGCTTGCAGGTCGCTCGCGGGCGGCGAGAGCGCGCGGGCGAGAACGAGGAGGCTGGGGGAGACACTGCGGGACGGCGCGCGACGTTTGCCGACCCGGTACGGCGGTGGACGTACAAGATGGGCCAGGTATGACCACCGGTTGGAGAGGGCGGTCGGCGCCTATGCACGACATCGGTCTTGCGGGCCGCGGTGGGCTGCGTTCCTTCGTTCGAAGTCGAGCGCGGGTACGAGAGCGGCGATGAGGTGGGGCGAGACGAGCAGGGCGTGAGAGGACAGAGAGGGGGCGGATACAGCCGGTCTCGTAGGCGGATCGAGAGTAAGTGCGTCGACTTTGCGGAGAGCGCGGGCGACAGATACTAAGAGATCGTGATAGTGCAAGGAGTCGTCGGCAGAGCAAGAGAAGCGCGGAGAGTAGCCGCCAGAGCACAAGCGAGCGAAGGGCGGCGCGGGACAGCGCAGAGACGGCGTGGGCAAGGCGGAGCAGGGAGATGGACAGTCCTCGGAGCGAGTAGATACATGGCGAGCGAGCACGTGTAGTAGGGCGTCGTCGAGCGCAGAGAGTGGGAGCAAGGACACGAGTCCGGGAAACAAGGTCGTGGTCGAGAGACAAGTCCGAGTCCGTAGGCGCCCGCTCCTCGTCCTCGCGCGAAGTCCCTGCGGCCTCCATGTATGCACTCCCCTCTGTCTTCTCCCAGAACCCTCTCCTTTCTCGAATAGAGCCAGAGTCCAGCATTGTCAACGGCCACTCGCCGCACTCTGACGCGCACCCGCACGCGTGACGTCATCGCTCGAGCGAGGGTGGCAGGAAGCCGCTGCCCTCGACCATGGCCCGTCCGGCGCTAGAGTTACGTCAGAGCACGTGACCTTGGTGTCACGCTGCTTTGCCATGGCCTGTGTCGCGCGCGACGCTTTGTTCGTCCTCTCCGCCCGCAGATTACGCGCCGTTCACTTGCTTTTCTCGTTCTTGCTATCCGGAGGACTTCAAGAAAGGCAGCTGGACGCGCTTTACTTGTTACCAAGCGTGATAAGGGTCACAACGCATTGTGCGGGAGTCGCTCGACCACGCGAAACAGATTAGGGCCCTGGTAAGTCTTCAACGCATACTTCCTCCACAGTGCAGAAAGCCTGGCCTTCTGGCCTACGCTCCCACGTCTACGTAGCATGGAGAGGTTGATGGTCTGCTTGACCAGCGAGTGGTGACTAGTTGCTGTGCGCAACGTACTTGATACGTCGCATATTGCGTCTCGGCGCAAGCTTTACTGGAGTCGCTTTTCCAGGCCAGCTCTGGTTACTGTTCTATTTGCCCTTTGTCGAGGATCTGATGCTGGGGGCACCTGCTTGTGTGTCTATTACCTGCCCGCCTCGCATCATGACGAAGTCGATGGACTCTGTCTCCAGCGGGTGGCGGTGGCGGTGGGTATGGACTTGCACGAATGGTGGACGGCGAACAGCGAGCGGTGAACGTACGGCTAAGAGTCAACCGTGTCGTGTGGGCTGTGAACCCCCCCCCCCGGTTTTCGCGATATCCAACAGCGTACCCGTCTCACACGACACACACACGGCACATGTCACAATCAGCGACTGATTGTGTCTTTTCTAGGGTCGTACATGAATCCGCGTGCTCCTCCCACATACTCGGCAGCAGACTGGTGGAGACCCCATCACCCGCATCCTCAACCCCCAACCATACAACCACACGGAAACCCGTACTATCCGCCACCCAACGCATCGCCGCACAACATGGCAACACCTCCCTATCCGCCCAACGACCCGACGCCCTTCAAAGACGTCCTGAGCGTGTTCGCCACCGCGCTCGACAAGGTCGACACGCACATGACCGCGCGGCTCAACCGCATGGAGATCGCGATGGGCAACATGGCAAAGGTCGCGACGGAGGCGCTCCAGGTCGCAACCAGCGCGCGGCAGGAGACCAAGGACGGGCTCGAGCGGCTGCACACAGGCGTCGTGAACGCGGCGAAGTGCTCGCTCGCGAGCTCGGAGAAGATCGAGATGATCCTGGGCGACGTGAGCGGCGATCCGGACGCGGATCCCGAGCACGAGCGCGCGACGGTGCTCGGCCGGATACGCCAGCTCGAGCGCGCGGTTGTCGAGCTGTCCGAGAGCGTGAGCGATCCGGATGCGGCGCGTGAGTGTTGCATAATGCCGTTGAGATGTCCTCTGAACAGTTTACAGGTCCGACCATTGTGAGGCACGAGGCTGGGGTGAACACCGACCCCGTCGTGCGCCAGTTGGTCGATGCAGGAGTCGACACGCTGGACCTCGAACCGCCCGTGAGGCGCATAGATGCCGACGTCCAGGTCGATATGCCTGCGCAGATCCCCACAATATCGTTCCGTCCTCCCCGGTCATCTGCGGGGGCACCGCTCAACCGCTACCGAGCGACACCACAGGCTGAAGGTACTCGCATCTACGGTTCTTCTCAGCGCGATTTTGACTGATTGACGATCAAGGATCGCCAGCGTTACGAGCTGCGTCGGTGGCATTCGCCGTACAGCCGCTCGCGCCCGCGCACTGGAGCCCAGCGGCCGGATACACCGGTGCGTCGTTCCCTCCATGCACACACTACACGGGAATGTTGACAAAGCCGTGCTGCATAGACGGCTCAAGCTCGTCCGCCACCAGCAAGGTCCCTTCACCGAGCGTCGACACGTCCACGGAGCGGCTTCTCACCGCTAACGCGCCCGCGACAGTCCCGTCTGCGTCGTCCGAGGGGCGCGCGAGCTCGATCTTCGACGAGCAGGAGATCTTGCAGAGCCTCGGGGCGGACGCCGACGGTGGTTCCCATCCTCCGAGCAGTCCTTCGCCTGTCCCCGCCGCTCAGAAGCCTCCGACACCTCCTCTGCCGCGTACAACCCCGGTCATACCGCGCAGGTCGGCGTTCGTACGGCCAGGTGCGGCGTCGGGATCGCCAATCTCGGTCGCATCCGCTTCACCTCCAACCAAGGCGATGACAGTCTCGTCCCCCGCAAGCCAGTCACAGCAGAACGGATCGCCGCCGATTCCCAGACGGAACGTGATAGCGGCCATGGCGGCTGCAGCGGCGTCTACATCGGCGTCTACGGCCACAATGACAACGATGGCTGCGGTGTCCTCCTCTTCCTCGGCGCCACTCGCACCACGTTCCCCAGTCCCCATCCCGCGCGGATTCGGGCGGCTGAACGCCATATCGGTGGGCTCGACCTTGTCGCCCTCCAGCGCCTCACAGCCGTCGCCAACACGCGCGCCCGCCGCAACGCCATCCACGCCTGGATCGCTCTCGTCGCTGTCCTCGCTGTCAAGCCCGCCGAAGTCCCAGGCGCAGACGTCCTCCGAGCGCAGCGACGGCTCCAGCGCGAGCGCAAGCGCACCGGTCGCAGCACCCGCGCGCAGTACGTCAGCGCGGGGCCGGGGTAAGGGGGCGGCGCGCGGCGGGAAGGCGGGGGCGAGCGCGAGTGCGCGGGTGACGGTGAAGAAGGAGCGGAGCGAGCCCGGGCAGCTTGGGCCTGCGGCGAAGAGGCGGAAGACTATGGGTAATGTTGACGATGTGTCAGCGAGTGCGTCGACCCCGGGTGGGAAGGCGGCGCGTGGACGAGGGGGCGGGCGGGGACGCGGGCGTGGCGGGACCTCGAACGGGAAGAGTGCTGCCCAGGCTAAGACCAAGGCCGATCCGCCGGGAGTTGGCACGGACTGTCGGTGGCCTGCGAAGATCGACGGGGACGAGGCGTATCAGCGCGAGGTGCGTGGTTCCTTGTCTGGGATTCGTGGTGCTGTGCGTGAAGTTCACGATCTTATGCGCAAGTTTGTGCAATGCGACAAGTACGTATTTCTCGCCTTGACGTGCGCTGTATACGGGGCTGACGAGATAAACAGTTGCGAAGCGTGGTACCACTTTGGGTGCGTTGGCTTGCAGATGGGCGACCCGCGCCTGGAGCCGGACGCGGAGTTCGTGTGTCCGCCCTGCGAGAGTTCTAGGTGCGCCCCATCGTCCGCCCCCCGCTGCGCTCTCCCACTCATCACTTGCCTGTTGCGCCACAGTTCCAACCGTACGTTACTCACCCATGACCAGTTCGAGTTCAGACTGATCACGGCCCTCCGCAGATCAACAGCGCCAGGGGCTGCGCTTCCAAGAAGCCGCATGCATGCGCCCGGACTGCGAGCGCGCGGGGCTCGCAGAGGACACGAACGAATACTTCGTCGAGCGCATCATCGGGCGGCGCCCATACGAGGCGGACATCGCCGACGGTGTCAAGCGGCCCTCGCGCTTCCTCTGGCTCGTCAAGTGGGACGGGTGCGTCGTCCTCTTCCCTCCTCGGTCTCGCTCATGTGCTGCGGTGTGCGCTAACGCTGATCGGGGTAGGTGGAAGGCGGAGTCGGCGTCGTGGCAGGAGCGCGCGCACCTGGGCGACTGCGCGCGGTTCATCGAGGAGTTTGAGGAGGCGGCGGAGATCGAGGGCCGCGCGGTCGATAAGCTGGACAATATCATCGTCTTGAACGAGGGCATGGCCGCTGGGTGGTGAGTGGCGTGGGGTACTTGTGGTTGGAAGGGCTGTGGCTGTGGCTGTGTGGAAGGGGGGCGCGGTGGAGGTCGAGGGGGAGGGGGGCTTCCGGACTCTTGGTGTTGTGCTCGCAGGTCGTGTTGGTGCATGTTTTGATGATCGCTATCGTAGCTTTGAGCCTTGTTATAGTCGTCTTTGTAGCATATAGCTTTTCTTCGCCGGTTTATGTGCTCGGAATGCTCGGTCAGACTCAAAATTTTCGCTGGTGTAGAGTGCGACGCCCGACTCCACCTCTGAAGTATAAATTTGCATCTTATCACTACCGGCATGAACTATTATAGTTACTAAGCTACTCAAGGTAGCATTGAGTCGCGACGGAGTGCTGATCATGCCTTTGGATCTGGCGGATAAGCGATATAAGTTCAACGCGGTATCGGTCAACGGCGGATGGGATGAAGTTGGGACGAAGTCGTATGACAAACGATCGAGGATACTGGCAGCCGTTAGGCGCAAGAGACGATTGTACGTGTTTGCTAGAGTGCGTATCCTACATCATAACATCAAACCCCGGAACCTTGCTTGTGCTCGCCTTCGTCACAACTGCGTCGCACCTCTATGCTAACTTCGACGGCCCTCCAATGCTGGCCCTGAAACAAATCTAGGCGTTTCATCAGCCGCTTGGTCGTCGCGCGGACTTGCCTGAGGTGCTGGAAACCCGGTCCATGTCAGATGTAGACACAACTTCGACATGGTAAACGCCCATCTCGCAGGTGGAACATGACGTACGGCGATGTCTGGGCCCAAGATGCGGAAGGCGTACAGAGAGGTCTCAAGGGACTTCAGGTCTTGCAATATCTAGATGGTGGATGAGTTTTATTAGCCTCAGAAAATCCAGAACTCGCACATAAATTGGGGGGGAGGGGGAGGGGGGGGAGAACTACAGGTACTCGGAGGAGGGCACGGCTGAATTCGACATACATAGTAGCTCCATGTATCAGACATAGCCTGGATGGCCGAGATCATCCCCAGGATATCTTGAACAATGGTCCTAAGCCTAAGATGCGAGTTCACCGAGTGTGGGTCATGGATACTACCCCGCCTCAAAGAGGAAAAGCATTTAAGCAGCGTACCTTGCGAGATCCTCTTGTGGGTATGTCCGACCCCAAGCCACAGCTAGATGAGTATTGTGATCATGGCCAGTTGGGTGCAGTAACGATCACCTTCGTTTAGCACACGCGCCTCGAAAAAGGACTCTAGCTCCTCAAGATCTGCCGCCTCCACGTCCCAGGTCGAAATTGATTGAGCACGATAGTTAGGTCACAGTCAGTAATGTCCACTATACTGCAATTTCTACGTGACTTACTTCGTCGACCTTGTCCTTGTCCTTGTCCTTGTCCTCGTCCTCGTCGGAGTTCGAGTCCGAGTCCGAGTCCGGGTTCTCGTCCTCGGAGCAGTATATATCACTAAAAAATTCATAATGTGAGCTACTTAACGTTGGGCAAATCAAGCATTGTCGATGACGGGCTTGCTAGAGTCTGTTGTGACACACTTACCTGGCGCCCACCTCCCCGATGCCCTCGAAGACGTTGCTTAGTATAACCTCAGGTTTGCGGCCAATATGTTTCCTTAACCGATATAGGAACTGCTGTATGTGCCAACGGATTCTGCCGAAAGCCTGGAGGTTACTTTCAGCAGCTTTGACGGGCTTCTTGATTATCTGGTATATGAGACATTCAAATAAAGATGAACAACGACTTGAAGACGCGGGGACCATTATTTACCTCCCAAACAATGTCGATATCTGCTACCGCGCCATCGACGTTACCGTGGACTTCTCCGAACATCTCGCGAGTTCCTAAGACCGTATTGTCGTACACCCCTAAACAGACGAGCCATTAGTTCTACAAACTCGGGCAAAATTACTCAGTGATTACATCGCATAGAGTGATATGTCTTAACGGCGTGGTCATAGATGTCGTGGCCCCTTATTGCCCTTAGTTGCCTTAGCATTTTTGAATTTTCGTGCTGAGAAAGTTTTGTCAGCGTGAAAATGCCAGAATGTGGTCAACATCGACGAACAACACAAAAAAAAACGGTGCAGGTGCGACGGACCCTGACCAGCAACACATTCAAGAAATCACCCTTAGCAGCTTAGCACTTATTTGCCCTTAATGCGGCAAATAAGGGGAAATAAGGCCATTAAGGGAAATCCGAAACTCCTGATGGGACATGAAAGCGGATTTCCTGTGGCGGGGAATATGAGTGGGTGTAAACCAATCGTATTAGCGCGAGAACCTGAGTTCGAGGCTCACATCGCCAATTTGGGTCCACTGCCACAAGAAAACACCTCTGCTCGGTGTGAACCAGTCTAATGGTGGGTATTGCTCACCATACAGCGCTTCAAGGGAGTACGTCACCCCGTGGGAGAGACCAAGAACGCAGTTGGCCCTCAAGTGGAACCGATGGAAGTCCTGGAAGAAATGGCCGTCTTCGTCATCATTACATCTCCAAGGGCCTGAGGACCCTGTTTCTGGCGGGAGACGTGATAATGTCTGAGAACGAGATGGGGTAACACAGACGGAAGGATAACGATGAGCTACATTTGGGATGATATCGAGGCTTGGAGCCTGTAGCTGTACTTACATCACGTGTGATTTGGGGCGAGTCTTTGCACTCTACGTCGTTCACTGGCAGCTTGATTGGGAAATCTCCTGCAGTAGCCGGATGATCTGATATCACTCCGGTATCTGGATCTTCTTCCGGAGCGTACCCTGACAGCAAGTCATTGAGTAATTTAGATAATGTAAAACAAATAATATGGAATCACCTGGATCCGCATGAGTCCCAACGACTTGGGTTACGCGCGGAGTTGGGCCTTGCACTCTCTTTAAGCCTGACACTGTCGTTAGATAATTAGTGCGACTATGAGGTGGATCTGGCATACCAGCACACGATGCAGTTGTTGCTAAAGCTTCAAGCACTGCCTGGTATGAAGGGTCTCTCTTTGGCACCCTTGGCTTTGTGTGATCCTTGTCTAGGTACGCGGGTCGGCATCACAACAGTCTGGGTAAATACTGATAAGACAGACGGTTACATACCGGCGAACACGTGCACGTGTCTGGGCTCGACAATTATCTTGCCATTATATTGCGGAAGAGAATGGCGTATTGTGCTCTCCCACCACTGCTGGTGTGGATATTTCAAGTCGGGGGTGATATTGGATGGCAACTGAACTTCGATTCGCTCCGGATTTCTGACCACAGAGCACGCTTCCACCAGAAGGTTAGATCCGAGAAATTGGGTCAATAAACCTTCACGAGGTAGTAAGGTGTCACGCCAAGAGCGGGACTCGTGCCCCGAGAGCGTGTTAGACACCAAGAACAAGATGCGGAAGCAGACGGAACGTATATGCGGATGTACACCTGCCTTGGAAAGAATCATGAATGCCTGTTCATGAGACCATCCGTCGCGAGTTCCGCATTTGATCACCAGTACCAGCTCTTTTAAAGAGGGGAAGGTCGAGAGGTACCGATTATGATGGTCAGGGTCGCCTATATGGGACTACGCCGTCAGCGGCACAGTCATACGCGAGCTCGAACAGAGGCCAAATGGGCGCCTCAACGCTTACCGTGTGCAAATGGCATTCGCAGGTAAGGGTCAGTGCAATATAGAATAACCTTCGAGAGGGAGGATCCGAAGGCGAATGCAGGGGCCGAGCACAGCAATCCTGAGCTAGCCTGAAGCGGTGCATGTTAGCGGATAGAAACAGCAAAGAATATCGCAGACTCACGTCAATTTCAAGCGTGCGGAGGGAGGTGCAGCGGTTCCGAGTCCTCACAGACAGAGCTCCTAAATCCAGTGAGGTGTCGCTCTCAGTGTCTCTAAACGACAATCCGAGCTTGAGACGAAGGTGCTTCATCCTCGGGAACGCCCAGACCAGTCGGAAGAGGTGGAATGGATTCCGAAAGTGACCCGAGATATGTAGCTCATAGATCGGATATAATCCAACCCATTCGTTATACCAGGGAGGGTAATGGGACCAGTCGACTCGAAGTATGAGCTTCCGCAACTTCTTGCGAAGCTGCTTCACTAGCTCAGGATCGCAAAAATGGATGAATTCGGACTTGTAACGCCGCGGACGGTGATATTTCCGGGTGGCAGGACCCTCGGAGTCCACCATCAGGGTGTCCACATAATCGGCGAGGCTGGGGCTACCATCAAGAGCGAAAAGGAATTTGTCCACATGGTGAGGACGCCTGAAAGCGACAATGGAGTACAAGCGGACGCGGCTTTGGTGTAGCCACGCATGACAGGTGAGCGAGCACGCTCGAAGGACGCGATAAGAAGCCAGGACATCGTCAAGGTCAAAATCTTCTGCGAGGCAGGCGCAGCGGTCGATAATCATGTTCCAGATGTCTTGCGGACGACTTTGTATGTCCATAGTTATGAGTGGCCTGAGATACCATGTACAAGAATGAGTGAGTACAAAAGTATACTGAGAGTCGTAGTTGTATGCTGGTGAATACCTTGCGTAACGTTCCCGATCGCTGAACCACCTGTACTCCAAGAGCAGACGGGGGGATGACTCGGAGTAGTACCAAGGCCGATGTCGCGTTGCAGAAAGTGTGTGCTTTCGTAGAGGATAACCCCAGCGAGAGAGATCGCGGTTCAGATACAAGGGAATGAGCAACTTCAATTGGCCATCGATCGATGCCAATATGAGCGCTAAGGCATGTGAAGCCTAGGCGGCCGTCATCCGTTGGATGCGACGGATCAAGTCAGGTCAACATTTGTATGATATTCTCTTATATCCGCGCGAGTACAATCGGTTACATATATACAACACGAACAAATTCAAGCGGCCGCACGACATACAAACCTGGCACCTACTTAGAGCGGTCTAACGTACACCGTCCCATCGTGCGACCCAGATGCGATCGTCTTACTATCCGGCGAGAATTGCATAGACGTGACAAAGTCATCGTGCTCGTTGTACGTCTTGACCAATGTTCCATCCTGCGTGAATTTCCATAGCCGGACTGTGTCATCGGACGACGCGGACGCAACATACGTGCCGTCGGGCGAGTACGCGACAGCGTTGATCCCGCCGTCGTGCGCTTCGAGCGACAGCACCCGCTCCCCCGTCCGCGCGTCCCACACCTTCACCGTCGAGTCGGATGAGCCTGACACGACGCGCGTCCCGTCTGGGGAGAAGCACACCGACCACACGGGACCGGTGTGCTCGCGCAGCTCGACGAGTGCCCTGCCGTCCTCAGTGCTCCAGATGCAGCACCCGAAGTCGCACGAACCCGTCACGATGTACCGCCCGTCGGATGAGAATGAGGCGGAGGAGACCGTGCTTTGGTGGCCTGCAAGCACCGACTTGGGCGCACCGATGTCGAGGTTGGCCACCTCCCAGACGCGGCAGACTCGCTCTGTTCCGCCGGTAGCCATCATCCGCCCGTCGGCGGAGAAGATGATGAAGGTGACCTCGCCATCGTACTGGGCGGTCGCGAGGAGCTCGAAGCTGACCGCGTCCCAGATGCTGAATGTGCCGTCGCGTGCGCCTCCCAGAAGCTTGGACCCGTCAGGAGTGAACGCGAGGGAGCGAATTGCCTTGTTGCCCACATCTATGGTCTGCGGTACTCGATGCAGAGCTTCGACGTCCCACAGCTTGATCGGCCCAATACTCGACGCGGATGCAAGAAGAGTGCAGGTAGGGGAGAATGCGAGTGCAGACACCGTGTCCTCGTGCGCCGTGAAGTGGCGTACCACGGTATCGTCGCGCACATTCCGTACGGTGATGCATGTATCTTCCGCACCGCTCGCGAGGTACTTTCCATCAGCGGAATAAGCCAGAGTGGTGATAGACCCGAAGTGGGTAGTAGGGTTTCCGATGGCACCGGCGTGTGATGCCAGCTCGTTCCTAGGATTTACGGGCGGCTTCCTGCGGGGTGATACCGTCTGCCCCCCGCTCGTGGGTGATTCCAACGCTGCTGAACACAGTAAGATCACCATTTTCATAGCATGTACATCACGTACGCGGGGTGTCACTGTCATGTGGGCTGTCCGGTATGTCTGGGCCAGGAGGGGCGTTGCTGACGGATATCGCGCGTTGTACGTTCGGAGCCTCATCGGACTGTTCTCCAACTTGCTCTCGGTTGAATGTCATATCAACGTCAAACGTACCCACTATGAGAGTCAGTCAGCAGAAGGTAACACATTGCAACAATATCGCCGACCGTAGTTCTCATCTATGTCCACATGCGGTTTGAGCTGCGCGAGTTGCTCTGCCACATCGACCGGGAAGTCTTGATCCTGCGCGGATCTTTCAATCATATACCAACGCACGCTTGACACACTGACAGTATACCTGGAAGAGCGCATAGAAGTCCATATCAGAGGCGATAGCTATCTCCGCTTCTGAGTTCTACACGCCGAGTATATTAGCACTTAACGTGCATATTGAAGCGATGGACGCCTTCAAAGCTCACCTCGAGTATATAGTCCAAGGCCGCATTCACGGGATCGTAAGGCTGGCCTAAATCAGTGGGTGCTTCGCATCGTATACTGGCCTATACACGCACCTTCGAAATACCTGACACTGTTTCAGAGTCTGAATCGCCCCCTGAATCCTCTTCCAGAACATCTGAGCTGCCATACGAGTCGTCAGGGTCCGGTGGAGGCAGCTCATGCGGACCCGCCCGGGCCTCAAAGCGCCGAAGAAAAAACTTGGTTCTCCGTCGCTTCGCCTTGTAGTAGTGGAAGAAAATGCACTGGTTCGGTTTGTCGGGAGTGTTAGGAGAGGCTTGCGGCACAGCGAGAGCCGGAACACTGGAGGATGATCCAGCGCTGTACGCAGATGACGCCCACGTAGGTAGATCAGGCCCTGCGGCAGAGGAGGGCGATAGAGGCGTAGAAGATTCCGTCCCGAAAATCGATGGCGGAGAGGTACTGTCGTGCGAGTACCTGGGCTCGGTGGGCATGGAGGCCAGGAGTGGGGATGCATTGGACCTCCTACGCGCGTGCGGTGGGCCTGTCTTGTGCCAGATACCGGGGGCGGACAACCGGGAGATGCTCACTTCAATATTCGCGGAGCCGAGAGCAGCGAAGTCGCACGAGACGCTGCCATGCACACCCCGCTGGCTACCATAGAATGCGGCGACGCCCCAGCGGCTTGTCTTCGTTACGCCGGTGACGAAGTAGATATCCTGCTCGTTCAGTGGGAGGTCCAGTGTGTCGTTCGCGAGCAGCAGCCACTTGTCCAAGTACTCGCGCATGTATTGAGTGACTTTCCGTCTAGATGGCATGTATGTTGCCGAGCCGTTGGGGCTAAGTAGTAGAAGCGCCCCGCGGTCCTCTGCGCACTGGAATCCGATGTTACCGCTAGCGGAGCCGCCCAACGGCGGACTAAGGGAGTCGGCGTAAGCATCCAGGTGAAGAGCCAGCACCAAGTTTTGCGTACGCATTCATCGACCCCCCTCCTGAGACCGAGACATTCTTGATCGTGCGACTGTATAGCACGGGCTGGGTGATACTCTCGGGAGATCGGAAAAGGGTGCTCTCTCTCGGGACGAATGGCACGTAGTCTTCCGGCAACAGCTCGTGCGGCTGATGTTCTGCTCCATCAGGAAGCGTGGTCCGGAAGAGATGTAAGAACGTGCCCTCGTTCAGCCATCCTACGTCTGCGATCTCAACATCCCACTGAGCGCGAGCAGGGTTGGGCGCCCACAGGGGATAGCCATGGCGATGGTGAAACAGTTCTTGAGCGTAGATGTCCCATGGTGGTGGGATATCAGAAGGCATCGGGACGGGCGAGGCGGCACGGATGAGGGAGGGAGCAGGAGGGGATGAAGGTGTTACGATTAGAGTGCAATCAGGGAACGGTACCGTGTGTCCCCAGATATTGAAGAAGTCGAAGGCTCGTCGGCAACGATGGAGCGAAAGGCGCTACACATCCCACGAGTCGTAAACGGAATACCACCTGACCAGGCGCTGATTGTGTGCACGACTATACTCGGTCCGATATCTTGCAGGTTCAATTGATCCAGAGGGTGTACTGCCGTACATGGTGTCAGCGAGGGAGAGCGAAAAACCCAGTAAACATAAAACCTACCGTGTTACATGATACGGGGCGCTTAGGCTGGACCTCGAGGCTCGAAAAGGACGCGGTACACATGAGCGCGTGCCCGACCCGGCAATACAGGAGCTTTGAAAGATCTCCTGGAAAAAATGACAATATATGTCCCTTTGACGAACGTCTATCTGTCTTGCGGGAGCGCAATGATATCGCTGTCTGGAGCTTTCAAGAACCGGCGGGGTACTACCAATCTATGATGGGGACTCAACGTGATTTTAAAGGCGGAGACAGTTCCGCCATACGGTGAAGCTAGGGCGTCGTGGCACATAGCAGAGAATGTCTCGAGGAGGGTACGCCGAGCCTCTCGTCCGTCCGAGAGAGAGGAACCTAGAGACCTGGAGAGGCACAGACAAATATTGACAAACAAGCAAGAGGTTAAGCAAACAGGCGCCCGTATGGAGCGCCCATGTCGAAGGTTCATTCAATACCCCCATGCATCTCGTTGTTCCTTCGGAGTCAGACTCACTTCGCCAACGCAGAGGACACGGAAAAAATATCAGCACGGTATCCCTCAAAGGCTAAGTGAAGGCCTCCTCGGACACTCAGTAGCCGGTACCAATGAGTTTGACTGGCTCGGACCGAGGTGTTTCAAGCTCCCTGTCACCTTGATCACGCAGAGTGAGTCTGCAAGACGTCGCATTTGGGCATTCCCTCGGTCCTTGAAGGCCTTCTCTATTGTTCGCAAACAGCCGGCTCAAGATGCGCGAACGTTCAAGCTCGCCAACACCACTTTTAGGCGAGTACCACTCGTCGCACCCTCCGCACACAGCGCCTCATGACTTCATTCCAGACGTCGAGCGCATGTCTTTCTCGGAAAAAGGCTCGATCTCAAGCCCACGTTCAAAGAGCGCAAGACCTATAAATCATGCACATTGGAGGCGTACACTCTCAGACAAGCTCGTGCTCATGTTCACCCTCACAGCCCTCGTGCTCGTCAGCGTCTTGCAGTTCTCCGCGGTTATGGGCGGCGCAGATGCGGTCCGCCGCAAGAACTCCCCATCTGCCGCCTGTCTGGACTTCACGCCCAGCGGACCCCCGGGCGTGGTCCTCACAGAACGGACGTACCATCCCGCGAACACCACCGTCGCGATCTCGAACGATTACCTCGGCTTCGGATCCTCCAGCCTGCCCGCGTTCTGCCGCCTTCAGTGCGTGATCACCACGAACGCCACGGCAGGCTCATTTGCCAACACTGAGATCTGGCTCCCGGACGCTACGGCGTGGAACAAGCGCATGCTCACCGTCGGGGGTGGTGGGCTCGCCGGAGGAGGTATGAACGGCCGCGGCGTGCCCGTGTGTGATTCGCGGAGCTTACCGGGGTTTCTAGCGGACGTCATGTCCCTCGGTCGTCAAGCGATCCCACAAGGGTGTGAGGAGAATGCACTCGTCCCGCTCCGCAATGGTCTCCCCTCAGCCCTGACGCATTTTTTCTATCAGTTGCGGGTGTGGCTACCAACGGGGGCCATAACTACTCAGGCTTCGACGGCACCTGGGGCGGACCCCATAACGACGTAAATCGACCTCACCCGCCTCCCTGCTTGACATATCCAGCTAATTCTTTTTTGGCCTCCTAAGAATATGCTCATCGACTTTGGGTGGAGAGCCGTACACCTTAGTGTGCTGGCAGGCAAGGACATCATTGAGCAGTTCTATAACCAGGCTCCGAAGGGGTCGTATTACCTGAGTTGCTCTACCGGTAAGCCTGACGTCTTTACTGTGTGATCATTGCTACGCTCACACCTCCTTGATGTGAACATAGGTGGCCGCCAAGGGTATTATTATTTCGCAGTGCATCGTGATCGACACCATATTGATCCGCGGGGACCTCCATAGCCTGAAAGAAACCCAAATGTTCCCCGACAGCTTCGACGGCGTCGTAAGTATCCCGCACATCCGTCTTCCACCCGTGCTGACTGGCGGAAACCGTCCAGGTCGTCGGCTCCCCCGCGAACTGGATGTCCCGCTTGGTGTCGTGGGGCGCGCACCTCTCGCAGCTTGTCGAGCCCGCGACGTCCCCGCACTTCATCCCGCAGGCGACGTGGACGGACGTGATCGCGCCGGAGGTCATGAAGCAGTGCGATGCGCTCGACGGGGTGCGTTTTCTCGCATGCTCAGCAGCATAGAGGCGTGCGCTAATGTTCGAGTGACAGGTTACTGACAATGTCATCAACGATCCGTCCGCGTGCCAGTACGTCCTTCTGAAAACTTTTTCCACCCGCGTATTACGCTGCTATCGAACGCTTGGCTAAGAGTTCCTCCAACTCAGCTTCCGTCCCGAGACCCTGGCGTGCGCCCCGAGCCAAAACCCCGCGACGTGTCTGAACGCGGACCAGCTCGCCATTCTCCCGCAGATCTACGAGGACTACTTTGAAGACGGCAAGTTCGTGTTCACCGGGTTCAACCTCGGCGGCGAGGACGTGTACTTTACGGACCTCACCAGTGAGACGCCCAACCCGCTCATCACCAACTGGCTTCAGTTTATGGTGCTCAAGTACGTGCCAGTGGGTCTCTCGAGCGACGTAAGTGGTGGTAGATACTGACGCGGCGGACAGCGATACGACTTGGACGATCGACCAGTATAACTCGAGCGTGTACAAGATCGCGGACGCGGTCAATCCCGGGAACGCAAACGTACGCCGTAGCCCCGCTCTTCTCCACCGTCACGCGTCTACTTCTACTTAAACGTCTGCGCAGGCGATCAACCCAGACCTGAGCGCGTTCTCCGCGCCGCTGCACAATGGGAAGGTGATGCACTACGTCGGCCTCACGGACGAGATTATCAGCCCGCGCAACAGCTTCCACTACTACGATACTGTGCGCGATGATGCGCTCCGCAGGGGCGTGAATGTGGATGATTACTACCGCCTTTTCCCCGCACCCGGAATGGACCACTGGTATGTATAGATCTTTACCTGCTCTATCTCTCCAGCATGCTGACGAGATCTTTTTTCTTCCAGCTTCGTACGTATACGATTCTGTTCCTGGAGGAGTCATACGAGGTAATGACGGAAGACACGCAGGGCGGCCACGGCGCAAATTCCTTCGGCGGACCCTTCCAGCAGGTCGTCCCCAACGACCCCGAGCACGACATCCTCGCCGCGCTCATCCACTGGGTCGAAGACGGAGTCGCGCCGACCACTATCATTGCCACGAAGTTCAACAACGACATCGCGGCGGACGGGGTCGCGTTCACGCGTCCGCTGTGCATGGTGCGTTCAGATGTAACGTTAAAGGTGACCGAGGTACGAGTGCTGACGAGATTTGCAGCATCCGATGAAGGCGCGGTTCCGCGGAGGTGATCAGAACGACGCGGCGAGTTTCGAGTGCGTCTGAGCCTGGCGGTGGGTTATATGGCGGGACTTGTTTTTTGTGTTTGTTGCCGGCGCTGATTGGATAGTTACAGAGCAGTCCTGGTTTCTTCGGCTACCGTATGCTCTGACAATTGTTATGTTGTGAGGCTTCTCCGTCACCCGTGATACCGACTTTGTTTTTGCTATTTGCAGGTTTTGCGTGTAGAATTCTACGGTGCCAACTGGTAGAGTGACACTGGCGGGCCCGAACGACCGCCGCCGGTTACTGGAGGGTTTGCCCGCCCGACACGCTAGAACAGTTTTTACTTGTTAGCTTGTCGGTCTTCGGCGGCGCTGAGATAGAATCACTGCTACTTTGAGACCGACCGGTGCAGGGGATGAGACAGGAATATTTTGCATGACGACACGCAGACATGTTTCGGTGATGTGCACGGAGAGAAGGGGGTATATTGCAATATTATATGTGGTGGCGAGCTATCGCAGGGTTGGAGCTAGTTGTAGGGGTAGGCAATACATCGTCCAGTGAGACACGTAGTAGAGACTGTTACATGTGGAAATGTCGGCGAGTAGCCGGAGGGTATAAGGTATAGTATCGTGGCACAAATCGAGAAAGAGATTATTTGCCTGCGCCAGGCATGCATACAGTCACCGTTCTTCCGCTACCACGAAACACAATCGAGACAAGGAACCTACGCCATGAACTGCTGCTGGATGCTGAGCGGCGGCGCGCCCATGGTTCCCGCCGTCGCGGGCGAGCACAGCGCGTCGAGGCGCCACTCCCCGCGCAGTCGGTGGTAGAGCGCCTTGAACGCGGACACCGAGCCCTTCTCGAGCACGAACCCGAGCACGGTCTCGTACCCGCTCAGGTTCTCGACGCGGCTACGCCCCGACACGGACGGCTGCCCGCTCTGCGACAGGCGCGGGGTCGCGTTCGGGGTCCCCATGCCGTTCGGCGAGCACGACGTGAACTCGACGCGGAAGCGGACCTGCTTCTGCACGAGGCCGCTCGCGTCCTGCATGTCGTCGATGCGGCACCGCAGCACGCTCCACCCGCCGTTCTCCTCCATCGCGACCGTGGCGCCGAAGTATTCTAGCAGACGGGTCGTCTCCGAGCGCGTCGTCCCGAGGTCCAGGACGGAGTACAGGAGGTACGACTGCACCTTCCAGTGGAAGAGGTTGGAGAACCAGCCCTTGAATTCTCCGACGGCAGGGGACATGCCGGAGATAGGGGGAGACCCGAGGTGAGGCGAGGCGACCGAGAAAGTGGAGCGCTTCTGCAGGACGGGCGCTGCGAAGTCGAGCGGCGGAGCTAAAGACCATGAAGCCATCAGCCACGCGCCTTCGCACAGAAAATACATTACTCACGCCGTGCCTTCTTGTCCTTCTTCGCCTGCTGTCCGTTCGTCGCCTCTTGAATGAACACCATGTTGCCCATCTCCTTCCCCAGCGGGAGAGAGTGGAAACCTAGACCGCCGGACTGGCACTCGGAATGGGCTGGGCGCGCTGAGGGCTGCCGGGTGGCGTTCTCCTTGTTCTCGCTGCGGGCGTCCCTGTCCCATGTTACGTCCATGCGATGTTCCGTGCTGGACATCCGCACCTGTCGGCGAGGTACAGCGTCATGTGGGAACTGCACCTGCCGCGAGGCGCGAGCGGACTGCATGTGGGTGGGCGGCCACGGCAAGGATTGGGCATCCGGAGCAGTCGTGGGATCCACATCCATCTGCATCTCGACGTCGGAGATGCGAGGCGTCGTAAGAGCAGGGATGGTCGGGACGGCAGCAGGAACGGGCCGAGGAGCAAAGATGACACCAGGAGCAGACACAGCACCTTGGCGAGACGACTGACCATAAGGAACGTATGTCGATTCGTGCATGGACGCGCGGTGGGCAGGAGGCGCAGACACTCCATTGCGCTGCATGGGAGGCGGCGCGAAGCGAAGAGCTGCTTCGGACTTCGCCGTTCTGTGCGGGCGTTGAATGACTCCCGGGCCTGTCCGCTGGTACCGGGCACGAACCATATCGGGATTCGGTACGAAGGACGGGGGGTTAGAAAACGCAATGGTATTTCTGACACTCGGCGCCTGCGGCTTAGGCTTTTGCGGCCGTGGCCCGACAGGCGACTGAGGGCGAGGACGAGAAGGAGCACGTTCCATAGGCACAGAGGTAGTGATGGCGAGAGGAGGCTTCGGCGACGGTGTACGAGACGGCGGCTGTGGTGCGGGACGGTCTGAGCGCAGGTGCTGGGTGTGGGGGACAGACGGCGAGGTCGTTGGGTCGACCTCCATAGATTGCCGGTTACCAGGCTTGGAGCGAGGGGCTGCATATTGCTTCAGGATAACCTTCCCCTGGGTGTTCAAGACTCCATCGATGTCCATGAGGATACCGTGTTCCTCCATAGCCTTCTCGCGATGTTTCTGGAGCAAGAAATAGAACGCCTTAGCCAGAGTGCCACGCCCAGCTGGGCTCAAGAGATCAGCGCGAATGCCCTCGGTGTCAGCATGTCGACCCCAGATGACGCAGAGAGACTCAAAGAGATCACTGTCGATATGTAGGGCAGACGGCAGTGGCCTCGCAAGCTCAGACACAGGAGGCGCCAGGACGTAGAGGATACCAGGTGTCGCACTTTCGAGCCAGGGATGAGCCAGCATCTCGGACATCTTCACAGCCAAAATTAGCGGGTCGGTATATGCGCGGTATATCTGGAGCTTACGGAGATTCTCTTGTTGACGTCCACGACCAACATGCGCGATAGAAGATCCTTCGCCATGGGGTCGACGAAGCTCGGCATGTCGTACTTGCCGACCTTGACTTTCGTGAGCAGTGTGCGCACGTTCTTGTCGTCGAAGGGAAGGCGCCCCGTCAGTAAGGCATACAAGATGACACCACAGCTCCAGATATCCGTAGCAGTCCCAGTGTACTTGTGTCCGTTGACGATCTCCGGGCTAGCATAGTGAGGGCTGCCGCAGCTAGTCTCGAGCTGAAGAGTCGGCGGAGCAAAAGCAGCCATACCCCAGTCAGCGATCTTGATGAGTGGCGGGTTGAGCGAGTGGATGAGGATGTTCTCGGGCTTCAGGTCACGGTGAATGATCGAGAACGTGTGAGCATAGCTGAGGCCATAGACGATCTGCTTGAAGTACGCCAGAGCCTCCAGCGGCGGGAGCCGTCCCCGGTTGACAAGGAAGTCGAAGAGCTCGCCGCCTTCCACGTACTCCAGAATGAGGTAGAGCTCCTTCTCGCCCTCATAGACATCGTATATGCGCATGATATTGGGGTGGTTCATGAGCTTCATCATGATGATCTCCCTGTCGATACCGAGACGCTGCTTCTCAGCCTTGGCCTGAGCGTTGGCCGCGCTCCTCGACGTGAGGAAAGGCGCGAGAGGGAGAATCTTCACGGCAGCCAGCTGACCGGTACGACGGTGACGGGCGATCTTGACGCGACCGCTCGCGCCCTTGCCGACGCACTCGCCGATGATCCAGGGGCCGACGTATTTGGCGTCGTCAGGGTATTCAAAGGCGTCTGTTCCGGCAGCGGCCTTCTCCTTCTCCCAGCGAGTGCCGAGGGGTGTTGCATACTTGACGCGGGGTGCGCGGGGCGGGTCGTTGTTCGTGGCGGACATGGCAGGTTAGAACGGTTAGGGAAGGGATAAAACAAAAAGATTAGGGTAGGAATAGGGTAGGTGTGTCGCTGGAGTCGTAGAGATGTGGGCCGCCGTTTGTGGGCGTCGTCGGACCAGCACGACAATGAGGAGCAGAGAGAAAAGCAACCTCGCCCCGCCGAGCTCGGACCCTTTGAGGGCGGCTGGCGCCCGAACAAACAACGCGCAAACAACACGTCCCGCCACAGCCACGTGTCTACCAACCGCCCGACCAGCGCCTAAGCGCCAAGCCCTTGCCACAGACACAAATTGTCCATCCTGACGATGCTGTATGAAGAGTGTCCAGTATACAAACCATACAAATGAGTGTCCCAAAAGAATGAAAAACAGACTATATGACTAGTACAGTAGCTTGAGATACTGTGAGCGCATTATACGAGAATCACGGCGAGTAGCAAGGCCATGAGGATGATAATCAGTATGGTGATACACCATCCCGACTTGGTCTCTGTAATATCACTGTAAGCATGCTACGTATTTATGAGGAGAGGTAGGCGCACCCTCTGTCTGCCGAATAAAGTTGCGCATCTTGCGCATGGCGGTACTGAGTTTCGCTTCGGAGTGATCGACCCCGCGTTCAAGGTCGTCGAGCATCCTAACCAGTAATGCAGCGTAAGGGGGAGGCTGCGAGGAGAGGCGCGTTTGACAAAGACGTACTCGACGTGTTCGCCGATCTCTTGACCCATGAGCCCCGCCTGCTCATGGAGGGTATTGAGAGTACCGGCAATGGTATCTATGGTCTCGTCTTGTTGGCGGATCATCATCTGGTGACCGGCACATTATATATCTACAGAATATCAGAGTACCATGAGCGACATACCTGCTGTTCCTGCTTCGCCCATTCCGACTGTGCATCCTCGTCCTCTGGCGGTGCAGGGTCCGCCGCACGACCAGACGGACCAATCATCGAGGAGGGTCTTGACCGACGACCATCTGACTGTCCATCCACCTCCGCGCGCATTGTCTACCATGGCAGGACGTATAAACGGGATTGCTCGTGGAAGACGCGAGCAAGAACGGGAAACACACCAAAACGGTAGACGTACCTCAATCTCACGGCGGACATGCCCCACATACCGCCGCCGGTCCATAACCTCCGCTTCCTCCAGTCCAAATAGTCGCGCTCCTGTCGACTCCACCACACTGAAACGCCCTCAGAAACATAGGCTACGAGACACGAAACCAGGACTCACTTCACACTCTCTTCCAAATCCTCCAAGTCCGCCTCTAGCGCCGCAAGCGTAGCTTTCAGCTATCCACCGTACCCCAATCAGCCTTCTTCTCCTTCGCCGCCCTCGTACAACACGACCGAGAAAATACGCACCTCATTTCGCGCCCAAATAAGCTCCTCGCTGTCCTCCCGCGCGGTGCTGCGTATGCGCATGTACGACGCGCGCAGTGTCGCCGCGTTCTGCAGCGACGCCTGCACCTCCGCCTGCACGGCGTGGTACGGGTCCGTCGACATATCTCTTTCTCCCTGGCGGTGTGCACGTTAAAGACTGGAAACTCAGAAGCTAAAGGGCAGGCGGGCCTCCGCGCGTGTGGGCGGAGTTAAGTAGCGCGAGGCTGGTGCGTGCACAGCTCAGAACACGTCGTCCACGTCGGGGATCGAATGGAAACTGCGGTGGCTGCCTGCACACGCGTTACGTCGGGAAGCAAGGCAGACCAGCGCAGGGAGAACAAGGAGCGACGAGGAACAAGTGGATGGAGGCGAGTGAGATACGGCGCTGCGCGGGGATGAATGTCGGGATCAGGCACAGTATTACGGCGCTTCTTGGCCCTACACGCAGTAAGCGACGAACGACGCTGCTTGATCCGGAAGGTGTAGTGTTCGTCGCGCTGTGCTCATCGTACCACACACCAGTGGAGGTCCAGTCTAAAAGGGGATAGCATAGACAGACATACAGATCACGACCGTACAAACAGCATATATGAAACACGTCCGCCGCTACAAACAAGAGATCCAAGCCATCCCGCCGGTATCCCTCCACGCCGTATCCTTATAATCATACACCTCTTCCAAGATAGAGCGGAGAAATACATCATGCGGACCCATGGCCAGCGGGTCGACTGAAGTCGAGCATCGAGATCACGCGGCGTTCGCAGCGGGCGCGGTACCGCGCTCGAGGTCCGGCTGCGGCGCGCCCTGGCGGCCGAAACCGCGCAGGAAGCCCGGGCGCGGAATGGACGCGAACCGGCCGCGGTCGGCCTGGACGACCGGTGGGGGCACGGCAGGCGCAGCAACGGGGGGAGCGACAGCCTGGGGAACGTGCTCGTCCCCAGACGCCGAGTCGCCATGGTCGTCCTTCTCGTCCATCTCGGGCGGCGTGGTCGTGATCCGCAGCAATGAGGTATACGCTGGCAACCGCGCGTTGAGCACACGAGTGGACTGATAGATAGAAGGGGGTGGCACTTACGTTGGCGACACACTGGGCAGAACCAGCCCTTGGCCTTCCTCTTCCGCCGCGGGTTAGTCTGGATGGTCGGGATCGGTGGGGCCTGGGCGGCGGCAGGGGCGCCCTCCGTAGCGGGAGTGCCGGCAGTCCCTTCCGCGGCGCCCTCAGAAGGAGCAGCAGCGGTGCCCTCGGCGGCCGGTGCCTCCGAGCCGGTGGCGTTCGTCTCGCTGTCGTTGTGCACGATCGTACCTCCGGCGCCGAACTCAATCATGTTGAGCGCGCATTCGCGGCAGGCGACCAGGTGACGGCATGGTAGAAGAACGACCTCCCGCGGGGACGAAAGGCAGAGCAGGCACTCCGACTGGGGCTCGTCGTCCGCAGGTACCGAAGGAGGTACCGCAGGAGGATAAGTGTGCGTGTCGAGGGTCGCAGTGGGAGCGGGTGTCGAGTGAGAGGGAGTGTTCGAGTTGGCCGACAAACCGTAGATCTCGTGCAGGTGGAAAGTGTGCAAGCCAATCTGCGTATCCCCATTAGTGGGATATCCAGGAAGCTTAAAAAAAAGGTTCCCACCGTAGCTTCGCGCTTGACGACTTTGACGACCCACGGCCGGTTGTCCTCTGACTCGACACCGTCGACGGCGACGGGAGGAGCACCGAAGCGAACGATGTGCAAATATGTCACCTGCTCGTTGTGCGACGGCAGCTCCTTACCCTCCGCGTCGAGGGCGGTTAGGCGGATGGTGACGCGAACACCGACCTCTTCCTCGTCCTTCGCTTCCTTGGGCTTGTCTTCGCCCTCGGTCGCCGGGTGCACGTCCGCATCGACAACGGCCAGTGCCGGGCCAGCGACGCCACGGTCCTGGCTCCGCTTGCGGAAGTGGAAGTTCGTGGTGAAACGCTTCCTGCGGTGGGGGTTCTCCGTCGATGACGGCTCAGGGGTGGGTGCCTTCTCCTGATCGGGGCTAGAAGACGTCGCCTGGGCATCCGTAGCGGTTGCCCGCGTGTTGTCGAACCGCCCAAGCTCGAGCATGGCGCCATCTTCCAGCTTGAGCATACGTCCGAACCCACCTTCGACAATGGTCTCAAAGACGAGGAGCCGGGAAAAGCCCGACGCATCTGGCTTGCCTGCCATGGGATGCTTAGGGGGAAGGAGGACGTGCACGCGGATACCGCTCTTCGGAGCGTCGCAGTCGAATTCGAACTCGAGCGCATGGTGGTGTTGAGAGTCCACATGGTCGGCATCGTCAGACGAGGTATCATTCTCTAGTGGGGATAGACGGAGGGTGGGCCGCTTCAGGTTGACCAGCGCCTGAAGGGTCGTGGTGGAATAGTGGGTCTAGAGTGAGGTCGTGTGAGTATCATGAAGTCATGCATCGTCAAGCCACATCCAGTTATACGTAAACGCAACACATTGTCGATAATGGTAGATAAACTACATTGGCATAACAATCGTGCCTCGCCATGAGAACGTCGGGTTGCGGGATATGTTCCGCGGAACGTGTTCTTGAACATGTTCTGCGTTCCGGGTGACGGAATGCAACAAGGATGGCCACGGTGGCAGCGACCACACACTGTGGCGAGCATACATGCGTGTTCTGCGGGACAGATCTCTCCGCCGCGGGGACTTTTGGCTCGCCATGGAGCTGATGTTCCGCGGAACGCATTCGGCCTGTCCCATAGAACAAGCACGAGTCGCCGGGTTGGTTTGACCCAAATGAGCGGCCGCTGAGTGACATGCGCACGTTACATAACACTCTTCCACTTGTCAACTCCTGGTAGATGCGACCGAGCCCGCTCTCACGGCCGCGGCCACACCCACTCCAACGGAGACGGCCCATCTCATATTCGATGAGTAGAGCGCAAGGAGGTGAGGCGGCACGACGTCGATGTGCAATGAGTTAGCGGCGGGCTAGCCGATGACAGGGAAGCCAAACAGGCGGCTGAGAGATGTGGTGCAGACGGCGTGCTCAGATAGTGACTGCTGTGGCCTAGTAACTCCTCCCAGCCACCCGTGCGGGTTACGATGTTCCAAAGAATATGTACCGGAGAACAGGGAGTTCAAGAGACAGGAGGCTCTCGCCATAGAGCATTCGGCCGACGAGAGCGTATGGTAGCGCCTAGAGTGACATTTAGGCTGTGCCCTTGGGTACCCTCAATTGCACATCGCTCTACCCATGGTACGACTGCCATCGACGGCACACGAAGAGCTGACCCCTCACGTATGTCATCACCAGCATCGTATGCACCCTCGAAGCCGAGTGGGGAAGCAGAATTCGATCGCAGCAATACGTTCCCGACAATAACGGGACTACTCACCTGCTTGCTCTTCGCAATCCAGCCCTTCACTACCTCCGGAGTCAATACATCCTGGCTCTTCTCAGGGCTCTCCGCCCACTCCGGACCACCGCCGAGCACACCGATGTTGGGGCCGAAGAGGGTGTCGTTAGCCTTCGATGCGGGCGGAGCGGTAGTTGCGGCTCCTGTTGCTCCCGCTGCGGGCGCGGGGGTGCCCATGTCGATGACGACCGCGTTCTGTGCTTGCGCCATCTGTGTCGCTGCGCGTGAAGCTCTGGAGTCGACGCGCGCGAGATAGGGCTGCTGGTGAATGGAGCGGACCCGGTTCCAGGAAGCGTACTGCGAGTTGTCTGCGCGAGGTCAGCCGCTGGCTGCTGTGGGCTATAGTCGAGTGTCGTACGCACACCAGGAGGCAAAACTGGCCATGCACTGGGGGAGAGGAGACGGCGGGGGGCGACTATGTAGTCGGTGAGAGAGGAGCACTTGGGCAGACGCGGGCCCTCTACTGCCGCCGCATGCGCAGGACCCGCTAATCTTAGATGACCCACATTTGTCAGTCACCTTGACTCGACCTCCTGCCACTTGTCCCGTCCCGCTCGCTCGCTGGTTCCTGCGTGTTCGGTGCTGTCCGCGAAGTCATGGATGAAGATGCGAATTCCAGCAACAGAGGCCAAGTATTGGGCCAGGAACAACGCATGATGCGAGGATAAAGCTACCGAGAAATACAGCGCGGCGAGGTGTCCGGGGTCCACTCCTGGTGCGCAGTCGCAGCGACGTGAGATCCGTCGTCCGACTCGTGTGTCGACTCCCAGACATTTCGTATCCAGGCGGAAATATCACGGGGTGGGTATTGGTCAATGCACAGGTAGCTCACGGCTGTCTCGGTGACACAGACCGGGTGCGCACAATTCACTCGGATGGGGTGGCAGCGCGGATTGTACAGCATGAATTGCATAAACGCCCTGCGGCTTCATGTCATATGCATGGGGTCGGTGCGAGATCGTGGCGAGAGTAAAAATGATAGCAGCAAAATACAAAACTATGCGACCAGCTTGACAACACCACCCGCCTCCTTGATCTTCGCCCTGCAGGCAATGGTTAGACATGCGCAACAGCCTATGCAAACTGGGTACGTACTCGGCCTTGCGCGAGACAAAGCGGGCTTTTACGATGAAGGGGAGCTTGGGCAGCCTTGAAAAATGACGGGTAAGCCTACGAGGCAGAGCTGGTATACAGCGTTACTCACTGTCCGTTGCCCAAGATCTTGCCGTAACCGTGCTGGAGGATGTCGATAACGGGGACAACATCCGAGCTCTCGGTCAGGCTCTCCTTCTCCGCGGCGGGGACAAGCGTCCAGAGCTTGTCGACGTTGATAATCGGGCGCCATTGGAGGTTGCGAGTAAGGTGGAAGCGGCGCATACCAACCTTACCGAAGTAACCAGGATGGTACTTATCGAAGTTGGTCCTATTGACACGCGATTACCAAAAGCACAGAGTGGGAGAGACTGTCAGTATGGCGCCTTGTAAAGCATTGGGCAAGTTTGACGCACCTGTGGTGGTGCTGACCACCGGCGAGACCACGACCTCCGGGATGCTTGCGGTGCTTTCCGACACGACCGTGACCGGCCGAGACGTGGCCGCGGTGCTTGCGAGTGTTGGAGAACCGCGTAGGCATTTTCTGTGTCGTGCGAGAAGGTAGAGGGAAGCACAAAAAAGAGAGCAAGGTACATCAGCGTTTCGTCCTGTGCGCTTCATCCGGTCGCCCCAAGACCCATCCACCGTCGAAATCCGTTCAAGTTCCGGCAACACGACATCGACCAGAAAGCCCAGGACCAGCAGAACGCGACGGGGACGATCTTGAGGCGAGAACCAGCATAGACTTACCTTGAGGGAGGCGGGAGTTGAGGGCGTATACGAGGCGGCCTGCCAAACGGTACGCTTCCTCGGGCGGTGGCTGGAAGTTTGTCCGTATTTGGCACACTTAGACGCGCACAAAATCTTGCAGCTACGCGTCTCAAATAGACGCCCGCACCTTGTTCCGCTACTCCATCGCTTGTGCCGCGTCGCGCTGAGTGCAGTTCTGGTGAGTACCCTGTTCTTCTCAACCTTGAATGATGTGGCTTTTATGCCGTCTATTTATTGTCAATGATTCACCGTGATCTCAAAATGTGTTCTGACTCTTCGAATCGTTCTCGAGACATAAGCGCAAAGCTAACCTCGCTCTCCACAGATACGCCTTCATTCCTCTCATACCCTTCCTTGTCTTGCACCGTCGCGCTTTCCTCTTGTCCGTAGTAGTCTTCAATATGAATGCACCCAACCGTTATGAGCTCTACGTTCTCGAAGAGGGCGAGCGACCGTGCGTCTTCCACCTGACACGGTCCGAGCGTGTGAGCTTACACGAGGTGTGCGTTGAATCTTAACAGAGTTGAGGTTACGGAGGACACGAAGATCCCCAACGCTGCTACCGTCAAGATCGTGAAGCAGGACCATACCCTTGCAAACCTACTCCGTTCGTACGTGCTCGCCTAGGCCGCCGCGCCCGTACGTCCCTCTAACCCATCCACAGCCAACTCCTCTCTATGCCGCAAGTCACCTTCGCCGGCTACAAAGTTCCCCACCCGCTCCATCCCTACTTCCTGCTCAAGATCCAGACGGACGGGTCTGTGACGCCCACGCAGGTCCTCGAGACCGCATGCACGAAGCTCATCGGCACGATCGCGACGCTCGAGGCGAAGTTTAAGCGCGAGTTCACCTACAACGCCGACGGCGCCGTGCAGGAGGACGCGTACGGAGTGCCCGTCACCGGCGACGGCCTCGAGGGCCGGAACTACATCGACTTCTAGACGCCGGAGACCCGCGCCGTAGAGCTCTATACATGCCGCAGGCTGCTTTGGGCAATGGGGGACAACCATACCGAGTTTGGAGCGGGGTGCGGGCGGCAGGTGTGGACTTGTATCATATGTTGAACCTAATTTTGTATATTAGCCATCGCTTTCGTCCCATTCATCTGCTATCGGCACGCAGGCTTCATGACCGGCGGCGAACGGACTCCTGAGGACACCTACGGTGGTACAGTGACACGCATGTATGCAGGGGCAAATGGGGCGCCGCCCACCTTTTGAGTTCGATCTTGAAGTGGTCAGGAGTTCCAGGCAGTCATGGGCTCCGTCCTCCGGTTGCAAGGGGGAAGTGCTTCCGCTAGGCCACGGTATGAATTTTGTTCATTCGAGATGACGACTTGACGCGCTGCGCCCATAGGAATCAACAGATGTGGCCCCCAGCCAATAATCTACGTTTATGACGGTAGCCAAGGACGCTGTGGCGGACCAAGTCGCATTCGCATTCTTTACCTACTTATTGCGATCCGCGCTCAGGTTTCTGGCATTGAACTCACCGATAGGGTCCCCGCAACTGTCGTTCATCTGATTATTGCCCAAACCGGCCACTGTCCATATGCTAGCTCCTAGTGCCGCCGATGCAAGCCTCCCGATAGGATGGCCGCTACTTAGGGAGAAACTTCCACACGCAGGCGACTGCATGAGATTCAGTCCTGAGTCATTCCGCTCGAGCGGCGTTACGATTGAATATTTCCGCGCAGCAGGCTACATCCTCCAACCACACATGCCCAACGACAAAGAAACTCCCGACGACCGGGCAGCATGCGGCCGCAACCAAGATATTCCGAGGGCGTACTACACCCCACCCGACAAAGCGACTCCAGCATGTCGCGACCCGACAACAAAGCACGGGGTCGATCATCCCACCCAGACGTAAACGGACGCGCTCCGAGTCAGGCTAACCGCCCAATCTCCGACGCTCAGAAGCCCCGCAGGCACGCGTGCACGGCACGCCGCAGGTGGCAACCGATGGACTGCCCATATGCACAGGAGCGTCTCAAACTCGCCCCCACGTTCCCCCGTCCAAGAAGCGTGGGTAGCACTCCCCACCGGGCGATGCACTGGGGACACGCCGCACGCCGCACGCGCCTCGAGGATCACGCACGGCACATGAAAGCTGGGAAACGTTCCCCGGCGGCTGCGTGCCCGCCTTCCGAGATCGATTCTGGCCGGGCCAGTGCCTCTGCGTCGCGATCTCGCATCGCGACTCTGATTGATCGGGGCTCGCACGACGGGCTCGGGGGCGTGTGTGCCTGCGTTTATGTGATTGATGCCAATACCCAATACACATACGCATAGCAGTCGTACTTGGACAATGAGGCCGAGGAGGAGGTGGCGTCGACATGGCGGCGATCCAGCCTCGTGTCCTGAGCCGCCCCGAAGCGGTTAGCTTTGTGTGCATGCGCACGAAGGGGGAAGCGGAACGGAAGACGTAAAGGTCGGCTGGGCCTGCCGGTCTGGGGGGGTGCTGCGGGCGACCGGCCCTGCCAAATTCTCCGCTATGACACCACCCGTCTCGTAGGTGGTTCGCCGGACTGCCATGACGGGATGATTAGGTTTAACCGTGGGCTTGTGACTGACGCGGCTTCGAAGTGTGTTCGTCACTGGTCGGTCATAGCTGGGCGGCTGGCGGCCTGCCGAGAGTCAATGATGAGGGATGGGCGGGTGTGCCCGAGCACTATCGCATTACTGTAGTATATGTTTGTAGGGGTAGGTGGTACTGGAGGGTACCTACGACCGTGCACGCAGGCTGCTGAAGGCCGTTGATATGCATGGGAAGCGGGTGGCCGGTGTATGTACTTGGCGACGGGGTTTGAAGTCGGTATCCGAGCAACTCTTTAACAGCGCGCCGTAGGCGGGCAGAGCGGCCGTCGCTACTGAATCTTCGAGCAATGACTGTCGAGAAGACCCACCGCATCGGTTTTGGGGCGACGGCCGTGTACACCTCTACTACCGCGAACGCTTCGTGGCCAGCCTGGCCTTTGAGCGTGCCTGTTGGCGGGTGCGCATGGCCTCCTTCGCCCGCTTCTTCTCCTGTGTCGAGCTGATTGCACCGCCATCGCGCTCCTCCTCCTTCGCCGCCTTTTCAAAGCGGTCGATGCAGTCCTCCATCTTCGTCTGGATAAGCGCCTCGTCGTAGCGCCCGGCCTCCGCGCCATTCACGTCCCACTCAAAGTCGAACCCCCATCCGCGCCGATAGCTTTGCACGCCCTCGCCGAGCGCGTACGCAGGCAGCGCCGGGGCGGCCGCAGAGGCCAGCCCGCCTTCCTCGCGCCACCACCTGATGAACCACACCGCAGCGCGGGAGGTGTCTGGTATCCCACCCCGCTTGAGCATGCACAGGCGCTTCGCGAGCAGCTCCAGGAACTCCCAAACATCGAGCACCGGGGGCGTGTCTGGCGGGAGCAGGCGCAGGTATGCTGGGGCTGTCGAGGCCGGGGCAGGCCGTGGAATGGAAGCGGTGCGCGGACGGGGACATGGGAAGGGGGGCGTCAATCGCGTCGCGGTTCTAGGGAGGAAGACATGCACGAGGCAATCTTTACTCACAGGCAGGGTCCAGGACGTTCAGCCGGTACAATAAATACGACGCCAGCGTCTCCGTGTCGTATAAGCCCTCCTTGATCCCGGCTGTTCCCGCGCGGCGGAGATCCGTAATAGGTCAGCAAATCGCAGGCGGGCGGACTCGGCATCGGCGCCAGAACGGGTGGGGGAATGGAGAGCGGACACTCACCGATGAGTGCGAGCTTCACGCCGCGCTCAGCGCCTTTGTCGCCGTTGCCGAGGAAGGGCAACATGACACCAGGGGAGTCGTACGAATAGACAAGTGGATCGGCCGAGAGCTTAAGACGAGTCGATAATACGCGCGTCATGCCTGGCTGCGCAGACGTCCGCAGCGCCTTCGGTGTTGCTATTCATGCGGAAACAGAGCGGATGAATAGACAGACTCGAAGGAGAAAGACCTGACAAAGAATGACCGTCACTTACGTCCGGCGATTCCAATATTCCTAAGGGCGTTCAATAGCGTCGACTTTCCAACGTTGGGCATGCCAACAACCAGGACGTTTAGCTCCGGTCTATGCGGGTGTTCTTTTGCCACACCTGTGTTAGCCGCAGGCGTGAGTCATGAGCGAGGCAGCGGTCAGAATATTCGGGACATACTGACTAGGAGCTCGTTCAAAGCTTTGATATCCCGCGTCCTATTCCAGGATGCGAGAAAAGTTCGCTGATCAGGGAATTTTTTCTCCATCGCGCGTTGAAACGGCTGCGGCCACAATTGTCAGCTCATTCGCCGATCATAGGCGGAGCTGGTTCTTCTACCTTGATGCCCCATTCCGGAACCAAATCGCGCTTGTTGAACACCACGACCCGCTCGCACGCAGGAATAGCACTCGTGCCGGGTAATGGTGGTGGAGGCTTGGGGGCCGAGGGGTCGAACAGCTCCGTCGAGACAGCTCTGCCTCGTTCGCGTCTCCACTTTTGTAGGGCACCTGTGCAAGCCAGGCGTACGTCAGCGCCATTGTTTTCGGTTAGTGCAGTTGGATAGAAGTAATAAACTGCGCGGGTCGGTGGGGATCAACATCGCGACAATTGGGCGGTCCGTGGGTATCTTAAAGCTTGTCATTCAGCGACAACCGCGGTGGCGCGAAAAAGCAAAGTTGGGCATCATCGGCGGAAGAGCCCAACGCGCACACCCATCGTCCCGGCCGTTAGGTAGTGGCGAGGCCGGGTAACCCGAGGGCCCAGAGAGGCGCAGGTAAGACTGCATTCTCAGGGGCAAGGTTCGATGTCGTTTGTCATTACGACTATCCTGGGAAGCAGTACGCGCGCAATCGAGGTGCGGCAGGCCGTCCGTCCAAGCCAACCATCCGTTGTCCCCGGACAGAAGGCGCTATACAGCCGTCGCAGAGTACGGACGGTCTGACCGTCAAACGTATCAGCCACAATTATCGCTTTGAAGCTATATCGCAGGTGGACAATACAGTGTATCATGTCACCGGAGAGACGTCGCATTGAACTCTGTTCTAAGGTGGCCAAATCGATGTCTTTGGCCACGGTATTACTGGCGCAAACATTCGCTGAGCTGAGCGGCCGTCATAATGCGGTCTCAGGGGCTAATCTGATTCCTTCAGAAGCCAGAAGGCGGGCCATGGCGCCTCGCTCAGTCCGATAAACACAGGATTAAGCGCATCGCTATATGCAATATGCGATAATCTGTAGTGTGCAGGGGCTCATCGAAGACCAGACATTCCTAGTCGGTCTTGAGTCGTCAGAAAGATGACTTCGCTGGAATATTATGGGCTGTGCCTGCGTACCGCCCGCGGGTCCTCGCCCAATTAAACCTTAAAAAGACATCCTTCGCTCACAGAGCACGCTCAGAAAATCAGAAGCACGGCACAGCGCCACAGCCCGCCCGACCCGACGGATCCCCTCCACCCGCACACTGCCGCCGTGTTCACACAACCCCTGCAGCCCACCCGACGCGTCCGGAAACGAGCCCCCGCCGGCCCCACCACGCATCGCAGAACGAGCCCAAGGAGCCCAAGGAGCTCAGGCACAGGAACGGCGGCACGCACGCACCTTCGAAGTTCCGATTGATGCTCGTGAGCGGCAGGCGCGCGTCGCGCAGCTCGAGCACGACGTCCGTCTTGTTCAGCAGCCCAGGCAGCATCCGCTGGAACTGCAGCATGTGCCCCGGGAACCACGACGGCGGCGCGGGCAGCAACGGGACCGGGATGTGCGTCAGCATCTTCGCGCTGCGGTGGGGGGGACGTTGGGGAGCGGGGACGGGGCGGAGGCGGGGGCGAGTGCCGGGCTGGAGCCTGAGCTGAGAGTCGGTACGGCACAGTCCGTCTCGGTCGGGCCCACGCGGTATCAGGGATGCTTCGCGGCAGCGAGAACAGCGCCGTCGGCTCAGTAAGAAGTCAGAAGCAGGAAACCGTCGGACGAGGCCGCAGGAGGGGCACGGAGAGCGAGCACGACGGCGAGCGGGATGGCGGTGACGAGCAAAGAAGAGGCGGCGCACACTGCCGAGGCGCCCGCGCGCCTGTGGGCGCGTCCTTCCCAAACAGGCAATTAGGTTCGAGCGACGCGGAGCTGGGAGCGGGGATTGCCACAAGAAGGCGCGCCCGAGCCGACGCAGGAAAGCGGTGCTCCGCCAGCGCCGGGCTCGCGTCGCGTCGGTCGCTCGCTTAAACGGGTTGCCCTCCGCGACGGTTGCCCGCCCGCGCACGGCGGCAGGTCGCGCCAGGGCGGGCGCGCCGGCGGGCGGGGTGCCGCGTGTGGCGGCGGGGTGTGTAGCGTATTTGATCGCGGGCTGTGTTGTCGTGCAATGCACGACTCGATCGAGCCGATCCATTGTTCGATCGGCCGCACCGTGCTCACATGCGCGCACGGGCACGCGCGGGACCAGAAGTGGGGTGCGAGAACGTGCTGGCGTCGTCGTATGAGTGCGGCGCGGGCGCAGCACGCGTGGTGTCCGTTGTGGGCTTGCTCATGATCAGCTCAAAGGGGAACAAGGGGCGTATATGGCAAAGTTGCAGATCCGCCCGTGCGCGCGGTGGCTAAAGCGTGCGGTGGCGATGGCACAAAGGCTCCTTGTACTCTTGGCGCGTTGTCCAGTAACCGCGAATCCCCCGTCTGGGCAGGGCGGTTGCTTTGTAGGTGTCAACGCCTGCCGTGTGCTTCTGAGTCCCAGCGATGATGTGTGTATCATGGCGCCCAAATCTGTGATATCAAGTGGGGTGTCCACCATGTCATGCATGGGCGGCCTGTTGGACATCGATTGGCGTCGATGGTGGGAGCCCCGGGTGCCCGTGCGGGGGCCTTGTGGGGCTGCGCACCCACACACGACTATGACAGCATGGCACGACCGGGGTGCGACGGCCGGGCGTTCTAGCGGGTTCCGGACTCAGCGGGTGCGGGTCCGCGCAGAGGGCATTATCAGCCAAGTATTGAATTCCGAAAGATCTGGAATATCATACAATGTCGAGGCATGGGCGGCAGCGACGATTACGAGCAGGGAGAGAGAACAAAGGCAGAACAAGGGCATCTGTACATGGGGAGGCGTTGAAGCATTTTGACGGGGGCATATAAGCATGGGGACTCTTTCGGCGTTGCCAACTGCAGAGGAGACGACATATGTATACAAGATATTGGCGATAGTGGGAAAACCCTAGCAACGATATAGACAATGAAGTACACGGTCAGAAGAGAAACCACCCGAGGGAACAGTCTGCCGAGGAAAGGAATAAAACAGCCGCGAGTATATGGAGGTTTGGTATGCGAGACGAGCAACGAGTGAAAAATAGGAGCATGCACGAGAACGTACGGTACGCGGGGGGAAAGCATTGGATAACATCAAGCATCTATCGCAGGAATGAGACCAATCCCACCGTAAACGCAAGCACGGGACGCACCTCATCTAAACCCAACCCTCCTTGCCAAGCCCGATGGCGTCGAAGTTCTTCCCACTCCTCGTCTTGCGCTCCGGAAGGATCGTAGCCATGTCGAGGTTGATGAGCTTCTCCGACGGCGGGGGCGAACCCTCTACCCAGCCCTTCCAACCCTTGCGCGCCGCGGTGCGCTTCTTGCGGTACTTGAGCGTGGGCTCGGTGCAGTCGGTCTCCACGCTCTGGTTGCGGCCGTCGATGTCATCGTCATCATCGGGGGTGTACGGCCGCTTGGACGACGTCGCGGAGGTCCTGGACGAGATGGACATGGACGGGCCGGGGGTGGGCGGCGGCGACGAGGGCATGGGTGGCGGCGAGAACGAGGCGGAGCGGTGGAGGGATGGAATGGTGATCTGCGGACGCGCCTGCCAGAAGGAAGAGGTAGTGGCGCGGGGGAGGGGCATCGCCGCCTTTGACGCGCCAATGAGCGTAGGCGGCGCGGTTAAGGACGACGCGACGGGGAGCGCAGGCTTCTCGGCGGCCTTGGCCACAGCCCGTGCGCGTTTCTTGTCCTCCCTGTCCTTCTTCTCCCTCTGCCGCTCCTTCTTCTCGCGTTTGCGGACGCGACGCGCCTCCTGCTCCTCCTCGGTCAGCTTGGGGGTGGGGACGCCATTGAGAAGACTGGTGAGGACGTCGCGCGCGGGACGCGGGTCGAAGTCGCCTGCGAAGACCGAGGTCGCGGTGCGCCGTCTTTTGTACGGGTAGGCGGGCATGGGGGACAAAGCGGATGGGGGCGTGCAGTGAGGTGGGGGAGGGAAGAAGGGCGTAGCAGAGCGTGGAGAAGATATAGCTCTGTTGTATGCTGTTACGGCAATGTGCGGCGTCAATTCGAGTAAATATCTTACGTAAGAAGAGAACGTTCTACTGAGGCTTCTATCGCGCGGTTCTCTAACCACTCCGCTTAGGGATTGCAATCCGCCGCAATCTGATTTCAATCTCCCCCTTGCACAGGTTTTCGACAATCCCATTGTCCATTGTTCGACTCCTCGCCTGCCCTCGGCGTCGCGGACGACGGCGAGCACGCCGGCAGCGTCCTCAATGCCGCGCAGCACACGCCCGTCGCCTGACCGCACCGTATCATTCCATTCACCAACAGACGTAAACCCCTGTCTCTGCTGATCTACCACACACTCGGAAAGTTGGTGTGCGTGGCAGGCCTCCTTCCAACCAGAGGCCCGTGAGGCTCCAGCCTGTGGCGTGGCAACTCCCCTGCTAGCTGCATTTGGTCCCGGCCGGCGTCTCGCCGTGCAGACCGCGGCCAGCCAACCACCGCCGTCGCCCGCAGCCCCCGTCCAAAATTAAAATATTCCGGCGTGTGCTGCTCGTGCCGGCATCTGATGCCGCGCGCGTTTCACCGCTCCCCCTCGCGTCGCCGCGTACCCACACCCTTCCTTTCCAGGCCAGCGAAGCACCCAGTCTCGCCGACGGTGCGCGCGAGGAGCCCGGTGTACCGGGTACAAACTAAACCATCTGGCGAATGCCTGCAGGATGGTCCTGCATGACGGTGCTAGCTGGAGCGAGGTGCGTTATGTTCTTTGCGGCGAACCGCCTAGAATAGGCTGAGAGTGACTACCTTATTGGGGTACCACCGGCCGCTCGCGCTCGCGACCTGTCCCTACCACCTATGCTTGTACTGATAACGTACTTGACAGGCTGAAATTAGAATCACACGCGAGTGTCGAGAGGGCGTGCAGCGGCTGCCGCGTCCTCTCCCCTCGGAGGTTTTGGCGCGCAAATACGCGTCTTTTTCCCTCCCGATACGAGGTTTTCGCGCGTGGAGAGCCGTGGTATCACTATGATGTCAAGCCTGTCTAGCATGTTCTCGGTGTTGCGGGTATGGGTTGTAATGGGATCGAGGCTTGTACGGGATTGTAGGCTATCTACGCTGGATTCGTGGTCTGTAATGTATTATGTAACTAGCTAGATAAGCTCGTGTACTGCATTAATGGATCGAAACCCTTTCTCTCTCTCTCTCGCCACGCTCGCCCCCCTCCCCCGCCAGAGCTCGACCGCCAACGGCCACGCCCGCCTCGGGCAACTCAATTGCCTCCTGGGTCGCGGAAGTTTGCGGCCGCGTCCCCTTCTTTTGTTGGTGATCATCCTAGGATATATATGGCGCGAACGGAGCATCGGAAGTGGTTCGCCCTTCTCACGCAGACGGACCCCTTTTGTTCCCTCGTATGCAGGGAACCAATGCGCGATCTCCACCCCCGCAAGCTCAGCGAAGGCGTGATTCTGCGGATGTGTGACCCGGCCCTCCCGCCTTCCCTCCCATGGCCCATACTTACGTTCGTCCGGTTACGAGCACAACA